TCATCGCTCAGTCAGCGTCCTCTGGACGTCACATGCTCTCTTCTTTTACGCTTACTCATCGTCCTCCCCAGTAGTATATAAGGAGGACTCTGCAGGCCTCTGCTCTTCAGTCGTTCTCTCACAGACTGAAGAGTAAGTCCCATACTACCTATGCTTCCTTACATGTTTACTTACTAGTACTTGTAGCCTCTCTTTGTGCGGCTTACAGGTACAGTACTATGCAATCATAGTCGTTCTCTCACAGACTGAAGACCTCTCTTTGTGCGGCTTACAGCTTACAGCCTTCCAGGTTCAGAGTTCATCAGGATCCAGGAGCCACAGAACGCAGCCTCCGGGTGCATCGCGCTCTCGCGTTGGTTGTGCTATATTTGTCCGTATTTGCCAAGCCGGCGGAGCGAGCGTCTCTCCTGCGATGATCGTGTTCTGTACACTGCTGCCACCACTGGCAAGCTGCCGCTATCCACACTTAGATTTTCGACGTGGACGAGTTCTGCGAAGATTGCGACTTACATGATCGTATCATGGCTGTCATGAGTACACCGACGAATGGGCACGCGGTACCTCAGCGCTCCTCGGTCTCCCGGCATTCCATATACACCCGCATCGGCTCGGACGGCTCAAACTCAGATCTCCCTAGGCCTGCTTCATACGATGACTAGCTACTCCTTGCTCGACCCTCTTCTAGGGCTGGATAGGTGCACTCTACTGACCACCTTCTATGAGAGCCCCACCGCCGGCGAGGTGATGTCCCAGGATATCGACCAGCTCCGCAAGAGCATCGACGCCATCAATGGCCTCTTTGACAAGGTCATGCGCCCCCTTCAGGCATTCGATTATGAGTACTCCATATCCTCTGAAGCTCAGGATGCTCTCGCGCCACAGTGGGTGGCTTTCCGCACAGTGAGTCCCATCTATTCAATGCTCACGCTACGCTTTGCTTATGCTAAGCCTCGCTGTATGTTGCAGCGATTCAACATGTGCGTGGATAGCAGTCGTGACAGCGCCGCAGCCGCGTCCAGGATCATGCACTGTATCTACTTTCCGATTTGCTCACACGTATTTTTATCACTCGTTCATTCTATAGTGTATGCCGATGCGGTCTTGGGCAAGGTCGGGGATGTCAGGTGTGACGTCCGAGCCTTGCTGGAGGAGATCAAGATCTTTGAGGAGGTACGTACTGTCACTACACGTCATCCTGCATTTTTGATAACAATCCGTTCCTTAGAAAGTTCAAGAGCATATCGCAGCCGCACAGGTCGTATGTGATAGCTTCAACAAGATCGCCAACGACATCAGGGGTTTCAGGCAGCACGTCATACTCACAGCCAACCTGAAGAGCGTCACAGGACCGCTCTCTGAGGCTATGACCCATGCCTTTAACAACATAGTGGTCCTGGAGGAGAAAGTTTCTAAGTAAGTGTTTCGAGATCCTCGACGTTCGCGAAAGTGGCCCTATATAGCAAGTTCAATGGTTTACATCGCGACTTTTTCCAGCGTACCCGAAAAGGTCAAGCACGCGGCAGGACCTCGACACAAGATCGCTCATTCTCTTCTCAATAGTTCACGGACCAGGAAGCGGCGTATCTAGCGATGCTAGCTGCACTGACTCCTAGCGCTGCCAAGCTACTTTGCACGCTCTCGCCCACGACTGCTATCCAAGCGTTGGTGAGTCGTCTCTCACACTCCATCGAGCGCCCCAAGTTCCTATCCCGTGGCCTCAGCAATTTGTTCTTGGAGCACCCAATCATACTCTAGGTCAGTCCGGCACATCTCCACGGGGCTTAGACAGGTATTGATCTGCTATTATGGCCCGGCAGCGCAAGCGGAGCTGGCACAGTATGTCGTTCGAACGTCCGCTTTCCTGAGAGTGAGTGCAGTCTCTGACGACGTTTCCTGACACTCTAGAGGAACCACTCTGCAAGACATCTGCAACGTCTCCCAACGCATCGAAGCCATAGCCAATATCTGGCACAACGTATGTCCCTGTCGCACCCTCTACCCCCCCTTCGTTAAATCTTCTTCCCCGTTTCTGCTGTGCTGCGCGTCCCAAATTCTAAAACCTTACGTCAACTGTCTTCCCACCCAGCTGAGGCTTGACTTGGTTTCCCTCGAAACATCGCTGAACACCCGCTCCGGGGATGAAGACGTCGCCAACTCCACTGTACGTGTTCTGACACGCCTGGAACCCACATGTAGTTGTCGTATCTATATCTGACATGCTCTCTTTGTTTTCAGTTCCTCGCGCCGAAAATCTACGCAAGCCGTGCGATGTTCACGCGACTGACCGAGTGCTTGGATCTGTACGTGCGGCAGGTTGCGCCGACCTTGGCTTGATCCCCGGAGCGGCCTCGACATATGCACGCTCTACTTCACCGCTGCGACAATTGGGGCGTCCGTGCTTCCCGTATATCTCCTTGACTGGATATGTACGATAGGTCTCTCGGCGGTGCGTCTGCGATCACGGCGCGATCCCACGTATTCCTGTGCGTAGATGTGTACGGCTTCGTCTCGATCCACAATAGTAACGTGATCAATACTCCAAATTGACATCTAGTTGCGCGTTCACGCCGTGTTGCCACTTCTAGCCTCTCATGGTCAACACGCAGAGACCGCATTCCAACGCGCGTGCATCTTCCACTGTGACACATCTTTCTGGGTGCATCCCGCATTCCCGCGATCTCGGCGCAAATCCCTCCATAGTTCATGGTATCTCCCATATGCCGCTTCGAGGCCAACGCCGGCGCTGCACCTAGCGAGTGCTTGACGTAGGGATGCTTGCGACTGTGTTGAATACATGTTTTCGAGCAAATCACAATAAGCTTGATGTTAATATAGAAGAGGTCTCTGGGATCTAGACATGTTTCTCTCGAGGACATCCTAGCATGAGGTTGCAGGTAACTCGCGGCCTGAAGTAGGGGAGCAAATCTCGCAAAGGTCGTCATACACCAGCGCGGTATGCATAGACCCTACAACGCCACCGCGCAGGCTGTATGCCCCAACGAGCTTTTTTTCCGCCTAGCCTTCAATGCCTCAACAATGTTGTCGGCCAACACGGACCCATCATACGCACCGTCAGACAAACACGCCACCCCGCACCCGCACCCGCACCCCGCACCCCCTTTGCGCCGCAGGGTATAGTGCAGCCGTTCCCGTATGCACGCTCTACACCTTCCCAGTCATGTCGTCGGAGCCCGACACGACACCGCGCCACGACACATCCTCTCAGTCAGGCAAGAAAGCCACTGGCGCATGAAGCGTGACTCCACCTACATCGGCGCGAGCCCTTCGTCCGTGCTCCACATTGGGAAGCCGCAGTCGCGCACGCCGCTGACGGTGATTCGACCATCAAAAGACACCGCGGGGATGACCAGGTCGTTGTGGCTTGACAACTCTAGTTTGTGCGGTTGATATTGAGGTGGGTCACACGTCTTCGACGCAACAGATATGCAAGATTCCGCCCGCCGCCAGAGTTCGCCCGTCTACGGAGAGCACGACGAAGGTAGCAGTATCCTCGTGTTGCGTGGTACCGAGGAATGCGAAGTTTTTGGCGTCCCAGATGCACTCCACGCGTGGTCCAAGCCGTGCCAGAGCCTGTACTTTATCGTCCGGGAAGTTCTGCTCCTACGCGATGCGAACCATCAGTCACGATCAAGGCGTGTCAAACATATCCCGTACCTTGAACAACGCATTGAGGTCCAGCTAGGTAAGACGCAATAACTATCTTCAAATTGTAACCCTATACGATGAACGACACCTCCAGGATATAGTCCAGGATCTCATGCGCGGGGTTCCGGGGCTGCCCTCGAATCAGTACGTAGCTTATATCATTGAACTGCCAGTACGCGTGTACATACGATTAGACTACCAAGAGCGAGGTCGGCCTCCCGAGGAGCGGCGTATTCTTGAGCAAGATAGAGGATCTCGAGGGGGAGCTGCGCTCTGATATACGAGCTAAAATACCAGTCAGCATGTGAATACCAGACGATGATGCGCGTATAAGAGAAAAACCTGCCAGAGGGGGTAGTATTTCCGAATCATGGTATCAACCGTGTGCCAGTCGGATTTCTGGTGAGGCCAGCGTATACGACGGTGGGCGAGATTCTTGAGCGACGTATACGCCGAACGGGGAACGTGAGGACACACCTGATTGGTAGCTACACCGTGACTAAACGGCAAAGCCTCCGCGAAGCGCAGACGCAAGAGAGAGGTAACGGTTGCGGAAGAAATACACCTACAAAGCTCGGATACCACACAACGGAAAGCAGGTTCTATGGACTTGAGAACCGCGGCGACATGAGCTCCCTTACGGCCGATCGCTGACTTCGTGCACACTGCGGGGGGTGAAGGAGGATGAAAACTTACTTGGAATCAAGGACGCGTGGTCGATTTCGAGCGTCTTCATGAATGGGGTGTTGGAGAGTGTCATGGAGGTCCAGTAGACTGCAGCGCTGGATGAGGAAAGGCCGGCCGAGCTTTGCTATCAGCGCATGGGCGAGGAGCTTCCGCGTGCGTACAAGGGGAGACTAGGTAGAATGCGGCAGAGGGATGACGACGTAGAGCATCGCGTCAAGGGAGGAGAGCACCGTTGTTGATCCAAAAGAGAGCGGAGATCGAGGCATGGGCAGGAGTGTACGAGATTCTGCGCGAACAAGCACAGCGTAAGTACTGAGAAAAAAGTGCAGAACTCCCGAGGCATCAAAGATCTCTATAGATCCGATTGTACGATTCCATGAACGAGGGATGTAGTGAACCTACAGATCGAGAGCCGCTGCCTACCAATCTTCATGTTGTGCGTGACTTACCTGAGCCTGCAGTGTGCATATATGCTACTCTTCTTCTCTATTCAGCTATGCAGCTAGACGTCAGCTGCCCCATCTAATCACTGAGCCCGCGTTCTTGGTGACATCGGCCTCTTCTGCGGGACCAACCTTGAGGGAGAAGTGTTACCGCCGTGCAGGAGGTCGTCCGAGTGGTGAGCAGTACGCCAGGATGCAGCCCGAGTATGGGTGTTGTTTCAACAGATCCTGACTGCTAGAGATTTCATAGGAAAGCATGGCGCACGAAGAGCGAGAGAGTCGGCGAGAGAGTCGGTAGCGAGGTGGTGGACGGGAGAGAAAAAGAAACGCGTACGGCGCTTGATGATGACGGCGTGTCGTCCAAATCTCCGATTACTTCGGTCCCGAAGCTCGGCCCGGATTCCGCGGGGAGCGGAAAGGAGACTCGGAGACGCTCGTAGGCCACGACCGAGCTGCGACCATTCGACTCTTCGCATTCTTCTGTCACCTAGGTCCTCTCGCTTGCACAAAAAGCTATATACATAGCTATCTTTGGTATCATTATTTGTAAGTAAAGGATAACACAGCATCTTATACCACACAGTCTGGACGGCTGGTGTTCTGGAATGCACGGAGGTCTCCTGCGCCGGGGGACGTCGCACATCTTGTCGTCCGCATAATCAAAATCTCACTACTTTGACATAGGGTACGGTGGAAAACCAATATATACATCTCAAGTCTGCATTGTGGTCGGACTCGTTAAGCTGAGAGCTTGCTCCCGTCGCCGTGAGTTAGAACTGCACCCAAAACGACCGTATCAGGGTGATACTTACTGTGCGGGCGGCGGTGCAGATATTGAAAAACGCTCAAACTGTGCGCCTAAGGTGCCTTATTATACCCTTAGAGCACAATTGACTACACACGACCCGGTATCGCAGAACGCGACATCGTTATACAGGGGACAGCCGACGCGCTCGTCAAACAGGTCAGCCCTCGTGATCCGCGTTCGAATCCTGCAGTCTTCCGCGGATAGACACTGTCTACTCTTGGCTGGGCTTGCAGCTACTAATAATGCTCCGGGGCGTTGAAGATATAGCCGTTAGAATTCTCGTTATAAATTCGTGGAGGTACTACGTGTTGGTGCAGGTCAGGCTCTCCCGTGGCGCGTCATCCGAGTCTGTGGATCGAACCTTCCGAGGTCTCAGTCAAGACCTCCGCCGACGTCCGAACAGGCATCGAGTGCAAAAGCTAGTCTGGTGGCGAGTGGAAGAGACTCGAGTTTGGAAAGGTCCAAGGACGAGAAGAAGCGCTGATGCGAGCGGCAGCCTTAGCGCTGCGTGATGATGTCATACTTTCCCACAGGCCACGAGGTTAGCGGACTGCCAGCTGTCGATGGGCGCTCTTGCTTTTGTTGCTTGCATCGACTCCGCATTATCCTGGAACAGCAGCTCAAATACACGACCCGTGCACCTCTTTATTATCTTGTGTTCCAGCTACGCCTCGGCCATAGGATCGTCCCAGGTCGGCGAAGCGTACCTGCCCGGTGAAAACAAGAGTTGCGAGCGGGGTCGCATCTCGACTTATCTCGACAGTTACACGAGCGACGGGTAACTGTCAACCTCCAAGACCTAGCATAGATAGGAGATTTATGCTGCATACTAAGTGACGAATGCTCAGCTCAACGCAAAGACTTCGGGTATATGCCGAGTCTCGGGAGAAAAGGTGGGTTCTGTTAAACTGCGTCCGTATAATCGCTCATCTATTTGTTGATTTTTCAGTTGGCGCGACACTTCGCGATCGAGCTCTCGCCGGGGAGACGGCACGCGACTGTTCACAGAGCTCGAAAACAAGTCGAACGCATGTCGAAGATATGCGCGGATCTTGTCGTCGATTGCCACGAACATGTCTTCCGAGGACGTCGCCGACGCGCCGACGACATCACTCTAGTTTTTGCACAGGTCCCAGATTCCAAGGACAGCGCTGGAAAATACCAGCCAACATCGTTGCAGACCTTCGAACAACATCCTGCGATTCGAAGTTCCGTGATCGAAGAAAACAGTCTGCCTTATAGAACGACGCATCCTGCCTACACTATATATACCAGTATGGCGTGCTCGTTCTTCCCCTCTTCGGCGACATCCTCACCTGGCCAGGGAATCGCATTGCGCCTCTGGACCTGTAAACGTACAACCATGCCGCCGACGCGTTCACGAGACACTCCGTGAGCTGAAGCAGCGCCGTGCTCGACAACTGGGTTGCCGTTCGTAGCTTCCATTCAAGCGGGTGGCTGGGATTGACGATATACCTTACCCCCTTGATAGGCCCAGAATGCATGCAATGATTCTAGGGGATGGCGAAAAGCCGGGACGGAGCTCGCATGTGCTCCCAGCCTGAGTGACGACAGTGCTGCTTCTCAAGTAGTGGCCTATCGCACTTCCTGTTATCGTCCCACCCGTCCCACCCGTCACATATATCCCCACTTCCTCCGCCGGAGCTTGTACCGCTACTGCTAGCTGCTGCTGTCTGCTCGCCGCCATGCCCTCGCTGCTGCAGTACCTGCCTTCCTGGAGAGCCCGCCCGCGCGGCGGCTCAGAGGCCTCGGATGTGGTCCCGGTGGATGCGTCACTGGACACGAAACAATCTAAAGAAGATAGCGATGCGGAGTCGCTTGCGTCAAAGGAGATTACGACTGCTATAGACTCTTCGCTCAACCCTGGCGAGCTGACATTCGAGGAGGGTACGCACAATCCATTGCACTCATTGTGTTACAAGTACTGATCTGGACGTCTCAGATTCCGCGGGTGGCATGGGCCGGCATCTCGGCGTGTTCAGCTGCACGCTGCTCAAGTGAGTACACACACCGCTTCCAATCTCCCCTATCCACAAACCCGCAATCTCCTAGCGTCGGTTGTATCATTGGAACCGGCATTTTCTCAACGCCTTCATCCATTCTCGGATCGGTCGGATCGGTGGGCGCTTCGCTCATGCTCTGGGTCCTTGGCTTCGTCCTCTCGTTCTGTGGTATGTTCATCTGGCTCGAGTTCGGGACTATGTTTCCGCGTTCTGGAGGCGAGAAGGTGTACCTGGAGGCGGTCTACAAAAAACCGAAACATTTGGCAACTGTCATTTTCGCGGTGAACGCGATTGTTCTCGGGTTCTCCGCATCAGGCTGCATAGTACGTACCATGTCAATCCTTTCGCGTTTTCCCATTCTGACGTGGGAACTGCACAACAGGTGTTCGCGCAAAAGTGAGTTTCTGTTTATATTGCTGATGCGTGCTCAGTTATGACGTCATTGCAAAGCATCCTCATCGTCGCAGGCCATAGCGCGGACCGATGGGTCACCCGTGGCATTGCACTGGGCGGTACGCTATGTCTTCCTTTTTCCATGCATGGCGGAGGTGCTGACTAGGTTTTCCCAGTCATTGGCTTCGCGACCCTTCTTCATGGCCTAACACCGCGTCTCGGAGTGTGGGTTATGAACGTGAGCGTGCCATCGGACGCGGGAGAAACGTCTGCTCACGGAATCTGTGTGCAGGGCCTGAGCGTGTTCAAAATCATCATCCTCCTCTTCGTCGTGATCACTGGTAAGTCGCTCGCCTCTTTACAGCGGAAAGCCGGGCCACTCACCCTTCAGTTCAGGATGGGTCGTGCTTTCGGGAAAGACCCACATTGAGGACCCGTATGCGAACTTCCGGGATGCATTCGCCGGGAGCTCGCACAGCAGCAACGACGTCCGTCCCAATCCCCTCCCTCTCACATCTCTGCTCCTTTTCTGATTGGCGCTGCACAGTACGCGACCGCGACGTTCAAGGTGCTGAGTGCGTATGCAGGGTGGTCGTACGTCAACTACGTGATGAACAACGTCAAGAATCCCGTGCGCACGCTCAAGATCGCGGGCCCGCTCGGGCTCGGAATCTGTGCAGTGCTCTACCTGCTCGCGAACGTCTCCTACTTTGCGTGCGTTTCGCTTCTTTGTTCTGCGCAAAGGTATGGTGTTGATCGAGGCTGTGAACGATAGGGCGGCGACCAAGGACGAGATCCTGCACAGCGGGACGACGGTCGCGAGTCTGTTCTTCAAGAACGTGTTTGGGGTGCAAGCACAGAAGGCGCTCACCGTGTTTGTTGCTTTGAGGTGAGGATTGCGCTGGCTGTGGAGTTTCTTCCGATGTTCACTTGTGCGTAGTGCTCTGGGGTAAGCTTTAAACCTGTCAAACGAGGGAAGTACAAATCTCAATGGAATTGTCTCGCGTATTTCAATCCATACAGGGTGAGTAAAACTACCCGTTGTGCCGTACTGAGACTTCGCTTACATGCCTGCTATACACAGAACGTCGTCACCGTCACTTTTGCTGCAGCACGTATCAACCAAGGTGCGCTCCTTCGAACCCTAGGATGGACTAGATACCCATATTGCCCTTAGAACTCGCCAAGGAGGGCATCCCGCTGCCATTCGGCAACCGGTTCTGGGCGTCCAACTGGCCCACGGGCAAGTCGCCGCTCCCGGGTCTGATCATCCACTTGATACCCTCAGTGAGTCCACACGTGATATGTGTGTGCACGGCTGCTCACGCGCCTGCAGGTTATTGTCATCATCGGACCGCCGTCGTCGGTCGCGTACCCCTTTATCCTGGATCTGCAAGGATACCCCGGCCAGATCATCAGCCTGTTCGTCGTGCTCGTATGTCTCGTTACTCAGACGCACCGGTGCAGCAGCTGACAGCTTCTCCGCCTAGGGACTGTTTTGGCTGAGGTACAGCAAGCCCAACGCGCCCCGGCCGTTCAAAGGTAGGTCCAGCGAGGCCACGCGTAGCGCCGATTGTGCTGAATTTCGATGCTACAGTATGGTGGCCCCTCGCAGTATTCTTCCTCGCAGCAGCCATATTCCGTACGCCGACTCTACCAGCTGACAACGCCTCACTGATGCCTGATGCACATGCGCGCCTGCCCTAGTGCTCGTCGCGCCTTTCCTGCACCCCGCGAACGGCAAGGGCGACACCCCGCCGCTACCCTACTACCTGTGCGTGTCCACTCCCTTCGCCATCGTCGCGCGCGCGTCATGAGCTCCTGCTGACGTGCATGCTCGTATGCATTTCCGACAGATACTGCATCGTGGGCATCGCGATCACGGCGGCGGGCGTTCTGTACTGGGCCGCGTGGCGGATCGTGCCGCGCTGGTTCGGCGTCGAGTACGTGCCGCGCAAGGAGGTGCTCGCGGACGGGACTGTCGTCACTTTGGTACGTGTCTAGTAGGCTGGCGAGAGGTCTTGGTGAATGCTGATGCGTCTTCCATGCAGTTTTCACGGCAAAAGATCGAGTGAGGCCCAGGGAGGTCTGTGCTCGGGTCCGAGGGAGTAGGAGGTTCGGAAACGACTTTCATAATGTTGCATTACGGTATTTATGGTAGTGTTGTAATGGAAGCATGATGACTGAACTCGCAGGATTCGCCGCGAGTTGGAACCACTTCCCAAAACTCAAGATCGCTACAGTCAACGATATCTGCGCATCGAGAAGGCCATAAGGGCAGCCTACGTGAGGAGCCGGAGCCAGCGGATGACGCGATTCGCTTGGAGGCAGTCTACTGCACAGCTCCATGCTCGGGTTGGCGGCCGCTCATCGTCTTCGAGGGGTTGGATACGCGTGCTTCTGTTTCGCGTCTCAGTACTGCCGCTTGCACACGAGGCGGTGTGAGCAGAAAGTAGGGTCATGAAGATGCAATACGTACTGCAATCGTACCCGGGAAACGTGCACTGGCCATCACTGCGCGCGAGGACGCACACTCGGTGGATGGCGAAGGCCCGAGAATCCCGTCGAGAGCAAATGCCATTCACGTCGGCCGATGGCTGCGAGTCCTGAACAGGATTGAGAAAGACACTGCGACCTCATAGGGCTAACGAGAGATGCCTGGAGCGGTAGCCACTCTGCCAACTCAACCGGCGTATCGGAAGGCGCACTCGTCGTCAGAGAAGTGTGAGTACGCCAGTGTAACGTACTAAGCATCAAGGGCCAGTAGTAGATGTGGAGCCTGGGGTGCTAGCGGACGTGTTCGGGGTTATATCCAGGTGACCACCGGGGGCGTGCGATCCAGGGCGGGTGGTATGCCAACTAGTCCGTCTCTTGGAGGATGCGATTGGCTCCTCGCGAGAGCCCCGGGGTGGCGCTTGGAAGGGCGCGAAGGGGGGTTGGGGACATGTACGGATGCGCGATGGGACATTTGGGCGCGGAGTGGCTCGACGGCCGGAGGGGTCATTCTTGCCTTCCGCGCTACGGAAGGTGCGGGTGATAGGACACGGCCTGAGGTTGGCCTGCGCCGTCCGTCTGGTGTGCGACGGTGGATGTGCGACGTGCGAGGGGTGTACGGGGACGTGCGACACGATCTCCATTTACACGATCTTGTTAGCTGCCAAGGGTGTCTAAGCTATGAGACTGCATAGGCAACAACAGCGACGCGGTTCAGCGTCACAACAGACGAGGAAACGAGGAAGCACCGGGGTACTCGGCGATGGCCAGTTCACAAGAGCCCTTGCTGGCGCGTTGCCCGGGCCTAGCCTGCGAATATTGGAAAAAGGCTGTAGCAAATCGCTGTATATATGCATCTGCACGACATATGGAATGCAAACCACTGACCTATGTTGAGAGATGCTGGTGAGTGGCAGTATGCCGTGTCATTGAAGCCGCACGATGCTGAACAAATGGCAGCATGATCAGTACTGCTCTGCAGTGCGTAACCTCTGTAACGCACCAAAAGCTAGCTTTTATGCCTGAGAACTGTGGCCGTGGCCAGCTGATACTCGGACCTGCGTAGAGACGGTATGAAGGGAGAGACACTGTCGTGTAGCGTGGGCCCGGCACCGTGCATCCTCGTGCACGCAGTGACGTACGTGTAAGCGCTCGCGACCCGTGTCTCGCTTTGACCGTCCGATCGCTGTGCCTCGTCCTCTACCTGCCCTGCTCAAAACCTGCTGTGGAAGGTACAATCGCGTCCAGGTCAAGCTTCCAGATGTAACCCATACCGTCCTCTGCTAGATTTGCCTGGGCACCGCTACTGCACTCGATCTCGGTGCCTTCCCTCGCATTGCCTAGAACATGTTGACTTGTCCGCTCCTGTTCGAATTTCTGGATGATGTCGAGCAACAAAGGCACAAGGTGCGTTCCTCACCCGTCTTATCCGAGCTCCGCTTACCATGTCTAACAGATCGCGACGTGGCGGACGGCATGCGCGGACACGAAGTCGGTGATCGACAGTGGCACGCTCACAGGTATGTCCGTCACATGCTCGCGTTTTTTTGGTCTCTGGTATTAGGCTTCTCTCTCTGTGGAAATCTTCCTGTAGCGTCCGCAGATCTCTAGGTCCCGTACGAGTTGTGTTTCCTACGTGTCGCGCGTCAGGCTGCCGCCCTGCGATGGAGCGGCCTGTTCAGGCTATCCTTCTGTCTCTGCCTCCTCGTCGCTCCGAGGTTGCTTGCGTGGCTAGCATCGCCAGCAAGCATTCTCTTTGAGCTCAATTCAATCATCCATCATCAGCGGTGCAACCAGCGCACGCGGTACTTGTCGTTGGACCCTCCGAGATCGGAATTCTACATCTCGCAGCGTGTATTGGTGGAGTCGCGTCGCGTGAGTACTACGTACGTTTACGGTCCGTATACATACGAACTCTGCTTCCCGTCTCTGAACAGATCGTTTGTTGCGGCGCGTGCACTCTGAACCATACGCGGGGCGTCTCATCTCCCGCCATATCATGTCATCCGATGCACGTCGGATTAGACAGCATAGTCGTACGTCCCTTATCTGGCGATATTTGCGGCAACGGCTCACTCGGACATGAACTCCACCGACGACCGTACCCCCCTACTAGGTATTTACGGCACGACAGCCCAGCCCCCTCGCGTTCTCGCGTTCTCACGCTCCCAAACGACGCTACGCTTTCGCAAGGCCCTCGTGTACCTCTACAATGATGAAAGTGCTGCGCAACATCGTCGACTGCGCGAATATTGCACTGCGCTGGCATCTCGTCCCCCTCGCTCTCCGGCAGCGCTTCCGGCGCCTTCACAGACTCAGCGGCGGGCTCCGAGTCGCATACATCGGCGTGCATGCGCCCTTCGAGTCACGGTGCCACAGGATGGATGGAGTGATGTGTGTCCCCGAAAACATCCTCGCTACCGCCCTTCCGTCTAACACTGCTCAACGACATGAAGGTGAGTAATCTCTCCGGGTGCTCCTCGTGCTCACACTCGGAATCAGGAAGGAAAAAATCACCGACACGTTGGTGATGACCAAGGCCGTGTTTGCCCATTCCTAAATGTCGTGAAGCGATGTAGGGCTTGTTCAACGAAGTATAGTACACGCACGCGCACGCGCGATTTCTGACACTGCGGCTTGGGGTTGTGTGAGGATCTCGCACAATTTGGCGGTCGCCCCTCTTCCGGTACATCTCCGTGGCGGCTGATCTAGAACTCGTCGGTGGCCGGGTTTGTCGGCCTGCACGCTCTCGGCGACCGTAGCGCCTCTTCGCTGGTCCGGTACGTACTCACGCTGCGTCTAAATCATGTGTTCTACTAAGCGGTTCGTACGTCCTAACACCCCGACGGGGATAACTATGTCGTTTGCTGGGGAGGTTAACCTTCGTGAAACATCAAGGCGAGTACTTTCAATCGTGCAGTGCTGAATTGACGCACATCGGCCCTGCAGGTTACCCTTGTTCAGCTGGTTGGTTCGCTACAGACGTCGTATGGAGAATTCTGTAGGAGCCCGTGCCGACCGACGTGAAGCTATGCAATCGGGCGGCTCTCTATCCTTCGTCCAAGCTAAATGTTAGCGGCACCGGAGCCACAGGCTACCCGGGGTTTGCATGGGCTCCAGCCTCCTATTATACACCCTCTCGGTACAGACGCGCTGGCGCTGGCTGAAGGGCATGATATATTTGAATATAAACTCCTCTGATTATGGTGCAGATCCAGTAAGTGGTCTGTCGCTAACTAAGACGTATAATGGCTTCGTACACGTTGATGATAGCACGCTGGAATACTAGGTCACGATGGTCATAAATTGCACACAATCACATTTCATATCGTCGCCGTGTATGCCCATTCCCGCCATTGTACGTCCAGACAAGCGAGGTAAGTCATAACGTCCACGGGCGACTCGTAACCGTAGATGGATCCGGAGGTATACATGCGCGGAAGACTCGAGAAATAATATGTATCAGTACATCATGGTCGAAAAGACGGCGGGCATGTCATAACCAGTGTCCATGTCCGTAGCCTGCCACAAATCGGAAGCACCACTGGCTTGGCCTATACAACTGCAATGTCCCTCCATACCTGTGCGCGCATGTCTTCGTCCTGTATATCCCGAACCAGCGGACCCCAAAGTGGATGCTCCGGCATGTTTTCATAGTCGTCATCGAAGTACCCCACCCGCCGGAAGCAGACCGTCTTTGGGTCAGGTTCGGAGTATAAGCCGCACCATGGAGGATCCAACCGGAGCATGGCAATCCCGACTATGCTGCTCTGTTTCTTGAGAAACGGGACAAGCCATATCCGCTCCGGCAGTTCATCGACATCCAGTGGCCAATCAAGGTCAACAGATATGGTGTAGCCCGCTGGTTCTCCCGAGTCTCCTGTGTCTCCTGCGTCCGAGTTTGAGTTGCCAAGTCGGATCCCCCAGTGCGGACGCTGTGCATCCTCGTATGATGGGATGACCACCTTCAAGGGGTATAGAGGAAGCCATGGCTCAATAAGAGTGACCCTCCGATCGGGGGGAGGGGCGGCCAGCGCGCGGGCGGCCACCGCGCGGGCGGTACTACGACAGGGAATCGCCGTTCCGCGCAGGACGAGGGTTCCACCCGTAACTTCACCGAAGAGAAGCGAAGGATCTTTGAGCGTGACCTCGCACCGATTCGGGATGATCTCCGCAAGTGCGATATATTCAGGCCTCAGGCCCTTTGTCTCATGTATATTGGTCCGAAACCCGTAGGTAACGGCTCGGTAGGTAACGGCTTGGGCCGCCGCCCATGACCACGACGGTGCAAGGTATGCGGGTGGGGGACGGGGTACACGCCTTCTTGGAGGCATATCCGCAAGGGATTTCCACAGCAGGTCGTTGAGGAGCGTATCCGAGCGCCAGAAACCCGCGAGGTAATCACAGCCCAGGACACGGGCGAATCGCTGCGCAACCGCAGCGCATGCGACCAGCTTGTCCGACTCCAGGGTAGCGCTACGGCCACTATAGTCTCGCACGACTTCGAGCCAAGCTATGCGTGTGTCGATCCACTCCTTGGAACCTGGCTCCGCTGCAGGCGGGTCTCGGAGGAAGAGCACGTCGGGTAGCCGGGGCTCGGTGTCATCAAAGCAATGAACTGAGTTGCCAACACCCCGGATATTGGTACGGCACTTGAACAGCAGGAGTCTGTCAGCAGTGAAGATGAGGGCGCGCGGTGAGAGGAGGTACTCTTGCATGCACCAGGCGCGTGTGGCCATGACCCCAAGTGAGCGGTGGTATTCTAGATCGATACGGGACGGCGGACGAAGGTGAATGTAGCCCAGCTGTAACTGTGATACCGGAGAGCCATCCCGGAAACCCGCAGAGGTTGAAGAGGGAGGGCAGATGAAGGGCAAACTCAGGCTGAGCGCGCTCCAAGAGAGGTCCCATGGATCGGGGAGTTCGCCTTCGTAGATAAAGCCGTCGCTGGCACTCGCAGTGCAGGCGGCAAAAATTGTCAGGGTCGCATGGCGGTAGATATGATGCATGTGCCCAATCTCGTGCTGCCGATCTATGCCGTCGTCTTGAGTGATGCAGAGGGCGTCCACCCATAGGTACTGGAATTTCAACGCGTGTGTGACGAAGATGGCGTCGTGGATGGTCCGGGGGAGAATGCGCGAGTCGAACCCCTCTACGTAAAGTAACACAGTGGATTTCATGGCTTTGTGGAATTGGTCCGCACCCCACACGTAGCTGAGCGCAAGATATTCACCGCGTTTGCGGCTTGTGAAAACCAGGCGTGGATGAGCGGGATCCGTACAATCCACGAGACGCGTGGGGAGGAGCGGGGGAGGGGTGGACAAGTGTTTGCAGCCCTCATGTTCACGGACACACTCGTCGATGTGCTGTCTTGCGAAGCCCATGGCAAGGGGTGATCCTACGTCCTTCATGACGGTTCGCCATTTGATATAAGACGCCGCGGGGTCATCTAACCAAATCTATTATTAGTGTCTCCGCCCTTTTAATGGCGGCTTGAAAGTGCCCCGTATGTACTTCGACGCACCGTGAGTTGTGCACACCAATCCCTCAAAAATTCGAACTCTGTCGGCATCCACACGAAACATTGCAGAATCTGCTTCGACATAATACTGGCCCCCCGGGATGTGGCGCCACGTCATCGTGATCTTCACGATCTCCCGACGCTGATTCCGCGAGTACTCATTGTACACGAACGCGCACCATTGGCAGCGCCTATCACGGCCCGATTTCAACTGGTTGAGAGAGACACAGTATTGAAACTTGCTGTTCCTATTCTGATACCGTGGTCCATCCAGCGAGGGCATGTAGCGAAACCCCAAACTCATCGCGAACGGACCCTCCCAGCAACGTTTGCAGAGGTACGATGGCCTAGGCGGCAGCTCGTAACCGTCAACACGGGGCTCAGAGAAGAAGGGTAGTTGAGAGAGAGTAGATTGCTCAGGGAAGCGTTTGCAGAGGTACGATGGCCTAGGCGGCAGCTCGTAACCGTCAACACGGGGCTCAGAGAAGAAGGGTAGTTGAGAGAGAGTAGATTGCTCAGGGAAGAAGGGAAGTTCGGAGAGGATGGAGGACATGGAGATCGAGGAAGGGGACGGCGAGTGGGCGAGACGCGTTGGGACGGCAGTGGACGATGAGGACTAAGGACGTGGGGGCGGCCGATTAGACACCCTGGGCATGATATAGATCATCGCCATTCCGAGGCAGTCGCGCGCTCATCCTGGGCACATGCCATGCTATTTTTACAAAACGATGCTCCCGAGGAAACGAAGGCCGCGTGGTGGACTGGAGAAGGGAGACCTTTGACAGCGAGCCGGGACTTGGCAGGTGGGCGGTGCCAGCGACGGGTCGTCTAGACGGAACTGTGTTATCAGTGAGCGCGCGCGTAGATATCGGTTGCATTGTTTGAGTGTCGTGCCGTTCTTTGCAGCCGCGCGGGAGGTGGATGACAGACACGACGAATCGGTGTGTATGGCGGAGTGGATAGCATCGTCCTATACAGAGAGTGCCGCGCTGAGATTAAACAGGAGCTTGGAATAGAACAGCGAGCATGACTTGGAAGAAAGGCAGAAAATCCATACACCGATGTGCCGCCCGTGCGCTGCAACCATTGTACCATTTTGCTCTTGCGAGTTTGGCGCACACGAGAGCCGCGACGAAGCGTGAAGGAGATAGCAAGGTCACTCGGAGGCCGTATGACGCAAAACATGCCAGAATGCGCAAACCGGTGCGCATAGCCCAAATGTCTTCCTGAACAAGATGAGGGAACGCCTGCGCGATACGGGCGAGACTTCCTCGAGGCGGCCATGCTGTGAGAGGAGGCGTCATTTGAGCGCTATAGTAGACGTAAGGACCCCAGACATGCCTGCGTGATTGCTGTGTTCGGGCGATCAGCGACGGTGCGGCTGGCTGCGAGGGAACGTACGAATATTAGCCCGAAGATTGGGAGCCTTCTGTGGACGCAATCTCGCCGCAGACAGGACGGAAATGTGTGGTGGACGTACCTCTAAATGACAGCGGCGGTTATGCATTGTGGCGAGCTCATGACAGAAGCTATGCATACTGGTCGATATATGCGGGCAGACACCGCCTCACTGTGCTGCATACACGTAGTACACGGACGGAATCATAACATGTACAGGCGTAATGTGCGCATTCTGGGCAGTGTAGACGCATCGGAACCGTCAATGCGCGATATCACTGCGAGCCTTTCTGTGCGATAAGGCACGTGGTGGATGTCTGTGAGGTCGTTTGAACCGGTGAGCTTCTGATGGAGGCAGGAAGGCGTGGATGGCATACCTGAGAACGATGCAGTCTGACAGTGCTTGTTACGACACAATCACTATGGCGTGGTATGCAGCTCGTGGAGATGTGCCATATACTTCGAAGAACAACTAGACACGCACCGATGACTGTTCCCCGTAGTCCATGGCCCTCAAGCTCGCGAGCGTCACGCTCGCCGTGAGAAGCACGATCCCGTTCCTAGTACGAAGCGGGGTCATCCATATTTTGTTTTCCTGATCGGATTTCACGCAGGCGCGACCTCTAGAGTAGTCTGAATAAAGCGCAGAGGTGAACGAGGGCCATGACGATATGGAGAAGTGAGTACACAGGTATTTCTGTGCACATACGAGCTCACCTGTGGCCGCGTATGTGTTTCCGTCGAAGAAATGCTTGGTTACCGTCCACATATACGTCGCTTATGTCTGGAATATTTGGGAAATGAGCTTCGGAGGTGCCGATGGTCGGACCAGAAGGGCCGGATTCGACAGCGATCGTAGGAGTCCGAGTCGCATCCGTATGTCGCATATATGAGTCGACGCCGAAGGGCTTCGTTCGGGAAACGCCTCGTCCGCTGTCACATCGCTTACCAGAGCTCGAGCGTGCGGTGGGGAGATGGACGTCGTATTGCGAATCGGTAGCCGCACTGCCGCATCCGAGTGCGTCGGGAGCTTGCGGGAGGAAACACCTTGGCCACACTTCGAGAATATCCGGGTATAGGACTCGGGGTATTCGTTGGCCAAGAGGATCCTATTCAGCGGATCTGCAGTCAGTACGGGCAGTGCACCGTGCACCTATTGATTATACTGCGAGCGAAATGAAACGGTACGCTCACGGCGGTTGTCCTGCCTTTTTGACTCTATATTCGGTCTCCATGTCGCATGCGAGCGTTTGTTCTTCACGGAGCAGGATGTGGCTCGAGTTCATGAAGATGCATATCTCGGTCGGGTCCTGTACGCGTGAGGTTAGTACTTGTTCCTGATCCTTTGTAACGAAAACCAACGTGCATCGTTACTCTGTCGGACCTCTGACTCCCGAGCCTTGCGATTGCCAGTACTCTGGAGTGGATTGGGACTGCAACATCTTTGACCAACCACAAGCTGGGCCTGATGGTGTCGGCCTGCTACTCGAGTCTGCGTGGAGGGGAGAGACAAGGTCGTGTAGCGCCTTCGCACGCGGTGACGTACCTATAAAAGCGCTCGTGTCTCTCGTGTCTCCCTCTCCCGCGAGCCACGAGGCTAGCGAACGGCGGCTCTTGTCTTGACTCGTTACGCACTCTCCCCATGGGGCATCGTCGATTTTGTGACCCCAGAGCCTATGACTTGCTGAGCCTCTCCGCATATCTCCAGCGTGCAGAAGGACCACAAGCAGAACACGAGTTCGTGAGCTCATTCGAAACCACTTTCGCGAAGCTTCCCTTACTGATTTCATGTGCAGGATGTTTTCCTGAATTCAATGCGTTCAGCTGCCCGCATTCGTGCAAAAGAGAACACCCCGGAAGCGATGGTTGCGCGGTCAAGACAAGGACGCGAATCATTGTCCAGAACTGCGCCTCCTGCGATCGAAGTTAGTTTTCACGGGGACTGACCAGATGCTGAACTCTGGCGCACAGAAAGGGGCCTCATATTCTCCATAGCCCACACCTCCATGCCGGCACTGATTAGAGAAGAGAGGAAAGCTAACGCCCCCACCGATGACGGGGAACCTCATATTCGACGGAGTGACAAGTTATATTCAATACCTAGTCATCTACTATTACAGAGTCGGGGGGCACAGCTCTCGTCCTGCTTTACCCACCGAGGATACCAAAGTAAGACCTCAATTCACCTCTGTTTATCCATTATTGATCATTCGTTGAAGTCTGCCTAGACGACGAAACTGTGCATTGCAGCTTCATCCACTTGATCCCTTTCCAGAACACACGCTCGCTCTGCGATCAGCTGTGCGCTGTCACACTGTGGTCTGATCATCATATCCCCGCCAGGTTCCGCCACGGGCGCGAGATCCAGACCACTCCGAGTCTGTTGTGCAGTGCAAAAACATCTGCCCAGGGTACCGTCGACCGTTGCGCTCTCGAGCAATGATCATGGGCCCTGACTCGACGCGACAGACCGAATGTGCCGCAATCGGTGTTCTCCCCGATGTACGTTCTTTTTGTTAAGGCAACGAGGCCGGACTTTCACTGAAACTTTCAGTCAACCGTCGCAATCAAAACATGATCACATGTCTACATATGTGTACCTTATCTCTAGCGCAGCCGAAGTCGTCGCCTACAAAGGCTCCGTCAACCGCTCGCGCCCGCACAACGTCGCTTTGCTCGCGAGTCGCACTCCGCTAGCCGCCATGAAGAGTATACATCCCGTCCTGCTCGTCTCTGCGGCGCTATTGAGCGTCACAGTAGCAAGCACCAGTTTTACTCAGGGCCGTAGGTAGCAACACATCGTTGCTTTCCACTCGATGCTCACACAAACGACTGTAGTCACGCCGAAAAAGTACATCAACCTTCCCCTTGGCGATGTCAAGCCCGGTGGATGGCTGCAGGATTTCGTACGTCCTGTCCGAGTCGTCGAACTGGACTTATGATGACGAGCGACGTTAACAATCCGTGTGTATCCTCCCCTTCTGCCGCAAGCTCGCACCACGAGCCCAAGTTGGAAAAGCGGAAGGTTTCTACCAATAGTGAGCATTGCGTCGTTACTCAAGTGATACCCCATCTCACCGAACGATGCCATGTCAGTCTATCCCGTGCAGACACGGAATGGGTCGCGAGACGGGCGCCGGTTTACTCCATCGAAGGAGGTGCGTCGATTTAACTTTACTCCCCTGCCGCCTAAAGGGATAGCTTACACCGCCATCTCCACCACATCGCGGCGGAGCAGCCGGAAGCCACTGGTTCGTAAGTAGCGCACTCGTATCTTCGGTTGTATAGATGCTCACCCTCACGTTGACACGCAGAACGACATGGTCACCATCGCCGGCATCTCCGAAAACCAGGTTCTCCTATCTCAGACGGAGCAGTTTCTGGACTATTACATCGATACGCAGGACGCAGATGGCTGGCTTGGCCCGGAAGTCACTACGGGAAGGCCGCGCCGGCTCTCCGCAAGGCGAGCCTATTACGTGAAGTTTTTTCTATCGATGTTGGCTCATATAGCTGGCACTTTAGGCTTCCGTTCCTCCTGGGGGCGATGCGCATCGCCGATGCGAAGCCCGCCCGAGCCGATCGAATTGCAGCTGGCTTGCATAGATTCGTGGCGCTCGTGCACGACATGCTGCGCCGGGGCGAGGGGCTGGAGGATGACGCCTCAGTGTACGCCGGGGATCTGCTTGTAGTACTTCAATGGTGCGCTCTTCAAAACCGGCCTGGGATAGCTCTACAGTTTTACTCACCCAGGCGCGCGCGACATCTGGCTGTCGTAGGCTCTATGAGTTCCACCCGAGCGGACATGAGGACGTCCTTATGGAGATCATGCTTATGCTCTCGCAGACCGGAGAGTCCTTGACACCCGTCTTCAGAGAGGAGGTACTGTTTATACGCCGAAGATGCGATAGTCGCCACACTGACTCGGACAAGAATTTCCCCAGGGCGGACCCGACGCAGCAACACTGGCAGCTCCCCGACGTCGGGATCCAATGGCACGCCATGAACGCAGCGAAGGCGCTCGCCACTCTGGGCGCGAGGCACCGTCTCAGCGACAATGGCTCTGGTGCGCCGATGGTCATCTCCACTGTAATTGGTGCTTATCAGGGTTGTGAAAGACGATACTGCGTGGGATACGATCTTGACACCGCACGGACAACCATCCGGCCTCTTCGCGCCTTCCATGCACATCGGCCGGTATTGGGAAGAAGGATGGTAAGATGATGTCATCTCTGCCACCGATAGTCTCTCACCATACCCTTCCTCCTGTCAGGACACATCTCACCGCAGTGAGTATCTCCATCTCGCACACACCGCTGAGTTACTGTGCCTCAACCGCCCATATCATCGATAGGAAACCATACGCTCGTAAGAGGTGCTCTGAACGGAAGCGTGAACACGGCTGACATATTCCTTGTAGAGTTCTTTATTTGTATCAAGTCAGCGGGGACCTCATATACTTGGAAAACGTGGAGCGCATCGCGCACGCAGCTGTACTAGCTCCACAATCATTCAATCTTAGTGAGCTCTGTTTGGTTAGCTGTCTCAGTCCCTATCTAACTGTAGGCCCAGGGTCTTGGGGGATCACCAGCAGTCTCTCGCTGTGTAGAGAGACGCACACTTCGAATGGGTATGCAGTCCCCCATCAGTGACGGAGCGGCACGTATATCCGACGTAACTGATAATCCTCCGGCTATCGTTCAGGCCGTACGAAGACTTGTTGGCATACAGCGGCGACAATCCGACGTAAGCGGCTGTTTATTACCCCTCGCGTCGAGTACTTTAACCGGATGCGCAGATGCACTGCTGTCCTATATCCCGAAGGAGCCTTCGATCTGATCTACGGGGCGTTCCTGTACACAGCGGACCGCAAGTCCCTTATCCAAGTCCTGCCCGGGCCCTTCACCGTAAACACAACGCTTGCAGAAGGTGCGTCAGGGTATTCAGCGGTACGCGTGTACGACTTCAACTGATGGAGAATGCGTCTTAGACAACCAGGTCGTGATCTCAGTTAACTCGAGCTACCCTTATAGCTGGGACACACTCTCCCAAGGAGTCATTGTCGCTCAGAAGACGTTTATGTACTACACGCGCATCCCCAAGTGGTCAACGGGTGCGACGATCTCCGTCAACGGGAGCGATCCGGGCCCTTGCTCGCCGGTTGACGGGATGCACGCTTTCCGCGTGGAACCAGGGACAACAAACTTCACGCTCAATCTTCCCTTGGACATTGTCGCAGGTTCGTCCCAGTGTCTGCGCTCATATGTCCTCTGACGAGCCTCTCTGTCTGTATTTCACAGACCAGCTGCGCCCGGGACACGTCGCAGTCAGCCGCGGCCCAGTCCTCTATGCCTTCGACGAGTGGTACCCGCTCGGCGCCGACAACGCGATCCATCGGGGAATGCACTACGCAATAGACCCGTCGACGGTGTCCCTAAGCCCCGCCAAGATGCGATCACTCAGACCAATCTGGCGTGACGCGGGCCATACGCTCACCGTTGTGGCGTGTCCAACCGCGGGGACTAAGGATAATCACCTCTTCGCGGAAGATCAAAATGCGGCGACGTGCGTGGGCCCGGCGAGGAATATCACATTGATACCGGCCGTGGTGCGTTCAGTTTGCTTCGCTTCGACCTGGCTAGGGACCGCGAACGCGCCCGCTGATGTGTGTGTTGTGGTTTAGGACGCGATCTTCCCCGAACACGCGGTGAGGGAGTTCCCCACTTTCAAAATCTCCGACATAGCGTAGTCGGGCATGATATATCGTTTTGTATCTGTGCATCACTCGACCGAACATTTTCTGTCAGTGATACATTTATGAGTTATGACCACAGAGTCCCAATCAATCACGCCCTGCATTCCCCTGGCATAAACTAAGTCAACCTCGCTAGCTTGGATGTGATGAGGTATGGCGGCTCTCGGGCAGGGTGTAAGACCATCGTGCGCATATCGGTCCACTCCTCGACAGTGAAGCGGCCGTAGCCAGTCGAACCTCTGCACGACACGCAGAGCACGTTAGCGTCAGGGTCACAGTGATGGTGTTCATACTCACCCAAGTCCGCCATGCCCCTTCATCCACTCGGAATGAATCGTAGGGCCGTTGATATTCGTGCAACCTGCATTAGTACAGCGTCAAAACACTACCCTGCCTAGATGACAAGGTACGGAAAACGTTACCTGCCCGAATCCGCGCGGCGACGTCGAAGGCATTGTGAACGTCTCTCGACCACACGCCTGCCACGAGCGAGTACGTTGAATCGTTGGCCGCGGCAACAGCCTCATCGATCGTGTCGACTATTCTGAGTGCCGCAACTACCGCCGAGTGTCAGTCAGCTCCATATAGCCTCGAAGGTAGTCCCTTACCTGGCCCGAAGCTCTCCCGCTGCCAAAGTCGCATTCCCGGCGTCACGTCAGCGACAATGTGTGGCTGCACCACCGCGCCGTCCCTTGTAAGGTCTCCGACGAGAAGCTTCGCGCCCGCGTCGACGGCCTCCTTGATCATCTTCAGGACGTTCTCCGCCGAGCCCTGCGTGAACAGCCCTCCAAAGGCGACCGTTGGGTCGGATTGCGGGTCCCCAGCTACAACCTGCTTGAACAGTGCAGTGAGCTCAGCGATAAGCGCGTCGGCCGCGCCCTTCTGTATGATGACGCGCTCCGTCGACATGCATATCTGGCCGCCATGGAGGACTGCGGAAGACGTGATTGCGCGGGCAGCGCGCGGGATGTCGGCATCGTCCAGTACCTGCAATGTCGCACGCGGCTTAGCAGCCTGTCGGAATGAGGGCTCTCGTACGACGACTCACGATGACAGGCGACTTTCCGCCTAGCTCGAATACGCAGGGCTTCAGGTATTTCGCCGCCTCAGCTGCGATGAGCTTTCCAACGTTGTCGCTTCCTGTGAACTAGGATGAATATTTTGAGCAACTTGTTGGATGTACGATGCTAAAAATCATTCGTTCACGTTGATCTTGCGCACAGCAGGGTGCGCGATGATCTCGGCCACCCTGGGGCCCGAGTCTTCTTTCGCCGTCGAAATGAAGTTGAGGACTCCTTTCGGTAAGCCGGCCTGGTTGATATATTATCAGGATCACACATCCTCAAGTGCAAGTAGTGAGCGTACCCCACCTTTTCGAATATCTCGACTACGAGCGCTTGAGTGCGCGGGCTAACCTCCGAGCACTTCAGGACGATCGTGTTTCCACACACAATGGGAAGCGCTACAGCCCTGATAGTCAGCCCAATGGGCGCATTCCATGGTGCGATACTGAGACTGTGGAACAGCAGCAAGTCAGTTGAGCACTCGGTCTCCACGATCCCAGCACTTACACGACACCGAGCGGTCTGCGCTGACAAAACACCTGACCCCCCGGAATGTGCGAAGTGAACGCCTCGCCTTTCAGCTGCCCGATCGCACCCGCGAAGTTGCGCAATTCGTTAGTCGGCCCCAGGATGTTCCAGACGTGCGTCTCAGCGGTCGCGGACGTCTCCTCGCCCACCGCCGCCATCACCCGTACTTTGTACTCGTCGCTTGCGAGGAGGTCGGACGCCTTCAGCAGGATGTCGCGCCTAAGCGGAAGCGGGGAGGTCTCCCACGTCGTGAATGCGCGCGCGGCGGCCTCCACGGCAGCCGCGCAGTCCTCCGCGGTTGCTGAGGCGGCGGTGCCGACTACCCTCCCGGTGTTCGGGTTGCGCACTTCGTATGTGGCGCCGCTGCTGGATGCGCGCCATTCGCCATCAATGAAGAGGGGCGTCGAAGGGAGAGCCATGATTGTGGGTGAGACGGGGTCGCTTCCATGGCGCGACGATCCCTCTTTATACCGCGGGGCATGTGAAGTCGCGACCTTCCTGATTTGTTCTTGGCCCCGTACGGCAAGCCGATCTCAACTGCAGACGGTATTCAAGCCGACACTAGCCGGGACCTCCGCAATTATCGCGGACTGCGTCATCCGTCTGACGGGTTCACGACGGTGTGCTGTGCGCATAGTGATCATGCATGAGATCGTATCAACATCGCTCTGGCCGCTCGACATACCTCGGAGACATGAGGCCGATGTAGGCCTAGTTTAAGCCCCGAGCTAGTTTCCCAAGGGCTCCTCGAGAGTGTTCACCTGACACTGCATGGTCGTGCACGGGAAGCACACTCGTGTGAGCTCAACGTGGCTTTGATACTCCCATCCCACGCGGATACTGTCATCTTCGATGATATTGAGGATGCTTACTGTGCTAGACAGCTTCGGGTGCCTTGAGGCGGCGAACAACATTGAATGAAGAGATCGACCTGTAGAGTCACGGGCCATCATATACCGAGATCATCTAGCCACTGCTCGATCTTGACAACCCCGTCCTGCCCAACGATTGCTGCTTCATCTTGGACCACAATCTTGTCCACTGCGGGGTCCTGCCACAACCTATTTCCCTCTGCCAGCTGAGCCGTCTCTGCCTCTGTGCACATGACGGCACACGGGAACCGCGCCTCGAAGTCAAATTCCGGCAAGGGCGTGGGCAGGAGCGACGGTGGTGCCGCGGCATTCGATGACGGCGGGGAGATGAGTAACAATCCGGTGGCGGGGTGCGAGGATATGTAGGTCTGTGCAATGAGTGTGCCGCCGGCGCGGGAAACGATAACTGGCGCGAAGGGTATGGCGAGTAGACGAATGTGCGACGCCAGCTCTGCAAGACGCGCTGAGACGCGACGTTGACAGATATCTCGCGAATGAGAACACTCACCAGACTCGTACTTGCTCATGAGAGCCTCCGATGTGGCTGCACCTTCAGGCTTTCCGAGGTCGATCTCGAGGCACGTATATCCGCGTTCCGCGTACCACGATGCGAACGCGCTCATCCTGCGTGTACCCCAGCTCAATGTTCGCGTCTGGGACCTTGAATAGCGTGTGGAACTGACCCAGTCCGTGAGTTTGCATCCCAGCTACTCGAAGAAGCGAACACTAGCGGCGTAGGGACCTCGCGGGGGGCAGAAGATGGCGGAGTCCGGAGCAAGTAGGCCGTCGACGAGGAGTGTCGTGCAGGATTCATGAATAGTCCACCGAGGCTGAACGCGGCGACAACATGAGGACGAGCCCGAATGCCGAGGGCCCTGAAAGTCTGAGAGAACATGTTTGCTGAGTTCTAGTTCAAGTCATCTGGTCCCAAAGTGCAGAAAGTGGAAGTCGTCGTCGAGCCTGGAGGTGATGGTGGGCGGAAACAAGCTGCGGGCGCTTCCGGACGGTAGGCCAAATCACTATTTCCACCCAGAACCTGAGGCACAAGTTGTTTTCATTCCTCTGGTGACTGTACAATTGTGTTTTATGATACACGAAGGTATACAGTGATGATCACAGTTCCAGTGTCAACGCCGATTTCGACTCTGTCCACTCGCGCCTTGTGGGCCAGCCGCGGCGCCTTTCCGCATTTCCTCCTCATCCAACCCCGCCTCCGCCAGAATTCGCTCAACCTCCGCAAGAACAGGCTTGTATTCAGCTACGGAAAACACGCATGAGAATTTGCAGTGAGATAATTTCGATGAGGGACACAGACCGTATCGCTCCTCCGCCAGTGAGAAGCCATCTCGGCGAAGCTGCTTTCCGCGGCTATCGCTGCTGGTAGTTCCGTACGCTTTCTGCGCCCAGTACTCCCCTAGAATGTGTGCGATGAATAGAGACGATACAGTGAGTAAAGCGGGGCAACATACGAGATCGAGCATAGAACATCGCGAGAGTCTCTCCAGGCAGCGGTGTGCTGACCACGTCCTCAGGGGACCGTGTCGAGTCCTTCGCGACGCCCATGAATGCAGCCGCTTGTACGCGGAGGGAGTCCTGAACGCGTGCCGGTAAGGCCTGGATCATGGAGGTCAAGTCGGACTGGACCAACCTTCTCTTCCTCGATGGTCTCGAGCACGTCCACCGCCTTCTCCTCGTCCTCACCGACGACTGTGACGCTCTCCGTCTCATCACGATCGTTGACCGTTTCATCGTCATCGTCGTCATCGTCGTCCTCATCATCCTCATCGCTCGAGCTCTCCTCGTCGCCCTCTGCGATAGTGATCTCTGACGCCTTCAAACAGGTGTAGCGGTCCAGCTTGTCGAGCTGCAGCGAGTAGAAGTCGTCCAGCGTGTATTCCCGCGGGCCCTTCTCAAATATGCCGCCGTAACTGCGAAAGCATGATATTAGTACTGTTGACCCGCACGAACTGAGTGACGGAGGGCGTACATGTACAGCGTATTTCGAAGGACTGCGAGCATCGCGTTGTAGCGTGGCCTAGGTGCAGTCAATGTGGGGTCGTCGGGATCGACCTCAGAGTCGTCTTGTGGTATGCCTGCTATTGCCGTCATTTCCTGTGGAGGCTTTTTCGCGGGTTTCTTGCTCTCCTTCGTACTAAGCGTCAGCGTCCTTGTGAGCGCATGTAGCGTGATATCCTTACCTGGTCGTCTTCTTCACTAGGCTCCTCATATTGCTCTTCATCGTCCTCCCGAAGGTCATGGCGGAGAGGCTGTACGGGTGCCTTCTTCTTCTGCGGGTTGACTTTCTTCTTCGGCCGCTTGAGGTGCATGGACACCCACCTCCCGTTTCCCGAGATCTGGTATCCATTCCTACAGAAAGGTAAGCTTCCCTCTTGTCTGACAGAGCCGCGAAACATAGCCATACAGGTCGTTGTGGAATACGCTATCCATCGTCTCCTCGCTTGTGTCCTCGTCCGTGACGCCTCCAAAGAGGACACCCATGGTCTTCGCCGACCACAGAGCCATCGTGCATCCCGATCGCAAGGACGGAGCGTACGCCGTGGAGGGTCTCTTCCGCTTTTCCCATTTGAGTACCAACGGATCAGCAGAGGACCTGCCCGTCGTAGGCGTTTCGGAACTGAGCGTCATTCTACGACGTGGTGAGTTAAAGGCCATAACGCGCCGGTGGAGGTTTGGGATGCACGTACCGAAGGAACCAAGTGTCGTCGAGCATAACACCGACGGGTCGCTGACCCTTTACGTACTCCTTGCAGTATCCACCTGCATTACACGCGAGACGCAGATGAGCAGGGCGTAGGAAGGATATAGGCACATGTATGCTCACCGTGCAAAAGAATGCCATCTGGTGTCGGCAAGAACGAGAACCCACTCCGTGGTCTGTGACCGACGACGATTAACTTCCCTGAGTCGTAACAACTCCATGCCAAGCTTACTCACGATGGCCGCCTTTCAGTGTCCTTGAACTCCGCCTGCTTCCACTTGTATTCTTGGGTGTCGAAGAGCCACAAGTCGCTCAGGTAATTCGCTATGATTTACAATTAGATGTCACGCGATATCCGAAAGCGTGGTATACTGACTTTTGATTCCGGGGTCATAGAACCCGCCGAATAGCACGATGTAGTGCTTCCACATGGCCATTCTGCCACTGCACATTGAGTTTCCGGGGATCATAGACAGGATAAACGTATGCTTCAAAGGCGCTTACCGATGACCCGAACGCGCAGATGGTCGAACCTTCGTTTCGATGCGCTCCCACGTATGCGTCGAGATGTCGAAACACCAAAAGTCGCGATAGTGGTGGAATGAGTTCTGATATAATGAGGAGAACTCTCCTCCTGTGTGTATAGAGGGGGGACTCGTCAGTACCGTACTGAACAAGTAAAGCACGAGGTTCTCACCGAAAAGATAAAGCTTCCCGCCGCCTGCGGGAGTGGCTACAACGGCGTGGGCAGAACGCGGACCAGGACATGTTGGGGAAACAAACTTGCGCCATTCGTTCTGATTCAGCACTACCGTAAGAGAGCGTCATGGATGTTGAACACGGAGAATACACATACCTTCTCCGGCGAGTAGCGGTATACATCCCCATAGAAGTGCTATTTGGCTTATAAGTTACAGAACGGAGCGCGCCTTGAGTAGAGAACTTACAGCCTTCCCATCTTCACTAAAGAACTCTCCTCCGATACACCACAGGTGGTTTCCGTTCGGGCATGGGGTGAGGGTTGCGTTCGCGCGCCGACTCGGTGGTCCCTCCACAAGCTCCTCGGTGACCTTGTGTGCTTCCTCCCACTCCCGTTGGATCTACTGGACCAGAGTTCATGTTAGCCTGGACTACAACGCGATCAGAAAGCAGAGGGATCACCTTGTCAAGGATGCTCTCGAGATCCTGATCGTCGTCGTCAAACTCGTCCTTCGTCTTGACGGCCTTCTTCTTCTCCTTCCGCTCGATTTTTTGGGCAGCCTTTGCCTTCTTCGATGCTTTCGCAGAGACCTTGGTTGGCTCCTTCCCGCTCTTCTTCTTTGCCATAGAGCGAGCAGATCAAGGATATCCGACGAGACGCGTGGCCCGTGCCAGTGAGCGCGAATGTGCCGGGGAAGCGAATTTGGAGCAGACTGAGATGGATCTAGGCTCAAGTTACACTCCGTAGATTTTTAGGAGTCACTTCGGAGTACAAAACAACAGAAACGCCCCATCCGCAAGACGAGGGAGTCGAGATGAAGGCGGAGTCCAGGTTCATGCATCCCGATCGCGCGCGATCTAATCTCTGATCCGAGCGGAACATACACACGGGCGCTCCGACACTACGTTGCTTTACGCGCGCCGGGACCGAAGCTCCAGCAGAGAGGTGCGCACGTCTACCAAGTAACCGTACATGCATGGTCGTTTATACGAATAGGCTTCTCTTCCCACTGAATGATTACCAAGGTACCTCCTCCCCGGAGTGACGGAAGAACTTCCCGGAATCCCCGAGGGTGAGCGACTTGATGACCTTTAGGACGCCCGCAACGCCTACAGATACCTCCAGCTTTGCGTTCTCGCCACCTCCATCTATATCAAGTACGATGTTAAAACGCGTGTCGCTGAAAGAAAGCAGGCCGCGACTCGACGGCTCACCAGTCTTGAGGTGTCCGGGGCACATGGATATAACAGTGAGGTCCGGTCGATCCCGGCATTGCTTGTACGTCTAAAGAGTGTTCAGTCAAGACCATCAACGAAACGCTGCACAAGAAGTGGAAACCACTGCGCGTACCAACATGTTGAGTGCAGCCTTGGAGATGGAGTACGATGCGTACAGCTCGCCCAGCTCGCTACCCATGCTCCCGAGTGTGCTCGAAACGTTCACAATCGTCTTCGCGGTGCTCTTCTCCACTAGCGGGAGGTAGGCCTGGGCGACGTGTGCGGAGCCGACGACGTTAGTCTTGAAGACGCGCACCATGTTGTCGAGTTCCATAGTGAACGCTCTGTCGTAACCTCCAGGGTTCTGTCCGGACGTTAGAACGAGAAGAACGTGCGCCTTCGTAGAACACTCACAAATCCAGCGTTATTGATGAGGTAGTCTACCCCTCTGTTCCCGAGAATCGTTGCTACTTCGACGGCGGAAGCCTGGACGGACTGACGGTCGTCGGTATCCAAAGCAACGATGTGCATCGCGCCCTTGGTCGAGGTGCCAAGCGCCTTTAGAGCGTTTGTAGAAGGGGGACTGCGACAGGTGGCTATGATGGTGTTGTTCGGTGACGCCGAGAGCTGTCTGACGATCTCGAGACCGATGCCGCGACTAGCACTAAGAGCGAGCAGTAAGTAAAGGCCAACTGTACAGGTAGGGAGAACGCTTACCCGGTAATAAGCCAAACTCGTTGGGTGTCGGTCATCTTATCGGCGAACAAGTTGCTGATGTCGAGGGTTTCTTGAAGCCGTGGCGGCTGACTTCCTCAAACGTCGGTGTGTTCTTTATACTAGGACCGCGAGGGCGTCTCGGAGTCGGAGTCGACACCCCTGTAATACACCAGAAAATGCGACGAGGTAGGTTTGATATCAAGCTGCATATCCGGTACTAGAGCGCAACACTGGCAAGGTGTGTATACGCTATAGCCTACAGGCAGCGCAATTTCAAAGCGGATATAGCAGAGACTCTGGCGCTTGTGCAGGACTCGTCACGTACCAGAAAAAGGATCCTAGCTCCGTGCGTAGACAGGGTATCATCGACGTATCATCGAAAGACGTCATATCCTGTGCATTTTCGCAAGGGACTCGGGAAGAGTCTTTGCGTTGACCGATGCAGACCGGATCGCGTTGTCCCGGAGGTCCGTACGGCGTGCCGATGGGCGATGATAATTATGACGCGGAGAGTTTGAGGAAGGGATATCGAACAGAGTGTATTGCCCGATATGCCCTATCACATCGGACGACTTGAGCTCGTGGGTGATTGGATGGTTCTAGACCTCATTGCCGTGAGCATATATGAGGTGACTCTCCAAAATACGCGTGCAAGGGGAGAAGACTGACCCGTAGAACGTCCATCGACGTATTCAAGAATAACGCTCGAAAAGAGAGAAACGGGCCAGAATCAAGCGACGGTTATCCAGAGGCCCCGTGCCCTCGCTGTAACGGAGGACTGATTTAGGGGTCGGGAGTAGGTGGATGTAGGGCCGCGCGGGCAACGGTCTCCTGCGCGGAGTACTCGCCAAGTCGAATAGGATGTGCAATATCCATGGCAGTCATCGGAATGCTGTGGAATACAGGCATGGTGCCCCATGTCCTGAAGACTGGTTTTGCATTACCGGACTGGAAGGTGCTCGAATCCTGAGCGCTGAAGGATGGAAGAGACCGGATGAGGGTAGGAAGAGAGAAGCGGCGCCTCAACGTTAAGCGCGCTACGATCCGCACCGCTGCGGTACTATACGCGCGCGAGGTTGCGATTGACTCTATTGCAGGCGAGGTATCGAGCGTGCAAATAACAGTAAGACATGCATGCGAGACAGTTCATTTCGTAGCCAAACGTAGGGCGTAGATCGTATGCCAGTCGTGACGTAGCAGACAGGAGGATGCGACAAATACGCCAGCCTTAAAACCGGAGATATTACTATATACCACCCCGAGAGGAGGGGGCGACGTGCCGGGAAAGAGATGGTGTATGGCTGACGTTCAGCGCCCAGCGACTAACTCGCGGGCAAGAGGGCAAGGCGGAACCGGGGACGAGACGAGACATGGGGGGTATGAATGTACTGGACGATGATGATGAGCGAGCACACGGCGAGAGTCCAACTACTCCGACTTGCGCGGACGACCTAGCATCGTGCGCGCACCGCGAGACAGGGTTCGGGGGGCAGACACGGGCCTATGCCGCGCGTCCGCGAGAGACGAGGTCCGACCAGCAGCCTGACACGGGCAAAGGATCACCGGAGGGACATCTTCGACGCACGCGAGTTAAGCGCGAGCGGCGCCCTCTCCCTCTCCCTCTGCTTCCGCTCCGGCACCTTCATCTGCGCCGGGGCAGGTACTCGCGTCGGGGCTGGAGCAGGCGCCGGGGCGGGGGCCGGCGCCGGCGCGTCCTCGCCCTTGCTGGTGTTCGCGTTCGCGTTCGCGCTGGCGGTGTGGATCGAGATGAGCACCTCCTTGATGTACTTGACCTTGTCCACGAGGCGCTGCTGGAACTTCGCGGTGTCGGGGTCTGCGGGTGCGGGGCGGAGCATCTGCGCCATGATCTGCGACAGCGTGAAGCGCGTCAGGCAGTAGTTCTTGTCGATGTGCGTCACGAGCAGGCCCTGGTTCGACACGATCACCTTCGTGTGGTCGTAGAAGTTGAACTGCGCGCGCGCGCGCCACGTCAGCATGCGCCTCACGACGAGAGGAGCAGCGGCAGACGTACCTGGAGAACGTCGTGGCTGAGCTTGAAGACGATGACGTGCTTCATGCGGAGGTACTTCTGCACGAAGTCCATGCCCTTCGTACGCTCCGTGTCCTCGAACGTCCAGTCGTACTCGCCGTACAGCCGGTCCATGATGTACTTTTCGAAGTGCTTGAGCAGGTACATCTTGCTCTTCAGCTCTTCGGGGTACTCTACTATCGTGTAGTTCTTCCGAACGTAGACCGCGCCCTGGTTCCGCGCCGACACGAAGTCGAAGTGGCTAGATGGAACATTAGTACAACGTTCCTTAGACAAATAGGCGAGGCACTTACTGCTTGTCGGCAGACAACACAATAGTCGTGCTGTCGTTGAAGTGGACACCGACGGAGCCGTCCGTGAGCGCGTATCCCATCCCATACTTGTTGCAGTAGTCCACCCAGGACGAGATGAACACCTTGGGGTCCGGAAGATCGACGTCATCCCTAGGATCGCGGAACAGCTTGCCAGCCGCCTGAGCCTCGAACGCCTCGGTCAGCGTCTGTGCGGCAACGTCGAAGCTGTTCGTACGAAGCGGCAATCCCGCAGGGAGCGGCGACTCGATCCGTTCACGCTCGCGCTCGCGCTCTTCCCGGGCCAAGTCGCGCTCCTGCTCCTTCTCCCGCTGCCGCTCGCGCTCCTTGATCGTCCGCGCAGCGTCCCGCGTCCGCGCAGGAGGCATGTTCTCCTGCTCCTGGTCGTCCCCGCCGAAGATGGAGCCGGGCGCGCTGCCCGGCCCGGGCACCATCTGCGCGACGATCCGCGCCTTCTGGCTCTCGAGCTCCTTCTTCCGCAGCTCCTCTACACGCGCGCCGTACTCGTCTTCCTGTTCCTCCGCGATGCCGTGCAGGCCCATGCGACCAGGCCGTCCAGGCGACTTGACGGAATCCTTCGCGGCCTGCAGCTTGCGCAAGAGCGGCTGCTCCCCACGCGCGCCCACAGGCGCAGGCTGCGCGACGATGAGCGGCTGCCGGGCGGAGCTGAGAAGCGCGGAGATCGGGCTCCCGGGCTGGACGGCCTTCTGGAACTCCTTCTCTTGCTGCGCGAGGCTCGAGGTGGCACTGCGAGCCGCCTTTGCGGGGTTGGTGCTGACGTTCGAGGAAGGAGCGCTCGGCAACGCGATGCTTGACGACTGGTCATCGTCGAGCAGCGCGTAGCGACGTAGCCGCGCGAGGTTGTTCTCGGACGTCGTCCGTGCGATGTGGCGGAAGTCCGGCGGCGCGTCGTGTGCGGACGTGGGGATGTAACCAGGGATGGTACCGGTGGTGAACCAAGGATGGTCGACAATCTCGTGCAACGTCGGGCGCTGCTGAGGATCAGGTGTAAGGATCTGCTGAATAAGTTCTTGCACGAGTTTGGTGACCGCCCTATCTGCGGGGAACTCGTACTCGTTGTCACGGATACGCCTGGTTTGTACGTAAGGACGTAGTCAACATTGGGAAGCGCTGTGCGGACTCACTTGTAGATAGCCTTGACGTCCTTGGTTTGGAAGGGTGGGCGGCCCACTACTAGGGTATAGAGGATGACACCAATGGACCAGGTGTCAACCTCGAAGCTGTGACCATTCGCAGTGTCAAACAACACTTCGGGCGCAATGTAGTTCGGGGTGCCACAGATAGTCTTCTTACGCTCGCCCGGCTGCTCGATGAGAGCGGCAAGACCGAAGTCGCCAACCTTAACGTTCATATTCCGGTCGAGGAAAATGTTGCCCAGCTTCAAGTCGCGATGGATGACTTGGTGCGTGTGCATATAGTGACACGCGCCGATAAGTTGGACCATGAAGAAGCGCGCCTCTGGTTCGGTAAAGCGTTTCCGCCGGCGGAGCATGTCCATCAGAGAGCCGTTATGGCAGAGTTCGAGGGTCATGTAGACGTTCTCCTCATCTTCGAAACAGTCCTGAAAGCGGACGATGTTCGGGTGGTCAAGCGACTTGTGAATCTTGATTTCTGCGTAGAGCTATCGGGGTCTTAGTGATGCGCGCGGTTGCCCAAACGGAAGACTCACTTTCGTCTTGGCTTTCTTCGTTTTGAGAGAAGACTTGGTAACTACCTTACACGCGGACCTCTGTCCGCGTCCGTCTTGAATTTCGTATACACGAGCGAACCCACCCTGAAGGTTGTATGTTAGCCATTATATCCAACGAAGTAGCCGGCGCGACTAGCCAGTTTATGAGTGACAGCAACGTTGATGTTAGCCTCATGAGGCGGTAGAGTAGAGCTAGCACTCCGGATGACTGCCTATTGGATGCCAGGCAATACTGCCTTGCCGTCCATTCCGGTAAAAATGGAGAGCAATATCAACCCAACGTATGTTCGTCGACAAGCACGATGGTACGGGACAACAGGCAATGGTTGCAATTCGAACTTAAGCGAAGCGCCAAATTTGCCATGTAGCGCCCCAACCTCTCTCAGCGAGGTATCTCCAGGGTGGGCCGGACATTGCGGAGCAAAGCGGAGACTGGAGAATTGTATGAAGATGACGTACCTCGCCGAGCAACCCAACACGCATGAACTCGAGCGAACGAGTCCTGTCGATGATGATCTTCGGTGGCGAGGGCGGGGTGACCTTCGCGTTCTGCCTAGGCAAAGGAGGTTCGGAGGGCTGCTTCATGGGTTGCACCTGTGGCTTAGGAGGAGTGCCGGGGGCCGGAGGCATGTGTTGGCGGGGGTGGTTGACGGCGTAGTGGTTCGCGGTGGTGGCAAGGGGGTGTCTGCGAGGAGGGGGCGGCATGGTTGTATAGAGGTTTGAGGACATCGTGTAGGCCTAACACCGTTGATGTCTGTCGTCGTTGTTCTTGCCGGTCTTGCGGTCGTTGGCGGAAGGCAGAAAGTCAGAGAGATCGCCCCAGCCAAAGGCGTGGTTCGCGCATGTCTGCCACCTTAGGTAAGCCCACGTGGATGTTCGGTTTCGCGTACCGCGTAGCATCATGTGACCGTGTCCCCCTAGACGCTTCCGCTTGCGCTCCGAGTCCCCTCAGCCACTGTGGTCAACTCTTCGTCTTTAGCTATCTTTCCTCTTCGCAGAAGGCCTGCGATGCGATGAGATATGTACGCTAGACGCATAATTAATGTTTGTGTACAACTTTCAGTTTGAGGCTCCGGGTGCTCTAGGCTCGAGCTTCGCGTTGCCAATCCAGACTGTTTGGGCTTGCACCCCGGGCACAGTCCCCGATGACCGTGACGAATGTCGTGCACTACGATACCGCTCATGGAGCCGACTTACCGGTGGAGTTCTACCCATGACAGCACGGACGCGAAAGATCAGGTCTATGTTCCATCAATTCGCCGAGCACTCACACTGCTCTTGCTATACTGACAGTCAAGGTAGGTGTGGAAAATGAATGGTGGAGGCTCGACTCTGGAGGCCGTCGAGAGATCTATCGAAGGTGACGTAAAGACCGCGTGGTTGAATGGGAGGAGAACGAAAGGAGCGGCAGGTAGAAAGGGAGTAGTGGGCGGACGGAAAGCCGGGTGCACCGTAAGCAAGATACTACGCCGAAACGTTGCTAAACCGCGTAGTCATTCTTCCCGTATGCCTCTAGGACTTCGGCAAGCTTCAGGTATAGGTCCCGGACGGCGCTCAGCTTCCCATTGAACACGCTCTATAATAAAGATTTAGCCCTCTCACCTGGAGGAAGAGGAAGGATGCGTCAGGAAACTCACGGCGACGGCACTGCCCGATGAGGCGTACTCCAAACGCTCCTGTAGCATCTGCATGTCTGCCTTGATCTGGATTTACATTGATAGCCGTGAGATCCAGACTAGTGGAGAACAAATTCGGGGTTGCAAACTCACCACTTGCCAGGTGCGGGAAATGGCGTTGATCTTGTCCGCTAGCGTGCATATCTCCTTGGGGGTATCCTTCAAAGCCTCCTTTCGAAAGACTTTGAGCTTCGCGTGCGCCTGCGCCTTCAAGTCAGCGTATAGCGTCGATTGTGCCTGAATCTTGCTCTTCAAATCTACGTTTAGGCAGATTTGATATAAGAAACGAGGCCGGGGAAGAGCGGGGTGCATACGCACCGGTCGCATTCTGTCTTGCGCTGATGAACCCCTGCCCCGCCGCCTTTGCCTTCTTTGCGGGTTCCTGTTCGATAGGCAGTGTCAACAGCGCCCAAGTGAGACTGTAGCCATAAGCTCCGCAACTAACCATGACGGCGTAATAAGCTGCGGGACTCAGCGTGATGAAGGTCAGAGCCACAGCCGTGACACCAGCAGCGGCATAAGCCAGACAGACTGCCCCCATGCCATACATCTGCAGCATTTATATGTTGAGACGCGACGCTGAAGCGATCATTGGGCAAGTGAAATTTGACCTTCATGGTGATCCTGTAAAACACGTCGTTGAGAAAGTGCACAACCGTGGCAAGATCACGACGTACATCATGAGATCCTCCTTCAACTGTGCGAGCTCCCGCCGTGCTTTCTTCGGTGCAACCTGAAGAGCTGACTCTGCCCGCTTGAGCGCATCGTCCACAATCGCTGCGAAGAGGTGCAAGTCCTCCGAAAGCGTCTTGAAATTGCGTTCCACGGCGTAGGCATTCTCGGACTCAGTCGCGACCTTCTGCACGAGCAACGCTTTCAGCTTGACTGCTCGGACCGAGCGTACAATAGCGAGAGATCATACACTCATGAGCTGAGCTAACTCTGCCTGTATCTCGGAGATCTCGCACGTGAATTCGGACAGCACCGTCGTGGTGTATTCTGGAAGGGCACGCGGTCAGCCTCTCACATCATGGCGTATACATAAATACTAACGCACGGGTTAAGACGCTAGAGGCCTTGATCGCATTGGCACGGCTCGCGTTCACGAGCTCCTTAAATTTCTAAACACGAGAGAAGTGAGATTAACGAAAGGCAGGGACAAGACTTTTTCCTGAAAGTACTACCTCCTTATGGCCAATCCACTGAGGCTGCAGCGGAGGCAAGACGTTGCCGTTCACATCTAGGAACTTCTGTGCGTCGAAAATGTGCAGCTTCCCGCTGATGGCCTGAAAGTCCTTGTCAATGTTACAGATTTCGATACTGAGCTTCTGGAAATCCTTCAAGGCCTCGGTCTTTAGGCTGTTCGACAGCGAAGGGTCTTCGAATACGTTTGCGACCACTTCGTGGGATGCCTGCTCGTCCAGCGTGACGCCCAACGTGTACCGGGTTGACGTTTTCGAGGGAAGAACGGCTGTTTGAGACATATTGACGAGGTGGTGGTTACTGAAGGTAGAGCGAGTTTAGAAAGAAGTGGGATGGAAACGATTCTGGGAGAGATTGTGCCAGATGTTAGCTACCTGATATATACTACCGACTCGGGTGCCTGTACGCTTATGTTGGCTGCCAGGGAGGACCCGATGGTTTAGTACGCCACATTCTCCAATGCTATGCCTGGGGTCGCGTACTCCGATGTCGCGTTTGCTTCCCGATTGCAGTTTCATGTTGAGGGCCTGGTGCTGTGCGCTGCTTAGTAGATCAGTCCCTAAACAACTGACACACTGGATCAGTTCACCGCTTGTCAAGAGAGTTGGTGGCTGACCTACAGAACTGTAAATTGTGACTCTGTGGAGGTCTACCTGAGGCTATGAGCTTCAATACGAAATCGCCGGTTTGGATGGGCCATGGAGACACCTGGTTTATGACCGGCATGCAATGTATCCCCGTCCTCGCTAAATGGATTGACTCGGATAAAGACAGCGAAGATTCACAGGTGCTTTGTTAACATGAGTGTACGTAGGTGAAAACGAACCGTAAGTTCACCCAGGCACCGGCGTCTGCGTCACCAGGAAGCGATCGAGCGCCAGACCAGCGGCTGTGAGCGCGGCTACTTACGCTCACTCGGCTTCAGGTTTTTGCCACCACCACCGTTGCGACGATGCAGTTGGACCCCTGCCTCTGTTCTCTTCTCAGAGATGTGCACGCGCTCATTTGATCCTCGCAATATTCTGAAGGGTATGTCTGTGCCGCGCACTTGGAGCACCCACGGTGGAAGTGTTTGAATCAAATCTAAACTGTAAAGCAGGCTTGGACACCAGTGGACGTTCGGTCGCAATCGAGGACGAATACATCAGTACCTGTGCAGTATCTCAAGGGCCCGCCGCAACGCAGGTGCAACCAGTCCAAACGCTGGAAACTGACACGGCGGTCACCGCTGTCCTGTCAGTGGTGGCCGACGTGTGGTTAGATGTACTTTGAGTGTACGGTGAGCGAGAGCCCGATGCTCCAACAGGCAACCACTGACAGAACTAATGGCAACAGATTTGGAGCTTGTACGACATCGCCGAATAGCCCTGTGGTACTGAGGCCCTGTGGCCGCCGCCGCCGCCACCGCCGCCCTATGGCACACTGGCATTGCGGAGACATATGCGCAGGTATGGCGAAAGTCTAGCGCACTTACATTACTCCGGTTGCTATACCTCACAGTGGCACAGAGAGTATCTGTCTGCAGTAGTGGACAGGATGTCAGTTGATGCTGTACTAGATGAACTCACGACCAGCGCGCGTGCCGCTACCAGATACCCTACTTTATATATCGTCCAGTTCGAATACCCTTCTCAAAGTTCCCCATGGCACCCTCAAACACTCAGATACTTGTCTCTGATCTTGCGGAGGACCTTCGCTCGCTGATCGTTACAGAGAAACATCTACAAACCACTTTATCTGAGCTAGTCATCGGCATGGCACGCATCCACACACTTGCCATTATCGAGAGAAAGGACTCAACCGAATGGGCCGTATTGAGAAGCGTACGAGATGGATCCTATCACTCGGAGTATGCCGTAACTGACACCTTCTTTCATTTTCCGTAGAAATTACAAACCGTCCTAGAACGTCCTAGATACTCCGCCGCAAAGCTCGCCACAGGGATTCAAGGTGTGTAACTCATACCGGTAATAGTACATTGGCATTTTTTATCAGTTGCGCTGACCACCGTCTTCGCTTCGCCGCGTAAGCCTATCTCGCTTTACAGAAAGAAGTGCCGAAGGAAGAAGTGGACGTCTTACTTGTTGAGCTCTATTCCTTGAGCGCGGTACGTGTCATATCGTATGCGATCTGAGTTTTGTCATCTTACGCACGAAAAATGTGCCACCCAGAACATAGCACGATACGAGTTCAATGAGCATATCGCGCTGGAGGACCTGATCGCCCGCGCCAAACATCTGAAACACGAACAACGGCAGGCGATCGAGGCTCAGCGAACAGTGTCAGCACGCGAAGTGGATGAGGCTTACAGCAAACTGGAGTCCTATGAGAAGCAACTGGAAGAGTATGTGCATGTTTCCATATAGGTCCTTCATACTGATGCGACTTGGTCGACCGAAAGGTTACAAGACGAGGTATGTGTTGGTCCCGATACCGGTGGCTATCTGTGCTTACGTTTTCGCAGCATATGGTCTTAAGCTGCGCTGTACTGAAAGAGAGCGAGAGCAGGTGGAGATCCTACCTCTCAATTTTTCGCACTCCGGCGCCAGTGAGCCGCGCAGCGAGTCCGCCGGCCTCGGATGAGGAAGAGGAAGACCGCAGGCAGAGTCGCACAGAACGCGCACTGGTTACCCAAGAGCAAATATCCGAATACGTGGACGAGAGCCGAGCGCTTGAGGAGCAGATCCAGCGTGAGTGTTCCCCATCGCTTGCTCATAGAGGTACTGGGCCACAGTGGTGAAGAACGCACTGTCAGATGCGCGGACCTTATACGCGAAGAGGCAAGACTCTCTGGACATCTTCAAGCGCGCGGATTGGGAGCCGACACGCGACGCCATGCATGCCGTGCTCGTGCACTTGACGAAGTATCGCGAGCAGCTGTGCGTCTTTGTCCAACTCCGGGATCAGGTGCGCTCGTCGCTCAGCGACTAAGAATCTGCTTCTAATGAGAATGGTCTGCTACGTGCTTTCAGCTGTTACTCGAGGTCGGCATCTACAAACGGGCATTTGAAAGCGAGAAGGCTTTCCCAACACCGGTGTGTTCTTTTGCTTCGACACCCTATATGTGGCTCATGAACCCTGATTGACCCACCTTTATATAGGCTAGACAAGCAGCGCTCAGAGATACGCAGCAGCGTGTCGAGTCGACTGCTTTCACATGGAAAGGCTTATCGGAGATACTCGTTAACGAGTATGTCAAAGGCGGCGATCAGTAGCAGTTTCCAGTTACAATGGCTTGACCACCGGATCGTATGGCTGTTTCCGAGCCTTTATACACGTCTCTTGTAGAACGCTATAGGAAATGAATCATGCGCGAACGCTACGCTTGTATTTCAGGATGAGGTTTCGACAGTGCTACTACGAGCTGCAATTGCGGCTGATGATCTACGGCTCTCACCGTCAGTCGTAGGGTTCTGACCTGCCCTTCTTCATCGTGTACATCGAAAACAGACCACGCCATGCCCCCCGGGATTGGAACCGCCCATGCCCCCGGCCTGCGGTTCACATACTCCAAGTCCACAAATGCGACCGGGAGCAGCGGCGAGTCGCGGTCCATGACCTCCTCACACGCGAGCTCGCTCACCTGGTTCCCCACGCGGAACTCGACCGCGTCCGAGCCGCGCTGCATGCACTGCATGACGCGCACCGTGAGGCGTGCGCACCCCCGCGTCCGCGTTGCGCGAAGGAACGTGAACGCGTGCACACGGTAGAGGGGGTTGTCCGCGCGCTGCGGCGCGCCGAGCTGGTAGCCCTGCGCGGCCAGCGCCGCGACGCAGCGCGACTGCAGCACGACCCTCGCGATCTTCATTTGTTTCGGGATGAAGCGCGGCCCGAGGAGCGCCAGCGCGCGCAGCGGGCTTCGTCGGACGCGCAGTTCCGCAACGACGATGTGCGAGCGTACACGGGCGAGCGCGCGCGGGGAGACGGACCAGGTGCGGTACGGCCGTGTGCAGGTCGTGCAGGCGTCCACGCGCGTGCCCACGAGGAAGACCTCCCTCGCGTCCTCCTTGAAGGCGTTCGTTGGGACACAGAGGGGTAGGGCGATGAGGTGCCCTGCCGCGTCTTGGCAGCGAAGCAGCGCGAGGTAGACGTGCTGGTAATGGGTCTCGCATTCGCAGAGCAGGGCCCACGTTGGGTCCGATTGAATCCGCGCATTTTGCACCGGGAGGAGGACGTCTGCGGGTATAATGGGGAACTGAGTGCGCACACCATAGGAGGTGATCGTATACTCCGGTAAGGGAAGATCGTCTAGAATGTCCAGGCGCGTACTGAATTGCTTGTGGGACATAGGTGACGTCGTGCCCGCAGTATCCTCGAAGTCATTCGGGGAGCGCGCAAGGAGGCTGTGTGCCTGCGTCCAGAGGAGGCCGTCGTCGTCCGAGTTGCAAAGGGCCTTATTTTGAAGATGAAGAACCGGCGGGCGGCTGAGAGGGCGGGGAGGTGGGTACCTGCGTCCCCAGGCAAAGATGCTTTGGTCAGGGATAACCTTCAAGCTTTCCTCTTGCAACCGAATGAACGCGTTCCGACCTTCCCCGTAGATCGGCGCCATGTGCACGCCGAAGATTCCCATGAGTGAATACGCCTCGTCCTCCACCCTGGTCGTCTCCCGCCCGGAAGCCCACCACATCCGGCGCGCGACGCTGACGGTACTGAGCGAAGCCTTGTGGGTAAGCACCTCATAGTTTACGCCTGTCACTTGCTCGAGTAGGCGGGCGAAGTTCGACTTCATGCCTAGGACAACCCAGCCACGCGAGAGGAAGACGATAGAACGGGGCGCGATGAGCTCCTGGAGCGTCCATCCTCGGCGGTGCCAGCGCGATGCGCGGAACTGCGAGTCGGACTCCTGGACGTCGTTGTCGTCGTCCACGTCCTGGAGATACACGTAGCACACGTCCGCGCGGCGGTACCACTCGAACATGGAGTTGATCGCTTCGGTCAGCTCGGCGCTGCTTTGCTGGTCGATGCAACATGCGTCCACCCAAAGCAGCTCGTAGCTATCCTCCAGCGCTACCGCGCACGTATTGCGGATCTTCGCGGAGAGCCCGGGGTGTTCCAGGATCGACGATATGCTGACACTCGGGTCGATAGCGTCGTCGTCGGACGCTCCGACATCGTCGGATTCGAAGGGCCATTGCCTCGAGCGGGCGCGCTGGATAGAGACTTGCAGCTCAATGAGATCGCGATAGGTCTGTTCGCCATTGTTGTTCCAGGTGTGCGAGAGGATGGCGTAGCGAACCTGGCGCGGGTCATCTACCCAGCGAAATTGGCCAGTGCGTGTGTCAAGCAAGCGCATCTCACTGGTAATCACTGGGCATGATAGGCTAGTCAGTGTTGTATCACGCGATTCTGAAGACTATCCTACCCAGGTCAGGTTGTAGTTCCACGCTGCCGCCCGACGTCGGGATGTCTTGACCCTGTGAGAGGGAGGGGGTCGTAGTATGAGGCTCAGAAAATAACCTCGAGCTTCCAGTGCTCTTCTTATCAGCACCAATGGCGCCTTCTTGCAGCACTGGACTCGCGTGTACGACTTCAAGCTGTGCGGACAGAACTCTGACCTTGGCTGTGGTATCATGTAATCTCTTGATCACCGTGGGACGTGTACTCGTCGATACCCTTTTCGCGTTGTCCTGTGGTCAACGAGACAGCCCTACTGCGCATCACAAGAAATACTGAGAGAGAATCCTTCAATTTAATCGCCACATGATCGTCGTTTTCGTAATCCCGGATTGCAGCAAGATTAGAGGAAGAGCAGATGACGGGGGTGTCTGACTGACCGGGCACAGCCTTGGTGAGGGAGCATTCAGATACAAGCTGCGAGCAGATGGATAAATTCGTAGTCTCACCATTAAGAGGCGGTTACAGTGAGCGAAGACGTCAAAGAAGGAGGGGGAGAGGGAAACCGGACACACAGGTTCTCCGGGATTCATTCACACCCGCGCATTATCCCTTCTTCGTCTCACGCCGGCTGGCCTTCCCGTTCTCGTCATCTTTTCTACGACCCGGAGGCTTGCGGCCCTTGTCAGTATCCTCGCGACGGTCCCCCTTCCGCCCCTTCTCCGGCTCCTCCTGCTTGACGATCTTCTGCTTGTCATCCTTCTTGTCGTCTGTCTTTTGGTCTTTGCTGTTATTGCTCCCAGCTGGTTTCGCTTGCGCGTCGGGCTTCTTCTCTGGTTTATTGTGCTTCTTCATCTCCTTGTCGTCCTTAACGGGCTGTTTGCCCTTCATCTGCGTGGCAGCCACACCGGAGCGTCCTTTTTTCGGGGTCCGGTCCGGGTTGGGCGTACGCTTCTGCTCAGCCGGGGAGAGACTCTTCCCGTACGCCTCGAGGAGCTCGGCGAGATCCAAGTACAGCTCCCGCGCGGCCTGCAACTTTGCGCTGAAGCGGCTCTGCATCGCCGACGTCAGCACGCCGAAGCGGGAGACCACATCCGAGTCGGAATACGCACTGTGATCGCCTTCCCCTTCGTCACGAGTTTTAGCTCCTCGTGAAGCATCTGCATGTCTGCCTTGAGCTTGAAAGGCCGGGTTCCGTCAGCTGTGACACGTACACAGATGCGAGCCCCCAGGCTCTAGTGTACGCACCGACTGCCAGATGTTCGCGATGACGTCGATCTTGTTGCCCAGCGTGCGGATCTCCTTCTGCGTTTTACCCAGCGGGCGCTGATACTTATTGAGTAGTTCTTCCTTTGCTATTAGCTCCGCAAGCTCCTCGTTGCACGACTGTATGTCGGCTCTCAACGCTGTCCCCCGGCATATCTCGATGTGAGCAGAAGGGCTGCGAAGGGGAATAAACTGTTTGCGCACCAGTCGCTTCCCGTCTTGCGCGTACGTATTCGCGCCCACTGTTCGCTGCGCCAACGACGGCACCCTGTAAAAATGTTGATCGTCAGCTGCACATGTCTAATGTAAAAGGAGAAAGACGGCGCGGACCACGGCGGCTGCAAGGGCTGCGGGGCTCAAAGTGAAGATGGTGATCGCGACGGACGCGGCGCCGACGGCGAGATGGGCCACACAGGCGACCCCCATACTATGCATCTACACATACAACTTGTTGGGACGCTGTACGGACGGATGTTCGGCGAAGTGTGCGCTTACTTTGGTGGTCACGCTATAGAAAACACGGTCAACGAGAGTTCAGGCGGGATAAGGGGTCAACGTACGTTGCGAGCTTCTTCTCAAGCTGTACAAGACGCGTTCGTGCGTTTTGCAGCGCGACACTGAGGCGCGCACCTGCCCGTTCTAGCGCGTCCTCGATTACCGTAGCGAAGAGGCGGAGGTCTTCTGCCAGCTTTTTGAAGCTGTGCTGCGACTTAAGTGCGGCCCGCTGTTCCGCGTCCACTTCCTGCGCAGACATGAAAAACGTGAGCAATTGGATCTAGCATTATTTGCGCAATGTTCGTGCCTCCATGAATCCCTTCAACTCCTGCTTTACGTCGGGTATCTCATCCAGCTTGAAGTGTGACAACACGGCTTTCCTATACTCTGATTAAGAACGTATCAGTCACGAGCAGGGGCAAAACGCGCGGGACGTACGTCTCATCACGGCGGTAGCTTTCAACGCATTGTGGCGGCTCTGCTCCAAGATATCCTTGAACCGCTAGGGTCAACAAACGTGAGCTAAGTCTACGAAAGTGAGAGCCAAACCACGACATACCTGGTGATGTTTATTCCATTCGCGTTGTAATCGCAGGACCTTGCCGTCCTCGTCCAGGAACTTCTCCTGATCAAACTTATACAGCTCTGAACCTATCCGCTGGAAATCGCCATCGATTTCGCGAACGTGAGCGTTGAGCTGCCGGATCTCTTTGAGGGCTTCGCCCTTGACGTCTTTGCGTAGTGCGTCCTCGAAGCTCCTCGTGACTGCGTCGCGCGTGGTCTTGTCGCGTAACTTCTTTTTCAGGGTTTCCGGGAAGGTTGATTGCGAGGCGACTGTTACAGTCTTCGACATCATGCGGTCTTGGGAGGCTTAAGGTGAGCCTGAGAAACTTGAAGGTGCAAAGGATGGGGGAATCGGGGAGGTGATGGTCTCAGGCTTTGCAAACCCCTCGTCTTCTTTATCACGCACCAGAGAGCTCCGTGGTTCTACGGGATATATACTCTTGTTTACCAGGTCTTCTGATCGAGGGCCGGCCTGGGGAGCACCCTATTAATGACAGCTCGATGCTGTTCGCGGCGCTTCCGGTGGTCAATTCAACGGGCGCACTGCCTCCGACCATACTCATCCTCATCTGTTGCAAACCTCTGACTCACGAGCGACAATCACCGGGCGCACTGTGGGTGGAATAAAAAGCATCCGCCGAGGTTCACCGTGATGCATCGGGAGAGTTGACGTTGACGTCGAAGAGATGAGGCACTAGCGGGATTAGCGCCCTTTGCCTGTGGCGATCTTGTTTGGCTCTATTTGCATATTCCAGCGTTTGCCTATGTAATAGTGCAAGCGCGACCACCCTTGCTCTCCTCTTCAACTGTTCCTCAACTCTGGCTGATCAATGAGTGAGCATTTGGGTCTATATTTTACGGGATTGACGAATGTATCTTCATCCAGATGATCGAAGCGAATATCCTTCACGAGCGTTCCGGTATAGAGCCAGCGTACTTATTCGTAGGTTGTGCAAACGATAAGACACGCAGTCGAGTCAATGCAAATAATATACCGACAAGCACCGCAAGGATTATGAATGATGAACATAAGAGGCAGTGAGATCTGCACCTTCCAGGAGGTCTATCAGAGGAGCGTAGCACAGGTACGCCCGGCGCAGCTGTGGCAGGCTGAGCGCTAGCGCTGAACCTTGGATTAAGTTGAACAGCCTTGACGAAGAACTACCGCCGCCTCGTGCCATCCACCCAGCTCTATTCAACTTCTGGCACCACAGTTCGAAAAAATCTAAATCCCGTAGCGATCCCACGCACTCAGCAGTCTGCTAGCTCGCTGCTCTGTCCATCCGTCCACCATGTCCTCGTCGGAACCGCAGATGCTCATTTCCAGCTGCGCCGAAGCGGTTCGCAAGCTAATATCTACCGAGCGGTACCTCGAGAGTACTATCTCGAGAATAGCTGACGGTATGATCCGTATCGACGCGTTCACGCGTAGAACCGATGCAAGGCAGTGGGTTGAGCTAGGCACGGTACGTGGTCGTTTCTCCCGCACTCGTCAACCGATGTCTGAGCTCACGCAATATGGACATGGACGCCTTCCGAAGGATTACAGGCGTGTAGTCTCAAACTCGGAGCACACCGCCATAAAGCTCGCGGCTGTGATAAAGAGTATGTACGATCAGACCGTGGAACATAAAATGTCGCACTTATAGCGGCTTATCATCTCAGTTTATGTTTCTCTTCAGCAGGATGTCAACGACGAGGACGCCGGCGACATGATTGTCGAGCTCGATACTCTCAAGACGGTGCGTAGTATGCGTTCCGTATCATACGTCGACTTCCTTACTCACATTAAATACGGCATCTCTCTCTAGCGTGTAGCGGGCTACTATTTCGATCAGAATTCTGAACTTGTAGACCTCATAACCCGAGCCGAACGTCTAAAGCAACAGCACGAGCAGGCTGTCGACGCACGACGTGCATCCATGACCCGCAGAGTGCAGGACGCTGGTCGTGAGGTAGACGCTTGCCAGACGCAGTTGCAAGAGTACGTACTCGCAGCCGCCCATCGAGCCATACGAGCACGTTTCTCACAATCAAACTTAGGCTGTATCACAAGGTATTGGCGACGTCTTCGATCGTAGCGACATGAACTCATGTTATTGTAGCACACGATCGCGAGCCAGGCTGTACTCCAGGCGAGCCGATCGAGCATGTCCTCGTATAGACCAAACCTCCGCAGCAATTCACTGCCGCTCCCGCGATCAGATGAAGTGTCGATGCGCCCCAGCGAGGAAAATCAGAGACGGAAGAAGGGTCGTAGCCAGACGTCCCTGAACGCACAAACAGAGATCTTAGCGCATACGCAGAGCAGCCGGGCGCTCGAGAGCCAAATCGAGCGTCAGTGTCTCAAAACCTTCGTTCTCCTCCGCATCGCTGCTGAAGCCGTCCACTCGACCTAGTCGTCCGAGGCGCACTGACAGACTCGCAGGATCGCTCCGCGCGCGCCCAAGCGGTGCTTCACATCCTCGCCCACGCGGACTGGGAGGCTATACGCAGCAGCATGCACTCGGCCATCGTGTACCTACGCAAGCAAAACAAGCGCATGAACGCGCTGATCGACCTACGACAACAGGTGCGGCCCTCTTCCCCACACAACGTGCTTACTGCGGCTCTCGGCTCACTCGCAACCACAGCTCCTGCACGAGATCGGCGCGTACCAGGTGGCGTTCCAGGGCGTAAAGACTTATCCTGGCTCTGTACGTGCTCTCTGTTATATGGCCACGTGCACAAGTAACGAGCAAATTGCGCATTCACAGGCGAGGCGGACTGCGTTGAGAGACATGCAAGAGCGCGTTGCATCGACCGCCCCTGCGTGGAAAGCTGTAGCGACGTTGCTCACGAACGAGTACACCAAGGGCCGGAAGTAACTTGAGACCTTGATCATACAACACTATTCCATCTGAATTTAAGGCTGTACCACGAGCCCAAATCTACGTGAAAGAGGTAATCAAGCCCTACAGCTTACTCTATTGTTTTCTGTTCCGGCTATCTTCCCTATGCGTATAAACGCGGGTTCAATGCACTCGAATGATCCGTTCGAATCACGATATCTGTGGGCAATGTACATATAACCGCGATCCTGAGATATTTAAGTTGCATGATGGTACAAGATACAAGCAATCCACAGCCGCAGATGACGTCGCGGTAGGGGAACAGAATATACAAAACAAAACCTGATGTACAAGGTCGACCCAGCTTCCTCGCTTCGCACCTCAAGTCCGCACGCTATTCCACTACTTGTTACTTCTTCCCCTTCGCCGCGTCCTTCCCGTCCTCCGTCAGGCTCTGCAATCGAATTCCCACCTCACAGTACCGCCGTTTGCCTTGCACGTCACCCCTTCATGCTTTCCGACGACTTCTTCACTATGATGTCTCCCCCTGGTCTTGAAGATAGTCTCCGTGGTTTTGACCGTTGTCTTGACTATCCTATCAATTTCCCCGTCGTCGCAGTCCCCCTGTACCACCCTGTCGACTCGCGCGGTGCCCCGCTTGTCCCGTCCACCACAGTTTCCATCCCCAGTGTTATCGAGTGTCGTTCCGTCCGCCTTCAGATATTCGCAAGGCCGCTTGCTGTCATCCGGCTTCTTCGCCTTGCATGTTGCCCTGCAAATCCGCTGCCAGCAGTTTATCCTCTCGACTCCTGGACCAATCTGCCCGTCGCTCGCGCTCCCATTGGGCTCGCAATGGACCTCCTTCCCGACGTTTTTGGTGATCTTGTTGACCGACCGGGCTCGGCAGGACGGCTTGTCATCCACCCTGACGCTGCGAACACACACCGGCGCAGTGCTGATGACCGGGACACATCCAGTGGGGGCCCGGTTGTTGCACGGGTTTCTGCAAGTTGCACTCCCAGCAGTGTCGTCGATGTCGCACTCTACTGTCTGAGCGCAACCGTGCTCAGCCGGGAGAGTGCCGCGTCCGTATTCCTCGAGAGCTGCGGAGAGGTCTAGGAATAGCTCCCGTGCGGAAGCCACCTTCTTGTGGAACAGGCTCTGCGATAAACGCTTCAGTATGTTATTGACAATGGTCTATAGACTCAGAAACCCACCGTGGGCTCTATGTTGGTCGCTATCTTCAGTTGGCAGTGTAAATTCTCCATATCCGCGGCAAGCTATAGGTCATCATAGTTTCGGTTATGGCCAAGCACATATCATCCGCATACATATACTCACCGATACCCAAATGCTGGAGATGACGTCGACCTTACTCGCTATCGCGCGAACCTCGTTCTGCGTCCCTTTCAGAGAACTCTTGTATGCTTTGAGCCGCGCATCCTTCGCCTCTAGGGCGGCAATCCCGTGTTCACATTGGGCAATTTCGTTCCGGAGAGCTGTACGAAAGCAGGACTCGTAAGAAGGCAAGGAGAATTATTCAATACTGTGGTGGCCTGCTTACCTTCCTGCTCCTGCGTCCCGAGGAGATACTTTCCTCCATCAAGCTTGTTAATCTTCCCCTGGAGAACGTATCGTCGTCAGCCATTGGGCATACTCTTACCGCAAAAGGAGAGTCGCTGTAGGACGTACCAAAGCCTCTCCAACGGAGCGTGGACAAAGCGTATAGAGAGTCAAAGCCACAGAAGAAGCACCAGCAACGAGTTCTTTCAAAAACTCGGTACCCATGGCGCGGTTCTGCGTGGACAGTACATTTAGACATTGCGGAGGTACAGTCAGGAACAAGACGTCTACCTTGGCTTCCATCCTGCAAAAGACGGCAAAGGCGTCAGCCTGTGCAAGCTAGGCATATGCAAGTGCGACTCGCTGTGACGCACATACGGAGTTTGCTCTGCAGCAGGGGGAGACGCGCTCGCGTCTTCCGTAACTCGCCACTGAGATGTACACCTGCACGCGACAGCGTGATATCGATCACCGCGGCGAAGAGACGGAGTTGCTCTGCCAGCAATTTGAAGCTGCGCTGGGTAGCGGAGGCGTATCTCTTCTCCTTCGCGACGAGCTGTGCGGTAACTCAGGTCACGGTGATCACTCTGCACGAGATGTCCATACCTCCATGAACCTCTTCAGCTCTTTCTGGATGTCGCAAATACTCTCTGCACTGATACTGGCCAGTATCGCTTCGTTGTATACTGCCAGCACAAAGTCATTTAGAGAAGTTGAAAGAGATGTTAATGTTACTCTTACGTTTCATTACAGCGCAAGCCCTGCTCGCAGTATCGCGACTATTTTTCAATATCTCCTTGAATTTCTAGAGGTTGAAGCGTACGGTGAGCTTCGTGAATGAAGTCGAAGTCTAACTCGACAACACACCTCGTGATGTGACTTCCAAGTAGGATGTAACACCAGGGCCTCTTGCTTGTTATCAACGAACGCTTCCGCATCGAACTTGAGCAGCTCCGTGCTGATTTGCTGAAATTGACTATCGATATTCAAGAGGTCGGCGTTGAGCTGCCGAATCTCCAGGGGGGCGCGGGTCTTCACGTTGTTTCTGAGCTCGTAGAGACAGTGTCGATGTGTCCTCAAGTCGCTCGGTGTAACCTCTTTGCTACAGGTTTCCTTGTTGTGCTGTGTCTTCTCGGAGTCCTGGAACGTCGCTTGTGCTTGTACGGTGAGCGTGACGGTTCTTGGTGTCATCTTGGGGTTGGATGCGGCTAGATCAGAGCGAAGGGTTGAGAGAGAGCGTTGGAGTAAGGGCGGACCTTTTGGTCGACAGGGCTTTATCCCAATCACTGGCCGGCTTCTAACGCAAATACGCAACGCCTCATCGTCATTAGAGAGCAAGGAAAAGCCCTCCATTCAGAGTACCGGAGGTCGACACTCCGGGCGAGCGACTGTGCTACCACAACTAGCGCTTTTTGTGGCGGACAATGTGCTCTCGACTTCTGTTCCATCATCGCCGCCTGGTCCCTATATACCATGGATAGCAGATGCAGTTCGGTTTCAGCGCCGGCTCATGACAGCTGCTAACTGTGGCACATCAAAACTATATGCCTTGCCACCGCCGACGGTAACTCCAAAAACGCACTGGTATATCCAAATACTGATAGGGATCTCGAGAAATATACCTGCAGTTTGCGGGCCACGGTGGCCGCCGCAAAAAAGGAAGTTGTATCAATTTCAACTTCGCGGACTTGGGCCATACGCACCTTTGGCTTGTACCATGACCGTATGATTCTGGAAGACTCCGCGCCCAGATTTATACCGTCCTGTCCGTGAGCTCTGAGGGGATATGAGTACGTGGATGGTTGGTGGGGATAAGGATAAGTCAAGTCGGCGGACTGTATCTGCCAACGGCCGACGCGCGCTCGCGCGCAAGGCTCAGCCACCAGTGGCAGTCCTGTAGCACCAGCGCTACTTATCCGCCGCACGGCGGCAGACGGCGGCACGCCCGCCGTCGGGTTTGAACTTTCTAGTTGCACCGTGGTGGCCCGCCGCACCATCTGCGGGACTAAACTCGTAGACCACCTCCACACGTGGAGGTGGAAGTCCGGATCTTTGAGAGGTCTGCTGGTGTCAGTGCGACACGTTTTGACGTATGGATGCTATACTAGTGAGTAGTCCAGCCCTGCTCCGCACGTCCGCGAGCTCATGGCACTCGCCACTGCGGACGTAGGCACTTGACTACTCTCATAGTAAGGATGCTGATAGTTGAGTATGACCTCTAGTAAGTGATCGTCGCATATCCCCCAACACGCAACAAAACCTGCCCCGCATAGCGCCTCTGTGGCCATAACCGGGCTCGCATCCCCGCCTCATTTTTGCACGAATACGCTCGGACTGCCGCTTCAAAGGGCCAGGGAGGCACTTAATCGACTGCGCCCGCCGTCCACGGAGATGCAAGAAGCCATGTGGCGCACACAACACCAACGGAAGCCGCCTCCAACAGGTCGGGATATTGTCGGGCGGATGGGCGTCTTTTTACCGGACATAGTCAAATTCTCAGGCCGTTCAAATACCCCACAATCCGCTGGACACATGATATCGAAGCATAGATGACACCCCGACTCTGGTCCACCACGCGCGTGGCGTGGATGTGATCTAAACTATGTACTATCATCTGCACTTCGGGGCCTCGTTTCTGGTAGGTTTGGGAAGCCGATTCCTTACTCGGGTTAGAGGGTAATTATTTGTCGACTTACACTAGAACCATATGCTGGCGTCCATCGCAAAGTGAGTCCCCTTTTCTGAACAATTTCCCTGTTTCAGTATAGCTCACTCGTGGGCGGGCAGGAGGGAAGCGTACTGTGCAGCGCGCAGCCCAGACCGCTGGCACTTTATCGCTGTCTCTTGGCTCTGACGCACGAAGATGCTCGACCGAGGTCACGCTCTCTGACCGGGGACACCACTCTCCGAACGACAGTCCTGGAGTGCTTAGGCCTAAAAAACGTCCCTTGTACCCTGCATTCCTCTCCCATTTCCCGTTGCGCTGTGATGTGCTCTCCGTGCCCTCAGACACTCATCATCAGCTGTGCTGAAGGAATTCGCGCGCTTGCCACTGCAGACCGATGTTTGCGTACCGCAACCTCAGACATCGCTGCTGTTATCCTTCGCATCGACGATTTCACCCAGAGGAGTGATATGACCTTATGGGCAGGGCTTGCCAGCGTACGTTCTCTTCTTCACTCGACATTGTGCATAGCTGACGCTCGAGCTGCGCTGGTAGGACTACTACGATGTCCTCGAGCTCAGTAAACGCTCTGCGGCGAAGCTTGTTGCGGGGATCAAAGGTGCGCATAAGCTCGATCTACATCTCCACGGTCTTGATGTCAGTATTTCTCGATTCCTCAGTCTATCTTTCCCTGCATGTCCATTCCTGTTGTGCAGATACAGACGCTCTGATAACGGAGCTCGACTCGTTAATCGTGGTACGTGCAAATTACTTAATGCAAGATCACTAAATTGTTGACCATAGCATACATGACATATCCAGAGCATGGCGCAACAGGACTTCAACCGTCGTAGCGCACTCGAAGACCTGATCACTCGTGCCGAGTCTCTTAACACGGAACAGCAGCGGATTGTCGAAGCGCGACACACAGCTGTTACTCGTGAGGTGGAAGAGGCCGAGATCAACGTGAATGCCTACCAGAGGCAATTGCAAGGGTGCGTGCGTACTACCATGTGTTACAAATAATGAGCTTGAACGTAACACTAATGGCAAATATCAGGCTACAAGATCGGGTATGAATATATCGCAACCACCATAGAGCCAAGCTTATGCGTTCACAGCACATAGCTAGCAGCCTGTGTATAATCAACACGGCCGAAGCTGAGATCAGGTCCTATATATCAGATATCCTTCAAAGCTTGCCCAGAGACCCCGCCGAGGGCTGGGGAAATCCCCACGAGCAGGGTGGACCCGGAGAAAACGCACATACAAGGCGGGGGACATTGGACGCAGAACAAGTCTCTGCGATTACGGACGAACGGCGGATACTTGAAGAAGAAATTTGGCGTGAGTCATCCCATCGCTGTAGCCGTGGTGGCATCGCCCATGGGGACGTAGGCTAATTGCGCTACAGAGTTGGAGAATGCGTTAGCTGACGCGCAGATCCAGCATGCGGGGGCGCAGACGTGTCTGCAGGTTTTCCAGAGCGCAGGCTGGGAATCGACGCGCAATGCTATGTGTATGGTCGTCGTGTACCTGAAGACATATGCAGAGCACATAGGTGTCTTTGCTGAGCTCCAGAAACAGGTACGCTGATCATGAAATCACGTAGTATATGAGCGCTTCGGACACTAACTCGATCTGTTATGGGACTTGATATGTAGCTTTGGCATGAGGTCGACATATACAAACACGCGCTCGAAGGCGTCAAGATGTTCTCGACGTCGGTGCGTCTTTCCTTCTTCGTAAGAGGATATGTGACGATACGATCTCAACGTCCTTTATTATAGGTTCGCCGGAATGCCCTGCAGGAAATGCAACAGCGCGTATCCTCGACCGCATGTGCTTGGGAAGGCGCAGCGGCACTGATCATGAACGAGTACGTGAAGTGATGCGCGTAGACTGATTGGAAACGCCAGACGACTCGAGACCGAGCGTTTGACTACCACCATACGACCAGCTTCATTTTACATAAAATTTTCATTTTTTGAAACATTGTCGAACTCATGAACTACGACGTACCTTGCTACCCCCCGCCCTTACCTTTTATATAAGGCCCTGTCATCATCAAGTAATTGAAGTTCGCCACCAAACCGCATCGGCGTCCCGATTCGGAGCGTAAACTGTCAGCGTAGTACGTGCCACTCAAGATATATAGCTCTCGTTCGGTCTTCTGACACGTACAGGTGTAAGGGAATTCCGCTGCGCTGTCCGGTGTTACCACTCCTTGACAGCTGCACGCTGTGGTGCCGATGTGCACGAGTTCGACCTGGTGTCGAGGCGATCTAGCAGGGCGTGGAACAGGGTCGGTCGTAGAGACAAGGACTCCCATCCATTTAACTTCGTCTCTCCACATCACGCGCCTGATTTTGCGGCCGTGTAATCATGCTGCTATTTCCGACGGCTTTAGAAAGGGACATGAGGGCCGCGGTGGTACCATAATGGCGCAATGTCCGGTCGGGCATACGTCTGATGATTGTGTCACGGATTGTACGCAAAGACTGAATGTCGAAGTGTGGTAGTGCCAGTTCAAGTTCGATCTGCGAGCGACGAGCGGTGTAACATGCAGCAGACCCGCCGTCTGGATGGTTATCCGATCACCACGGTACTCTCTCCCCGGCGTGGTTGATGAACTTGCCAGAGTCTTCGTGGGTGAGGCCGTGGATCACCTTTAGGACGCCCGAAACCCCTACAGAAACCTCCAGCGGCGCGCTTTCGCCACCCATGTCTGAGGCAGACGACGTGAATTCCGTCAGTGCGTGAAAGTACTCTTATGCTCACGACTTACCGGTCTTGAGATGTCCCGGGCAGACAGTGACGACCGTGAGGTCCGGGCGATCATAAGCCTGCTTCACCGTCTGCACACCGCACCCAAAAATCAGCCCCGCACAACAGCCGCTCGGAAGTAAGATGGGTACGCACCAGCATATTGAGCGCAGCTTTTGAGATCGAGTACGACGCGAAGTGCGGGCCGAAGTCGGTGCCGAGGCTGCCCAGCGTGCTCGAGACGTTCACGATCGTCTTCGCGGCACTCTTCTCGACGAGCGGGAGGTACGCCTGCGCGACGTGGGCGGGCCCGATGACGTTCGTCGCGAACGCGGCTTGCACGTTGTCGAGGTCCATCGAGAACGCGTTGTCGAACCCAGCGGGGTTCTGCAGGATGCGTGGGTTGGGTGCCGCTGCTGAGAAGGGGATTGACACGGTACTCACGATGCCGGCGTTGTTGATGAGGTAGTCAAGGCCGCGGTCCTTCAGGATAGACTCAGTCTCCTTGACGGAGGCTTGCACAGACGCCTTGTTGGAAATGTCGAGGGTGATGAGATGAACTCTACCCTTGGCGGAGTCGGAGAGTGCCCTGAGAGCGGTCGCCTGGGACGGGTTTCGGGACGCGGCGATGATGGTGTTGAAAGGCGATTCTAGAAGCTGTTTGGTGAGTTCGAGACCAATGCCCCGGTTGGCGCTGCGAGATGCGATGTCAAGACGAGTGGAACTGAGGTCTCGTCTGCAGCAGCGTACCCGGTGATGAACCATACTCGTTGTGTGTCAGACATGGTAGTAGTGATTTATCTCGGGTACTGTGTCTGCCGTTCGCATGTAGACCTTATATTTCAGCTATGAGAAGCATCTCCGGGTCGGGGATCCACTGACAGTCAGCAAGCGCAGTTGCTTGGTGAGTGCTTTGCGAGCCCAGGCGGATACCCCTGATGGGAGTGGTTGAGAGTGTGCTCGCAGTTCCCAGTAGGGTTTCTCTGGGCAACTGCTGTAGGTGTTTGTCAGGCCGTCAACATATATGAGACTTTTGACGATCTCGACGAATTTCCGCGAATCTCGGGGAGTTGACGCGTCGCGCGGATGCAAGCGCGTAGACCACGTGAGCGCGATGCAGACGCGACGTGGCAGAGACGGGCGTCTAGGCACTGCGCACACAGGCGAGAGCGTCCGACTCGCGCCCGACAGCCTCCTGCCTCCTCCCTTCGTCTTCCTCCTCGTACCGTCTGTCTAGAGCCCGTGTTTCTTGTGCTGCTCTAGATTCTCTTCCGTCTTGCTTGCTGGGTAGTCTCGGATACTTGACTTCTACACGCTGTCTCTCAGCCGCCGGTAGCCGGTAGCCGGGCTATGCTCAGACTCCTTCCGCTCCTCACATGGCCCCTCCTCCGCACGCTCGCTGGAAGCCCTCCGGTCAACATTGAACTTAGGACATCATGGCCTGCAGCCCCCATCCTTCTAGAGAGCATGTAAGTATCCGGCCTTAGAGTTTCGAAGAAGTCTTCTTGTGATGCCGTACCATACCCGTGCACTTTTCGCACCAACTAACCCTTCTGCTTTCTAGAGAAGCCGTATCGATTGAAGACCCAGATGCCTTCTTCCCCCTCCTTCATGCAGTCACCGACGCATCTGTCTTCCCTCTCCCCTCCGACAAGTCTTCCCCAGCACATGCACACCAGCATGTCCTCGAAACTGCGCTCGCTCTAGACTTCTTGGCCGAACCTGGAGCATATGTCTCTGCGGAGATGCACGTCGCCTTGCACTCCGCTAGCCCCAAACTCGAAGCATTCTATCAGTACTACACCGACCATCATGCTACGCGGACCGAGGGTAGAACTTCTTGCGGGTCCTGGGTAGACTGGTACGGAGAGGTGGTGTGCGATGTCGAAACTCTTGCAAACCTCGTTCAGACGGCCTCCATAGATGCACCGGGAGCAGCAGAGAGTCACACGTAAGTCCTTCCTCACACCGGGTGCATGATACTATGCAACTCCCCACTGCTTTGAACATACGCCATGCCTTGGGTGAATCAATGCATGGAATATCGCCCCGGTCTTTCTTTACTGTGTTTCGCGTGCTAACCCCGCTCAGGGCCCCCGCTTCACCGAGATTGCTTGCTTTCGACCATGTCTTGCCGGACCCTGCGCGCGTACCGTCCTCGCCTCCCCACACTGCCGTCCTATACGCCTCACTCGAGTCCCCCAACTTCCACGCTCTGCACTCGTACCTCTATGCCGCCGCCAGCGCCCCAACTCCTCGCGTTGCCTACGTCTTCCGTCCGGTTCCCCCTGCAGACCGCGACCTTGCCGTTCGGTCCCACCTCTCCGGGTACGGCGTCGCGCTGGACCTGAAGAAGATGGACTACCTCGCCGTGGACGACCGGCTGCAGGGCGGTAGTGGTTCCAGCTCTGACGAGGGGTCCACCACGAAAGTCCAGGAGGACGAAGCGGACATCATCGTCACCCGCCTGCAGCAGTACCCCGCAGACGAGTCCGTCGACGTCACCGCGCCGCTGACCGACACTGAGCTGCTCGGTATGTCCCTCCCTCTTTCCGGTCCGCATTATACACACTCACGCCCGGGCAACAGACATCGGCCTGCAGGCGACGCAGCTCGTCTACGATGCGGAGGAACCGCACGCGCGGCTCGCGACGCTCAAGCAGCTCGCGCAGAACTTCCCGCGCTTCGCGGGCGCGCTCGCACGCCGCGTGACGGTGAACGAGAGCCTGCTGAACGAGGTCGCGGAGAACCAGGCGAAGGCGCCGGGCGGCGCGAACGCGATCTGGCTGAACGGCGCGGCGATCGAGGAGAAGGACATGAACCCTTTCGGGTATGTCTCACTGTTCACCCTTTGGACTGCGTGTTTGCTGATGAGGTTGGTGTGTGCGTAGGCTGCTGAAGGCTATTCGGAAGGAGCGCGGGACTATACTTTCGCTGATGGCGCTCGGCCTCAACTCGACTCAGGCGGTGGACCTCCTTACGCACCGCACTATCGCGCAGGCACAGGCTAGTGGAGGCGTGCTCGATGGTCTGTTCGATGCGAGTGACCGCGCGGAAGGCGGTGAGGTGATCGGGTGGTTGAACGACATCGAGAACGACGAACGGTAGGTCGCACTTGCGTTTTGTGTATGCACCTCTGCTAAATCCCGCGATCCAAGGTATGCGAGCTGGGGCGGAAACCTCAAGATCGTGAGTCCCCACCCACTCCTCTTCACCCCCACGTTACTGACCGCCCACGCGCAGCTCCTCCGCCAACTGTACCCCGGCCAGTTCCCGACGGTGAAGTACAACCTGTTCAACATCGTGCTCGCCGCGGACCTCTCGCAGGCGAGCAGCGTCGACTTCATCGGCGGGACCGTCAACTCGCTCATCCGCCGCGGCCTGCCGTTCCGCTGGGGCGTCGCGCCGCTCGTTGAGACCGAGGACGGCGCGCGCATGGCGCGTCTGTTCTACTATCTCCTCGAGGTGGTCGGCGCGGACGACACGCTGGGGTTCCTGCTTTCCGTAAGTGCGAATATCCTCAAGGGGGCGGAGAGTGCTGATGCGCGTGCGTGCAGATTTCGCAGCGGGGCGTGCCGATGGACCAGGTCAGCCCTAGTGTGGTGTGGTCTCAGGTCCGCACGAACTTCGAGGACCTGCTCGCGGCTAAGGAGAACCTGCCGGAGGGGATCGAGACGGACTTTGATACTATTATTGCGGGCGGCGAGGGCGACCTGGACGCTGCACGTACATATGCGACGCGGTTGAGCGCGACTCTGTCGACGGCGCCGCAGGGACATGTGTTCTTCAACGGCAAGCACTTCGACCTAGACGATGTGCGTTGACCATTCTGGTCGTTATCGTACGAAACACTGACGGCGCAGCGCTGCAGACCTTCCTGCAAGCGCTCCAAATGGAGTTTAGCCCTCAGCTTCAGCACCTACAGTATAAGGTTCGTCTTCCTTGCATCTACCATTACACGCACGCGTCTTACCATGACCATGCATGTAGATATACAAGAACGAGCTCACGGAGGAACAAGCCAAGGACATGTCAACGTACTTTTACGACCTGCCGACGACAGCTAAGCGCCGGAACACGTACATCCACCCCACGCAGAAGGCGGGGAGCTTGAGGATCTACAGCCTCCCGGAACTCATCGAGCGGAACGGCCTTAACAGCACCGCAGGCGTATTCGTATACCCTAGTGAGCTCGTGCTTTTGTCGTTCGGGATGCGTGTCGTGCTGACGTTACGGGTGAAGCGGACTCTGAGCTTGTCCCGCTCACGACGTACGTCGTCGCTGACTTCGACAGCGAGAAGGGTCGTGAGTTCGTCAAAGAGGCGATCAAGTCTGTAGTGAGTGCCTCGCGTTCACTAATCCTCTCGTCAGTCATTGATTCAGGACTTGTAGACCCCTGGTTCACTCAGCCGTCTGTCATTCATCCATTCCCCGTCATCTCAGACCCCCATCCTCTCAGGCCCTTCTTCTATCCTCGCGCGGCTGATCACCGCGGACGCGCTGTTCAAGATCTCTCCTGAGCGTCTTCTCTCCATCCTCGGCTTGAACGAGGCTACGGAAGATGCAGCGCAGCAGCCTCTCATAGACAGTGCCGATAGCGTGCTAGCAGACCTCCCCGAGAGCGTAGACGCGTACGAGAAGTATGTCGACGCGTGCCGTCTCGTCGTGCGTTCGCTAGGCCTCAAGTCGGGCGAGCTGGCCGTGATCGTCAACGGAAGGGTGAGTTGCGCACACATTCACTGAAGTACTGCGTACTCACTGAGACCTGCAGGTGGTCGGGCCTATCGCGCCCGGGGAGTTCATCGCCGGCGATTTCGAATCACTCGCTGCGTATGAGCACCACAAGCGCGTCCAGCCCGTGTACGAGGCGCTCCTCGCCGTTCACGAGCCCATAAGCGAAGCTACTAAGTGCGTTGCTGCAGCTATTGACCCTCCTTGTGCAGTCTGCTGACTTTTGGACGTAGGGAAGACGCCGCGGAGATCATCTCCATCGTGTCCTCCGTTCTCTCTTCCATCCAGCAGCCCGACCCGAGCGAAGCGGGGCTTTTCGACGCGCCTCAGAAACCGCGTCTCCGGAACTACCGCAGGCTCACTGGGGAATACACGTACGTGCTCGCTTTCTCACACGTCGTGTTGAGTAGCTACGTATGCTGAGTATTGCGCATCGTTGCACAGTGCGTTCACTATCGGAGACGAGGAGACTGCGCTGTTCCAGATTGGCGCGATCATCAACCCGCTTGGCCAAGAGGCGCAGAAATGGACGAGCTTGTTGGAGGTACGTCAGGAGTTCGCTCGAGAGTGGATATTGTCTAAACGTGTGCATGTAGTGGTTGTCAGGGATGCCGGGCGTCTATATAGAGGTCCACGTCAACCCTATGAGGCATACCGAGGTAGGACATTCTAGGACACCCTCTTGCACCGGTGTTAATATCGATCTGTAGATCCCACTCAAACGCTTCTATCGCTACAACCTCCTACCGAGGCTGGCATTCGACGAGGAAGGGTGAGCATATCTTCTGTGTCTGCGCCCACTACTCCTGACATTGCGCAGGAATGAGATCCATGCAAAGACGCAGTTCACGAACCTGCCCACTGAGCCCATCTACACCCTCGCCATGGACGCGCCGCAGTCCTGGCTCATCCGCCCCAAAGAAGCCGTCTACGACCTCGACAACATCCAACTCGGCCTCCTCTCCCCTCAAGACCGCGCGTCTGGCCTGAACGCCGTCTTCGACCTCGACGCGCTCGTGGTCGAGGGGCACGCGCGCGAGGGTGACACAAGTGCCCCTCCGCGCGGGCTGCAGATGCAGCTCGTCACGAGCGACGCGACACCCATCGCCGACACGCTCGTGATGGCGAACTTGGGGTACCTGCAGTTCCGCACGAAGCCCGGCGTGTACCGCCTAGAGATCCGCCCCGGACGTGGTAGAGAGATCTTCGAGATGGAGAGCGTGGGCAATGAGGGCTGGAATAGTCCTGGGATCGACGAGGCGGGCGATGTGGTCACTGTGACTAGCTTTGAGGGTGTTACGCTCTATCCGCGGTTGGCGAGACTGCCTGGGATGGAGAGGGAGGACGTTCTTAGGACCCATGCTGTCGATGCAGGGGATGAGCATGCTGGCGTCATCGACCACCTGGTGAACAAGTGAGTGACAGACGGCTTCCCCGAGATACTTCTCCTGACGAGATTTTAGGGTATCCTCGCTGTTCGGTGGCAAAAAAGAAGAGAAGGCTCTGGTGGCTGTCGACGATGGTCAAGCCGACATCAACATCTTCACCGTCGCGTCCGGTCACCTGTACGAGGTATGTTAGACAGGCTCTGCTATGTAGCCCAGCTGACACAGGGCACAGCGTTTCGCGTCCATAATGATTCTCAGCGTCCTCCGGCACACGAAGAGCAGCGTGAAGTTCTGGTTCATCGACAACTTCCTCTCACCTTCGTTCTTGGTAGGCACTATCTTCTCCCTTTGTGCAATACATGGTCTGATCAGCTTTCCAGGAATTCCTCCCGAAATACGCGGCCGAGTATGGCTTCCAGTACGAGCTGGTCACCTACAAGTGGCCGACCTGGCTGCGCGCCCAGACCGAAAAGCAGCGCATCATTTGGGCGTACAAGATCCTTTTCCTAGACGTGCTCTTCCCCATGGACCTCAAGAAGGTTCTCTTCGTCGACGCAGACCAGATCGTGCGCGCGGACCTCCAGGAGCTTGTGGACATCGACCTGCGTGGCCGTCCGTACGGATACGTGCCGATGGGTAACGACAATCCCGACACTGAAGGTTTCCGGTTCTGGAAGACTGGCTATTGGAAGGACTTCCTGCGTGGCATGCCATATCACATCAGGTAAGCCTAGCCCGCTGGAGACTGATCGCAGCTGCTGACGTGCATGTAGTGCACTTTACGTAGTGGATCTCGTTCGGTTCCGCCAGGTTCGTACACGGTGCTTCTATGTTTTCTTCCGAGTCGCTGACGTCTCGCCTGATTGTAGTTGGCTGCAGGCGTAAGTTTTTTGCGCTAGTAGAAGGCCAACGTGTTTGCCTAACCGCATCGTAGGATATGCTGCGTGGACACTATCAAGCACTCTCCGCAGATCCGAACTCGCTGGCCAACCTCGACCAAGGTAGGATTGACGATGTTTGCACCACAAACCGTACTCACCCACTGCTCGTAGACCTGCCCAACAACCTGCAGCGCGAAGTACCAATCGTAAGTGCATATGACAACAGGTCGCACCCATCGAAACTCACCTGTTCTCGTAGTATTCTCTTCCTGAAGACTGGCTCTGGGTGAGTATCAATAAATTGCTGATATGGACGAACAAGCTGACGGACTGTCCACGGCGCAGTGCGAGACGTGGTGTACGTAAACCGTATGAACTTCTCTGAGATTGTGCTGACCACCTGGGCGTTTTAGGTAGCAAAGACCGTTTGGATCGTGCGAAGACAATCGATCTTTGCCAAAACCCGCTCACGGTAAGTGATGTCCTATCTCCTCCCGCATACAAAACTGAACCAGGTGTACAGAAAGAGCCCAAGCTCGACCGGGCGAAGCAAATACCAGAGTGGGAGGTCTATGATGCAGAGATCTCCGCGTTCGCGAAGCGGCTCACGGCGTCGGAGAGCGATGCGGAGAGGCCTAAGCCGCACGACGAGCTCTGAGCTCGTTTTCGCCGTGTTGATTGTGAATTATATAACGTGCTTTTCATCATGGGAACGCCGTGAAGGTGCACCACATCATTTGGAAGGAACAAGGCACAGTAGATGGTGTCTGTTCGAGCCCAATGCATGCCAACCAGCATTGATGTAGGGAAGAGTGATATGGTGCGGACCGTCACAACTCGTATAGTCGGCCACGACCGTACTGTAGATGCCCAAAATCCTTTTCGACACAGATCAAGTACTCGAGAACACCCCAACCCTATCCGTAATAGCTGTCATCGTCTCCAATGTTCAACGCCTACAACCCGTTCATGGGAACGTAATCACCCTGTAGCCAGCCGCCGTCTGAGGATTCGGAGTCGCTCGTTTCATGCACGTACTCTTCGGAATCCGCTCGCCACGATCGGGGACGCGTCCTGCCCCTGCGGGCGTGTCCCCGCTCCTGCCACCGTATGTCCACGAATGTCTGGTAAAGACCGCACATCGTTGGCCATTCCGTGCCACCCGCATTCCACCTGCGTATCTGGGGGAACACCAGGGAGAAGAACGCGGCCACGGCCGCCGCGTCGGCCGATTCGAACGCGGAACCCGTGAAGTCGAAGTCGTTGAGCGGCGGCGCATGGTCCGCGCAGAGGGCGACCGGCGGCTGCTGCCCGTCGAGGTCCGGGACCGAGTGCATGTCGACGGCGAGCGTGAGCGATGTGAGATGGGGGCAGTGTTGCGCCAGGGAAAGCAAGCCGCCGAGCGTCGCCTTGGGGTAGTTGGCACCGTCGGGCCTCCGTATGTGAGGACGGGGACAGTTCCATTCCCAGCTAAATCGGAGGTCCTCGATATATGGCCACGCCCGTGACATCTCATCCAGCATGGCATCATCAAGGATAACTTGGAATATGCCACTGACAAAGACATGGCGTAGCGCGGACAAAGCCAGAAGAGGCGCAACGTGTCGTGATGCGTAGATGTTCGTCAAAGCGCGTTCTTGGCCATGGGATCTGTCGGCGTTGATAGAGAGATTACGGAGGGTTCCCCGGAACGGATGCTCTCCTATGGAAACACAAAGAGCCTGGAATAGAATGCTAGGCGCTGTCTCGGCGTAGTAACCACCCAGGTCTAGGCGTTGAAGCGAAGGGGAACTGACGATATGGAGGAACGCGGTACACCACTCGAAAGAGGCTTCTTCCAGCACAAGCTCCACGATTGCAGGGAAGAAAGCCCCGTATCTTCCGAGCGGGAGGGCGTCCCAGTCGTACTCCTCCGGGTCGACACACACCCTGAGCTTATGTAGGGTAGGGATGGAAGCCAGTCCCACAAGAGCCGCGGGTCCGACTCGCACGCTGGACGAGCTGAATTTGACGAGCTGGCGAAGCTTCCCGATTTCTGGGCAGGACAGCAAACCCGGTTTGAACCATTCCCGAGCGTAGAGATCGAGCTTCATGCTGGAAGAGAGGATCAGACACCTCACGACCGGAGAAACGTCCGACATTGCCCGGACGAGCTCGGTGGGACGATGTTTGTCGCAAGGCCAGCCACCCCAGTCGATCTCGATCTCTCGCAGCTCTGGTCCATAAAGCAGCTCTGAGAAGTATACGGGGCCTTGTCCGATCTCCCGGGGTGTCCGCACCATTGACTCTAGCGCCTCTTCATGGTGGAGCGTCCGTAGGTTGGGCAACAGTGGCTGGGGCCCGTGACGGAATAGGCTGGTCCACAGGTCAGAGGGCACTTCATATCCGGCCCAGGAGGCCGCTGTGCCAAACATGGGATGGAATACTTTGACGCGGCTTGCATACATCGAGAATCGTTTGAAGTCGTTGGGAGTTGGGTCGCGAAGGAACTCCTACAGAGCTTCGTGTTAACAGAGAGCCGTTATGAAGAGAATTGTTGCACTTGCCAACCGCCGGTGACGTGAGGGATATCCAAAATCCGTGTCATGCATCACTGCGCAGAGGTCCTCAGGAAGCGTATACGGCACCAGCGGTACCAAGGACGCGAGCGTGCGCCAAAGCACGTCGAGGGCCGGCTCGCTGAGGTAACGGCATGTCACCGCCAGAGCAGCCAAGGATGGTTGTCTTGGAGGACCCGAGAATTTTCGGGGTTTGAGCAGGAGAGTGCAGATATGTGAAATAGTATCTTTGGGTAGACTGGTGATGGACACTGGCCGAGACATGCGCCTTGAAGTTGAAGTTGAAGGGTGGAACGAAGAGGAGCGCGTCTGCCGTCCGAGTCAGCATCGTTGGACTTTAACTCCAGCGCCGTGTCGCGTGCGTACGTCTTCAACGTCAAGGGTAATTCCTGTTTTGTACGGCGCCCTGCTTTCTACCGAACGTGATCCGCGCCACTTTCTGGTATCGTATCCACAAGATATCGCCACCGTTATGCGTTGACCACACTGTCAATTGTATTTTAGACCTCTGAACATGAAGGTTACTGACAGGGTGAGGCAAGCGTAGATTATTCGGAGAAGGTAGTCGAGTCTTCAATTCCTGTCTCTCACGGGATATACGGCTGACGCTCTCGGGGACGCCCCCTTCTCGGCCTGAGGGCAGGATCCCTCTCCTGCCGTCGCACAGCTAGGAACTTCCGATAAAGGGTCTCCATCTCGGGCCACGTCGTGCCGAAGGGACTGCCTAGGGTGTGCAAGTGGGGGAATACCAATGAGAGAAACGCAGCCACGGGAAGCGCGTCGCTTTCCCGGAATACGGAGCCAGCGAGTTCGAAACTCTTCAGTGGAGGCGCGTCGTCCGCGCATAGAGACACAGGGGGCCCCCATCTCCACGCGTCGAAGTCGGGGATGCATCGCATGTCGACAGCGAGCTCGAGGGTGGTGAGGCGTGGACAGTGGCGGGCGAGTAGAAGCACGCCGTAAAATGTCGCCTGGGGGTAGTAGACGAAGTCTTCGAGCCGGTACCCCGGTCCGTCTGGCCAGCAGAACGCGAGGGATTCGAGGTTGGGCCACGCCCATGTCATGGCGTCAAGCATGGCGTCGTCTGCGAGGCTTGACAGGTGCGGCCGAGAGCAAGCCAGCGCAGCGCCGACAACGAGAGGAGGGGAGCAATAGGATGGGGGTGATGAATCTCGACGAGAGCGGTCTTTTGGAAGACAAACCCCTTCTCGCTGGACCGTTTGACGGTCTTGGTATTGCAACCCGGGCCAGTGTTGATGCTGAGCACCTGTACCGTGTCGTGAGAGGGATTTTCAGCCAGGGATGCACAGAAAGCCTCTAGCAGGATACTAGGGACTGTCGTGCCTCCCCGTCCATCGACCTTCACCCGCCAGAGTGAGGAAGACGTTACAGTGTGCATGAACGCGACACACCACTCGAGGGAGATTTCGTACAGCTCCAGGTCCTCGAGAGCGGGGAAGGATATTCCGCATCGCTTCCTTGCATGTCGTAGGTCGTCCCAGTCGTACTCCTCCGGGTTGACATGGAGCAGGAGCTCACGCAGCCTCGGGAGAGACGCCAGGCCCACGAGCGCTGAAGGCGCAACGTACACGGTGAAGGCGCTGAGCCTGACGAGGTGGTGAAGTTGCCCGATCTCTGGACAGGACAACGACGCGGTTTCGTGCCTCCGAAGGCGGGTGTGCATACCCACGCCAGCTGATAGTTCCAGGCCCTCCTATCGCGGAGAGGCATGAGCCATGGCTCTCACCAGCTCGGTGGGCCGTCGCTCGTCGGATGGCCATCCGCCGTAGTCGATATCCGCTTCCTTCAATCCCGGCCCGCAGAACAACTCCGAGAGGTACACAGGGCCGCGTTCGAGTATGTGTTCCCGTCGATAGTCATAGTCCGTCTCAACGTGTTGAAGCCTCTGTAGGTTTGGGAAAAGCGGTTTCGGGCTGTGACGGAGCACTGCGGCCCACAGATCGGAGGATATTTGGTATTCGTAGAATTTTAGAACCCTGTCGTCGCGATGAAACATCTTCACGCGGTTTGTATACGTGGAAAAACGCGCAAAGTCCGCCGGGGTTGGGTCACGAAGGAGCACCTGCGGACCCTCAGTAAACGCTCTCTATCGAGCTTAGGGCTGTACTCACCAACCGATATTTTATATGCACCAAGGGTCGCGCTACCGTCTCTACAGCAGAGACCTTCCCACATAGGTCCTTTGGTAGCGTATACATCAAAAGCGGGACCAACGACGCCAACGTGTGCCACAAGACGTCGAGGGCGAACCCGCTCAGGTAGCTACAGGTCGTCGCGAGAGCAGCCAAGGACGGTTGTCGCGGAGCATGCATGTTCGGTTCCGGCCATTTGACGAGAAGACGAGAGATATAGAGAATGGTGTCAGGAGGTAGAGCAGTAATGGTGGGTCGCAGAGACATGGTCGTAAGGCGTCCCCGGGGTGGGGGCGAGACGGCGAGAGGCGCAAGTCTGCTAAAGTCAGCTCAGTTCGACTACGTTCCAGAGCTCTAGTTCTCACCAAAGAATGGACGGCGTCAGCCCGTGCATATTCGAGAACTGCTAACGACAAGCGGTATACCGTCCTTGTACCGAGCGCTATTTTCTACCGAACGTGATCCGTGCCATTTTCCGGCGCGCGGCGTTACTGAAATGGATACGCTTAGGCGCTACGTCGTCGACGAGAGTCGGTGTTTTGATAGCAAGAGGGAACGAAAGAGCAAGTGAGTGCCATGAATGAATTCGAGTCGAGATATCACGCGTGTCCAGTGTCCACTGCATCCACACCTCGTCATGCCAATGAGATCTGTGGACGCTACACGTGGTCCCCTCATTCAGTCAAATTTTTGTTAACGTCGCGGGGTTTTCTATCTGCAGCTCTGCATTTCATCTTGAGTCAGTAAATGCATGATTTAAGAAAGCCATGCAGACTCACGATGAATCTCCTGCTCGTCATCAGCTTCGCCTCACGCTTGGTCAGGTTCGGGATCACGAAAACGCCCGCCTATCGAGAGCATCCACCCTCTCTCCTGCCATCGTATCTCCAGAAACCGTCTATGCCACCGCAGTACCTCGGCCGGGGTACCCGAATCGCCCCGATTCATTTTGAACGTGCTCAGTCGCGGAAACACCACAGAGAGGAACATGGCGAGAGCTGACACGTTGGCGTCCGCAAGGAATGTGGAGCCCGAAACGTCAAGGCTCTTGAGGGGAGGTTCCCAGGACGGACAGAGAACGATAGGGGGCCGCCGTTTGTCGAGAAGGGGGATATGGCGTATGTCGACAGGAAGTTCGAGGGATGTGAGATACGGGCAGTACCGTGCGAGGAGGAGCACGCCGGCGAGCGTCGCCTTGGGGTAGCCGAGCTCCCCGGGCAGCGGATCCCTGGTCTCACTGGATGAGAGCCCGCCAAGGCAGGGCCAGCTGAACGAGAGAGATCTGAGATCTGGCCACGCCCATGTGATCGCGCTCAGGAGCGCATCGTCGGGGGCGATTATGCAGTAGCCACGGATGGATAAATCCTGAAGTGCCGGCAAGGAAAGCAAGGGGGAGATGTCCTGGGGCTGATAGACCTGAGGCATCCTGACGCGGTGCCAACGACAGGCATTGATCCCGACTTCTCTAATATTATGGGAGGATGGATGGTGTGCGATGGATGCACAGAGAGCCTCGAGGAGTATACCCGGTATCGTGAGGGATTCGTCGTCGGCAAAGTACACTCTCCAAAGCGAGGAGGATACGATAGTGGGCATGAAGGCGACACACCACTCGAAAGGGATGTCGCACAGGACGAGCTCCCTCAGGACGGGGAAGAGACTGCCGGGCTTTCCATGCGGCAGGAACTCCCAGTGGTACTCCGTCGGATCGACACAGATGACAAGTTCTTGCAACTTGGGCAAGGATCCCAGCGCTAGAAGGGAGGCGGACGCGATACGCACATCGGACGAGTCAAACTTGACCAGGTGGAGGAGCGATCCGATCGCAAGTCCGTCCAGTCGCGCTCCCGATGGCTGCTCTGCGCAGTGACGGAAGTCGTATCGACACATAGTGATACTCTCCACCAGCGGAGACAGGTAGGACAAGCTCCTGATGACCTCCGTAGGTCGCCGGTCGTCTGAGGGCCAAACTCCATATGTGACCCTCACCTCTTTCAGCCTGGGGCCAAACAACGGTTCTGAGCGATACAGAGGGCCACGGCCGGCGATATCAGGGCGGTCAAGGTTGTGCAAATGGACCTCAGTGTGGGAGAGCGAGCGCAGGTTCGGGAGCAAGGGTTGAGGCCCATAGAGAACCAGTCTGGCCCACACGTCGAAGGGTATGTCGCAGCTCTTGAAAAACGACACGTTCAGGCCTGGACCGAGTTTCTTCACGCGGCTCGCATATATGGAGAAGCGACTGAAGTCTTCCGCAGCGGGTTCTCGACGAAAGATCTACACACCACGTCATTAAGGACCTGAAATGGACTCAGCGCTGCACTCACCACTTGATACTCGATAGTCTTCCCGTTATAGCGGAATCCGGGAACAGCTGGAACGATTGCGCACAGGTCCTCGGGAAGTGTGTACGCCAGCAGTGGTACCAGAGACACTAGTGTGCCCCAGAGTACATCTAGCGCGGGACCGCTGAGATACTTGCTAGTCGTTACAAGTGCGGCGAGGGAAGGTTGATTTGGTGGGCCTGGAATTCCCCAAGTGTCGTTGTGGTTTCGGAGGAGGAAACAGATGCGCAGAACGATCTCTCGGGGAAGAAGTGTAAGACAACGTCGTGGCATGGTGGTAGGAAGGAGGAGTCGCAGCAGCACGCCTACTAGCGGCTACGTTGCGTGACTCTGACCTTCGGGTTGGCATCAGATGTCAAGAAACCAGATGCCACGCTCACCGCTGCGACTGACAGGCTATCTGCCGTTTCTGCGCCTTCGCCTGTCCTACTTCGCCTCTATGCGTGCCCCCTCTAAGCGCAAGCCGTAATTACCTTAACGTCGCATCCGCATTGACTGCCATGAAGATTCGAGCTTCAACCTCAGCACTGCGGAACGAGCGTGTACTATGGTATTCCGTGAGCACATTACACCTGTCCGCACATGCTCTGTACCATTTTCTGACTTGACATCGAGCAGGCTGGGTTGAGCAGCATGTTATCGGCTTAGAGAGTACTGGAAGCAGGAGAATAGAGGCATAGCACCAAAAAGTGAGCGCTGGGGGGTGCCGCAGGCTATGACTGACTGACTGACTGACTGACTGACTGACTGACTGACTGACTGACTGACTGACACGGCGACAGCCGCTCGCGCCCGCATCAACGCCTCGTACCGATGAGATCTGTGGGCGCTAATACCCAAGAAGCCTAATAGTAACGCGTATCCCATGAACGTACACCGCACTGTAAGTGGTGGCAAGTGGATATACTGGGAAGGCCGAATACAGCTGAAAACGGTACATAGAAGGCCGGAGTTCTCCCCTTCACTGCCTGGCACCGCAACCCTATGCCTCTATATCCGCTTCTGTCTCAGAATGGTCAGTGGACGTCGAAAACGTGATGTGCAGACATACGAATCAACTTGGCCTCTTCGCCTTCTTCCTCGCACGAATATGGGTCAGGTTCGGGTTCACGGAAACGCCGCCCGTTTGCGAGCGTCCACCTCCTCTCCTGCCACCGTATCTTCAAGTACCGCCGATGCAGACCCATCACCTTCCCAGAGTTACCGTAGTCTTGCCACGGAAACCCGAACGTTTTGAGTGTCGGGAATATCACAGACAGAAACATGCCGAGAGCCTGTGCATCGTCCGCTCGGAACGCGGAGCCCGATGGACAAAACTCCTCGAGCGGGGGCTCGTGCGACGGCCATAGGGGGACTGGAGGCCGTTGTTCGTCGAGGCGAGGAACGTAGCGCATGTCGATGGGGAAGCTGAGGGATGTGAGGCGAGGGCAATAGCGCGCGAGGAGGAGGACGCCGGCGAGTGTGGCCTTGGGATAGCCAAGCTCTCCCGGCTGCGGGTCTCCAGGTCCAAGTGGCGGCTTAGAAATGTGAGGCCAGCGAATCTCGAGAGACTGGAGATTCGGCCAGGACCATGTGACGGCATCCAGGAACGCATCGTCTATGACCACTAGGCAGTAGCCGTCGATGGAAAGTTTTTGAAGCGCGGGCAAGGAGAGTAAGGGGGCGATGTGCCGGGACTGATAGACCTGAGGCATTATGCTGTTCCACCGACCGATGGTGAGGTCGACTTCCCCGATGTTTCGGGAGGATGGATGATTCGCGATGGACGTACAGAGGGCCTCGAATAACATGTCCGGCAACGCGCCGGGCTCCGAATCTTCATTCCGGATGCATACTCTCCAGAGCGAGGGGGACGTGACGACGTTCAAGAATGCGATGCACCACTCGATGGACGGCCTGAGTACGACGAGCTCCTTCAGGGCGGGAAAGAGATCAAGGTGCCTTCCGTGCGGAAAGGCTTCCCAGTCATACTCTGTCAGATCGACATGCACGACAAGTTCTTGCAGCTTGCGCAATGACCCCAAAGACAAGAGAGCGGTGGGCGAAACGTACATCCAGTACGATTCGAATTTGAACAGGTGTTGGAATGTTCCGATTGCAGAGCCGGACAGTCGTGCTGACATTTTGAGATCGTGTTTGAGAGTGTTGCGATAGAACATGCCGGGCTGAGCCATGGTGAGGTTCTCTACCAACGGAGACAGATAGGACAGGCTTTCCACCACTTCCGTGGGTCGCCATTCATCGGATGACCAATCTCCGAATTCGAGGGACACCTCACTCAACTGGGAGCTGAATAGGGGCTCCGAACGATACAGAGGGCCGCGACCAGCAATCCCAGGTTCGTACATGTTGTGCTGATGAATTTCTGAGTGGTAGAGAGTACGCAGGTTCGGGAGTAGAGGTTGCGGTCCATGAAGCAGCAGCGAGGTCCAGACGTCGAAGGGGATCTCATGATCCTTGAACAGTTGTTTGTCGTTGTCTTCGGCCCTGAGCGCCTTGACGCGGGTAGCGTACGTGGAGAAGCGAAGGAAGTCTATCGTGACCGGCTTTCGATGAAATATCTATACAACCTTGTTTAGCAGTCGTTGACATGGACTCGAAGCTGTACTCACCACATAATACTTGACTGCGCGTTCTCGTGAGCTAACTTCTGCGGTCACGGGTACGATGGTACACAGGTCCTCCGGAAGTGTGTACGCCACCAAGGGCACCAGAGACCCTATTGTGTTCCAAAGTACATCGAGCGCAGGTTTACTGAGATAGCTGCAAGTCAGGGCGAGCGCTGCGAGGGATGGTTGATTTTGCGGGGCGCCCCAAAGGTCGGGTTTTCGGAGGAGGCAACAGATATGCAAGATGATCTCGCGAGACAGAGCTGTGAGGTGCGGTCGTGACATTATCGTGTAAGGTCCTTTCAGATCCAGGGCAAGGAGTAGGGGAAGGTCGTGGTGGAACGGTTGACGGCTGCGCTGCATGACTATCACCTCCAGGTCAGCGTCAAGGACCGGGCGGCATACATCACCAAATCTCACGCTTACCATTGCCACAAGGAAGCGATCTGCCGCTCTCGTACCGTGGCCCGTCCTACTTCGCTTCCGTGCGTGCTAGCCCTCAAGCGCGATCGGGGTCTTCCTCGGTGTTGCATCTGCGCTGGCTACTATGATAGACTTATACGGGGTCAAGCCACACCGCTAGAGCTGGAGAACGGTCCTGCGCGCTGAAGGCTTGTTCGCAAGTCATGAAAGTTCCGAGTGCATGCGCAGCTGAGGAGACCCAGAATGAAATGAAACACAGTCAGGAAACCGTGACTAAGGGTCTTGCAAGTAGACACTCACCATTGAACTTCGTGTAACACGGTTAAGTCGTCCTATGTTGGCGCGCACGGCCCATGTGGTCCTTGAGAAGTGTATACACCAGCCGGGGTAGGTGCCTGCGGCGTCCTTATCATGTGGCGCGGGAGAGAAGAGCGTGTTCGCGACCTATGTCGGACAAGGACTATTACGGATGATCTTGATGCATTGACAAACCGTAGATACTTAAAGCCTGTAACTTTGTCAGGGTACCTGAAGGGGAAGAAGAATTCCTGATACTAGTAGTGCCCCATACCTTGGATCAGGACCTGGAAAGCCTGCGGACCTCTTCGGACTTACCGCGCGCGTTCGGGTCCGTTGGAGAAGGCGATGTCTGTGTATAAATCACCGTGCTTTAGTTCGCATCATTACTATGGCCCTTCAAGCATATGCCCAGGGATGCAGTCCTCTGTTCGATGTTGACGGTACGTATACAGCCTCGGAGAAGCCGCCGAGACGAATGTTGGACGCCTGGAAGGTCCCAGAGTGGTTCTCAGCATCTCATAGAGTCACCTCCTTGCCTTAATACCCTCCTATTAAGGCCTTCAGGAGCAGTTCTCAGCGTTCGCAACGTTTGGACTGGGACAAGACGTTTTCGAAACGTTGGTGTGGTGATGAAGAACAACAGAATTTGCTCAAAATCGCCGAACTGGGTCCGTTCCGCTTCTGGTATTTTAACGTTTATTTATCTGCCGAAGTGATGAAGTATGTATGCGATCACTGATCTTCCTAAGTAGTACTAGAGATTTGATGAAGCCAATCAGTGCGATATTTACCCAAACCGGAGCTTGTCAACATCAAATCCGCTCAAAAACAGCTCACCTCCTTCCCCGACGTGCTCGACGTGCCCGACGTGGAGCTCGCCGCCCCTCGCTGTCTAGAGGATCTCGCGCCGCCGCTCCTTCTATGTCCAACCATGCGCAGTCCTCCTCTCCCTTCTCGCGACTCTCTCGTCTAGCTTTACCGTTTAAGTCGACTCCGTCTTCCCCCCTTGCCACTGAGCCCCCTTCGGAGGACTGGTACATTCCTTACCACGGGCCGATCGAACCTCCTAAGGAGGATCGCACTACGGACGAAAGAAACACGGACAGCTGGGGACATCTCGTTAGTGGATGGCTGATGGAGAATGACGGGCGGACGGAGCGCTCGCCTCGAATCCGCGCGATGTCCAACGCGTCGCGGGCGGCAGCAGAGGAGTACAAACGTAAGAGCTCTCGTATCCAGCCGTCTTTCGTAAAGCTGGATCAAGCTGGTGGTGTCGGGGAGACCCCTCCGCCTGCGCGACCGCGTCGGTCCCAGGAGGCACCCCTGCATCACCGCTCGAGTCTCGCAAGCATCCTGTCCTTCGGAACCAGGAAGGCGCACAAGCTCCAGCACTCATCTTCTGCGGGCGACCTGCGGAAGGATCCTACCCCGCCGGTTCCCCAGGCTGCAACGCAGGACTCCAGTTCGCCTCCGACCTTCCCTCGCAGACATCCGTACGCCCTCGCGACACCCGCCCCCTCCGTCCCTCCTCCTCCGCCGGTTTCTAGCCCCGTCGTCACGACAGCCCCTCGAAAGAACCCTACCACTTCGCGATTCTCCGTCAGGCTTCTCGACCCTCTAGCAGAGAAGCCTACTGCCCCTGCGTATCTCCTTCCCTCTCGTCGACCGTCTCGTATCAGCCTCAAGGCCTCGATGTCCACCCCCAACCTCCGGCAGGCTACAGGGACTGCAGCTGTACTCCCGAAGGGCAAGCAACGTTGGCTCTCAGCGGAAACCTGGTGCGATGCTCTGATTCTCCCACGGCCGCGCTTCGCTATGCGTCTTCTAGAGGGCGAGGAGGGCGGTAGCGGTCGCATCGTCAGTCCCCCCGGAAGCCCGCTATGGCCACCCGGCATGGAGCCCCCGCTGGAAGTTGCGGGCGCGAAGATACTGAAGAAGTCGCGTTCGGCGATACAGCTGTCTTCGCGTCCACATCAACAGGCTTCACCGCCGCGCCCCGCGCCTGTCCAGGAGGAGCCTGTGCGGGAGATGCCCGTAGCTGGGCCGTCAAGAGTAGTACAAGCGAAGGACGATACGAACACGCACCTGCGGCCGCCACGTCCAAAGAGTTTCGCGCTTGACGATCTAGCTTTGCCCAGTCCTGTGCCGTCGCTGTCCAAGTAAGTCCGCCTTCATTCCCATGTCGGCTGCGTGCACGGGCGATACGTTGGATGCTGATGTCCCCGCTTCACAGGGTGCTCGAGGATGGAAGGCAGTTGGCGGAGGAGCGGAAGACCTGGCAGCGAGAGGCCGCCAAGTCGTTCGGGCACAAACGGGCACGCACCGTGTCTCGGGCGCGCGCGAAGTCTCTCAACACTCGCGCGCCGACGCATGGAAGGGAACCGAGCGCGTTTGACGTGCTCGCGGAGGCAACCTTACTTGGCAGCCAGAGGCGCCGTCCGACGGTCCATGTGCGCGTACGCCCTCCGCGCTCGGATGGGCACGGCACGACAAGCGGGTTCGGGACGACCATGACGGGCACTGGAACAGGCATCGGAACTTGGACATCGGTCTCTCATGGACAGATACGTTCGCGCGGCCATGGGCATTCGCAGTCCGTCGGCTCCATCGCCCCCTCACGTTCGGACGAGTCGTTCATGTGGACTCCCGGACACGGGCGGAATCACTCCTTGGGCCGGTCAGCTCTCAGAATGGTGCGTACTACCGCGACAACAGCTGCCGGTTTCTGTGGTATCGCGGGTGGGCATGAGATTGACTACGATCGCGATAAGGGAAAGGCACCAATGAACGAGAAGGCGGCTGCGATGGAAGAGGCTCTGCGGCGCGAGGGCACGAAGGTGATACATTTGCGCGACCAGATGCCCCGTCGGGAAGAGCGCGGCGCAGGCGGAGTCGTACTGATCACCCCTCTGCCGACTGCGGGTCCACATTTGGGTCAACTCCAGCCGGGAGGTGGTCCAAGCGGGACGGACAGAATTTCACCAACGCCATCGGGACTGTCGACGTCGGCAGAGGGCGTTGGCATCGCGATATCTTCCCCAGTTCCGCCGGAGGATCCAGCCGACACGGAGCCGATCCGCATAGTAAACCACCCGTACGCCCAAGGAGCAACATACCCCTATTATCAGCGCACTGCAGGCAGGGCTCCTATACTTCCAGCTATCCAGGCGGTCCGATCGGACAACCCCGATGCACCCAGCCCTACCAGCACCACTGGCGAGGATGGCGGCACCAAACATCGGCAACCCGTCATTCACCATCCATACTCGCCATATGCGCAGATCCAGCACCCCTTCGCCGCCGTCACTGGCAATTCCCCCTCTCCAAGCAGGGACCTAAGCCCTAGGCCGGGTCCTCGGGCGAGAGGCGGCAAGCATCTGGAAGTGCGGGCGCCTGGGCCTAAGAGCATGTTCGCCGAGCTCAGCCCTGGACAGATTCGAGAGATCCTCCCCGACGAGATCCAGTACTCGCCCTTCATTCCCACTCCTCCCGTTCAACTCCCTGAAGGGTCGAATCCATCGCGGCATCCATACGGTCCCTCGAATAACCGGATGAGCGAGTGGGGCTTCGCCGACGCGCTCAGCCACACGATGCAGAGGCCATTGAGCACGGACAGTGGTCTCGGGACAAGCGAGAGCCACTCAGCCCCACATCCAGAGATCATCCAAGTCTCGCATGTTCTAGAAGACCAGGACGAGATCGTCATCAGCCCCGACCAGGAGTACGAGGAGCAGGACCTCAACATGCTCTCCCCGCGCTCGCAGTCGGCGTCCGGTGGGCCAGACGGCCGCCTGCGTCGTCCCGTTTTGTTGCGGGATACCACGCTGGCGTCGTCCAACCACACTCTGGCGTCATCTCCCATGGAGCACATCAACCCTCCTGTCTTCAGGAAAGAACCGTCTGTCGGAGAGCGGAGTTTCAACTCTTCTGGGTCGTCTCCGGGCGTAGTGTCGAACCAGTCCTCCCCGCCCCTGTCGCCTCGCCCCATCACCAGCGATGGCGATGACCTGGACCGCTTCCGCGACCTGTTCTACCGGCCACCAGAGAGCAGGACGCCCTCATCAGACGACTCGCGGCCGCCCGTCTCCCGGCGTCCCAGCGGCAGCGCTAGCATTCCCGTCGAGCTGGGTTCGCGCAGCACTCGCACCCTCAGCGGGCTCACCTCTCTCGCGCGTCAGCTCAACGAGAATATGGAGGAGATGGAGGCGTACGAAAACATGATGGAGGGGTACGATCGTGATCGTGCGTCGCCCATGTGGGGTGCGCGTTATGGCGGGTTGGGCGGGCAACGTCCGGACGACCTTGGCCCCGAGCCGTCGCAGGTGTTGTCGCAGTCACCTCCGGGGTTGATGTACGAGCGGGAAGGGACAGGGACGCCGTTGCGGCTTCCCATCGACGCGACTCTTGCGCTCTCACAGCCGTCAGATAATGTGCCGGAGGACGTACAGTCGTCAAGGGCCTCTTCGATGTTGGAGCTGCCTCTTGAGGAGGATCCTGAGCGTGAGTCCAAGTGCTGTGTAATTGACAGGTGCATACGGTCCTGACGTGTGATGTCCTTCTAGATATGCGAATCGGCGAGATCGAGGCCGTGAGCACCCCGCCCGCCTTCGCGTCGCCCCAGCGCTTCTCGACCCACCTATCCGCTGTCGGCTTCCCCAGTGGCGAGATCAGTCCGGTCAACGAGCGCGACGCGCGCCGTGGTGTATCGCAGTCCAGCCTCAGCGTCCCCTTCACGCCCGACGCTACACGGGCGAGCTTCATGACGAACACCTCCGGCATGTCCGGCCTGTCTGACTTCCCGTCGCCGCCCAGCCAGATCACCGCCAGCCATATGTCTATCCTTAACGCCTACTATGGCGAGGGCGCCCACGATTACCGGGAGAGCCACTACGACCTTTCCCGGCCTGCGCTGGTGCGGGAAGCTAGCCAGGCTACGTTCGGACAGCAGCAGATGGGCGAGGCGCTGTAGGGCGCCTTACTGCAGCTCGCTCGCACACACTATCTTCGTTGTATTATTTGGCGCCACGGACGGTTCTGCGGTTTTATGCTCGCTCGTTCTGCACGGTCGTTCTAACGGATTCTCGTATAATATCTATGTTCGCCCCCCCTTAGGCCCCAATCCCTCCCCCGTACGTTCACGTAGACATGTCCTTGCACATTCCTGCCCCGCGTCCCGGTTACATGCATGCTTTCGGAGTCGTCGTTCCCGGATGTTTTTATTACTTCAGATTATTGTCCATAGTTTTTATGCTGCGGCGGATCTTCGTTCACATATGAAAGTGCGATATTGATGTCGGTCGTGAGACGACTCACGGGAGGGAATAGTATGGTGCGGTTCGGTGCGTAGATGACTTCGATCCCAACCCCCTGGACCTTGAAGGCTGATTATCTTCAAGTATTGGTCGGTATTGATTGGGGTGGCGCAGGGGACCATCCTTGCCGTAGGACATCATAGAACCGCTGAGCACGCCCTGAATGCTCCGTAAGCAGCGCATGGTACTCGGCAGAGGAGAGCATCTTTAAGCGAAGTAGAGCGCGAGACGTACGAGAACAGGAGGCCAATTACCGTTGCCAGACATTTTGATGCATCTGGTGAGCGTTCTGTTTGGCGCTGTACGCGGCTCGTTCTCTTAAACCAACTCGACGATCGTGCAAGGTGCCCCCTCAGAGGCTACAAACTCCCTCCAGGACGCCGACATCGCGCGATAATGGCTCGGCCAACCATCACTAGCCTGTCGCGCGACACAATTTCACGCATCTGCGACCTTCTCATTGAACCATACAACTCACACGCTACGAAAAAACATCTGGTTACCCTCGCTATCACTTGTCGGTGTTTGAGCGACCCTGCACTTGATGCACTCTGGCGGTCCCTAGCATCCTTGCTTCCGCTACTACTGTACACACTTCCGGAGGACCTTTGCGGTGTCATTCCTCATCTAGATCACTATGAAGTGGTGAGTGTTTCGGTCGGATCTACATGTTACGTTGTATTCAGGTCACGACCCAGGTGTTCCTCCGCGAACCGGTCCCGGAAGACTTCATCCGGTTTTCCACGTACACCAGCCGCGTGAAGACGTTCTTCTGGGAGAGCGACATGCCATCCTTACCCTGCTTCCTCATATCCCCTGATGTGTGGACCACCCTGCTGAACATCGGCCCAAAGCCTCTCCTTCCCAATGTGCGGATCGTACACCATCAAGAGGCAGAATACGTAAATCTGGAGGAGCGCGACTACACACGAGGCCCGTTTTACCCTGCCGAGCTCCTTCTAGGGCCGAGATTGGAAGAGGTACATATCGACTACGGCGGTTGGCCCTCCGATCAACAGCGTCCAACCGAGCTCGCCAGAGCCATATCCCGCTTTGCTCCACGAGTAACGAACTTCCACGTCTTCGCCGAGGTGCGCGGTATTAGCACCCGAATCTCCGAGTACAGAAAGACTGCATTTCTATCCTGCCCCGACATCGGGAAGCTGCAGGGCTTGGTCGAGTTCGATGCCTACAGCGTCAACGTCATGTCTGCCGCTCTAGCGGCGCTCGGAGCTCTGCCCAGGCTGCAAGAGATGCTGCTCCGCGTACAATCCACGGCGTACGACTGGGATATACTGCCGCACGGCAAGCGTGGGCGTTTCTTCCCCGCCCTTACGAAGCTCAAGCTATACGAGACTGCCGGCGAATGGTGCACCGCGTTCATACATGCCGTGACTTCGACCTCGATCTGGAAGCTCGAGCTCGACTACCTGCACGAAGGTGGCGTCATGGATCCTACATTGGTCGAAGCTCTCTGCACTTCCATTGGCACTCATTCATCCGCCGGCACGCTTGAGGTGCTCATTCTCCGCACTGGGGGCGTCCTGCAGCGTGAAGAACAGCCAGTGGTTTACCAATCGCAGCAACTCGCACCCCTCCTCTCTTTACCCGCACTTCGCCACCTCTCCGTAGATGGAAATTGCCAAATCATCGCGGACGATGCTTTTCTCGACGCTATGACACGGGCGTGGCCCAATCTTGAGAGCCTGCATTTCAGGTGGCCCCACCAGTCGCAGCCCGCGTTGCGAGAGCCCGGGGACGAGAACTACCCTAAGGCCACACTCTTCGGGCTCCTCCTCTTCGCGCACCATCTCCCGGCCTTATGCTCTCTTGAACTAGCCATCGACATGCGCGAAGTCCCCAATCTTGGGCAGGCGTTCCCGCCCGTTTCTCTCCGAGGGTCCGGCGCGTCTACTCTAGAGGAATTCTGGGTGTCAGGCTCGGTTTTAGGGCCGAACCTCGACCTCCCGGCTCTCGTCAGTTTTTTCTCGGCGGTGTTTCCGAGCTTGCGCTACTTCCGTCACTCAGACATGATACTTTACGGGCTGATGGAGATGCACAAGCATTTCGTGGCGATACGGCGGCAGGAGAGAAAATGGGCACTCGCGAACGTGAGCGTTTTCGAGCGTGAGGACTCGAATCCTGGGGCTGAGACCGAAGAGCTGTAGCAGGGTAGTCTGGCCAGTATATAAATAAACAACCAGCCCCTTCAATGAGCCATCCTGATATCCCAGTGACTTCGCGACTCCGTCCTGGCTGACCCTCAAGTTCATCTCATCCACTTGCTACACTACCATACTAGTCCAAAATATGCTCGTTATATGTGCGCTGTCAAATATACCCACTTCAATCTATACGATGCATGGCGACACTCGGCAAGCACACTGCATAACGAACATGTGTACCGGGACCAGAGCTACTTTTTAGCGCTCATAGATCTCATCGGTACGAGGCGTTGAGTCACAGTGAGGCGGACGCGAGCCGCCTCTCGAACACCATCTCTCGTCTTCTCCATCTCATGAAATATCTCAACAAGGGATACTACTCTGAGTACCTGCAGGACGCACACACTTGCCTCAGCTGCTATATCTGCACTAGTGGAGCAGAACAACACACTCAGTGAAGGCGCCTCACCATGATTATTTGGACGAAAATCAGACACGGCTAGTCGTCTAAGTACTGGACTATGCACACCCTAGAAACGACACTTTCCCTGATGAGCCGGGACGTATATATCCAGACCAGCCAGTTCCGAAGGGGTTTTGTTATCAAAGGGACGGCCGTCTTCCCGTAAAGCTCAAGTGCTGGTTTACAAAGCTAGGTACGGGACACTCCTCACGACCTTCTCCTTGTCCTGACGATTTGGAGGTTAGATACATGGAGCTTAACATCGTTTTTTCGTTGTATCATGCACTGAAGCGACGTAGGGCACGCTATGGTACGGAAATGGCAGCTCGCCTGTCTGTTTCAACGGTATGCCGCCCAATGCCGTCCAGCTCTTGACGCCAGCGTGCAGGTCACCGTCACTCAACGTAGCGACGAACCGTACTGCTCCCACTATGCCCTCATCCCCCTAAATCCTTGACATTCAGAATTTCAGGGCCGCTATGTCCCGATCCCTGCTCGCTGCTCTTCCATACGACGTCCTCTTGCGAATCTGCTGTCTACTCTTGAAAACGGATGCAGAAGTTTGGCCGCGAAAACCGACAAGGCAACCTTTCCTCGCTGCCCTCGCAACTACTTGCAGCTATCTCAGTCGGCCTGCGCTCGATGTCATCTGGGCCAAACTAGGCTCCCTGGTGCCGCTGGTGGCATACACACTTCCAGGGGACCTGTGCGCGATCGTTCCTCTCCCTGCAAGGAAAAGACGATCCATACATCTTGTTGAATATCAGGTGGTAAGTCCAGCCTCGGCATTTGTACTGCCATCCTATATTCAGCGAGACAGCGTAGATAATCCATCGAGAACCCGTCGCAGACGATTTCCGTCGTTTCTCCATGTATGCAAGCCGTGTGAAGACGCTCAAGGCGGAGGACTGGGCGGGCGCTCAGCTCTTCAGCAATCACGAGATCCCCTTCGACGTCTTGGTCAAGTTGCTGCATCACGGGCCCCAACCCCTACTCCCCAACCTACGCTCGTTGACCTACTCCGAAATCTATTGGTTGAATCAGGATGAACCAGTCGTTTCTGGCCGCGGCCCGTTGTATCGCTCGGAGCCCTTGTTTGGGCCCAGACTGAAAGAGGTGGACATCGACTTCGGAGATTGGCCTTCTGACGAGCTGCGACCAACGGAGGTCGTCTGGAGCTTGTCCTATCGGTCCCCATTGGTAGAGAGCATCACCATATCCCAGCACGGTATCTGCTATCACAAACACGATCTATCGCGGTCAGCGCGCCTGGTCGGCCCCGCAATCGGAACACTTGTTCACCTGGTCAAGTTCGACTCGCGCATGGTGTTCACTTCTCCCCCCGCTCTTTGGGCTCTCGGTTCACTCCCCAAGTTGCAAGAACTTGCCGTGTATGTCGATCCGACGGAATACCATTGGGGCGCCCTGCCGCATGGAAGGTGCAGCAACCCATTCCCCGCGCTGAAGGGTCTCTCTCTAGTCAGTGTCCCCTTGGAATGGAGTGTTGCGTTCATGGGCATTGTGTCATCGCCCTCGCTCAGGACAGTGGACATCAAATTTCAGGACTCGAATACCGCCGTGGTACATGGCATGCTGTTAGAGGCGTTCTGTACGTCCATCGCAAACCATCCTTCTTCCGATAGTGTCCAGGAAATCTCCTTCAACCTCGACGTCTGGGGGGACTCGCGCAAAACAACCCAGGTATATCTGTCCCAGCACATCTCCCCCTTGCTCTCTTTACCTGCGCTCCAAAAGCTTTCCGTTCACGGCTCTTCCCTAGTCATCGTAAACGATGCATTCCTGGATGCTGTCACATGGTCGTGGCCGAACCTCCGGTCTCTTAAGATCTACTGGCCAACTTCAAGCATCGGCCGGACAGGCATTGGGCCCGGGGAGCTCGGATACCCTGAGGCCACACTCGCTGGTGTACTCCTCCTCGCGCGCTATTGTCCTCGCCTCACATCCCTCGACTTCCCCGTCGACATACGCTCTGTCCCCAGTCTCAACCACCATCGGCCTCCGGTTCCCCTATGGCCGTCATACGAGTCTCCTCTTGAGACGTTCTGTCCAACAGGTTCTTCGTTCCGAGCGGACGACGCGGTTGCTCTTGCGATGTTTCTCTCCGTGATATTCCCGAACCTCAAGTCGTTCGGGTTCCCGTGGCAAGACGACGACAACTGCGCGAAGGTGATGGGTCTGCATCGGCAATGCTTGATGATACGGTGGCAGGAGAGAAGGTGGATGTTCGCAAATGGGCGGCGGTTCCGTGAGCCCGAACCTGACCCATATCTGTGGGAAGAAAGCGATGAGGTGGCCTTGACTCGTGAGTCTACATTTCAGCACATCACGCGTTCTGACTATTTGTCTACAGAAGCGTAAAGTTGCAACGCGCATGAGTCGGTGGTACTTGAATGGATCTGAGGACACGAACGTTTGGCGGACTCCCTGCTCGGCGACTGGGTCGGCGTCGCGTCGTTTCTCTCCGCGGTGTTCCCGCGTCTATCGGAGCTCGCGCATACGGACAGATACGACGCAGTACAGGAGTGGTCAGAGGTGAAGAAACTTCACTCAGGGTTTGTACAGGTCCGATCGCAGGAGAGGGCGTGGGCGCAAAGGCGTGGACGGCGGCTTTGAAGCCCGCCTGACTTGGACATCCTACTGGCACTTTAAACTAGCAACGAGCTTCTATATACGCTATTTTTGTGTGTTCTCCGGCAGCTTTCCTTTGAAGTAGCTTCAATTCGGATTTTCATCTGTGTTACTTCGTAGATGTTGAAGACATGGGCAGGCATGCGTCTACGCAGGGCGCCAAGAGTTCTCCTGGCGACGCGCGGCTGGCGTGCCACACCATGGCTCCGCCCACCATCTTCTCCCTCCCTCCAGACACCATCCTGCGCGTGTGTGAACTGCTTCGTACCGAACTTAACTTCCTCCCAGACAGGTCCCACGATCTTGTGTCATTCGCTCTCACCTGTAGGTCATTAAGCGAACCCGCCTTCAACACGCTCTGGTATAGAATTCGCTCTCTAGCCCCACTCCTTAGCACTCTGCCTAAAGACCTGTGCACGGCTGCTCCGTTCGTCTATAAGGGCATCAAAGGCACCCTTGAGCCCCGTATACGGTCTCAGTCGGTGAGTGTGACCCGGACCAAGCTGCCCGTGCATACGCGCACAGCGAATAAATTCACTTAAATCATCATGTACGCAGGTATTCTTGCGAGCCCCGGTACCGCGAGATTTTGAGCGATTTTTCACGTACTCCAGGCGCGTCAGGGAGCTCGGAGTCGGGAGCGAGGCATCTGCGAAAGATCCTCTAAGCGGAGAACCTCTATGCAACGATTTTCGGCTCGGTCTAGGCACTGACCACCAACTTTCGTTTGCCGCATGGGACTTTCTTTCGGCGTTCGGCCCCAAGCCGCTCCTTCCTAACCTACACTCTATCTATCTTGCAGAACAGGTACATCATGCACACGTCGACTGGCGATCAACTCCACTTCACTCCATCGACTTGCTTTGTGGACCCAGGCTAAAGGTAGCGAAATTTAGCTGCACCGACCCGCACCACGACCCCGAGTCCGCAGCCAAACTCGTCCGCACCTTATCGCGCGTGGCCACCGCATTGGAAAGCCTAAGCATCGATTCTGGTCCAGATATCCAAATCACGGCCGAGGTCCCTGAGGACATGGGCTCTCTATACGGCCCGGAGATTCGTCTCTTCACTCACCTCAACACCTTCATCGCGCGCTCTGTACGCATCGCACCCGACGCTCTCATTGCTCTAGGAAGCCTGCCCTCACTGAAGGTGCTGCTGCTGCACGTCAACCCTGCGGAGTACGACTGGGATGTATTGCCGTGGGGCAGCAGAGGCAGCCTTTTCCCCGCCCTTGAGCAGCTCACGTTGCACAAGATCGACTTCGTGTGGTGCACCGCATTTCTGGATATCCTCCCGTCTACATCGCTCCTCAGCCTCTCCTTCCGCTGCCAGTACGACCCAGCTCCCCCTCCAACCGCCTTGCGAGCGCTCTGCGTGGCCATCAGCAACCTCCCGTCCGCCCTCTCCATCATCAACCTCTTCTTCATCATCGGCGCCACTCTCGAAGACGCTATGTACCAGTTCTGGGGGTATGAGATCTACTGGTCGGAGGACATCGCCCCGCTCTCAACCCTGCCGGCGCTGCAGCGACTGGTCTTCAGCGGCCAATGCGTCGTCGTCCTCGAAGACCTCGCGCTCAGGACCATGGCACGGGGTTGGCCCGACCTCGCCCAGCTCGTCCTCACGTGGGCCTGGAATGCGCTCGCTCGTCCAGACGACGCCCGCTCGCCCGAGGACGACGACTTCCCGTACGTGACGGCCTGGGGCCTCATGCAGCTGGCGCGCTACTGTCCCCGCATGACCAACCTCGCGCTCGCGGCAGACTTGCGGTTCGCGCATACCGAGTCTGACCTTGCCTCCGCGCGTACCGTCCCGCCCGTGCCTCTCCGCGGGGACGCATCGTCTGCGCTCGCAGTGTTCGACGCCACGGGGTCTGTGCTCGGCGACAGTGTCGGCGTTGCGTCGATCCTCTCGCTGGCATTCCCGCAACTCTCGCAGCTGTGGAACAGATGTACCGCGTCGACACGTAAGTGGCGCGAAGTGAAAGCCCTTCACCCTCAGTTCGTGCGGGTTCGGTCACAGGAGAGGGCGTACGCTCGGAGACATGGGCGACGGCTCCGGGAGCCTGACTTGGGCGTCGAGCTTGGAGATGCGGAAGGTCCCCCAGCGGATGAGCCTGCTCGACCATAACATTGAAGATACCAGTATGGTGTATGTTACATCGCCCTACCTATAGGTTCTGCGCTCCGCATGCGTCGCGCTCAGCCTGGACAAGATGTAGGAGCACTTACATGGTCAGTTCCACCTTCGAAGACCCGTAGAGAAGAGCTGACACATCAACCAGAGAATGGACAAGTGGTGCAGCGGCGTCGCAGATAGATGCGGAGAACTTGGACCAAGTGGTGTCGTCGAGCTCCGTTGAGTGGTGCCTCTTCGCCTAAGGATATAGAGCGACTGGGGCCTCGAGAAGTAGTCACCAGAGAGGTCACTGGGTACCTTGTCAGGGATGTGGTGTGCTAGAGGTGAAGCTTGAGCTTGAACCTCGTCTCGGGCAGCTTGGCGGCGATGGCGCAAACGTCAAAGTGAGCAGTGCCTCTCTATCTGAGGCTTGATGTCCCACCGTTACTCACCTCGTCCCGGTCTAGGTATACGGTGGTACGACATTCCGCCGTATGGTGCACATGTCCACGCCGCTGCTCGGGGACGTCGCCATCCACAGGCCAGAGCCTTCAGGCGCGCATCTTTGGCAGACGCCACCGCCTGTTATCCTCCGGGTGCTCACCTCTTCTCCACCTACGACGTACGAAATGCCGAGCTAGATACGCCTCGTCAGCTATCAGGACACAGGAAGCCCTACACGCACTATCAGCCGCCGAAGCCGTCGAGGCAGACCACGGGTGGTATTGCACGCGCCCCGCCTGGCACCGTACCATGGCGGTGGACGGGATGCATGGGTACGCGGGGTGGGGGCGAGGGCTGTCACCCGCCGTGCCAGCCGTGGCCGTGCTATATGCCGATACGACTCTGCCCGACGGACGTGCACACGCGTGCTCCGCAGACTGAACTGCCATAACGCTGGATCGACACTCGGAGGCCACACTCCCGCCGGCATGCGGCGACGATCACGGCAATGGTCAGCGTGTAGAATGAGTGCCACTGCCGCCACTGTCCGTTGTCCCCATGTCGAGGACGGCGAGCAGAACCTAAAATGGTCGTGAGAACGCGATGCTGCCTGTTTTCCATCCCGCTGCGCACGACACACCGGTTAGCGCCCCGGCCCAGATACACGGGGCGTATACCCCCCACGGACGCGGTTCAGGGCAAATCTGCGCGCATCCGACCCGCCCGCGAGCGTGTCTTGGCTCCCAGGAGCCCTGTGCCAAGCTATGGGCAGCCCGGCGGAGGATGCGCCTCGCGCCCTGCCGTGGGGACGACACAGAAGTTGCCGTTACCCAAAACGACGGGCGGCGCTGCTACGCGGTCCTCATGTCTGCCCAGGGCACACGGTAGCGGGGTGAGTATCGTCGTGCCGTGGGTGCAGCGCGACGGTGAAAAGCGGGCGCGGGCGATCCTGCGTGCCAAGCTCTCTGCTACCGACGCGTGCTCCGCGCGAGTGCAGCACCCGCTCGCGGTTGACCGAGCGTCCGAGACGAATGCAAGAGGAGGGGATCGTGAGCAGCGCTCGCGCGCGCATCCCCACGTGCTTGGCGCCCCGCGCGGGCAAGAACGCGAAGGAGGATCGGCAGGAACGCCGTCCGGCCAATAGCCCACGCTCGTCGCGCCTTCCTCGCGCTTCTCCGGCCAGACCTCGGGGTAAGGAGAGGAAGACTGGGCCGGCCCTCCATAGTATTCGATAGGAGCGCCGCTGCCGCCTGCGCATACACCACTGATTCAGCAGGAGGGCTGAAACCTGAATGAAGGAGCCAAGCCGCTGGTCGGCGCGAACGTGCGAGCGTCAGGGCTCGGACTGCACGCTCTAGAGCTCCAGGCATATCGCCGCGAGCAGAGAGTAGGAATAGCACCGGTATCAGACTCAGGCTCGTGGAGTGGGGTGTGGACTTCCGCTTCCGCTCAGTGGCGACGGAGGGGAATGCAGGCGGAGAGAGCAGCGTCGAGCGGCGACGCTAGCCGCCCGGTTCTGCACGATCGGGGTGAGAACGTCTGCGTCTGTCTGCGTCCATGGGCCCACTCGCCCCTACTCGCCCACGGTCATCGTGCGCTCCTGCCCCGGTGGGTACGTCGCGACGACGACAGAACTCTCATACACGGAGCGGAGATGTGGGTGGGGGACCAGGCGACTGGCGTAAAGAGCTCACGAGTGTCTGTACGCCTGTTACGAGGACGAGGCGTGGTGGTTTGCGCCGCGCAGTCCCACTGCCAACATTCCGCCGGACTGGGAGCAGTCTATAGCTATCACGGACGGCAGAGGAGCAGAACGGCGCGCCCGGACGGAAATACACGTCCGACCCGAGTCCGATTCGCGTCGCAGCAGCGCAGAAGCCTCGAGGTCTGTGGACGAGAACACGCGATGCAATGCGAAGCTTGCGGCTCGCTCAGGAGAGTTCAGCGTGCGTGCTTCGTCGGGCTTCCACGCGCGCTTCGCGAGCTGCTCAACGCCGTGCATCGCCGTTCATGGGACAGACGTCGAATGACCTCTCTCAGATGACGCGGGGCGAAGAGAAGGTCTCGCAGAGCTTATACGAAGACCAATGAGGCATGTACCATAACAATGTCCTGGTTATCTTGGGTGAGTGCTGTCCCAAAAGATCATGCGAGCGCCTACGTTGGCACATAGGAGACGAACCAGAGAGAAACGCAAGAGACTCCATTGCCAAGATGATCGGGTGGGCGAAGAGGCGTTCGTAGAGCCACAGGTAGGAACCGACGGAATACTCAAGCTCAAAAGCCAAGTCAGGTAGGGTCAAGCTCAAGCAGTCTGGGCATTCCGGGTATGGTGGGTGTCAAGAGACGAAACTCGGCCGGTTCAATAGGTCTCTTTACGCCGAGTCGCGCGGGGCTGCGAGCATCTGGGTGCAGTGCCCATTAAGTTATGACGTCGTCCGTGATGAACTTACGCAGCGAGCGCAGAGCACTGGTCATCAGCTGGAAGACGTACCTGATGGTGATAAGTATAGCGAGATGAACCGAATTGGATGGTGCCACCTCAGCAGTCTCCTGACCCGCACGCCTGCGGGCTGCTCGACGCACTGTTCGTTGCGCACCGGGCGTGCGAGCGCGGAGGACGAAACGTGCGCAGCTGAACAGAACGCGACAGCCAAGCCCGTCGGGTTGCGTTGGACAGACGAACGGAGATGGGCAGGATGAGAGGGCACAGATCGCGACGTTCTGATCTCGATATCAGATCTGCTTCGCGCACCGCTATCCAGCCACCCGAATCTTATCGCCCGTCGGCTGCACTCGGTGTGAGGTCATCTCCTCATCCCTCTTCCGCCGGCCTCCTCTTCCTCCCCGGTCCGACGCCGGTCCCTCGCTAATTTTGGCCGCAACCCAGCCAATGGGCGTGCCCGAAATCGCAAGCCGCGCTCGCCGAACGATCCCTCCCCGGCGGCGCGTGGCGAGGCGCCGGGCCTCTTTCGCACTTTCGCCCGTATTCGCGGCCCAATGCAGGATTTGCGCGAGCCTCTCTGTTGCGACCGCCGTCGATCTCGCGCTCGCGGCGGGCGCATGCGATCGGCCTTGGATCGGACCGAGTAAGAACGGACTGTAAGCAGCTCACTCGTCGACCGCATGACGCGCGAACGGAGGCAGCACGGAAGATGCAGATTTGTCGCCCGCATCGCTGCCGACGCTGCTGGCCACGGCGATAAGCAGCACGGCGGCGTCGCTTGAGCACGCTGGGCGCCGCGGCGCGCACCGCGACGGCGCACCAGATCGGATAATGGGGGGACGGTCTGAGGGGAAGAATAGTTTGAGCGCCGCGACGAAGAAGCCTGCGTCGGGTGGGCGGGAGTTGTCCTGATCGAGGGACTGCGCAGGCGGCTGCACGCCAAATGACTTTCGGGTGGCTGAGCGTTGAAGTAGCCGGTGGGGAGGGACAACGGCGGCGGGCGACATCTACACGTTGGCGCGGCTTACGACCGTTGCTCTATTCTCAGCGGGCGGAGGTGGGGAGCCGGGGGAGGTCCTAGAACGATGAACTTGGGCTCGAACTCTGCACGAACGGGTCGTGTGCCTCCGCACCTCGGGCGCTGCGCGGTCAAGGAGAAACGGGGTCGGACTTAGTGCGCCCATCAAGTAGCCATGATGCTGGGGTGCGGCTGGGAAATACTGGAATCGCCACACTCGGACAGAGGTGGGAGTGCGCGCGTGTTTGAACTGTTGATGTCGAATTCTATCCGTGAACCTGTGCATGTCGGCCTCGGATGCTCGATAAAGATATGTCAAAGGCGCTCTCAGAGGTACGGGAGCACGTCGAGCAATTTGGCGATCGTCCGTGCGGCGCGCGACCGAGGGTGTGCCTTTGCACATCGGGTTGTCAGCGCGCTGACAGTCGCGAGACACGCCCTTGACGGACGGCTCAGCACCTCGTCCACCGGGCATGAAAGCGGTGATCACACAAGTGTCGAGTTCGAGCAGACAAACATCGCATGCTAAGCTTCTGTCCGTGCGGGGAAGGAGTAGGTACGAAGCTGATTGGGGTGGTGATACATCATTTTGCAGCTGCGTTCATCATTGACTGATGAGCAGCCTCGAGGGGGTTCATTGGCCTGTACCGCGTTGTCCAATAGCTGGTCAGACGTGCTGGAATGTTGTGTGGCTGCACAGTCTGCGATTGACGAGGAAGAAGCTGATGAGGACGGGTAGCAACCGCCAAGGCCGAATATGGGACTGGTCTGCGAGGCTCGCGCCCTTCCAAAAGAGGCGCTAAGCCGCCCGCCGGCGACATCGCGACAGCGCGGGGGACGATTGCGGCTGGATGATAGATGGCAGTACGGCGGCTGGTAGACATGTGCGGTGCGCAGTGGCGGACGTGCCCGACGTCGACATCGACGGCGACGACAGGGCAGTCGACGGCACCCGTGCTGGTCCGAGGTGCGCACGGACTGCGTGCGGGAGCAGCGTGGGCAGCTGCAATCCGCGCAAATACGGCAGGAATTCCGGGTCGGAAGGCGCGGCCGACGCGGACGTTCTGGAGGAAAAAGGGAGCAAGGGCCCGCGGCTGGGATTGGTCCGGATCAAGTTGGAATCAGAACGGCGCCGGGCGGCGGCTGGGGTTGTTTGCGCGTGCTTGGCGGCAAGCTGGCGGTTGGGAGACTGGTGGATATTTAAGAGTCTGGCGGCTGCCAGCGTCGTTCCATCCTTCCTCCACCTCTTCCTCCCCGCCGCTGCAGCTTCCTCCGCCCTCGCTATTAGCGAACGCTCTAGCCTCCCTTAGGGTTTACCCTACCTCCCCCCACCCCGCCCCTCCCCCGCTCGTCAGCTCATGTCGGATCCCGTGGTCGAGAAGGAGGCTGGCTCTACCGAGCCGGCTCAGGCCAACGCACCCGAGCCTGAAAAGAAGAAGAGAGAGTACAAGGATTTTGGTCATGATGAGGAGGACAAGCCGTCCCGTACGTGCATTTTCGCGTTTGGCGGGCCTCGCGTAGATCTGACGCGAGACGCGCTTTTTAGACGCCAAGGTGGACATGTCTCAAATCCAACTCAAGGCTGAGGACCTCTACGACAAGGAGAAGGTCGACCTTGAGACCATCGTTGTCGACGATGTCTTCAAGCTGCTCCAGTGCGACGACAACGGTCTGACTGATGAGGAGGCCACCCGCCGTCTTGAGCTTTTCGGTCCCAACAAGCTTGAGAGCGAGGAGCAGAACGCGTTCCTCCAGGTATGTTTTTCCCCTCCAATCAAACGCGTCCAATCAATTCTGACGACCTCTTCCAGTTCCTGAGTTTCATGTGGAACCCTCTGTCCTGGGTCATGGAGGCCGCTGCCCTAGTCGCTATCGCACTCTCGAACGGCGAGCACCGCCCCCCGGACTGGGAGGACTTCGTCGGTATCGTCACCCTCCTGATCATTAACTCGGCCATTGGTTTCTACGAGGAGCGGAACGCTGGTAACGCTGTCAAGGCGCTCATGGACTCGCTCGCCCCCAAGGCGAAGGTCAAGCGCGCTGGTCAATGGCGCGAGATCGAGTCTTCCATCCTCGTTCCCGGTGACATGATCTCGTTCAAGATTGGTGACATCGTCCCCGCCGACTGCCGTCTCACTGAGTCTATCAACGTGTCCATCGACCAGGCCGCGCTTACCGGCGAGTCTTTGCCCCAGGGCAAGAAGCTCGGCGACCAGTGCTTCTCGTAAGTTTGTTCGCACGATTTGCATGATGTCACTTTCTGACTCGCAAATGTCCGGTTAGTGGCTCGACGTGCAAGCAGGGTGAGGCTGAGGGTGTTGTCATCTCCACGGGCCCGAACACGTTCTTCGGTCGTGCGGCGAACCTCGTCGGTCAGGACGACGACACCACCGGTCACTTGCAGAAGATTCTCGCCCAGATTGGGTCCTTCTGCCTGGTCGTCATCGGTATCTTCGTCCTCGCCGAGATCTTCTGCTTGTACGCTGGTTTCCGCTACTCGTACCGTCGCGGTCTCGACAACATCTTGGTGCTCTTGATCGGTGGTATCCCCATCGCTATGCCCACCGTCTTGTCCGTCACCCTCGCCGTCGGTGCTCAGCAGCTCGCCAAGTACAAGGCTATCGTCACCCGTATCACTGCCATCGAGGAGCTTGCCGCCGTCACCATCTTGTGCTCTGACAAGACCGGTACGCTTACCACCAACAAGCTCACGATCGATCGCTCGACCATCCGTACCTACGGCCCCTTCTCGGGTGAGGATGTCGTCCTCCTCGCTGCCTACGCTTCCCGCACGGAGAACCAGGACGCCATCGACCAGTGTGTCGTTGGTGCCATTGGCGACACTTCGCGCGCACGTGCTGGCATCAAGCTCCTGGACTTCAAGCCGTTCAACCCCGTCGACAAGCGTACTGAGATCACCTACCTCGAGGAGTCTTCGGGCAAGCTGAAGCGTGTCACCAAGGGCATGACCGGTATCATCATCGAACTCTGCACGCGCAACAAGACCGAGGAGCTCGAGAACCGTCTCGAGGCCGACGTCGAGGAGTTCGCTCAGCGTGGTCTCCGTGCTCTCGCGGTTGCCTACGAGGAGGTTGACGGTACCGACCACGAGGGTGAGGGCAACGGCTTCGAGCTCATCGGTCTCCTTGCCATCTTCGATCCCCCTCGTGAAGACACCAAGCAGACGATCGACGACGCCATGGCTCTCGGTGTCAAGGTCAAGATGGTCACTGGTGACCAGCTCGCTATCGCGAAGGAGACTGGCCGTCGTCTCGGCCTTGGTGACCACATGTACCCCGCTAAGGTCTTGAAGGACGGCCCCGAGCCCGGCAGCCGCTTCCGCAACCTCGACGAGATGATCCTCGACGCCGACGGTTTCGCTGGTGTCTTCCCCGAGCACAAGTACGAGATCGTCAAGCGTCTCCAGGCCCTCGGTCACCTGTGCGCCATGACTGGTGACGGTGCCAACGACGCCCCGGCTCTGTCCCGTGCCAACGTCGGTATCGCCGTCGAGGGTGCCACTGACGCCGCTCGCTCTGCTGCCGACATCGTCCTCACTGAGCCCGGTCTCTCCACCATCGTCCACGCCATCCGTGGTTCGCGTATCATCTTCCAGCGCATGCGCAACTACGCCATCTACGCTTGCGCCGTCACGATCCGTATCGTCGTCTGCTTCTCCATCCTGGCCTTTGCGTTCAAGTTCGACTTCCCGCCGTTCATGGTGCTGATCATTGCGCTCCTGAACGACGGTACCATCATGACCCTCTCCGTCGACCGCGTCCTGCCCTCGAACGAGCCTGATAGTTGGGACTTGGCTGAGATCTTCGCCTACGCTGTCGCGTACGGTCTGTACCTCACTCTGTCGACCATCGCCCTCGTCGCCATCATCATCCGCACGACCTGGTTCCACGACAAGTTCGGCGTCACCCTCCACAACGGCGCGACCCAGGCTCTGGACCACAACGACCCTCAGCTTCACATGATCGTCTACCTCCAGGTTGCCATCATCTCGCAGGCCCTGATCTTCGTCACGCGTTCGCACGGCTTCTTCTTCATGGAGCGTCCGTCGGTTGCGCTGTTCGCGGCGTTCTGCCTGGCCCAGCTTGTGTCTTCGATCATCGCCGCGTACGGTAACTGGGGCTTCACCAACATCCAGGCTATCTCTGGTGGCTGGATTGGTATTGTCTGGGTTTGGGTATGTCGTCTTTTTGATTCCTTCATGACGCGATCACTGACCCTTCTGTGCAGGACATCGTTTGGTTCTTCCCTCTCGACCTCATCAAGTTCGCGATGAAGGCCACGATCATTAAGTCCCTCCGGAACCGTCACAACGCCGCCGTTGCCGCGCAGACCGCGCACAGTGGTGTCCCGATCACGCGTACGACGTCGCGCGCGGCCTCGATCCACGAGTCGCTCTACTCGAACCGTGTCTCCTTCCTCCGTCGTGCCGCCCGCAAGGTCGGCTTCGGCCAAAAGATCCTCATGAAGCCCGAGGAGCTTCAGCGCTTCAGCTCTATCCAGGCTGCGCGCACTGGCAGCGTGCTTGCGCGCCACCCCTCTAGACCGACCGCTCCCGCGTAGACGGACGTCTACGACATGACCCGGACGACGACGACCCTCCCCTCCCCATAGTCCGCATCGTGTAGCGAACGAAGGCAGCAGCAGCAGCTTGTGGTGTCACTTCCGCGTATCCCCATCTACATCCATACCCCACCGCTTGACCCACACCCCCGCGTATCCCTAGTGTCCTAGTGAGCCCCTGCCCTCGTTTTGTTCACCGCGCGTCGGCGCGCGTCCGTAGAGTGTTGTGCACGTTCCTTTTCCTACATCTTATGACCCTGTACCTCGCCCCGCATCTACGTTTGTCTCTCACGACGTGTCTCGCGGTATCCGTAGTCCCTTAATTCCATACACTCACGCGTAGGACAGCAGACGACATTTGCTATACATTTACTACCGTAACGAAGGAAAAGTAATAAAAGCAGTCATAGAGCAACCAACCCTTGAGAGTGCCACGCGAACGGGAGAAGCAGCTGTTTCAAGCTCCGCGAATGGCCGAGTTGTGATCGCAGGTGTTGTCTCTCTTTGGCTCCTACCCTAAATAAGTTCGCGAATTAGAGAGTGTGCCTTGCAGCTCAGGACATAGGTACGTTCGTGGTCTCAACGGTACAGTCTCTCGCTAACAGGACGGTGTAGACCATGAAGCCGACGACCGTGGGGATGACCTCCCTCGACATTTCGACCCGCTCGCCGACAGGCGGTGAAGCAGCGTCGTCGGTGTCCGGTGCCTTCGACATACTGACAGGTACGTCTTCTGCTCGTTTGCCGACTCCACATCTAGCTGAAGGGGTCGTACAGGCTGTAGCAGAAAAGGCACCGGCCTAGCTCAGAAGCAGATCTATGTGGTATGGGCGTTCCCTTGTTCGGCTGCGTAGTGACAGGCCACAATGACCGGCGAACCTTACCCCGACCGCCCACATAACCCTCCCCGCACACTCTGTCGCTCCTTCTCCCGCCCACCATCTTCGAACATCGTCTGCCGCGCGAGACACGCCGTCTTGCGCGCAGCTGCTGCCGTCGACCCCGCTGCTGCCGACCGCGCCATCCGGACCATCCTACGACCAATCACCGCTTTTCGTCGCGTGTTACTAGTGCACCGCAGGCATGCCTCACCGACGCCTTTCATCCGCCGGTACCTGCCAGGTCGTTCCGCGGGAAAACGAGCTGCCGTGTCCTGATCGGGGGTACGGCGACCGCCCACGTCTTTGTCCCGCCCATCGCGCGGAGTACGCCCAGCTCACCGCGCAATACAAGGCGACGTCTGAGGAAGCAGAGGGCCTGTACACGCGCGTCCGCGCACAGGACTGGGACGACGCCACCCTCTGGAACTTGACCGATGTCGAAGAGGGGATAGCGTCCGCGAGTCTCTGTATCGACGTTTTGAATCGGGAGATTCGCGAGCGGCAGGAGCATCACAGGCGGTTCTTCATCGAGCGTACGTCGGGGATACATTTTATTGGAATCAATCTCACGAGGCTTACGGTCGACGGCGACGTTGCAGTGCACGACGGGCACGAGGCGTGGATCAACCGTCTGTGCAAGAAGCTGGTACAGGTAGAGGCCGTCGCAACACAGCTCGGTCATTGCCAGACTGCGCTCATCGACGACCAGAAGCGGCGTGCGGAGCAGACACGCCTTGCTGAAGAACGACGCAAGAGGGAAGCGGCGCGCCGCTCTTACTTGAACGACCTCGGGGCGAACTCGCGCTCCATCCCCGCCAGTACGCACAAGTACGACTACTGCGTGCGCCCGGAGACCAATCGCGCTTCACCCAAGTCTACGCGTCCTGTATGCGTCACCTATCTTGCCAACAACTCACGCTGTGCCTTGGAGGCCATGTACGGTGCTGTCAGATGCCAAGAGCACCAGGACGCATTCACCCAGACGCTCTCTTCACTTCGCGCCGCCGAGCAACAGTACGGCGATATGGGCGCGTCCGTCTATACCATCAGGTGTCGTGACGATCACACACTCTCCCAAGTCACCCAGAACATCCCCTACGTCGCTCGCTACCTCACGCTTGCGGACACAATCACCGCGCTGGCAGGGAAGCTACGCAGGCTGGACGGATACTGTAAGTATGGCCTCTTGGTCACATAGTCATTCTCGCTTACGCTTTTCGAAAGCCAAACCGATAGACGCGTATCGCGAGGCGAACATGTCGATCTATGGCTTACGCCGGGATGTCGTCGAGAATCTGCGGAATAAACTAGAGGGCATACGATCGAATCTAATGCGGCCTAAGCCGGCAGCAGCGGCGCAGAAGCCATACCGGGCACCGACTCGGGAGACGGCTCCGCAACGTCGCTCGGAGGACGAGGGCACTGGCTGGGTGGGCGCCATAGTGGTGAGTCTCTGGTATTTTCCGTTGCGTATGCGGAGTGTTGACGGGTGGACAGGCGGCCGCCGTTGTGGGAGTCGCGGCATTCTTTCGCTTTGGACGCTAATGGACACGATGTAGTTAAGCGTGTCGTGTGGTAAGCAGTGAACGTCGTCTTTCAACGAGTTGGTCTCCTTACACACTTCGGCAGCATGCCTCCTTGCGGAATTCTTTTCTGGCCATATCCGCCATACCCTGTCTATCGCCTTTTCATGTTTCCCTGCAAAGTCCGCTCTCACGATCGACTCGCTAGCCAGCTCTGCCTATGATCTCTACGCCAACATCAGGTGGCCCGAGCCTGCACCACTGTTGCCTTGTACCTCCGCCCCATATTCCATGGACTGTTCTCCGTCCCTGTATCTTTCGCTTTGTTGCTCGTCAGCCGCCACTCGTTTTCCTTGTACTGGTTACTGTGTCCGGTGAACCTGATCGGTGAGCGTGCTGCATTTCTGGCCTATCTTGCGCTAATACGACATTCTTCCGCAGGCGTATCAAAATGTAATATATACTGTCTTTACGGCAATTCAGCCGCGCATATGTGCTCACTACTCGCCCGGAGTCTGATGCAAAAACTGCTCTACAAGGTGCAAAGGGTGCAAGTTCCGTAAGTATAGCCCAGACGCTCCTCGGGTCAAGTCATCTTTGTGACGCGTCGTCCAATACCCGCCTTCGCCCTCAAGCCTCCGGTCGAACCTCTGAATCATTACCCTTTGGTTATCATGCAGCTCCAGCTTTTGTTCTTCCCGTGTGTTACTTGCTGTATGCAGTCAGGCTCTTCGGTGAGCGTACTACATGTATTGTTTGTTACCCGCTAACACGACGTTCGCATATCAGACTATAATGCAGCTCTCGTAAGAGCGAGCTTTGGTCGTTTTCTCGCGCCCGCGTCGGTCATTTGACGACGGCGAGACGCTGTGTCCATGGTGTATGAGCGGTATGTTTCTCTCGTTCCGAACTTCCGCGCCACCTGAAAGCTGAACCACCTCCGAACCCCAGCAGCTACAGAATAATCCAGAACAGTGTGCACACGGCATGGACGTCCTCCAGTTGTGCCTCATGTGAGCGGGCCATCATCAGCGATGTACTCGGGCCGTTTCCTGCCCGCGCACGTATCCTGCCTACGCATAAAACCATCCAGACCCCAACTACCCTTACCACCCCCGCCCACCATCCCCGCCTTGCACACAACCACCGCCGTAGACGCTGCAACAACATCTGGATTTCGAAACAATTCCTCCTTCTCTCCCTTTTCGTCGGCTGTCATTAACGGTCCACTATGTCCAAATCCCATCTCTGTGAAGTTGTGCCATCTGACTATGAGTTGCCCTGTCCCCATCGAGGGGACGGTAAGCGCCCTTCTCTCTGTGGTACTCACCGCAAGGAGTACCGGCAGCTCACGAAGGCATACAAGGAGACGTCCGAAGAAGCAGAGGATCTGTATACGCGCGCCGCATGCTGCGACCCAGAGAAACTTTGCACCTTGGCCGAGGTAGAAGAAGCGGCGAACACCGCGAGGCTTTGCATCGAAACTATCAACCAGGAGCTCCGCGAGCGGGAGGAGCAATCCCGGCGGTTCTTCATCAAGCGTGCGTTCCGGTCTTTGTCCGTGGACTTGGACTGACGGAGCTTCTATAGGGCACGGCGGGCATGAACGTTGGACTAACAGTCTATGCCAGAAGGCACGCGAGATAGAGCGAATCGCAGCTACGGTGGCTCTGCGCAAGGTGGACCTCGTCGTAGCTCTGGCCAAAGAGGAGCGACTTGTCCAGTGGCGCCTTGCGACACAGCGCAGCAAGAGGCCTCAAGCCACGTTGCGCAGCGTCTCGCAGTTCAACAGCGGCCGAACCACGAGGACGCATATCCCCTCGAGTGTTTCCCAATCCGGCCTCTACTTGTCACACGAGACCTGCCACTACAGCACATGCGTGGCGCATTCGGCAGGCATGTCCGAGGACGGTCTTGTGCGCTGCACCCACGAGGCGTCGCACGGCTCTTCCCGGTGCCGGCAGCACACGGACGAGTACACTCGGACCAAACTCGAACTGCGCACGATGAAGGACGAACTTCGTAGCGTCGCGACGACCGTCTGCCTTGCCCGGGATCGCAGCGAATACTCGCTGTCGACTGTCGCCCAAGACATCGCCGCCGCCACTCGCTTCCTTGCGCTTGAGGATTCCGTCAAGACGATGATAGTGACGACGAAAAGGTTGAAAGGATACCACGGTGAGTGTCGCGTCACAGCGAGCCGCATAATCATCCTTTCTTACAGTGTCCCGAAAGCCGAATGGAGCCAGTCAAACGAGGCGGCGTGCTCGGGGCTTTATGGCTTGACCCGGGAGGTCGTCGCAAAGCTTCTTGCCCGACTAGAACGCGCTCGATCGCTACTCAGGCCCAAACCAGCACGGGCGACGCAGGGTCCAGACTTAGCGACGTCTGCAGGACATTCACAAGCGTCTCCGTATCAAATGTTGGGGACGAATCGGGCGGCTCTCCCGCAGCATCCTCCCAAAGGCGAGAGCGGAGGCTGGCGGACAATCATGGATGAGGTGGAGGAAGCGCTTACAGCCACGCAGCGTTGTATCATAGAAATCAACAGATCGATCCGCGAGGACAACGCGCACTACAAGCGACTTCTGAAGCAAGGTACGTTATTTTACGTGCAACGCTTCCCTCTGGATTTCAGATAGCATATGTTGATTTTCGCCAAATACTTAGTGGATGCTATGCACGAACGACGGAACGATCTTCTGCAGCAGAGGCGCGTATAGGCGGAAGATACTATGCGACTATTGCGTCTCCTCATCGCCAGCATCGAGGACGAGGTATCTGAGCCGTGAGCTCGGCCCCAGAGGCCCGGGGCTCCGTCCTCAACCTCGGAGTCTCACGCTCCGTGTATTGATTACACAGGTCGGCCGTTGACCTAGCGCGAGGCTTCATCGTGGTGGCAGGTATATACACAGGTACTACTTACGCTACGCTATCATGAGAGAGGCTGTATATAATTTCCGCTCACATGGATCCAGGTTTGCGCTCGTCGGTGTAGTGGCCGCTGCTCCGTTCGTAACTTGAAGCTAGCCGAGTCTCTTGAACTCCAGACAACTGGCAGTGTGGCGTATGCGGTGGTAAGCACTTATATTATGGACACTGCGGCAGGCCGATTGACAGCTGAATGGCACCCCAGAAGATGCGCATACGGCATGGGCATCCGCAAGACATGCCTCATGGGAGCAGGCTACAGCAGGCCATACCCTCGAACCTTATCCCGTCCACGCGCATAATATCTCCCTCCCTTCTTTGCTGCCATCTCTTTTTACCCATCATCCCATCGGCGAACACATAAACGCGTGCTGCCATCGACGCCATCAACCACATCAAGAACAGCTCGTAGATCATCCCCTGCGCTCTTCCTTACATTCAACTGCAAGCCATCTATGTTGGGCCCGCGTCTGTGCACGGTTGCGCCGTCTCCCGGCGAGCCGAAGTGTCCTCAGCTTGGGGGGAAAAGGCGCCCTTTCCTCTGTCCGGTACATAGCAAGGAGTATCCCCAGCACACGAGGTCATACAAAATGACAAATAGGGAAGCGGACAGCCTCTATCGGCGTGCCTTGTCTTACAACCCTGGGGCGCTCTGCGACTTGACGGAGGTCGAAGAAGCGGTGGTGACCGCGAAACGTTGTGTCAAAACCTTCGCAAAAGCCATCCGGGAGCGAGAATACCATCACGCCCGGTTCTTCAGTAAGCGTACGTCGTGCCGCTTGTTATCATTTGTGTGATAGTGACGTGGACGCTAATGGGCAGTGATCGCAATGTTGCAGTGGACGACTCGGGTCATGAGGAGTGGATCGAGAAGTTGCGCACGAGGCAGCTCGTCGTAGTGTCGACTGCTGCACGGCTCGAGGAGCGGAAGGCTTCTCTTGCGGCAGGAGGAAAGCCGGGACGTGAAGCGGAAGCGACCCCCGTCCCTGACGAACGGCGCAAGGTGAAAGCAGCGCCCAGAGTGAAAGCAACAACCAGGGCGAAAGCAGCGCCCAGGATGAACGCAGTGCCCAAGTTGGACGACGCACTCCCCCTCGTAGACCAGCACTGCCCCGTATCCCAGCGGAAACGCTCCTCTGCCGCGGCCCAGCCGCATCGCTGGATCAATAGTAAGAAATACTCCTTCAAGAACAAACGAGCCGCACACGTTACCGAATCCCGGCGCATTCAGGTGGTGGCTCCGTCCGCACTCGAGCTCCCCGCTACCACCGAAAACGAATCGGACCACAGTTTTACCGAGCACGTTTCCCAGTTTGTGGACAACCAGGAGACCCAGCCGCTCCTCTCCACCAGCCACCGCCAATACACAGACAGCCCCCCGTCAATCCTAGCGCCCGCTTGCAGTCCCCCCAAACCTCCAACCTTTGTTTGCATTGCATATATTGCTACCATATCCCCCGATGCCCGTGTGCGATGCGCCAAGGTCTCAGAGGGGATATGCGGTAGTTCCCGGTGTCAGGAGCACCAGGACGAATACGACGAAGCGCTCTCTGCGCTCCCCACGCTGGAGGACGAGTATGGCGGGATGGGCCAGACTATCTACGACATCCATTATCGCAGCGAGCTTACGCGCGCTCAAGTCATGAAGGACATCGCCGCCGTCACTCGGTATATTTCGCTGGCAGATCGGATCATCGCGCGAAAGAAAACACTGAGGAGACTGGATGGGTGCTGTGAGTGTCGTGTTCTGGTTCCATGAGTAGTCAGTTCCCTTGCTTATGTGGCCCCCATAAGCACGCGCGATAGGCTCCTATGGCCAGGTGGATATGTCGATCTATTGCGACACCCGGGACGTGTACGAAAGACTCTTGGCCAGGCTGAAGAACACGCGATCGGAATTCATGCGCGATCCAGAACCAGCACCCGTTGTCACGGTACAACCTCCACGTCGGTACATGCAGGCGCCGCAGACTACAGACCGGGAGCAAGATACAGACCCTGATCAAGATACAGACTCGGACCACGAAACAGACTCGATTCAACCTTCTCTAACCCCGCAGCGTCGCACGGAAGACGGCGGCAGGGTGGGCGCCGCAATCGTGAGTCCCGGCTTGCTGCTTGTGAATACGGTGTACTAATGCATACTTACGAGCAGGCTGCCATGGTCGAAGGAGTGGTCGCGCACCTTGGATGTGCATGCCTGCACTAGACACGGGTGTATATGGCGACGGGCTTGGATTGGTGAACTATCGAAGAGCATTTCCTCTCACACTGCTACGTCGCATTCAGGTTCGCGCGCGTCCCGGGTGTCCTTCCAGTCCCAATATCCATCGTGTGGCAGGTCGGCGTGTCTGTCACTGAGATACGTTAGGGAGCACCGCTGCGTCGAAAGGATCGAGGCCCCAGCACTAAGTTCAGGCGTATGTCAATGTGGTATGGGCTATCCCTGTTCGGTCACATCTGACAGCTCGGACGCTCAGTGAACCTTATCCCCGCCGCATACAACTCCCTGCCCGCACAATCAACCGCTCCTCCTTCCGCCCACCATCTTCGACCATCGTCTGCCGCGCGGGACACATCGTCTTGCGCGCAGGTGCTGCAGTCGACGCTGCTGCCGCCGCCGAAGCTATCCGGACCATCCTTGCGATCCATCGCTGGTCGTCATTGCATACTATCACAAGCACTGGCGTACGACAATCATGCCTGGCAGAGATCGACGCCTCTCCTCCGTGGGCCCCTGTGAAGTCGTGCCGCTCTCAGGCGAGCTACCGTGCCCCGAACCTGGAGGGTACAAAGAGCGTCCCCGCCTCTGCCCCACCCACCACAATGAGTACGTCCGCCTCACGGCGGAATACCACGCGACTACCGATGGAGCAAAGAGCCTGTACAAGCACGTTCGCGCCTTGAAATTGAACGATCCGACATTGGTCCGGAATCTTTCGGCTGCTGAGGTCGAAGCGGCAATGGTGACTACGAGGGATTGCATCGACATAATCAACAAGGAGATCCGCGAGCGACGGGAGCATCACACTCGGTTCTTCGTTGAATGTACGTTGAACGCATTCCTGTTTGCGTTGGAGCATGAATACTCACAAATGGCCGCGTCGTTGCAGTGGACGACGGGCACGAAGAGCGCATCAAGAAGCAGCGCATAAAGCTGGCTGAGGTAGAGGACATCGCATCGAGACTACGCCGCCGCAAGACTGCACTCGCCAAAGGCCCGAGACGACGTGCCGAGACAGCGCGCCGTCGAGGAGACCCGCTACGGCGTTCTCGTAGTATCGGAACGACTAAATCACCTACAGTCAATGCCGAAACTTCCGACTATAGCTGCTTCCCGATGTTCGGAACCGGTCACACTCCGCCTGAAGCTACGCCGAGGCCCCTGTGCGTCGCATTTCTTGCCAACGACGCCCGCTATGCTCCCGTACGCTGCGCCAGGGCGGGCGCGTACAGTTCTCTCCGTTGTCAAGAGCACCAGGACGAGTACGCTCAGGCCCTTTCTGCACTCTGTACTATGGAGAAAGAGTATACCGACATGGGCGCGACCGTCTACTACATCAGATATCCGGATCCGAGCAGCGTCAGCGCTCAAACGCTCTCTGAAGACATCCCCCGGCTCACTCGGTACCTCTCGCTTGCGGACAGTATCACAGCGCTGTCAGGGAAGCTGAGCAGGTTGGACGGATACTGTGAGTGTTGCCTTTTAGCCCTAGAGTCGTTCTCACCCACATTACTTTTCGCAAGCCAAAGCGGCAAGCTTGTACCGCGATGTAGATATGGCGATCTATGGTCTGAGCCGGGGTGTCGTTGAGAATCTCCGGACCCAACTGGTGAACACTAAATCGGAGTTGCTCAGGTCCAAGCCAGTACAGGCGACGAATAAACCAGTTGCGGCGACGCCTACGCAGTACAGGCGGGAGACGCAGGATCCATACCGGACAAACCCGCAGGCGACAAACCCCAAGTGTCACTCGGAAGACGAGGGCCTTGGTTGGGGCGCTGTAATCGTGAGTCTCCGATCTGTCTCGTTGCGTATGCGGAGCGCTGACAGATAGGCAGGCTACGGCGGTCGCAGGCGTCGCCGCATTCTTCCGCTTCATGCGCTGAATCGCCGTGGATTAACGCAGTGTCGCGAGGTGTGCGTCGTACGTTGGGCCGCCATCGCATCCCATCGAAGGGCATATCCCCTTACGCACTTCAACAGCGCTGCGCCGATCTTCGACGTACCGCCCCCGGACCTGTATTCCCCGATATCTCTACCATATCTTGCCCCTTCATCTCTTCCATGCCGTTACGAACCCCGCCGTTTGTGCCGATTTCTGGGGTGTTGCCGTTCGCTCATTCCTCCTCTCCACTTTCTGCATTCATTTCCTCTATTGCCCCACGCTTGGGATGCTGTGCAACGCTGTACCTTTACGTGTTCTCCTTCTGCTTTGCCATGGTTATCGTCTCTGTTCTACGCTCTCGCAACCTCGTGATTTGCCATCCTTCTCTCTGCTCCCGATAAACTTCTACGCTCGTCTCCCTCCGTGTGCTACGTCCAGGTGGCATGTGTTCGATACGCTCTTTCCTGTACCTGTAGCTGCAACATTTTCCGTCCGATCATCGTCACTCCTTCACCTTGTCTGCTTGTCCGCTAGATTCAAGTCCCAGTGTTGCGTTTCGACGCTATGCACAGGTGAGTTTTTCATGCACCGTGACTCGTACGACTGTATTCTCATTCTCCTTCCCACAGGGCACGTATGCATGAATCCGCGACGCATGGCGGACGCTCTCAGGCTTCCTTCGAAGCGCGTATCGGCTCAGCGTCTCCCACGTTGCGAGTGGTTTACAATATAGTTCTCTCTACATCTGCAGCCCGAGAGCGATGTTTTCCTGGATACTGACAACAGTGAAGACCATGATCGTTGTCAATGCATAATGCACAGTTCGCCGTGTCATGCGGCGGCCAGGGAAGACGATGGCCCTGGCATACTGCGACAGGCTGAACTTCGACTCAGACTCGTGTTGCAGGTGACCCTAACACATTACCGCAGCACCAGATTCAAGACTGACTATAATCTGTAGGATGCGCTTCGACTGGCCCAGCGAGGAAGTAAAGTTCACCATCCCACCACCCTACTCCCGTGCGGCGAACGCATGGCTCGCGACGTTTTCAATCCGATGGTTCTGCTAGCGGGAGCCCACACCTCAAGCCACTGCCCTCTTGCCGAGTGCGATATCCAGTGTACAGTCTCCTCGATCTCTTCCGGCCTCCTCCTGCCGCCTTCGCACGGAATCTTATGCAATCTACCGCTCCCGGCCCCTGCCAGGTCTTCCCGGACGCTATGGAAAGGGCTTGTACCAACCCAGGGAGGGACTGGGGTCAGGGTCAACCTCGACTCTGCAAGACTCACCACAGGCAGTATGGTGCACTCACTGCCGCATACCACGAACACCAGAGCACAGCCGAGAAGATGTATTCGCAGGTGATGGCGTTCTTAGAAGGCCCAGGGCGATTAAGGGCGTTTCAGGGGATCCGGGAGGTAGGCGACGCGATCAAGGTGTCTGACCGCGCTTTCGGTGCGCTCGAGAAAGAAATCCAAAGGCGCGAGGAACACCACAGACGGTTCTTCCCTCAAAGTGAGTTTGGGGTGTGTGCTGGCGCACACATCTGTTCTTCCATGAGATGTGCGCCGCTGACCAGCCCCGATGCAGTGGACGATGGCCACAGGCTGCGGATCGAATTCTTGCGGGGGCAGCAGCAGAGCGTGCAGGCGGTGGTGGGGATGCTGGTCAACCGCAAGCGCGAACTTATCGAGGGGGAAAGAGCGCGCGCCGTCGCCCGCCGGAACAAACTTCAAGTTGCAGGCGGTTTAGCCCCACACGAGGCTGCTATTGCGTGCTGGACGCTTTTAGCGGTGAGTGCCTTTCTTTGTTCTGTCGTCTTGCCAGCTGACAAGACGTTGAAGATCAACCTCAGACTGAAGTTCGGAAATGCGCAGAGATGATAGATCTTCCCTTGGACAAAGAAATGCTGTTTCTCTTGCAACCTGAAGGAATTGGAGCGGGTCTGTGTCGTCATTCATCCTCTCTCCTTTTTGCTCCCAAATGCCATCTTCATGTAAAACATAGCCTCCTTCGATCTGCCTCCAATATACCCCGCTATACATACTACGCTCGTCTTTTTCTGTGTACGTCCAGCTGCCATTTGTTCGACATGTTGCTCTTTGGATCCTTACCTGCATCGATATACGAGTTACCCTGCATCACGTAACCTCATCGCTCCTGCCTGTCTGTCTGCTGAGTGCTACTGGTAATGTCGTCCCTTGGTACTATGCATCGGCTAGTATCGGCCGCGGCCTTGTACCAAGGCGTCTAAGAAAACAGGTTCGTGGAAGCGCCCATGCACTCATCTCCAGGCGCCCAGCGTCAAGCTTCGTGTTCACCTTCTTCCTTCGCTCATGTTCATACTGCAACAGCTTGAAAACACTGGTAACCTCGACTGAATATCTTCCAACGCCTTTCTGTTTAAACCTGCCGACCTTACGCTTACTGAGCTTGTGCGGCACTTGGATCTTGGCAAGCGCATATTTTTTCGCCTAGCTGCGGGCCTGATCCTCCATCTACCAGAGTGCGACTCTATGGCACTGCGATGCGTCTTGGAGACGTTATGTGTGGATTTAAGGCGACATGGGAGCCCTTGAGGCAGTCTCGGTGAGAGGTACGCCTAATTTGCCCCGCTGACTTCACCCCTTCAGAGAGGTCACATCTCTTACTGCGTGTAACAGTCGAGCTATGCTGTACGCTATGGATCGCTCTGCCTCGCCTCCCTCGCGCGTACGAAGACTCTTCCAGATACCCTGTATGGTGCCTGAAGGTGCGCAGGAGCAATGTCATGCCCCCATCGAGCCTACGCCTCAGCCCACGCCTGATCTATACCATGCGGTCCCACGATGCCGCGAGGAATATCGCAACTGGCCCCTTCGATTGGAAGACTTAGGCGATGCATACCGTCAATATGAAGCGCACATGCGGCAGCCAAGAAAGGTGCCGTGCTCTCACTTGGAGGACTATGAGTTGGGTGGCAGATCACCGCCCTGCCAAACTGATTACCGCAGTGTCAGATTTGAAGCCCCACCAGGAAGTACAGGGCCGTCCACAGCCCTCACGCACGATACGCGTGACCTTTGATGCAGTTAGTGAGTAGGCATGCACGTAGCGTTTAACAGAGACCTCGGGCTGTACTATAGACGCTGTGTCGTTCACAGGCGTAAATAGCAAGTTCCGGACCGGGCGACGGCTTGGGGCCACTGCGGTAATATCAGCGGCCTATCGCTACGGTAATAACCACACACGGAGCTTTGGGCCGGATGCAGAGCGCTTCAAGCGGTGTTCACCGTGCGTGAGGTACGAACATCCCCTGTGTAGTTATTCCCAATCGCAATGCGAGGACTGATTTGTCGAGAAACGCTGTCCACTTTAATACGCCTGCGCAGGCCATTGTATAACAAGGTTTGAACCTTGCTATGCCACCCGTCCTCCTCCTCGCCGCCAACACATGCCGTCGACCACCCGTACACCACGAACAATCCGTGCCACGTGTGCGCTGCTCTGCTTATAAGCCGGTATGCCTGCATTTCGGCCCCCCTCCATTCCTTTGGCGGCACTGGCAGACGGCACCCTTCAAACGATATGCCCGCCCGTACCCCCAAATCTCGCACTTGCCGGGTCGTTCCAGGAGAGAACGAGTCGCCCTGCACCCATAAAGCAAAGTGGCGAGGCGAGGGCAAGCCACAATTGTGCGCACTGCACCAAGAAAAATACGTCATGCACACGATCGCGTACAAGGTCGCGTCCGAGCACGCCGAAGTGCTCTATGAGCATGCAATTTGGCTCCGCTCGAACCGCAACTGGTTCTGCCCGTCTGTGTGCATTGGGGAGGTGAACTTTGCGCTGAGAGCTGCGAAGCGCTGCCTTGCTGCGCTCGATGAGGAGATCCGGGAGCGCGAGGCGCATCAGACGGTTCTTCGGCGACGGTGGGTAGACGTGTCATCTAGCTTGCTTAAATCGGCGGCAGCGTATATTAACTTTCACATCCTACTGCTAGAGGATCGCCGGCACGAGCTATGGAATAGCAACCTACGGGATAGGCGGGAGGAAATGGTAGAGATGGCGAGGGCGATGCGGCTCCTCAAGGCCGACCGTGTCATGCGTTTTCGAAGGCTGGGAGGCTGGGATTGGTAGAGCAGCCAAATGTGGAAGTGAAGCTGGGGCTGCCAGGATCATTCTCTCAACTATCGCACCTACGTCCCGGCAGGAGGGCGAGCTCGAGACTCACCCGATCACGCTTGAGGTCCGTACTACTGATGGACTGAAGTCGCGCCTGAGCTTACGCCTTTCCTTTCAGATTTTATATATGCCTCTGACGGGTTGCCAGCGCAGGTGGGCGGTCCACGGGTCCGCTTTATGGTGTGATGACCGTCATGACGGCGGCTTTCACTGTGGTATTATAGCTATTTTACGGTACCGATCATGCACGCGACTGCTTTCGATCTATATGCTTGCACCATCCGCCGCCGCCAATACTTGCCAGGATATACCGGCCTATACAGATGTGGATGTAACGAGCGGCTTTTCATAAGTACCCTTCCTCTCGATTACCACGTCTCCGAGTCAGTTGTGCCGGCGATCCAATGCGGTTGGTGAGTGTGGCATGCACTTCGTCATTGTTCAGATGGCTTATGTTTATGCCAGCTAGTTCGCCTTCAGATATTGTGCCTACCCCGTATGCGTCGGACTGATATTACCCCGATCGTGCTGCGGTAGCCTTATGAAAACTCACCGAGGCAAAATGCCAGCACGGCAGTCGAGACGTTTCCTGGAGCCGGTAGGACCGCAAGGTACACGGACCTTGACCGTCTTAAGTGAGCGTTGTCCTTTGCGCTGCTTTTCGCACCACCGCGCGCGTGTGCACGTGCTGGTAGTTGACCAAAGTCTGACGTATAGGTGTCATGCGTTCGATACGTTCTTCCTTGTACCTGTAGCTGCATCCTCTTCCATCCAATCATCGTCCTCCTGTTGGATTTTGGTTTCGAGCAAGCGAGCGCCTGCTCGCCGGCGTTTGCCGAAGCGTTCAGTATCGTGCGCGAGTCTCGAGACCCATTTTGTATGCTATTCGTTTGCCTCTGTACCACGACGCTACCGTACAGGACAACCGGAATTGACTTGTTTTCACTCTCCACGACCTGATTTCTCGCTTTCTCCGACACCTTCTTCATTCCATCACTCTAGTAGCCTCTGTCGCCGAGCCGCCTGGTGCTGGGGTGCGACGTTGGCCAATGAATTGGTCCACAGCGCAGCCAGCGCTGTGTACGCTACAGAACAGCTGCTTCATTCTACTTCGGATGCTGGGCCGTCGACCGGCCGGCGGCCCAGCTACGCTTGCGTGCGGCTCCTTAAGGTACAGGTTTCGCATGAACCTAGAACGCTCTGAGAAACGAACCTTATACCGCCCACTCGCTCCCCGCACGGAAGACGCTTGCGATCCTGGGTGTTGGTGGTACAGTGAAATTGGTATTTGCGACATACGCGCCGCGGTTGTAGAATAACGTTGTGCTTATGCCGTTTCTCGCCTTCAGACGTCGTACATGAGCCGCGCCGTGCGAGTCGGGCCTGCGCAGCTATGGTCCAAAATCCGCTGTGGCAGCCTAATCGTGCACTGCGGTCATATGCCAGTCACTGCGGTAATCATCGCACACGAGGTACCGGCTCCCTACCCGGCGTTGCGAGTTTGAAGGTCTCAAATCGGTGTGCCCCAGCAAGTTTTCCTCTTACGGTGTGCACCTGAGGCTCACATGTATCCAAAACGACTAGATAATGAACCTTATGCTGCCCAGCCTCCTCTCGTGCGGCATACGCATGGCGTGTGTCGACCACCAGACCAAATGCAGGCAACAACCTAGTATATTGTGTGTTGCTCTCGCCATGATACTTTCAGCATTCACTCCCTCACCCCCTCACCCCATCTCTGTTGTCTCTCTAGCGTATCTATATGCCTGCACGACTCGTTCAGCTTAAGATCTGCCAGGTCGTCCCAGACGAGGACGAGCCGTCATGCACCCGTCGTGCAAAGGCGAAGGGAGACGACTCCGGAGTGCTTCCACTCTGCAATCGACACCACAATGAATAAGTCCTACAATACCTAGCGTATAAGGAGTCCTCGAAGCGGGCTGAAGAACTCTACGAACTCCTTCCGCTGCTTGTCGTCAGCTTGGATGCTCACCGGGCCCTCAAAGCCACCCAGCTATGTATCGACGCACTCGACAAGGAGATCTGCGAGCGCGATGCACACCGTAGGCGTTTCTTCACCCAAGGTGAGTGGACGTTAGCACATGGGCATAGTCGATTGGCACCCCAAGCGGCATACATTGACTTCTGGTTGTGGTAGCGGATGATGGGCACGAGAAGTGGGTCAATCTATTGCGCAGGAAGCGCACGAAGGCGGAAAATAAAGCCCGGAGGCTGTGTCTCGCGATTGGGCTTGATTGGAAGGGGCATTCGCAAGCCCAAGCCCAGAGGGCTGCCAGGCCATCATCATCGCTCATTAGGTCATCATGGGACTCCAACTCGACCTGGTACGACGACCTCTACGACATACTCGAGTGGAACGCCCTTCAGGAGGAGGAGGAGAACGATGATTCTGAATTGGATGACGAAGAGGAAGTTGACGACGCCGAAGACTGGAACGACGACGAGGATGCCTATGACCGGACCGATTTCGAAGACGACGACCCCTGCTTGACGGCTGAATTTGAGGTGAGAGATTGATGCAAGCTCGTGCTCAAAATCGGCTGTGCTGACGGATTGGTGCTATGCAAGTACTTTCGCTGGGAGTGATACACGGTCGTACTGCACGCCGTGAGTTGCAGGCCATGGACGTTCGCTGTTCGCCTGGCGCGAAGCTTCGTCGCCGTCGCAAGCACCCACACCGCTGCCGTTTGAATTATTCGGAGGGAGACAGTACCGTATTCTCCGTGGGTGATGGTGAGTTGATTCCCAGTCTTACAGGACTTATACGACGTTGACGAATGGTCGGACTCATTGAGTAGGAGCGCATGCTGATGAAACCGGGCGATCGTCCCGGATTTTCCCTCCCGCTCCCTTTCCTACAAACTTCGGTCATATGCGTGTGCCCATTTAGATCTATGTATCTTCGACTTCGCTATTTAACCTTTCGGGTCCTTTGAACCTCACGCGTGGATCCGACATACGTGTATGAAAGCTACGGCAATCAACATCTCGCAAGCATTTCGGACTCTTCGAATTCATGAAGAGACTGACATTGAGAGCTATATATAATGACAAATCGACGACAAAACCCGGGTGCACTCAAGTCGCCCAATCACGAAGTCGAGAACTACCGGTTGCGATCTAGAGGATGGAGGATCAAAGCATAAAACCAGAAGAAACAGAGAGAGAGGGAAACGTGACAAGTCGTGATAGCGGAAAGGGAATGGACCTGGAAACCAATGTGTTGTACCCTGTATTCGGAATGACGAGCGACTTATCCAAATTTAGGACTCCTCGCGGTCGAAGCGGAGAGCGCGGCGTGAGGACTTGCTCGCGCTCACGGCGCCGGCGTTCGTCATGAGCGTCAGCTTCGAGCCGCCGCCGCAGATCTCGTTGTCTGTACAAGCACCGTCAGCCCCCAGACGTCATGCGTACTCGGCCAAGACACTCACTGTTTCCGGTGCAGCGGTTCGCGCACGCATCCCATGACAGGAGGGCTCCCGTCGCGCCGTTCTTGAGAGCGTTGTCACAGTAGCACTCATCGCTGAACTCCGCACCTGCGAGCGAGAACCCATGGCTCGCGCAGAACGACGCACAGGACGACCTGGTTAGGTTCGACGACGACATCGTCAGCGCGGGGAGCGCGCGCCCGTTCGTGCCCTCCGCGATGCACCCCACCTCCGTCCACCCAGCCGGAAGCGGGTTCTGCGCGGGGACGAGGCCCGGGTTTGGCGTGCCCGAGCACGAGGAGGTGCTGTCGCCGCTCCCGAAGACCGGGTTGCAGCCCGGCAGCGCCGCGATGGGCGAGGTCAACCCGATGTCCTCGGCCACGAGGTCGCCTTGGAAGACACACGCGTCGGCCGCGGCCTGGTCGAAGACGGCTTCGAGCGGCGCGCAGTCGTGCACATTCCCGCTGGCACCCGAGCATTGGTCGATGGCGTCTTGAAGAAGGTCGATGTCCCACCCATTCTGAAAGTCCGCATGCAGGCCGAAGCCGGTCGTGTCGCCGTTCGCGAGGACCCACGTGCCGACGCCATGGAAGTCAAACTGGCCCACGTTGACACCCATCTCGTAGAAGAGAGAGATAAGGTGCACCGGGTGCGTGTCGGGGCAATCGCCGGAGTCGAAGTTCTGTATGGGGTACGCCATGTGCGATTTGTGGTCGGGCGAGTCAAGGTTGACGCCGTCCCAGCACGAGGGGAAGAACACCTGCGCACGCAACCCTCCGACACACTGCTGTGTGGGCATGGAGTTGGTCTGCGGAGAGTCCGTGTCCGCTGTGACGATCGACGCCATCAGAATCACATGTGTAGCCAGTTCGCATGAACAGACTCACTAAGGCAAACATAGGTTATGGCTTGGTCCGCATGGCTGGAGGCGTTGAATGTGCGCCTAGTCGTGTCGCCAGCAAGCATCTGACATGTTGAGTAATTCAGTATGTAGCATATAATCACGTTGAAAGCACCCTGGGAACATACCCGCAAACCCTTTGGGAACGCCTTGATCGTCTCGTTCTTAGGACCCGGACGGGGGAGGTAGTAGATGTTGAAACCGGTCGCTGTGTGTGCAACGTGACCGGTAAGCGAGGATGCTCATCACGAGGCACAAATGACAACGAAAGGCAGGCCCGCGGGAACAGCCAGCCATTCCGAAGCTGTCGCTGTTCGGCGACGCAGTTGCATGTGCAGAGATCTGCCGGGAAGAAGAGGCGCAGGGCAAATGACCCGAAAAAACAGCCAGGTGATGGTATCATGAACCGCTGGAGAGGGAACCGCATATAGCGGTCTTCACGCTGCAACAGCGACAGCTGCATCTCACGTGTGGCAGCTAGACTTCAGAACCTCGGCGCTTTTTCTATGTTCTCAACAGGAAGTCGCGACCGAGTGGAGCCGTATCGAGGATAGCACCGGCTGGCTCCGTGTATGCGCAGTATGCCAGAACACGCGAAGCATGTCAAATAAGCAGAACTCACGCATGGCGCTGAACTCGCCGGTGTCTTTGTCGCGATGGTAAAGTTGCGGCTAATAGGCAGCGATCAGCGTAGCTCCGTATGAACTAAAGATGGCAATTTACACTCCAGTAGTTGCTCAGGTCAGGCTGGACTGGGATCGTCGTGCAGTTCGACTTCATGAGCTCGTCGGGGTCGTAATGGTTGCTGAAGCCGCTTGCGCCTACGATGGCGTGGACATGGGTTCCGATCTACATTGTCCGTGCGATCAGTACGTGGCCAACGACGAGCGGGGCAACAAGCCTCACCGTGTCGGGGTTGACGATGGAGTCGAGACGGGTTTGAGTGATGAGCGCGGTGCCCCCAAAGGTCCAGTACGCATTCGCCGCGGCCGCGAGGGTGACAATGGCGAGGAGGCGAGTGAACATGACTGATGAGGCCGGGGATGGTCCTAGGGATGGTTCGGGGGATGGTTGTGCAGGCCTTGAGGTCTATGGGGAGATGGTGGACGGCGAGGGGGTATTTAAGCGATAGCGACCACGCAGAACCCTCCGAGGGCACTGTTTTCGAGGGGAACACAATCGACACGAGCTTATTCTGCGGGTCTCATGATGGCGACGAATTCTCGTGGCATATGCAGCATCGCTCATGTGGGGATGGATATCCCCGAATGGTCCATATGGATGGTTGAGCTGAGGATGCCCATTCACGGCGGTTCGCGGCGCACACGGAATGTAGAACACCGTGCGCGATGACGGGTTTTCCTCGCGGCGGTGCCATATGGGTATGACGGAAATGTAGATGCTTGCCTTTTTTGTTGAATCAGGCGTGCGTATGTGACATCTCTGCGAGACGTGGCATTCTTGCAAGAGTAAGACATGCACTCTTCTCGGAGCGAAGAGGGTCCGTGTCCTGGGACGTCGCGTAAGCATTCTTCACCGCACATTCGGGATACGTCGTAGAACTTACCTGTATTGTAAGGTCCGCATTCAAAACCAGCTATTTATACAGTGTCACTCGTTATTCTCGTATGAATGCGAATCTTACCACAAAACCCTGTTGTCCCTACTGCAAACCAGCGAAAGCACCATCAATTACGGCACGCTGCTGCGAACCGTACGCCGAGGCGATACCTGGCGCAGGTACCGCATCCTCCTTCCTCCCGTGGTACGTCACCTTAGACCGTCCGAGGCGTTCAAGCACCGCGTTCAACCTGGGCTCGACATGAGTCCACGCGCCCTGGTTCCGTGGTTCCTCTTGGAGCCACACTATCTCCTTGGCACCATCATAGCGGCCGAGCACGTCCGCCATTGGGCGGAAGGGGAAGGGGCTGAGTTCCTCCACACGCACGAGCGCCACCTTGCCTTCAAGCTGACGCTTCTGCCGCTCTTTGACAAGGTCGTAATATAGCTTGCCGGTCAAGCACACGACGCGAGTTACCGCAGAAGGGTCCTCGATGGCAGGGTCCTCGATGACGGGGCGGAATCGGGAGCCCGACGACAGATCTTCCAGTGAAGATGCCGCCGCCTGAAGATAGAGATGAAACGAATCCGTAGAATTGGTATAAGGGGAATACCCACTGCAAGACGGAGGAGACCCTTGGGACCGGCGACGACCAGCGGCTTGCGGAAATTACGCTTCACCTGCCTTCTGAGGAGATGGAAGTATTGCGCCGGAGTGGTTGGAAATGCGATATTCATGTTCACGTTCGAAGGTTCCGCGCCGGTGTCAAAAGTGTACTGGTCGTTTGTCAACTGACGCAGGATATGAGCACGACGTCATGAGAAGGACCGCGTGTCGTCGCGCGTACCTGAAGCATCCTCTCGATACGCGATGATGAGTGCTCGGGACCGGCGCCGTCGAGCCTTGTATCGTCGGTAGTAAGCCCGAATGCACTCAAATTAGAATAAACCAGAGTTGCGTACCCATGAGGCAAGAGAAGCACAAGACCGCTCTGTTTTAGCCATTTCGCTGCTCACGTCTGTCAGTTAGAACCACATGACGTAGCGGGGCGCGCTCACTCTCCGCGGAGGATAAGAAGGTATCAATGATGACCTGGCGAACCCTCATCAGCTTCGCGATCGATTAGAGCATAGGGGCCTGTGGACTCTACCTGTGCCCCGTTGAAGAAATCGCCGAACTACACGCGTTGATCTTAGTTAGCGGATTGCCGAACCCTCTCAGCACACGCACCTGAGCCTCCCAGATTGGCAAGATGTCGGGCTTCTCCCAGCTGACGCCGTACTCAAACTGCGACCCATATGTAAGGCGGAATCCCATGACAGCGTATTCATTTAGGACTCACACCGAGGACGGCCATCTCACTCAGCGAGCTATTAGCGAGCTCGAGACGCCCGCCGTTATCCAAAGCTAGGTTGAGCGGGACGACGACGCCTTCTGTGCGCTGATCGACAAGCATGGCGTGCCTTGCAGCTGGTCAGCCCGCAAGACCCCATTTCCCATGTTAGCCCATACTTACCGCTGGCTGAAGGTCCCTCTGCCGACATCTTGCCCTGAAATACGGACGTCATAGCCCTCGAGCATGAGCGAGCCAAAGGCCAAAGCCTGCGAGGGCCCTGAATCAGCTTCCCGCTCCAAAGTACCGGAGCTTTTCGACAAAGAAACGCACCTCTGCTGTCGCCCAGTCTAAGCCCCGCCCTGTTTCCATTGCTTGTAAGCGGCTCTTGACGTGCCGCTGAAGCCTCGGATGGATCTCCTGCATCCCCCAACGCTATTCAGCATATCCATGTGTGTAGTCGAGCAGGAGAGGAACTGACAAATCCTTCGGGGACAGAGACACTCGCACGTCCGACTCTCTTGAGCGTAACGCCGTCCACGCCTGTCTCCGGGTCCCACACCGCCTCTTTACTGGCAGGCCAGGCGATGCCCTTCCACTGCCCCTGGCGGATAGAGAGTGCACTCCCAGGCTGGTGAGAGCCCGCGGCGGCGAGCTCTGACGTCAGGAACTCCTTGTGTTGCGTCCGTACGGATTCCGCCGCGTCTTTAGTGAGGACATTCTCATCCTATCGTGCCGTTGAACAAGGGGTGAATGTCGGTTCTCGGGTGTGCGGAAGGAGAGTGCGGAAGAAAGAAGGACGTACAATGAGACGCTCTTCGTACAGCGCGGGAACGGAGCGGCGGGAACGGATCTTCTCGTACATGAGCGGCTGCGTGAACGCGGGCTCGTCGAGCTCGTTATGTCCCCTGTATCGGCGACCGGTGATCAACGCCAGACGCCCTACAAGCTATAGGCAGAACGGACTGACCAGCGGCGGTAGACGATCAGGTCTACGATAATGTCCTTGCGGAAGAAGTTGCGATACTTGAACGCGACTTCGATCGCCCGTTGAACATCTAGAGCACATGAAAAGAAGCGAGACGTTAAGATTGAACACGGCAGCCGGGTCAACGGTGTGCTCACCTTCGGGATAATCGCCATTGACATGTAGGACCGGGGCGTTGATCATTTTCGCGACGTCGGAACAGTACAGCGACGACCGCGCACTCGAGGCCGGAGTGGTATACCCGATGCTGAACACACCCATGATCAACGGTGCGCCCTCAATAGAACACACAACGCAGCATACCTATTACTATGGCGGGTCCGGCGGCATGTCAGCAAACAGAAAAAACTGCTGGCATAGCATGCCGAAAAAACTTACTTGACAACCAAGTGAACGCTCCCGCCAACCGTATAATGCGGAAGGTTGCCTGCGATTCCTCTCGTGAGTATGTTGAGGCGCATATAGTCAGGGCGTCCGGCACATACTCAGTCCGAGGCCCTCCATAACCACACCCTGTCCAGTAAAACTCGCATCGCCATGCATCTGGACACACATTACACGGTCGCCAGGTTTACACTCGGTCTCGCCCGCGCGTTCTAGTGCCTTGAGCAGTGCAAACTGCTTCGCCCGCGTCTTGCCTAGAGCCACAGGATTGACAGCCTCGAGATGCGACGGGTTCGGCAGAAGCGAGACCTTGACTGGCTTTCTGGCTCCCGGGTATTCTAGGCCCGGGGACGCGGCTGTGTGGGTGCTCGCCGATCAGGGGACAGACAAACAGTTAGTATGACAAGATACTTACTGAGATGGCTGATCACATCGCCTGCTACGGTATACTCCTCCGGCAGCTCGGACCCGCCCTTGATCTTGTGGAACAGGGCAGACGGCGGGAGCTCAAGAAGGCCCGTAAGGAGATTGAGCCGTCCACGATGTGGCATGCCGACGACAATGTGCTCTACGCCGGCTGCACGATATTAGCACAAGGCACCCGTACAATGTCAATATGACACTGACCTTCCGCTGCACCTCCGAATAGCGCGTCGAGGGCAGGAAGCATCGACTCCCCACCCTCGAGGCCGTACCGTTTCAAGTTCGGGAACTTGAGCTGCAAGAACTGGTCGAACACTTCTGATTGGGCGAGCAATTTGTGGATCCGCTTGCGCTGCTCCGCGCCGACCCGTCTGGCCTCCTCGCTCTCAGACTCTAGCAGGTGCGAGAACCACAGTCTCTCGGTCTTGGATGGGGAGTGCATATATTCATAGGCGACGCGGCCGACGTAAACCTCCCGTAGGTGGCGTGCGATCCGCTCAAGCGGCCAGTGTTCGGCACCCGCATCCTCGCCGATAGGATGTGTCCAGATGATACCGTTAATATCGTACGTGCGTGCTGGGTCGTCCAAGCCATACCGCGCCGGATCGAGCGCGGCAACCTCCTCGCGCTGTAACAAGTCGAGTGGATCGACGCGTGCAGCGCGATGCCCATGCGTTCGCAGAGAGTCAACGTAGCGCAGCAGAGGTGCATTCACGGTGCGGTTGTGTAACTGCGCAGGTGTATCTGAAAATGTGGTGGTGAGTACTTGGGTCGTACCAATGTGGCGGGTGAATGGACGAGACAGGGGCCACCCCTGGTGCGCATCGTGACAGTATGAACACTCACAGTCAGGCAAGTTGAATGCACGCGGCTCGCGATATCCATAGGAGTAGTCGTAGTAGCTTCGACGCAGCTTGGTAGACAGCGTCGGTCGACGCGTCCTGGGCGCCGTGAGAAGATACGACGGTACCCGCACGTTGCTCATCCTGCTCCGAGCTTGTCTTCAGCGTTGTGCGCGAGAGTTGACTAGAAGCGTCACAGCAAGAGATGGTCGAAGCAGGTCAAGAGCTTCCCGCCGCGGTCATGGGCAAGGTGGCCCGACGTGTTCGGGCGGAACATGGCGAGGCGCGATCATCACGTGTAAGGAGGCGGCGCTGCCGAGCGTGCAGATAGCAATGAGCATGAGGGTCGTCAGCCGATGGGTCGGTCGTAGAACGTCGGTATCTTCCCAGAATGGCCGTAAATCGTGCAATCGCAGTGTTCCAGCAGAGGAGTAGAGGATTTGGCCATAGCGGGGAGCGGAAAGCAATTACTTGAGATAGTTTGTGTTCGTTGCATTTTTGGCGACGAAGCGAAGACTGGAGTATATATCGAGGTGAATTCGTCGAATCCACGTTCACGAAGAGATGCATGTGGACGCAGGTGGACAAGGAGAAGAACGAATCAGGCGGGCGACTCGGAGGATCGACGCCATGCGACCCGATCGAATTAAACGCCCGTTCGTTAGCGCGGCGTTGTATGATTTAGCGCCCATATGTACGCTTGTCCTCGTACCCTCACGTACCCTTTGTTGGAGTCGTATGCCTCTCGAACAGGGCCATTGTTCTTGATACGTAGGTGCTTACTTGGACTCTCTCTCAATCTTGTAGGCTCATCTTGCGATCGCAGAACTCCCGTCATGTGCAGAGAGCCTCGCGGCCCGGAACAACACCGGCCTCCCCGGACCGCTCCCCCATATCCGACTGCGTCATATAAAGGCGTTCGAGCATCGCGACACCATTTCCAGCGGACACCTTGACCACGAAGGACGCTACAGCTCCCGTTAAGATGGCTTCCCCCACTATCAAGCTCAACACCGGCGCCGAAATCCCCCTCATTGGCCTTGGTGCGCTTCATTCTTGCAATGGATCGCGTCGATCGCTGCTGATCAGGAACATCCTCCATTGCAGGGACATGGCAGTCAAAGCCTGATGAGGTCATCAATGCAGTAGAATACGCCCTCAAGGAGGTCGGGTACCGCCACATCGACTGCGCTTGGTATGTCGGAGTCTGCTGTCTACGTGACTTGTAATGAGTCGTATTCTTGTAGGGCGTACGGCAACGAGAAGGAGGTTGGCGAAGGCGTTCGTCGCTCTGGGGTCCCTCGCTCGGAGATCTTCGTACGTCTACCCACCCACCATGCTGTGATCTTATACTCAACCACAAATCGGATCATCTCAGCTTACAAGCAAGTTGTGGTCTACGCACCACCACCGCGTCGAGGAGGCGCTTGACGAGTCGCTCGCAAACCTCGGGGTTGACTATCTGGATCGTACGTGACCTTGATACTTCTTCCCACGTCGTCTGCTCAAGCCACCCTCCTAGTTTATCTCATCCACTGGCCGGTTCACCTCAACCCGAATGGGAACGACCCCAAGTTCCCGACGCGCCCCGACGGAAGCCGCGACGTGCTCACAGAATGGAAGATCAGCGACACCTGGGCGCAGATGGAGGCCGTGCTCGCGAAGGGCAAAGTGCGCGCGATCGGCGTGTCCAACATGTCCGAGAAGCTCCTCGAACGCGACCTGCTCCCGTACGCGAAGGTCGTCCCCGCTGTCAACCAGATCGAGCTGCATCTGTACAACCCGCAAGTTGGGCTCGTCAACTACCTCCAATCGAAGGGCATTGTGCCCCAGGCGTACTCCCCGCTCGGATCGACGAACTCCCCCCTGCTGCAGGACGAGACGGCGAGCGCGCTCGCGCAGCAGTATGGTGTGAGCACGGCCGACGTGCTGCTTGGGTACCTCGTCGCGAAGAACATCGTGACGCTGCCCAAGTCCGTCACTCCCGCGCGCATCAAGAGCAACCTCGAGGGTGCGGTCGCCGCTGCGAAGAAGCTGACGAAGGAGGACATCGCGAAGCTCGACGGCGTTGCGGCCTCGGGCAAGCAGAACCGGTACGTCCCTATCATACACATCGCGTGTCTTGAGCATGACTCAAACATAACTCCTAGTCTTATTCAACCGCCATGGGGCGTTGACCTTGGATTCGACAACTGGCCTGTGCGTGTGCAAGGGAAGTAGAGATTCTTCGAAGAAAGATAAACGCTGTATTTTTGCCTCGAGATGTATCATGTACTGGGCCTCAACTTCATATACAATACCCATCAGTGGGAGCTTAACCGCCAACCAAATCCCAAGGCGTTCATTGGTATCCAGGAGTCGTCTCGATGAGCAGAGGTAATCATGAGATTAGATTAGATCTCACGTCATAGTGCTTTAGATAAGAAAGTGGGGCTCCTTCGCGCGCGGCATGTGGCCATCGACAACGCCAGGCCTGCGCTGTTGGTAAACAGCTCTAGCTTCTACCATCCAGATCGCAGGCTATTCTCAAGATATACCAGACGACTTAGACGACACCAATTCCCTGCCAAGATATACACCGTCCATTGCACCGCTAGAAGACATGTCTGCAAACGTAGACTCCGCGCCGAAGAGCACTTTGCCATACCCCCCGATCCACAAGGACAAGAAATTCGTCGTCCTCTCAGACTGGTTGGTCCATCTTCCTGTATGCCGCCTCCCCTTACTCGCGATGTGTCCTTTCATAGTCTTCTGAGCGTGGTGAAGTAACCGGTACTGATTACGCTGCGCCGCTGCAGGGACGGGACGATCACGAACCGTGATTCCAATGATTGTGAGTTTCGTACTCTAGACTCTTGTGAACATCGTATGCGGGGGGAAGGATACATTCTCGATCGCTGTCGAGTATGTGGGGGCAACACCGCAGAAGGCTGATACAGCACCCGGCAGACTTGACGGACCACCTTGGCTTCGGCGTCGAGAAGCGGCGACAAGGAAACCTAGACATCCTTGCGGAGAAGAAGACGTTCCGGTCCGTAATCTCTACTTTTTGCTGTGCATATGTACTAACATTACACATGCAGCGACGCGTTCCACGAAATGCTCGAGAGCGTTTCCGCGAACGGGCACACGTTCGAAGAGTGCAAGGAGGTGCTGAAGAAGAGTACGTTTCAGCCATTGTTATAGCCCTTCGATCCGTCTAAAGGGTCTCCCACCTCTCAGACATCACTCTTGACGTCGGTTTCCGAGACTTCTACCGCTACTGCAAGGAGCACGACATCCCGGTCGTCATCATCTCCAGCGGCATGGCGCCCCTCATCCGCGCCGTCCTGTCCAACCTCATCGGCGAGGAGGACGCGAAGGAGATCGAGATCGTCTCCAACGAGGTCGACGTCCAGTCCGATGGCAAGTGGGAGATCAAGTACCGCCACCCCACGAGGTATGTTGCCCCGGACCGCGTTGTGTTATTAAAACAAGAGGGCTCACCTGAACCAACAGCGGGTTCGGGCACGACAAGAGCCAGGCCATCCTGCCGTACCGCGACCTCCCCGACCCGCCGACCGTGTTCTTCTTCGGTGACGGCGTCTCCGGTGAGCCTCCCGCCCGACTCCGCACACCCCGTAGCGCTGACCAACCCTGCGGCTTCCCCGCACGTCAGACATGTCCGCCGCACGCCACGCGAACGTCTTGTACGTGAAGCAGAAGGAGGGCGGGGACAACGACCTCGCCGCGTACTGCCGCCGCGAGAGCATCCCGCACATCCTCTTCGAGGACTTCGGGCACGCTCTTCGCTCCGTCAGCGCCATCGTCGAGGGGAAGAAGTCCGCCCAAGACGCGCTCGCCGAGGGCAGGGCCTGAGACCTGAGGACCCGTCCGAGTCGTTGGCAGGGTCTCCTGGACGCGAGGAGGACCGGCGGTGAGTCGGGGATGGGAAGCATGGGAAGAAATGAGCCGTATCGCCGGAGATGCGTGGTGAGGAAGTGCGGACGCACTGCGGCACGTTTCAAGCGCGCGGCGGTGCCACGGAATGTACAGAACGTTTGTAGGAACTCATCGAGAAGATATGAAGAACAGGCACACCCGTTGCATGTGTCAGCATCTGCTTCCGGCGCACCCGACGCAGTTATCAGACGACCGGGAGACCGTCCTCTTGCCGCATGCTGGCAACATCCTTCGCTGCCCCCAGGTTTGGGCCGGCGTTGTACGGCAATCTGAAATACCTATTGCCCTCCACCTCAAATATAGAGTGTCTCTCCCTTCGGCCTCGACTTGCTAGGATCAAGAGGCCATGCTAGGAGAGTATGCTTGTGCATCTGACGCAGTGGCGGCCGTGTCTCGATGTAACACAAGTCCGGCCCTTCGGAACAGCCCCACGACCAGGGCGAACGGGCTTAAGCGGTATCAGGCACTTGTCAACTCGTAAAACGGCCGTACGGCGAGTACGATTCTGCTTTTATCTATGTGGTCGACTATATGCGCCCAAAATGTCGCGCGTATGTGTGCGCCCTCATGATATCGAGACGGGCGCTTCCCAGTGCATGCATTCGTAAGAGCCAGCACAGGTTCACGTTCTTCCTTATGTCTCTTTCCTACCACAACAACACATCAGCTCTTCATTCACTCAGCGTATAACGCTGCATATATGGTATCTTGTCTTGCTGATATGAGTCTTACAAACTGAGCTTAGCCTGGATGGCTCCCAGACCCAGTAGAAGGTATGCGTCAGTAGGCGGCGAATTGATCCTCAGGCGGCTCATTATCCTCACACTTTGCAAGCTTCAGGTCAAACCCTCTCGACACGTTTTAGGCGGACACAGTTACTTCAAGGCCTGCGCGTAGGAAATAGTATTTCCACCGCCCACCAGTCCCAAGCGCTACGCGCATCATCCCTGGGCGGTCAACAGGTGACAGGGGAAAGTTGTCTACATAACGAAAGCTCGCGATGTGGTTCCTGAGCGGGTGATACACCAGCGCAGCGCCAGACCAAGTATATCTCGGTTGAGTTGATTCTCGACCCTCAAAGTATACATGCTGACAGAGTTTCGCAGCTTGTAGGCTCTACGGCGCCCGGAAGACGTTTTGCCAATGAATTTTCATTGCGAACCGGTGCCTTTCCCTAGCCTATAACAGCGTTGAACCTCGCACTAGTCACAATGACGTACATGACCTGGGACTTGGGAGGATCAATTGACAAAGTCAGCGCCCGGCGCCCACCCCATACGCGCGCAATGCATTCACTCAAATTGCTGACCAGATTTCAAGAGAAACAGTCCGGGTATCCATCGCAACTGGATCCGCATTCTGTTAAGGGAAGTGTATTTAACACCGGCCCCTCCTGTCCACCGAGGCAAGTCACGGCATCCTTCTACACCGAAGTACTGACGCTGACGTCGATAAAGATGAACATCCAGTATTTATGATGCCGAGCACATACTACGCCTACATCAATGGCGGCGACCGCATAAACCAAAGAACGCGCCTCACTCAGCTACGAGCCAGCATATCCTCGTGGACCGCCAGCTGCGATCCCGATGAATTGAACCGCATCCATCCATCCAACTGTCGAAGCCGCAACCATCACCACTCGAGTCCTCGTGCCTGAGAGCGTAGCGTTCAATTATCGAGATGCTTGATGCAGTTTGCCGTTTACAGCAGGGCGTGCCTTACTTGAGGGTGAACGGCGATGCTTCGCACGCCAGATCCGATTCCACTAATTTAGGTACTGCAGATTATATTTGTAACTTATAAGGTATAACATGATTGACTGCATGTTATACTACATATGACAGGACAACTTCGAACGCAGCCGTTCAGGACATTGGCACATTGTAGCACCGGGACAGAGGCAGTGAGCCGGCGCTGATATCTGCCACAGCTTCGTACACCCAATGGGAGAGATGGATGCATACAAGCAGTACAGTGCCATGCTCGTCAATGGGAATTATATCGTACTCGCGTGCAAATCTGATCATGACTTCTGCTTCTAGCATGCAGCGCACCGGGAGTATCGCGGGGAGGAGCGGGACGCGGGCGGAGCCAGCAAGGCTCACGACTGCGATGATATACATGAGCTGGAATTTGCGTGGAGGTCGGAGACGCTGAGCCGGGCACTGCGCGTGTCATTATAGTATTGCTTGAGATAGGTGAGACCGAAATTAACCACCTATATACACGAGGAGAATGCACGCGGAGCGCTGACGGGTGGTCGGTTTGAGCGTGCAACTGAGCCTGCTTGTGGCAGTCGGCAGGAAAGAAGAACACCGAGCTTGCCAAAGCTTTCAACGGGCTGAGCAATGCTCCAGAGAAACGGCGACAGAAGTAGCGAGGGCCAGCTCGCGCGAGCTCAGTGGAGTGCAAACGCGGGCGCTGGGCAGTCTAGTCGACCACTACCACACAACATGCAGCTGCAGTCAGCTCACACAACGAGCGAACGGGTCGCACGGCGGAATGATGTCCGCGGCCACGTATCAATCTGAATACATATTCTCGACGCGTTGAATACCTGCAGAGAAGCGCACCGAATCAGACACTACTGCTCGATATGAGGGGATACTAACGCTAGCAAGGCACTTACAACTCATCAGCTCTCGAAGCGTGCTCTGTAGGCCATCGGTATGGATGCATATAGTGATATGAAAGCGCAAGAAAGGCTTTGTGGAGGCATCCAGGGGAATCCCTGAACAGGGGGGACGATACTGAAAAGTCGACGAGGCGGATCCGGATAGGACGCAAAGTGAGTGAATCGCGTCCGTGTTGCGAGGTGCAGACGCCACAAAGGACAAACAAAGGCAAGCTGATTCAAGCGCCCTGGAGTGAAGGAAATCTACGGAAACCCACGGACGAAGCCGGGTTCGCCTGGATTCACGTGACCGATCCATTTCTCATAGGCAAGACCGATTCTTTGTGGAATCGGAATCAGGCGCTTGTCTCGTCGACGCCGAAGGCAGTTCTAGGCACTTTCCCGGCGTCGGTCGTCAGGCTGAGGTCGCTACCGCGGTTACAGCGCGCCGCGCTGAGAGGGAAGATGGCACGAAGGACCCTGACGGTGGCACATAACTAGCTTATCGCCGGCCTTGCACCGGCGCACTTATGGATGACAGCCTCCGAAGGTGCGTATTATTGGTCGCTTGTTGCCCGCGCTTAGTTGAACAACATGCCGATAGGTGCGCTGCTTTCAATGCACTTTCCGCTCCCCCTTCGCATGTTTCAGCCAGTGCGTATCAGCGCGGGGAGGCGCGGGATGCGATAGAATGTATGAAATCTGCGCCGGCGAGGCGAGGCAAACATCCACCCACAAGACTTACCCTATATAGGACAAGCAGATTGCCGAGCAAGTGCCTCGATTAGTGGGCACCGTGTGAGATCGGCATCCCTCTGCGCGTCACCACATGCTCGAGGTATAAAGTTGGGTTCTGTGCGCTCCGCTCAACAAAACCTTTCACGGCCCCGCCGTTTCCCCCAAACGTTGCCGTGCGAGGCTCTCATTTCCCCCTTCCCGGCCTCCCCTCCTTTGTCTGACCTACACACACTCTTTCGCTGATCTCGTCCAATCTTTACAATGTTCAGCAAGCTCCTCTCTCTCGCCGCTCTCGCGGCGGTCGCCAACGCCGAGCACTGGATTTTCGGTGGCAGCAAGCTTATCGTGCAAACGCGTCTGGACCCTGTGGTCAACCAGGGCACCGTAGGTTCATCTCATGGCCTCACTTGTTTGTACTTATCCGTCTTGTTCAGGTTGGATCGCACGTCCATGCGGTTGTTGGTGCAAGCCGCTTCTCGGACACTTATGATGCGGACGACCTGATGAAGTCCAACTGCACGACGATCCCTGTGCAGCCGGATAAGAGCAACTACTGGGCGGTGAGCTGCGACTCTACATCAGCGTACGAGTAGCATAGCTGATTGCGCCCATCAGCCTCAATTGTACCATCACGATCAACAGACTGGTGGTCTTACCCCCATACGTGCGTGCGCCGTCCTTGCAGTGAAACTGGCGGCAGTGTTGCAACACGCCGTGGTGGGGCAGTGGCGTGAAGTTGAACCGTGGGGCCCTTGGTTGGGTTCCCGGCCCGTTTTACCGCCCTGCCTCAACGCCTGTCATTTTGTGTATTGATGCTCGGTGGCCGAGTTGCTGACATTTACCCTTTGCTAGCGACTACCTTCAACATCTACTATCTCGTTCGTCAAGGTCCTAAGAATGAGAAGATCAACGCCTTCCCCAAGGGCTTGAAGGTCGGTCTACGGACCCCGCGTGTGATATATCGTACTGAATGCGAATACAGATGGTCGCCGGTGATACCGCCAGGCGTTCGTACAACTCCTCCAGTTTTGCCGACCAGGCCGTAAGCTTTGTCTGCCTCGGTACGCATAATGCCTCATACGGTCTCGCTGTCGCTAAGGCTAATTCCGGGATAGACTACAACAACGCGCACACCAACGACCCGGACTGGGCTGAGCGTCCCAACTTCTTCGACCACACCTGCCCCGATGGTATGCGCGCACAGGTGTTCTTCCCCTCGTGCTGGGACGGTGTGAACCTCGACTCGGACGACCACAAGTCGCACATGGCGTACCCCATCCAGAACTACAACTCCGGCGACTGCCCGGCCTCACACCCGGTCCACCTCGTCTCGCTGTTCTACGAGATGCTCGTGTCGGTCGACCAGTTCGACTACACGGGTGCTGGCACTTGGGTTCTGGCCAACGGCGATACGACTGGTTACGGGCACCACGGCGATTTCCAAAACGGTTGGGATGTCGACCTGCTTCAGACGGCGATCGACACCTGCACGGCCGCCAACGGCAACGTTATGGACTGCCCCGCCCTCGCCGCCGTGTTCGACCAGGCAGCGGCGGACGCGTGTGTGCTCGAGACGAGCATCGTCGATGAGAACATCGGTCTGACGTCGCCCATCGCCGCTCTCCCCGGCTGCAACCAGATCGGAAACAGCGGCAAGTCGTCCTGCACGAACCTCGTCACCCCGCAGCTTGTGCCCGCGCAGGAGCCCCTCCCAAGCGGGTGGACCGATCTTGGCTGCATCGCCGAGGGTACCAGTGGCCGCGCGCTCCCCGCGCTCACGATGAAGGACCCGGCCATGACAAAGTCGATGTGCGCCACGTACTGCGGCAAGAACGGCTACAAGCTCGCGGGCATTGAGTTTAGCGACGAGTGCTACTGTGACAACTCGGTCAAAAACGGCGCGTCGATGAGCTTCCTGACTTGGAGCGAGTGCAGCAACCACTGCGCTGGTAACAGTGAGTAGTAACAAACACTGCACGCGACTAGGCGCTGATATTCCTCGTCATCAGCAAACGAGATCTGCGGAGGAGCTGCGAAGCTATCGCTCCTCAGCACCGGCGTCGCCGGTGCATCTTCCCCCTCTTCCCCCTCGTCTGTATCATCTGCCGCACCTAAGCCAGTCACATCGGCTAACACCGTCTCCGCCTCCGTTGTTCACACCTCAGCCACCGTCACCCCGTCTGCTCCCTCCGTCGTCACCACTAGCACCCACCCCGCCTCTTCCGCGGTGCTCGCCGCGCCCCCGACCACGGAGAGCATCCCCACGGGCTGGACGAGCGCAGGTTGCGTGTCTGACAGCGGCGCACGCGCGCTCACCGGGTACTCGTTCGCAAGCGACTCGATGAGCCTCACCACGTGTGTCTCGACCTGCGCGTCCAAGGGCTTCTCCATGGCCGGTGTTGAGTACGGCCGCGAGTGCTATTGTGAGTACCCCGTTAAAATGTGTTCCCTCGTTTCTAACATATCACTCCTAGGCGGCAACTCTTTCCAGAACGGCAACGGCAACGCTCTCGCAGCGTCTTCGTGCAATATCCCCTGCGCCGCCAAGACCGGCAGCACTTGCGGCGGCTCCTGGGCATTGAGCCTCTTCAAGCACAACAGCGTGGCCATCGCAAACCCCGTCCCTGCTTCAGCGACTGCCACCACCCAGGCTGCCAAGCCCAGCGTCTCCGCCGCTGCCCCCTCGAACTCGACCAACGTCTCCGGTCTGCCCTCGGGCTGGTCCGCCGTCGGCTGCGCGTCCGATGTCCCCGGACGCACGCTCAACGTCGACGCGTACACGAGCCAGCAGATGACGATCGGCGGCTGCATCGCTCACTGCGCGCAGCTCGGGCACACCATGGCCGGGCTCGAGTACGCGCGCGAGTGCTACTGCGGCAGCTCGTTCGTGAACGGCGGCGGCGCTGCGCTCGCGGACGCGCAGTGCAACATGCCGTGCGCGGGCGACAGCTCGAAGGTCTGCGGCGGCGCGATGGCGCTCTCCGTGTTCAAGAAGACCACCGCGGGCTCCGCGCGCAGGCACAAGGCACGCCACTTCGGGCGCGGCCACGAGCACTCGGACATGTTCTGAGCTCGCCCCCCTTCCCCCAGCGGATCGTCGTTGACGGCGGCCCGCTCCCCCCTACCTCCCTCACGCGCGGGGAGCGAGCCTCCCGCCGCGCATTTCCTTCGCTCTCATCCTCTGCTCTCGGGTCCTCGGGTTATATTGTTGTCCTTCTTATGTTCATGTTTTCACGTCCCGTCTCGGCCTCCCTCATCTCTGTCTCCGGCTCCCCCAGACCCCAAGCGGGTTGGCTCTCTTCCGCCCCCGGACTGGGCGGGCGGTCGCGAGAGCGCGGCGACGACGCACGACTTTACTGGCTAAACCGGCTCCTCTACGCATATCGCTCTCCGGCCGTGGCTTGCATGTTCCCCTCGCTCGCATGGATGCGCGCCGCTTTATAGTTCAGTTATACCTACGATGACCTCTCGAAGTGGTCTACGTTACATCGTGAAATACATGGTCTCTGTTGTCACCACATGATTGGAATGATTGCGTGTACGAAGGAGACGGCGACACAGCCTGGCAAACTTGCCAATACGGCTCTGGGTCCTGCCATGAACTCCGGCACGACAAGGCTCTGTCAACTACCACAGACACAATTCGCCAGATAGCTGATGCGACGACTCATGCACATCTGGACTTCTGGCTCACCACTGCGGCAATGGAAGTAGGATCACGCAAGTTGGTCGGCAGAGAGGCGTACCTCTTGCAATAGTCATCCTTCAGTACAAGCATCGATACAGGACCAGCCCGAGCACGCGTATAACAAACGCAATACGCACAACGTCCTCGCCGCCGCGCCACGCCGTACTATGCACCGGAGCAATGAGCTGATATACAACATCCCGAGGTATCCCGCAGGGAAGAGTACAGCGGTTCGCCATAAGTCGCATGAGATTGCAGGGAGATGATGGAGAGCAAGAGACATGACTATAGGTGGAACCATACAACGAGCGACCGCATAGGACGGGGGAGTGTACCCAGGAGAAGTTTTTAGGCAGTGGTGACGGCCCTACAAAATCACTAGTTAGTCTCTTATACACGCGAATGTTACGAGGCGCGTACTTCTTGTGTGACGCCTTGACAGCGGCAGCCTTCTCCTTCTTCTCGGAGATGCGCTTGGTGATGAGCACATCGTACTCCGCCTTCTGCTCCTTCTGGCGGTCGATCCGGCGGCGCTTGAGGGAGCGCAAGTGACGGCGGCGCTGGAGACGGAGGGGGGTGACCAGACGCTGGATTTTGGGACTGATTGGAAAATGTTCAGCATCTGCCCAACGAGTATCAGCGTATCAGGAACGTACGCCTTGGTGTAGGGCTTCGCGTTCTCCTTCTTCTGGCTCGTGACTTCTCTCCGCACAACGTACTTGCGGACGTCGTCCTCCTTGGACAAATTGAAGAACTTGCGGATCTTAGTCGCACGCTTGGGGCCAAGACGCTTGGGGAGGACGTTGTCAGTCAGGCCGGGGATGTCGCTCTCGCCCTGCTTGACGATAACAAGGGAGAGGACGGCGATGTCGGGGCCGACGATGCAGCCACGGACCGACTTGCGCTTGCGCTCACCGGTGCGGCGGGCGCGGTAGCAAGAGTGACCGTCGGCAAGGAGGAGACGGACACGGTGGGGGAGAAGGACACCCTGCTTCATGGGGAAACCCTGCTTGTCGTTGCCGCCAGTGATACGGAAGACGTAGCCCTTCCACTCATCGCCGAGAGAGTCGCCAGGAACCTCCTGCGCGATGCGCTTCTCGTAGAAGACACGGCTGAATGATTGGATGTCTCGATGAGTTGGGAGTACGCGCAGAATATGGCAAGCTTGCGCACTATTTCTTCTCGTCATCGTAGTCAATGGTCTTTTGTTCCCCGGTTGCGGGGTCTATCGCGGCAATCCATGTCAGAATCCTCCGTGTAACCTCTGCTCAAACTCCAAACTCACTGGCGATGTTCAGCTTCATGCTGGAGCAAAAATAACAAGGTCAATCTCCAGCGGCAAAAATGGAGGGCAGAGACGTACATTGCGGCGTGGTGGGCGGTATCTCGGCGGCGGCGAGGGCGGCGACGACGAGATAGTCTTGAGCTCGGGTCGATTGGCTTGAGGCGTGTGCACAAACACGGACAACGCCAGTGGCGGGTGGCGCACCAAGGTTTGCAACTGTATAGTTCCATCAGCCACCCATTTCGGGAGCACGTGGCACGTGCGCCCAAGCAATTTCGGACACACCCACTGCGCTCAACGGCACGCACGACGACGACAACCCCTCAAGACTCCCCCGCCGCCTAAAAACTTGTGAGCTTACCCCGTCCTGCTGCTCCTCCGCGCGATCGCTGATTTTGGCTGGCAGAGTCAACATGGGTCGCATGCACGCTCCCGGCAAGGGCATTTCGTCCTCTGCTCTTCCCTACCGCCGCGCCCCCCCGTCTTGGTTGAAGACCACCCCCGACGATGTCGTCGAGCACATCTACAAGCTCGCGCGCAAGGGCCTCACCCCCTCCCAGATCGGTGTCACCCTCCGCGACTCGCACGGTATCCCCCAGGTCCGCTTCGTGACCGGAAACAAGATCCTCCGTATCCTCAAGTCTGGCGGTAAGTCCCATATATCCTGATGCCCAAGCCTGCTGTGAGGGAGTTGTGCGAACGCCGGCTCATCACAAGCATGGACAGGCCTTGCTCCGCAGATCCCCGAGGATCTCTGGCACCTCGTCAAAAAGGCGGTCGCCGTGCGCAAGCACCTCGAGGTCAACCGCAAGGACAAGGACTCGAAGTTCCGCCTCATTCTCATCGAGTCGCGTATCCACCGTCTCGCGCGCTACTACAAGACGAAGCAGCAGATCCCGCCAACCTTCAAGTACGACTCTGCGACCGCGTCCACCCTCATCGCATGAGCGGTCTCGTTGTATCCTGAAGACGGGTTAGGCGGATGGGGACGGGTATCCCTGGCCAGAGGGCCACGGGAGCGACGGGCGCGCTGTCGACACCATATGTTATCGCTTGTACGCTTTCCACATGACACACCCAATGCAGCACCTAGGGCTATGCACCACCGCTGCGCTCGCGACCATGCTTGTACATCATATATAGCAACACATTCGCTTGTGATCAGGTCACTCAGAGACGTCGCGCCATCTCGCTCTCCCGCGTATTATGACCCCCTCCGACTTACAAGGACTCTATCTCCCTCAATTTTCATCGAAACGGCTCGATTTTTTCGTGATTCCGACTCCTCTCGTCTACGCGCATATTCTGATGCAAACAATTCCTAATTCCACCGACATTTGTTCAACGCCTCCTGTGCCCCCACCTTTAAGAGAAGAACGCAGTTCACCGGCGTGCGAAGGCGTCATGGAGCCCAGACCTTGGGCGGCGCACATCATAATGTTGAGGAAACACAGGTAGCATTGTAGATACTCGGAAAACAGGTGTACAAAAGACTGTGTAGGCTGCATGCATGCCTAAAAGTATGAAGAATCCTGTAAAAGGACGTAGGATAGAGTACCGACCCGCCGAGAGTAGGCAACAGGTTACAAAACACCAAGACATATCCACAGTGCAAACACATCAGAATGCAGCTTCATAGTGATCACGTACCTTGTTCCACTCATTCCTCCTGCTCTCTGACCCTTGGGTCGCTGGCAGTCGCGTTCTTCACTCGGAGGTGGCGCTTGCAGATATCGGTGAATTTCAGCGCTGTTTGCACCCGAATATGCGCGGAGATGAGAGGCGTCAGAATCACGAAGAACCGAGCCGTTTGGATGATAATTGAGGGAGATATAGTCCTTGCAAGTCGGAGGGGGTCAGAAGACAGGGAGAGCGAGATGGAGCGAAAACGTTGGTATAGGCGCCCGCGACATGTCGCTTGAAAACAGCAACAATAAGCGCTCCGCGCGTATACGGTGCTTGCACTCTACAGCGATGGCATCGTTTTGAGGTTCTGAATAGTGTGGCCTGTCGGTAGATACTGCACACTACGCCGCCTGAAGCGCCTACGTGCCGCAAACTTCATATCAGCATCCAGTGTCCACTCATACATATATTCTCCTGGTTCGCAGTAGCAGCATGACAGCATCGCACAACACAGGCGTAACTAAATAGACAGCGTGTACTCGTACTCCGTACTAACGCTCTGTGAGATCCAGAGCACTATAGAAGAAAGCATTAAGGCGACATTCTGGGAGACGTTGGCGTAGCCGTAATAGGTATACTGCTCCGGGTAGTGATTCAGGATATACTTGAGCACCAGGATACACTGTAAGTCATATCGTGTATTAGTCCCCGTTCGCCTTCGCATGGGGATAAGAGACGTACCACACTGCCCGCAAGTCCGCCAGCCATGAACGCGAAGCCAATGAACAGGAACAGGCGAGCGCGCCACACCGCGCGCGAGTCCCCAAAGTCCTCGTTCCCCTGCACGCGGTCCTTGTCGATAAGGTTGATGATGAGCATGCCCAGGAGGGAGCAGATTCCGGGCAGCCAGTCGAGGAAGGCGACGTGGACCGGGACTGGCCGCTCCGGCTCGTCATAGGGCGAGTGCGCATGCGCGGAGAGGATCGCGGCGTCGAGGAACGTCCAGTTCGCGAGCGCGAACTGCAAGTCGGTAATGCATGAGCTCGTTTGCCATATAACTACAGCAGAGATGTGCACGTACAAGACCGCCGGCGAGGTAGATACCGACTGTGCGCCTGTGCTTGCCGAGGCTGATGTTGGGGAAGGGGTTGAGACACACCCGGCGAGGGTCGTAGTTGTGACGAGGAACGGCCATGGTTGTCAGGGTGGCTTAGGGTGCTCGAGTAGAGGGGTACTGGTGAGCGTGAACGACGAGAGGTGGTCTGTGGTGGTGGCTGCTGTACAACACCGAGACGCTGAGCACATCGTTGCCGGACGCGCGCAGCGCTGCCGCCGTTGCGTACATTGCGATACAAGCGCCCGCGCATTTCTCTCAGGCTGCTTCTCGCTCATATTCTGGCCCGCTTTCTGCGTTCCTGAACGCCCTTGCCCTGACAATATATCGCCCAGAGCTATATGATAAGGCGAATATACCAAGAGTACTTTCAGTAGTCTTGCATAGCATCCGTGTTGTCTCATACCTAGAGAATACTGAACAATTCCACCGACCTTCTACGGCAGCCACTTGGCATACGACGTCTCCTAGACCATGATACAGACTGCCCATGTTGCCTCTCAAAAATCAGTATTTTTCACCGGTGAAAGCTAATACTGATATATATCGTCATGAGTTGTAGGCACGCGCTACGACGCATGCAACATGCACGGCGGTCTCATCGTTCTACCGTCCAGCCACGTGGGAGATGCTAGCCGTACCTTTGTCAAAATCGCTTCGAGGGCTTGCTCTTCCTCCCAACCCCCATCTTGAGCACCTATCAAGCAACAATCTTAACACCAAGAAGATGGCCAAGCAGACAGGCATCGACGTTGTGAAGAGCCCGGAACTCGCACAAGGGTTCACCGCATACCTCGTTCGCCTGGATCTCGAGGGTTCGTGATACTCCATCCCCAGTCTCATCGAGTACTAAGCTGGATAAACCTCACAGACCGCAGGTACCGCGATGCAGAATGCAAGCTCGCCATAGTTCAGGCTGAAGGCTTCGCTCGCGAGAACAAGTTCAAACAAGCAGGCTCGAAGTTCGCTGAAGCTATGTCGCACCTCGTGGGACCGCAGCTTACGGTGCCACTCGATCCCGCCAACGGTGGGGGTGTCAAGTGCCCGGTATACATGAACTTCACCATGGACGAGTGTCTGACCGCGATGACTTGCTGCAACGGAGCGGCTATGAACCTATTCGAATCCGACGAATTGGTCAAGGTCAGCACGCACCGCGATGTCAACCTTCTCTTCTCTGACCCTCTCGTCCATACAGGCCCTCGACTGGAGCTTGGAGGTTGATGTGCTGCACAAGAACGTCCGGTTCATGAACAAGGCGCTCTTTGGTACGTTTCGTTGGTGACAATCGTGTGTAATCTGACTCAACGCGTTTTAGATTGGGACTTATACGTACCGTCTCCTCCGAGCCTCGAGTTCCAGCGGCAACGCCTACTCGGCCTCGTCACGGCTTCCGACGTTCTGCTCAAGCTCGGTAATACCGGCGCGGCGGCGTACTGCCGCAACGTCGGGAACGACCTCGTCCGGAGCCTGCCTTCGTCCCAAGAGTATTCTCTTCGGCGTGAGATCCTCTCCGTCGCCTCCACTAAAGCGGTCATGGAGTACCGCCACCCCGATCCGTCTGTTTATCGCTCGCTCGAGATCAGCAACCCCGACCTGCAAGTACGCGGGTCGTGGCAGCGGCTCAAGTGGGCAGACTCGTCGAAGGTCACGTCGCGCATGGCGCACGCCTGCTTCATCTACAAAAGTAAGAAGTTACAACGTACGTTGGTACAGTATATGCTGACGCATCCTTTCAGGTCGCTTGTACGTGTGTGGCGGCCAGCGCAGCGGTAGCATGCAGGTTTATGGCGATATCTGGTGTCTCGACCTCGTGGGGATGAAGGGCTGGAGACAGCTCCCGTCATACAAGCAGCCGTTCCTGAACTGCCAGATGGTCGTGCACGACGGAAAGGCGTACCTGTTCCGTGGCTCCGCAATGGTGGACTACCTCGATCTCGAGAAAGAGCGCTGGGGCCGCATCCAGACGAACTTCGTCAATGCGAAGGGGAAGAAGCTGGCGTGGCCGTACACCGACAATCTGACTGACTACGTCGCGCACGTCTTCGAGGGCAAGATCTACGTCTTCGGGGGCAAGTACCACCGCCCGCTCGGATGCAACTACTTCGCCGTCCTCGACATCGCGACGAAGAGCTGGACATACCTTTCGGGGATCCATGACTCCGTCGAGCTCACCCCCGATTATAAGCAGCCGGGAGTGCGTAAGGATCTGGCGAGCTGGGTCGACGAGGAGCGCAAGAAGATCTACATCATGTACGGCATGGCCGACCGCCATGAGGCCGCGATCTACGAGTCGGACTTCGCCTCCTCGGACGGGTTCGTCTACGATGACTGTTGGTCCTGGGACATCACCGAAGGGAAGTGGCAGCAGGAACGCGTCCTCGGAAACTTCCCCTGCCCCCGCGCGGAGGTAGCCTGCAGCTATGTCCGTCCAGCCCATCTCCGCCTCCCCTAGAACCCGTACTAACCCGCCTCGTTTCCTCCCAGAACCCGACCACGAAGCAGACGGTGATGTTCGGCGGGTACAGCCCCGCGCTGCCGTTCTTCGTCGAGTCGTCCACGACGAGCTTCGGGTTCAACTACTTCTCGGACACGTTCGTGCTCGACCACAGCGCGCCCGGCGGCGCCCCGCGCTGGAAGCAGGTCATCACCGGGAACTTCCCCACCTACCGCGCGCAGAGCCAGCTCATGACGGACCCCGCGACGGGCCGCATGTACCTTTTTGGCGGGTACACGAACACGGACTGGGTGCCGGCCGGCAAGCACGACCTCACGCGCAGCTTCGGCGACGTGTGGCAGCTGCGCGTCGACGTGCCTGGGGGGCTCTTCGAGGACATCGACTGGGAGGACGAGCGCCGCGCGGCGCAGTTGGGCCCGTGGATGGCCTGCTACGTGTGCGGGTCGGTCGGGGTTTGGAAGAAATGCGGCGGTGCGTGGCGTTTAGACTCCATTGTGGGCTCGTCGGCCCATCGGCGGGTGCTGACAGCTGTAACGATTTTTCTAGGAACGTGCGATGGGCGCGTGTACTTCTGCACTCCGAACTGTCAGAAAGAAGGCTGGCCCGAGCACAAGCAGAAGCACAACTGCAGCAGGTGAGACGGTTTAGTACCCTAGTGCCAATGCACTGTTCGCTCGAGGAATATAAAAGTATGGTCCCATGGAATGCTGGCGCTGCGACTCCGATGATATGTCGGGACCAGTCAGCTGTGTTCCCACAAGTAATCAGAAGAATGTCAGGCGACATGGGGCGGTGTAACGGTTTGTATCAGGATATCCGGGTAGGTCGGATGCATCTAGTCGGCACAGCGGTTAGCTTTGCATGTCAATTCGTGGCTATGGATGTCGCTACATCGTGCCTGAAAGGCTATGAGAGCAGGTTTATTTCTATCCGTAGAGTATAGGAACACGACATAAGAGGCTGTCACCGATTTGCGGCTGCCATGGTGGTACACCGGAAGCCTGATACGGTTTATGACCACAGTCGCAGCATCTTCCTGCTGTCGACCATGAGCACTCTCTCCAGATATTCCCGTGGAGTGAAGTCAACCTTGCCCGCGAAACCGACAGCAATGCTCGTTTACCAGTGATTCTGAACTCGTGCCGGTTGGTAGGCGCGTGGGTACTTGGCGGTGGTGCCGGGGCGGAGTGGCTGTGCGGAGCATGCTGCATTCAGTAACGGGCGCTTGATTCACACTGCCCTTCCGCTTGGACTTGTGCTCAGCTGGCTTACTGAGACTCCCTATTCGACCCCACGGTATATAAGTTCCACGCTCTGGTAGCGAACCATACCCCCACTTTCCGCCCACCAACATCAAGGTCCACCAGCCGACCCCAATCAACATGTACGTTCCCGGAATCACCAACCTCAGCCAACATCTGTACCCGCGCAAGGGTGGCGGAGGAAAGGGCGGTGGCGGCAAGAGCGGCGGCAGCAGCAGTGGCAGCAGTGGAAGGTCAGGATCCAGCAGCAGTGGTTCAAAGTCCTCGGGAAGCTCAGGCTCCAGCGGCAGCTCCGGATCGTCCGGCGGTAGCGTCGGGAGCAGAGGTGCTTCTGTGCCGGTGTCTGGATCAACCGTTGGACGCTCGAGCGCCGTCTCATACGGCTCGGGAACCACAAAGGTTGTCTCGATCCCCGCAGGACAGCCGTTTGCAGGTCGATCGTCTGGTGGCGCGACAAGAGATCAGGTCTTTGGAACAAGGTGTGTATGGCGCTCGATTATAACAGGGGTGGCGCCTGACAAGGTTTCATAGATCGTATGGCAGCGGCTACCCAGGAGTGTCGGGTCTCGGTGTCGGGGGGAGAGGATTCCCCTTCGTCTTCTGGCCTGTTGTATGGGGCGGCGGGCTCGGGTACGGCGCCGCGTATCTGCATGCCAACCACGAGGTGAGTGGCGAGGATACGGCTGCTCAGGAATGCATGTACCACTCTGGATCGCCTCGCGCTTGAGGCTTTGTTTACATCGTGGGGCCGAGCAAGCAACTCTTGACCTGTGGTCAAGGCGGCTCGGGCGGGCGTCATGGCTCTTGCATGGCTCGCCTCGGCGCTGTCGGTGGCATGCCGATATCTGCTGCCTATTTGTTCAGCTCCCTGGGTAAACAAAGCCCCAACAAGTTTTTACGAGAGTGGCAGGTATGATACGCCATGCCGTACGATGCGAGCGATCCAAAGAATGGCCCATCGGTTCTTAAGCAGCTGTAGTGGCCAGGATGTTCCAGTTACTCACGCATTCCTCCCATAGTATGGCGAGCCGAACAACTCAACGAGGCCGGGAGGCCCGATGATGCAGGCCGCCTTCTCGTCGAACTCGAGCAATACCACATTCCACGTTGTGGCGGACAACACCACCGTCACTGCGCTCATTGCGTCCATCGACGCCAACTGCACTGTGGCGTCAAATTCCTCCACCGTCCCGCTCGCGTTCAACGGCAGTGCGACAGATCCCAAGCCGGAGCAGTCCGTGCAATACTATCGCGCGAGCAGTGTCTCGCTCACGCTCGATGGCTACAACGACACCAGCGCATTGTCCGACGACGCGAACGCGACGCCCGTACCACTGCCCTCCAACATCGACACGACCCTGCTCAACTGCCTTAACGACACCATCGGGGCGGCGGTGCCTCTTTTCGAGGACTCCGCGGGCCTCCGTTTGAATGTGCCCACCAGCGGACTGATAGGCCTGGCCTACGTCGTTTGGTGTTTAAGCCATCTCCTCTGATCGCGTTCCTCCGTTTTCCTTACTCCTTCTCACCTGCGACATCCCTTGTCCGAACTTACGATTGACTCTCCCCTTCGCTCGTTGTATACCCTTACGACCCCTTATGCCCGGTTACGACGCTGTTCTCTACCTTCATCATACTGCCCGACTAATAGCTGTCGTATTTCGTTCGCTGTGGGCTTTGTTGGGACTCTTACGGCCTGTACTGTATCATGTCATTGTCCCTGTACCTACCTACCTCGCAAATAGCACACGGATACCGCGTACAATTGTAGCATTTTGCTCTGCAATTGTCTCTATTATTCGCCCTCTGGAGGACGCCCTTTGTACTCGGTGGCCTTTGTGCGAGACCGGCAAACGCCGGACGCGAGTACTTCAAGCGCGTCCTCGTCGTGGTTACCTCGCACCAACCACACATTATTCACCCCCTTTCGCCGTCGCCACAAAGATCTTACTGCTCTGATTTTATCTCGGGTCTCTCTCAGGACGGCTAGGCTTGCACAGGCAATCGATCTGTGGTCTACTACACTACCAGACGCGCGACGCGTCCTTGCCGACTTGCAGTTGAACCTCCCTCACGCAACATTGCGCGCGAGACACTGGACCCACAACGCAACGCCTATCTTCAACGGAGCTCTCGATATATGCTGAGGGCTTGATTTTACGATAGAGCAGGAGGATGGCTCATTGGTACACGCATCTACGACGGAGACACGATCATGCTCGCGTCAAGAACGAACACACTCCACTCGGTCACGGCTACAAAGACGACGACCCATATTGACGATCGAGGCACTCAAGCACACAGGAACCGCGTTCTCTCATCTATGCGCTAGCTTGCATTCGGTGTGTAAGAATACAGCAGACACGGTACGCGCAAATAATGTGATAAGTGAGGAGTCGGAGGGGAGGTGGGGGGAGGTGTCCAGTGGCGGAGCAGACGTGGTAGTGGGGGTAAGGTGAGTGTGGACTGTGATATGGGTGTGGGGTGCGATGGGGGGTATTGAACGCGGGCGGGGGGTTCGTGAGGGAGGCGGGTATGCAAATAATGCTACGACGTGAGGGGATGCGTGAGGACCGTAATGCTGCAGGAGGGGAAACGGGGAAAGGTGAGTGGTACAGTGCGCGCGGGGCGAAGGGCTGATAGTACTACAAGGGGAACAGAGAATATACACGCGCGCGCCCCGCAAAACGGCGGAGGCGCGGCCCCAGAGAAGACGGGATGGGATGCAATAATTTTAGTACAGTGTCTGTGCGCGTCGACCCACGCCTGCGCGAGCCGACGGAGTCATCACCAGTTCATGCTGCTGTCGTGCGCAAACACGCCCGAGTAGGTGTCCAGCCCGGGGGTCGTTGCGTCGTGTACGTGAAAGTCGTGCTCTTCGGGCATGTGCTGCACCACGTACTCGTCGCGCTTCAAGTGGTACTCGTCGTTCGGGTACTCTTCGTGGACGTACTCGTCGTTCGGGTACTCTTCGCACTCGTACTCGTCGCGCTCGCGCTGCTCGTCCTCGGGCCGGATCGTGCTGGAGGACGAGGAGGTGCCGTTGGACTGCTGGGACTGGGTGAGCGCCTCGAACTGCGCGAGCCCGAGCTCGACGGGCGGGATCGAGCACAAGTTGAAGTCCTCGTTCATCAGGGACTCCATGTTCGCCCAGAGCGCGTCGCTCGTCGGCCAGAATCCGTAGGGCATCGGCATCTCGCCGTCGTCGCCGTCCCCATCGACGTTCTCAGGGACGTCCTTCGGCGGGGGCATCGACAAGGACATCATCCGGAGCGCGTCATCGGGAGTGAAGGGGGCGCCGTGCGTGCTCGGGGACGACATGATGCTGGACGCGTAGGAGCTGGGCGTGTAGGACTCGGAGCCGACAAGCGTGGAGGCGATCGATTCGGCGGGCGACATCATGTTCGTCATCGCGCTCGAATCGCGGGGGATGGTGAGCGAGTGCAGCAGAGGAGGTACGCCGCCGTTTGCAGACATCTGGTACATGTTGTGGTACGGTCCATTCATTGGCTGACAGGCGCGCGGCTATCAGCAGGAAACTCGATACGAGGACGGATGTGGTGCATACCTGGCCGTTCTCGTCATACATGCTCAGACTGTCGCAACCCGACATGAAGAGGTGGTCGTTAGGTGCGTAATCGAAGGTCGTCAAAGGAGCAGACTCCGTCGGTGGCGGGATATTCGCGACGGGTGCTGGCGATCGCCCGCTGATCCTCGGAATGAGCGTCGGCGAGGTGGGACACGACGGCATCCAGACGGATGGAAGCTGGATCGACTGGAATTGTGGTGGCGGGGTGGGCGCAGAGACCGCGCGCCGCCCGTGCCCGTGTCCGTGTCCGCTCGAGGCATATTCGCGGTTGTTGACGTTGCGCGAGGGCGACGACGACACGGGGAGCAGGAACGAAAAGCTCTCCGCGTCGTCGTCCTGCTCGTCGCCCCTGCGCGACGCCGACGCGGACTTCCCCTTCTTCTTCTTGTCCTTGTTGCGCTGCGGACGGTAGACGTAGTTGGGGTACATCGCCTCGTGCTCCTTCTTCTTCTCCTTCGCGAGGTCTTCCCAGTACTGCCGCTCCTCTGCGGGGAGGCTCTTCCATTGCTGGGAGATCGTCTTCGAGAGGTCGGCCTGGCGCTGCTTCTTGACCGGGCCGGACGTGCTCTCCTCCTCCTCGCGCGCGGCCTGGCGGTCCTCGCAGCACTTGCGGCGGAAGAGGATGAACGCATTCTCTGGCCGCTTGATGTAGTCTTCGTCGCCCTTCTTCGGCCGCCGCTCCCCGATGTCGCTCGCGGTCGATCTACGCCGGCGATGCGACGAGGCCAGCGAGGAGGTGGTCGAAGGTGAAGATAGAAACGATTCCGGAACCGAAAGCGCCGACTCGGGAACAGAGTAAACTGAGTCGAGCACTGAAATCGAAGAGTCCGATCCGATCGAGGATGTCGGGGAGAAGGGGCGAAAGGGCGGGGGCGTCGAAGGAATGGATTTCAAAGTGGGCTCGAAGGGCGAACTGGACGGCGAGGACGGGAAGCGAGTGTCAGTGATAGGGAAGGTGAATGCGCGCGGCGTGGGCGAAATGATGGACACTGTTGGGGGAGGTGGTGGGGCGTCCGTCGAGACTTCGAGGTCTGTGCGCAGACGCGGTGAGCAGTGTGCGCTCGCTGTGTGTGTGCAGGGACTTACTGCGCGAAGAGGCGTCGCGAGTGCGGTAGGCAGGCATGATTGTTCTCGTTAGTGTGGTCGGGAAAGGATGGCGCGGTGTTGTTTGGTAAACGCAGGCAAGTTTCCTCGAGGCAGGAAGATAGGGCGCTCCAGGAGCGGCGCGAGCGATGGCGGAGGGTGGCACAGAGGCCCCGAGGAGAACAATTGCGCACAGGACGGAGGAGGGCGAAGACAATACGCTGAGATCTTTATAGCCAAGGAAGGAGCGAGCGACCGCCGAGCACCCTAGCCGCCCCCGCAGGACACGAGATCGCCCTCGAGATCTCGTTCATTGTGTTCTCTGTCCAGACACGGACACGGACCTAGTCCCGAATCAGCGTACGCGTCAATCCGCGCTGTTGCCCTCTGTTTGGACACAAAATGCAGCCCGGATTCTCAGCCATCGCGTCCGGCCAACGTCTTATTGTTGTGCGCCTTCCACGGTTCCTGCACCCGAGCGCACGGCACCTATCGTGCTTATTGTCTTCCGCCCGCCTTCGCATACGCCTCATATGCCGTTATCGAGCCCACAGATGGAATACTCGATAAAGTCCCGTGCAATCCCCGTTCGCGCGCGCGCGTGCTCGCCGTCTACCGCGCACACGCCGAGTCAACCCGCCCCGAACCGGCGCACCCCCACCCCACACCCCAATCCATCCACACCTCACCCCGCGCGACCTGCGCGCGCCTTCCTAAACAGCAGTGTTAAAGGGGGCGCGGGCAGCGCGTGGCGGGGCCGTGCACGGTTTTACCTCCAGCTGCCCGTCCCGAACACCTCGTGTCGCCCGCTTTCGTAAACGGCTGTAAGCGGGGCGCAATATGGGCAGCGGGCAGGTTCTGATTGACTCATCGCGTGGCCGCTCGAGGGGATATCGGATTATCTCACTCACTCACCCCCCCAGGGAAATATTGATCAGGGTTTGGGATTTTCGCGCATGCCGCCCGTGAGTACTCGTGTGCCAGAAGCAGGCCGCTTCCCGGATATAGCAGGGCCGTCCCCGGGGAGCGCCACGGCAGGGGACGCCGGGGGAGCGTCGGATATGGCAGGAGGTGGCTGAGAGACCGGAGAGTGCGCTCAGTAGGGGGCCCGCGCGCTCTTGTCTCGATCGTGTTGCAGATCGACGCTGCAACGCCCCGGCCTCTCTCGCGACAAGACCACCCCCCGCCCCCTTCCGCATCTGGTTCCGCGGCGGTGTCGCCCCCGCCCCTGTGCCCCCGCCGGCAACCCACGCCCCTCGACGCCGGGGCCAGTGCCACCACCCCGCGCACAAGACCGCGCGTGACCCCTCCCGCCCCGGAGGCCCGGGCCTGAGCGGAAATAGGCCTTGCTGTCCGCTGCTATCCCGGACCATCTCGCGCAGCGCCATGCGGGAGGGCAGCGCGCGGGCACTCGCTGTCGCCTGCGGCCCCGGATCAGCGCGCGGACGCCAGGATGGCGCTACGATTGCAGCAGGATCATGGATGACCGGCCGCGTCTGAGTCCCCGCGATGCGGCATACCGTTTGTTCGCCCGATACGGAGAGACGAAGGGACGCGCAGGCGCGCGGACGCACGCGAAGGTTCAATTCACACTCAGGCGGGCGGGACTGCCACTGCTCATCCATCCTGCCACGCCGGGATGGCGATTCGGCACGGATATGGCAGCATTGAGCATGCCGGATGGAGACTCCCTGCGCACCGCCCTGCCGTCGGATCGTCCGCGCCGTGTATGGCTCGACGCAGCGCACTCGGGAACCCGGATCTCCTCCACGTCTATCTGTGTAGCGTACTGTATACGGTGCGGCGGATGTACGTGGTGTGCAAACGTCCAACCTTGCGCCGCAGGCAGGAACTCAGCTCGCACTCAAACGCCTCCGGAGAAGCCCCTGCGTCATTCCGTCCTTCTCGAGCCGTCCCACGAACATGCACCTGACTGCGCTCTGCGTGCCCGCACCCCGAGGTCGCCTGCACGCGCAACACTCCGCGCGCGTACAGCTGGGCTGTGTCGCGAAACATACGTGTGTTTCCTCCTGTGCCTGCTACCCGGGTCGCATGGGCGCAGGGCAGACGGAGCTCGGAGCAGCAGATGGGCTATCAGCCTCCGTCCCGAACATCCACCTAGCAACGCCGCTAGTGCCTCGCGGATTTCTGCGCGCACCCCGCGTCGGCGCGCCACGCGCCACCGCGCGCACGTTGCCCCTCCTCTGCGCGAGAGCACGACGGACGCGGGTCGTTTAAGCATCGCAGCTATCTAATATCCCGTATCGCATCGCGCGGCGGGCATCAGCTGACGCCGCGCCGACGAGCGAGGTCCCCGCCGCGTTAGCAGGTTAACTCGCTTTGGAGGTGATGGTGAACGCGATAGTGCCGATGCCCCTACGCGTAACGGGACTCGGACTCCTGAGCTGGAGGGGGGGAATCCGTCGTCGGACGCCGCGGCGGCACATATCCTGCCATCCGATCCGTGTCCTGACATGTCTCACCATCCGTCTCTGCGCCGCCTCCTCACACGCGATACGGGGGGCAGCTCCTCTTGGGCATATCACAGGGGCGTTTCGCAAGCCTGCCTGATCCTGGGAGCACGGCACGTCGTTCCGTTCCGTATACGGGCAATTTCAAGGGGCTGCGGAGGCGGCATGAGATGAGTGCTCGTTCGCCCTGTGCAGCTGTGCAAAAACGTTGCCGTTACCTACATACGGTTATGATGGCGTGCGGCGTGCGGAGGCTCGGGCGCGGAGCAGCGGGCAGCAGCCTCGAGGCGGGCGGCGGCGCAAAATGCTTCCGTGACCAGATAGGGCGCGACGGGCGGTGCATCGCCTCCGAGGGCACCGTGTGCTGGTGGCTGCATGGGGAATCATGGGGAAGAATCATATGCGCCTGCGACGAGCAGAGGCGGCGATGGGGGATCGTGATCGACGATTATCGTGGCCATTTGCGCGATCGGTATGTTGCGCAAGGGCACACGGACGCTTGGCTTGAACAGTGATTGCTGAGTGACCCGGGGAAGCGGGGAGTCTTGCTAAAGCAGGCCGCAATCGATCCTACTTCCTTTCCGTCGTCTCGTAGCGCGATCGAAATGTGTGCCGAAAGGGTCAGTTGAAGGGAGCTCCTCCATCGAGCATGTTCAGCGTATTTCCGCTTCAATCCGTGGCGCTGCGCATGACGCTCCAGCACGGCAGATATATCCGGAAGGCCTACTGTACGTCGCGAGGTGCGGTATTAGGCTTCAGCGTTGCCGCAGCGCTGCGCATGGGATATTCGTGAAGCGTTCCTGTCGGCGCGGCGGCCATGTGTTACCTGGTCTTTGCAGGACGGACCACACCCACGTCGCCGCGAGCGGATCCGGACATCTGCGGGGCGGAGCGGACGTCCAAGTTATCAGGTTAGCCGAGGCGAACGTTCATCTCCCGGAGGAGGCTATCCAGCGTGCGCATTAGCCACAGCTGCGTGCATGTGCTCGCGGACACGCACCTGAGCACGGGACGCGATCGCGCGTAGATTCAGGCCCCCCGAGCCCGAACATCCGAGCATTCCCAATTTCCGAAGGGGTGAAGCGCCTACGTAAGGGAAGCAGGAGGATGACGACGGACGTAGCGAGTTGACATATCTCCGGCGTAACAGACGTTGGGGGCTTCCTGGAGCGGGTACGCGGGGAGAAGGCGCAGGGGCGTACGTAGGCGTGTCGTCCGAAGGCCGTGTAGATCGTCGTGGGTGGCCGCACGCTGCTCGAACCTGTACGCCTTGAGGCTGGCCATGTGGCCTCTGTTCCATACATACCAAGAAAAGAGATCAAAAAAATTGCACAGGCTACGACATGTCATGCCATGATCGGATACTCGTCTGGCTGCAGATGTGGGCAGGAGGAGGCATGGTACTTGGGGGAACGCGCGTCCTGCAGCAACGGGAGATCGACGCACACGGATGAGTAGCAGTTGCATTTAGGCGCCTGTGCGCGCAGTGACGTCGTGCGAGCGAGCGATCGGAGATTGACACAGGCGTCTATTGCGGTCGGTGGCAGGGCATTGCCAAATAGGGTAGGCGGAAGCAAATGCCACGTGTGTATTCAGGGGCGACTCTCCAAGCGCTCTGCTGAGGCAGCCGCCAGCTCCGCTGCGGTTCTGCTTGCTCCCACCGTTCGGACTGTCTGCAAAACGAGTCTATAGCTAGTCTGAGGTCTCACAACACTACCCACCGCTTGGAAAGCCCGTAGCATCCTGTCTCGAATCAAAATGGCCCCGAGAATCAAGCGTCCACGCTCCCCAACGCCTTCGCTCGGCGACAGTACAGCGGAACCCTCAGCTTCGTCCCCCAACAAAGCCAAAAAGCTAAAGCTTCTAGCCTCGCACTCAGTCGCCTCGCCGTTCCCCGATTATCCGCACCCCACGCCCACGGAGGCCGCAGAAGTGCACGCCCTGCTGTCAGCAACCCACCCCGACCTCGCGAAGCGCCCCCGCGTGCCGTCCGAGGCGAACGACTCCGCGCGCACCTGCGGCAGCGTGCCGAACGTGCTCGAGTCGCTCATCGGCACCATCCTCAGCCAGAACACTTCGTCACGCAACTCCATGGCCGCCAAGCGCGGGCTGGACGCCGCGTTCGGGCGCAACAACTTCGCCGCGATCGCAGACGCGAAGACGGCGGACGTGGTGGAGGCGATCAAGACCGGGGGACTCGCGAACAAGAAGGCGGGCGTCATCCAGAAGATCCTCGCGGAGGTGCACAGGCGGCACGGCGCGTACTCCCTGCAGCACCTCGCGGGCGCGGACGTGAAGGGCAAGGGCAAGGCGGCGGGTGGGGCCCCAGCCTCGGACGAGGCGGCCATGCAGGAGCTGGTGTCGTACGACGGCGTGGGCCCGAAGACCGCGTCGTGCGTGCTGCTGTTCTGCCTGGGCCGCTCCTCGTTCCCCGTCGACACGCACGTCTTCCGGCTATCACGCCTCCTGGGCTGGGTCCCGCAGAAGGCGGACAGGGTGACGGCACAGGCACACCTCGACCTCACAATTCCCGACGACCTGAAGTACGGCCTGCATGTGCTGATGGTCGGGCACGGCCGCCGGTGCAAAGGATGCAAAGGTGCAGGCGGCGGGAAGGGCGCACCGTGCGTGCTGAAGACGTGGCTCCGGGAGAGGAAGGGTGCAAAGGAGGAGGAGCTTGAGGCGAAGATCGAGGACGTAGAGCGGTCGGATGCGTTGGCGACACTGCTACCTGTGAAGGCAGAAGATTGACGGAATGTGTCCGGTGGCGGCCATGCCAGTCAGTGTACATACTTTTCCTGGAGCGTCGTACGACTGCAGCAGAGCTTATGATTTTTCTTGACATATGCAACGCTTTCTTGACGTACATGGTCCGGGCGAGCGAACCTCGTTGGTGCTGGCGCAGAAGGAAGTGGCGAGCCGCCCGTGCGCGTCTGCACAGCGACACGCGCGGAACACGCGTCGCGCCCCTAAATGAAACGCGCCACGGTCACGTGCGCCTCGCCTACGCACTTGTGGACTCGTCCCCCCAGCCACACCTGGACACACCCGCCTCCTACCGTGCCAAACACGCCCCCACTTTGGTCGAGTATTACTCGTTGTGTTGTTGCGGAGCGTGCTTGTGCAGCGCGCAAGCGACGGACAAGGCGGCGCGACGGCCCAACCACGCACCCCAAATCGGGCACAAGAGCGTCTCCGCCAAACACGCGGCGATTCCCACCCACTGTACACATGTACTGCGCGAGGTCGCGAGCCGTGCTGATAGTGCCGATATAACAGGAAACTAGTGACCCCCGGGGCCGCGAACGCACCCTCGCCTGCACGCGCCACCGCAATGCGCTGCAGCCCCTCCTCGAGCCTCCGCCTGCCCCCCATCCTGTCTTGAATCGCCACGACCGCTACAGCTCTGTCCGCACACGCCCCATAGTCCCATAATTAGGTATCGCCACCACATCGGGATCACATCAACACGCAATGGCAGGAGGCGACGGGATGCCGCCGTGGCCCGTGAACCAGACGCGGCCGGCGCACAACGTCGATCTGCGCCGCTCGTGGGTGCCCTCGCCCGTCATCCCAGCGCGGGACGCCGAGCACGAGCGCATCCCGGCGGAAGACGAGCCATCGTCGGCTTCGACGTCGACGAGAAGCGCACGGAGCACGGGGAGCGGCCGGCGGAAGCACTCGCAGAGAACGCGGCGCGCGCCTGGGGATGATACGCTCGGCCTGGACGGAGAACGAGGCGTGCGGCGGCAGTCGTGGCTGGCGTGCTTTCGCCCGATGAGCCTGTTCAGCAGTGGGTAGCCGTTTGCCTTTCTTCTCGTCACCTCTCTCGTTGCGTGTGAGGCGGGATCGGCGAGTTGACGTAATTCTGACCTTTATTATTATCCTGACGCATTTAGGGAGAAGCCGAGTTGTGGACTCTGAGGTCGATGACGCCGAGAAACATACCGAAGAGCGCCATTTGGATTATAGACGCGAAGTCGCACCTGCGGAATGGAGGGCGTATGGTTATTGGGCGCGCCCGTACATTAACTGGCCATGGGCGATTAGAGTGAACAACGCAAGTGTGTACCATACTCACAGATCGCGCGTCCATCGAGCACTGACCATGCGCCCGTGCGCCCACAGCGCCCCTCCTCGAGAACCAGCGCGAACTCAGCCCGCCAGAGGTGGACGCGATGCTCGCCACCATCCGCGAACCCGGCGGCGCGGAGGCCCACCCCGAGAACTGGGTCCCGCGCGTCTCGCACCCCTCCCTGCCCCCACGCCCAGACCTCTGGCCGACCCCCCAAGCGACCTTCAGCCCGCTCCCCGGAGAACTCCAACTCAACCCGTGGTTCACACACCGCGCGATCGGGACGCCCCCGCTGCACTTCGACCTGCGCCTGCGCGCGGCGGACGCGGAGGTGCACGTGCGCGACGCGCTGTACCGCACGGGGCGGCGCGACGCGCTGCGCGTCGACGGGCCGAACGGCGCGCAGCCGGCGACGTACCCGGGCGTGCCGCGCCTGCGCGTGACCGCGCTCGCGGGCGACGCGCAGCCGTGGTTCTGGTGGCCGTTCACGGTGCTCGCGCACCACGCGGCGCTGCCCGTGCAGGTGCGCGACGTGCTCGACGCGCTCGTCGCGAACTTCGAGGAGCGCCTGTCCGTGGAGGAGTGGCAGGCGCTGAGCGACGAGCGCAAGCACATGGTGCGCGACGCGTATGTAAGGAGGTGCACGCTGCCGGTGGGCGGGAGGGTGTGTCCGCCGGACGATGGCGCGCGCAGGGTGGACTACCTCGGGGACAACTTTTGTTTCCGCGGGTTCGAGCCTGCGCCGGACGGGGACGGCTTCATGATGTTCGTGGGCCCGCCGCCATAGCGTTGGCGCACGCCCGGGGTGGAAGGGTGTGTCCCGCTCGGGATGTTAGTTTGTGCTTCCGGTTTTGGATCGGTCCGTCGTCTCTGCTTTCTGGTCATCTCACCTGCTGTATTCTGCCATGCTTTCCTGTTTCCTGTCCTGCAATCCAAACTGTGTCGATTGTCTGCACCCTGTGCCGGTGGTACATGAGCAGGAAGTGGACGCGCCGGGAGCGGAGCACGGAGCCACCAGCAAGGGTCCTCGGAGACGAGACGTCAAGTGAGTGCATTATGCGGCCATAGAAGGCGTCACTGAAGCTCGAACCAGCGATGTATAGCGCCAGGATACCGGGCGTTGAGTACACCACTCGACGAAGCTCGCGAGCCACATGCCTTCCAGGTCCGCCGACGTCGAGCTCGAGGATTAGGTTGCGGCAGCAGTACCGAGACATAGGGAAGCCCGCGTTCGAACTTCATTTCCGGATCACCAGCATTCCCCAGAAGAAGCGGGCGGGCACGAAGGGAGCATAGCTGCTGCCGCCACAAGAGCCTCGAGCCCGTCCCGCAGTTTCTCGACATGCCGCCACTGGGGATGGGCGTACTGTCTCCACCACGCGCGCCGCGCCGAGCCACCCGGGTTGCGCTTGTTGGGGATAGGTGAAGGCGCAGACGACATCGGGCTGCTGCTGTGGCGTCGGCCGAAGTCGAAGCCGCACAGTGAGAACGCGAGGAAACCTTCGTGTGAGTGAAGCCGAGGAGAATTCCCCGCAGGCGGTGGCACGAGCCCCCCGAAGTACGCTCGTGCAGCTGCGTGCGCTTCCCGAAGTCTGCAGCCCAGGGACACATGACGCGGTCGGGGTGCGGTCCGGTCTTCCTCGGCGACTGCATATGGTCCTGCTATCATCCGGGGCAAAGCACGTCCAAGTCCGACGACGTGCGCTCGACGTTGGTAGCCGACAGCGCGCGGCGGGCGCCATGGGCGCTGGCGGACGTCGACGATACCGCACCTCCGCTGATGGGTCCGATGCCTCCGTCGGACGGAAGGATAGTGCAGTTCCACGATACGTCGGGACGCTGCGTCCTTACGTTGTCCCTTAGGTCACCAGGAATAGTCAGCGCGCAGTCTGGCGTGCGGGGCGGTTGTACGTACAATATACGGAATGCACGGAGATCGTGGCTCAAGCCCGTCCGCGCTGGAGCATCGCTGGTCTTGAATCCCGGGATGTCCTGGATACAAGCGGAGTGTTTCAACGCTCCGGCCTCTTTCGCGGGCTGCTAGGGGATCTGCGCTTGCCGTGAGGTGCAGGCGAGGATACCCACCTCCTGCGCGTCAGGACATACAGCTATCCAAGAGCACCTGACGGTCAGCGAGTGCCCCTTGCTATCGGATCTTGGCTGGTCATATCCCGACAGCGAGAAACGCGTGCGGGTTGGATGCCGTACACCCTCATCCGCTGACTACAGCGTGCTGTCGCATACCCGAGGAAAACTGTCGAGAGCATGGCACGATGAACTTACCGGCCGGCGTGCGCTGTCGAATGCGGTGCGGAGAGAGACCATGTGTACGCTCAAAATCAATCAGACGGCCCCGAGTGTGGTTCGAGCGCGTCCTCGCCCTCCGGCCCGACCTTTGACAGAGGCGACAGGATAGGCGCAATGTGGCTTAAGATGGCCGCCCACGATGGATGGACGCAGCAGGTTTAGCAGCATAGATCCCCGACGGGGCCCTGAGATAGATGGCGGCGGAGCGGAGGTAAATCAGGCGGTGGACAGGCTTGGACAGGGAGAAGTAGCCGGAGCAATATGTCTGCATCCGTGCGTGAACATTGTCGCGTCTCCTCTGGACTCCGGATGCGGAGCTTCCTCGAGGCAACGTCGCGAGGAGAAGCCGAGATCTTCTCCGCCTGTTCCTGGAGACGGCGAGTGCAGCACACGACATCTGGAAGACCGGTGAAGTTTTAGGAATTTGGCGCGGCGTGATTAAACATACCGTTATGAATATGTTCTGGGCGGAATAGACCTACCTGTATATTCAGGGAGCATATCGAGTCATACAGCTATCCCCAGCAACTCGTGAACAAGAGTCATCCCGAGAAGAGGAAAGCCAGTGGCCGAACCAAGGTCGTCGGAGTTGCTCACACAACTTTGTCCGAAATCACAGATAGAGTATGGGCGCTTGAAAGGACATCCCCCCGGATACCTCCGTATGTTCGTTCGTCTCGCGCGATCGCTGTCGCACACTTTGAGACACATGAATGGGGGTGATGTTGCGAAGTTTTCTGTGGAGTATCCTGCTTAGCAAAAGCAGGTGATAGCTGAGAATACGAGCACGAAATGCTACAGGACGGGGGCATCGGACCGTGGTCCGACGGCGGATTCGGGGTCCGGGCGCACAGCGTCGACTGCTCGGTGTGCGCTGGAGGACGGTGGTCGGCTTTCTGTCGAATACTCCACGACCTCGAGGCTTGCAGACACGACTTCTATGGCAGAACCTGAGCGATAGAATATCCGCGATCTCTGTGATACCCCCGCGGCGAGTCTGAATCGGCGGCGGACGCGCGGAGCGGAGCTCTGTCAGACGACGCTCTCGCGCACTCCGTATCGATACTCCGGGTTTGGCTGTGCGCATCGCATGCGCAAGCCGAGCGAGCAGGTGAGTGTGTCCTTTTCCCGCACCGGATGTGTGGCCGCCCGGGTGATGGGAGAAGATAGGGTTGGCGTACGCCGCGGGTGGTTCGGTCATGAGGGAACGACCCAGGTGGTGGCCGTTCATTTGCGAGGGGCGCGCAGGGTCGCGCCATCGATGCGCGGACATCCTCTGGCCTGTCTGGACGGCCGTGAAGCCTGGCTGTACGATATTCCTGCGTGCGGGCGTGTGCTTCGGTGCTTCGCGGCTCGTCATGGGCACTGACTCGGCTGGAAGCGTGCGGCTGCCGTTCGCGGAAGGCAGTTCCTCAGAGGCGGTGTGTGCGCCCGTCCCCATCTGACCGAGGAAGTGAACGCCACGCACCGCTGCGCACGGGAACTCGAGATATGTACTGGACCCGGCACGCAAGCGGGAATTCGCACCTGCCCAGAGCGGAATAAAGGCATAGAATATCTGGGTTTCGACGCTCTAGGTCCGACTGATCCCTTGTTCAGATCCTGCTTAGCGGCTCGCCTCTTTGTCTCGGACCTCATCCTGCTCTCCTGCTCTGTCTCCGCTCGCGTATACCGGCCGCTCCTGCTGCTCAGTATGCCGTTCATCATGTACGACCCCGATGTGGCCTTCAACGACGCCGACGACGATGGTGAGCACGCCTTTCCTTTTCGGGCCCGTACACGCGCCGTAGTAACCGGGGGCTCACTGTCTCTGCAGACGGCATGCCGCCGCTCGTGGACAACCCCCTCCCCCCGATGACCTTCACGTTCACGACTGAAACACACCATGGAATATGGAACAACGAAACCACGGCGTACGAGCCCTGCGCCGAGCCAAACGCCCCGCAGATGGGCATAATGTCGCCTCCGGGCTCGCCCATGCTCGGACCCGCACGTCCCTCGCACGCCAAGAAGCGCGACGCGTCCTACATCCCGCGCCCCCCGAACGCCTTCATCCTCTTCCGCTCGTCCTTCATCCGCGCCCAGCACATCCCGGGGGCGATCGAGGGCAATCACAGCGCGCTCTCCAAGATCATAGGTGCGCCAGGCGCCGTCACCGCGCGGCTTCCGCGTGTCTGACGCGTTTTTTATTGCAGGCAAGTGCTGGAAGGCCCTGCCGCGCGAGGAGCGCATGGTGTGGGAAGCGAAGGCCGTCACCGCGCTCGCTGAGCACCGCAAGAAGTACCCGGACTGGCGGTTCAAGCCTGCGGCGAACGCGCTCGCGAAGGTGAAGGACGGACCGCGCAAGAGGAGCAATCGGAAGGGGAGGGGGCAGTCCGAGAAGGAGGAGCGGAGCCGCGAGAAGAGGTGCGCCAAGATCGCCGATTTGCTCGTAGCGGGGAAGACCGGCACGGACCTAGCGGCCGCGATCGAGCAGTACGACTGCGACGAAGACCGTGGCCGCAAGCCCAAGGAGGAAGCAGAGGGCGTGCCCGCCGTGCCAGTGCCGAAGGCCATGCGTGTCGGCGGCGCGCGCGAGGACGTCAAAGTGCACGTCGCGGACACGATGCAGAATGCCGACGCGGACCCCAACGCGTTCGTTGGGGAGAGCCCTGCCTCCAAGGGCGCGGTGCTTCGCTCCTCCGCCGACGGCCGTTTCAAAGTCCCGCTCACCTCGATGTTCAAGCGATCTTCCTCCGCCCCAGCCCCGCGTGCGCGCGCGCCTAGCCCGGACATGCAGCAGATCGCCGCGCAACGCCGTGAGTCCGTCTGTGGGGGTGCCCCATACTTTGCTCGCGCGAGCAGTTTTGGCAGCTTCGCAGACCCGCGCGGCGACACGCTGTGCGCCAGCCGTCCCACCGGCGCGCCACGTGAACGCCCAGGGCAGGCTGCCGGGGACAGCGTGTCTGCAAACGCTGCATACCCGCTCGCGCCCCCGCGGAGTGCTGACGGAGCCATCGGAGTTCACGACGTGAGTGCGTCACGATCACACGTTTTCTCGCTCGCTTATTTTTTGTGGCGTTTACCCCCTTGACTGTGTAGGTATACGCGTGCAATGTCGCCGGAAGCGCGTGCGTGAGCCCTCCTCTCCCGGCCATCGAATTCGACATGGACGGCATGGACACGCCTGCGCTCTCCCCTGTCGTGACACCCTCTGCGTATGGTTGGCACTGCGACTCCGACGCCGGCAGTCCGAACAGCATCTCGGACATGATGGGGGAGGCGTACGCAGCGCCGTCCCCCTCCTCGTACTCCTCGCTCGAAGGCTGGGCTGGGAGTCCCCTGCCATATCAAGCATCCCCCATCATGTCCGCTATCCCCAAAGGTTTCGATTACGTCGAGGAACCCGGTTCTCCCAGCGTCATGGAGAAGGCCTTTGACGCCGCTACTTGCGCCGCTTTCGGAATCGGGAACTGGAACGCGCCGTTCGGGGTGGGCGTGGTCGGTCCCGCACCATCGCCCTACGCTTGGCCCGCGGATGCGTCTTTTGGCTACGATTTCGCCGCCGGGTACTGTCCCCAGGGCGATTTCTAATTGTCCATCCAATCCCCACCACTGCAGCCGTCTCGCAGCACGGTCAGTCCTGTCACCTCTCGTTCGATAGAATGTGCGCGGCGCCTCGCCCGCACGCGTCTCTTCCCTCTCTAGTGCCCGTTCAGCGTCCCTTTTTGGTCTCCGGTTTTTCCGCTCTATGCCGTCTTTCTATGTTATCACCTCGCTCTCGCTCCCGCTCCCGTCTCCGACTCCCGGTGATTCAACTCACCGCGCGTTCCGCCTCCTGGCTCTTTCTTGTGGCGCAATACACGACGATCGTCCGCGCCTCTGTCTATACGACATGCGGTGGGAGCGCAGGACGGAGATAGAGCCCTTCGCCGTCCATGTCCTCCACCTCGCATACCCTGTCTCGTTTCATTTCGTGGCGTCCGGCTTGTACGATATGCACTCTCCGCTGTACGACCATGTTACGTATGCCCGTTATGCCCCCGACCCCGAGCGGCTGGTGTCCGCACGGGCCCCGCCGCGCGCTCCTGCGTCGGTACGTTATTTTCTGTACACCATGCCCCCTCCCTTCCCAGTCCCTTAGTGTCCTGAAGCCAAATTAGCAGCGAAGGCAATATGTATGTATCGTTTACGTACCGGGCACGGGCAGAATGTCATATATCTCGTGCCCCGCAGCGCTTGACGTCAAGGCCTTCTAGCCCCCTTCGCGCGGGTGTGCTCGCGCTGCCGGGCGCGCACAGCGGGATATTCTTTCGTGTTCCCAGGCCCGCCTTCCGGTGTTCTAACGTCCTCTCCTGCGGGCCACGATGTCCCCAGCGGGGGAGACGAGCCCATCTTATCTCCTCACGTGGAGGCATCAGATGACGGCGTGCCCCGTTTTGCTGCAAATCCCAGGCACCCTCCTCTCGTCCTCCCCCTCAATGAGCCCGGCCGAGGTCTCGCGACGGCCTCGACGAGACATGCGTCCGCCGTGAGGTGTGCAATGCCGAGCATTAAGAGTCCTTTGCAGAAAGCGGGCTGCCTCGCGTGGGCGCAACGTGGTGTGCACGTCTTTCATTTTTTCTGCTTCCCTGAAAACGACGACTGAAATTACGGTTCGCCTTAGACGGCTCGCTGCGCCGCCGTCGTCTGCACCCGCACTTCCAGATTCCACACCGCTGCGCTAGTTGGTCAGCACCCTCGTTCCGGGTCGGAGAAGAGAGGGCGATGGGCAGCGCAGAGCGCCCAGCGCGGCGCTCAGCGAAGCAGCGATGGGAGGCGGCCACCTCCGCCGTGGGCTCGTAACACATGTTTCGTTCCTGATGGCATCGACCGCGCCAGCCTTCTCGCCTTTCCAGATCCAGACGCCCGCGTTCTGCAGCCGCCCAGGCGTCTGTAGGTATAGTAAATTACACAGGTGAGCAGGGTTCACGCCCTGGCCGCCGCCCAATCGCGCAGGAGCGCACCAGGAACCCCATTTCCTCGCCGTCAGCCTCGAGCTACCATCCGCCCGGCGCGGGACTGCACGGGCACTTGTCGGCGTGCCCGCTCCCATGCCCGCCCGCCCAGCGTTCCCGCAGAACGTGCGGGGCCTTTACGCAGCGTCCCCCGCGCCCACAGCCCAATCGAACGCCATCCAATCTCGAGAAGGGCATGGTCGGGCTCTGCGCGAGCATACTGCAGTCGACGGTGAAGCCGGGCCTTCCATTCTCGCGAAGGGGGAACGGCGGCACATGCCAGTGTGCTCCACGAAGACCGCCTGAGGTACGCCTTCCACGATCTTGTGAGCGAGCGTGATCTTGATCGTCCGCTTGTTGCCACGCCCAGGCCTGGGCTCCTGGCCCGAGCTCTGCGTGCGCGGAAGGGGATGACGACGATTTCGCCCGCGAAGGGACTCGGGGCGGTTCTCCAAATCACGAATCAGGATATGCACCCCCGTATTTTCCACTCCGCCTGGCGCATCATACGCTCGAGCATCGCACGAAGCTCTTCTGAACCGGGTGGCGCGGGCCAGGCGATGCGCCCGGGTCTGGACGAACGTGCGGCGTCTCTGCCATCTCTCCACTGTTCTTTGAATCTGATGGGTGCGATATGTCTGGGTCGGGCGTATTTGCGCCCGCCTGGGTAATCTGGGAAGTGACCGGGCGCACAGATATGATCTCCGCGGCGGGCACAAGGGGCGCCCCACCGCTCTGTTACCGCAAGGTTCGCCCTGACTAAAACATCCATCGGGAGCGGAACTCCTCTGCATCACGCTGGCCGCTGAACCTAGGGCGAGTATAGGTCGAGTACCCCGGACGAGAATTGAATGCTTCCGCGACGCCTTCTGCGCTGTTTCATTGGACGGCTCGGTCCTCTTCAGGTTCCGTCTCCAGGAGATGTCGGCGCCCCTTCTTCTGCCGGTTCTGCTCCTCCCAAAATCATATGTGCACCGCGGCCCCTCGCAGCGGAAAGGTTAGCGTGTTTGCCCGATACGACCCGAAATGAATGCTCTCGCATGCTCACTCTTGAACTTAAAATCTAGACTTCATCACGGGGCCGCAACTGGACATCCAACCCGTACGGCTATGACCCTGGATTCCCTCGGCCGCATCCCAAGATGAATCCTATGTGAACTCTCTTCAGCGGCCATGAGAGCCGTATGCTATACGTGAGCAGAAAACGCCACTGTGCCTACTTGATGTACAGCTCAGGATGACAGTGTGTCCGCTCAGAAGATGGCGGCGCAGCGAACTTGGCTCTCGCCCCGCATCCGTTGATAGATTCACGAATCACCACTCCGCCCCGCCGCTTCGCAAACTCGAGGCCAATTTGCTCCTACGCGGGCGCCCACGTCAATGCGACCTCGGCCGTTCACGCGCTGGGGGAGCCTCGACGCAGGGGCCGACGCGAGAACTGCGTGATCGGTCGCGGGTGCGTGTTCTTATTGTCTTCGCCCAAAGGGGAAGCGGGGGCTGAGGTCGATCGGCGCCACGATCCCGAACGCCTGAGCACCCGCTCGTCCCTGCCAATGCAGTTAGCAGCGCGCGAGGAGCGTTACAGCTATTGTGGATGGTTTCCATGGCACTCGCGCTACGCTAGGAGTGTTGCATGCGATCGTGGATAGTTTTTGCAGAGGTACTAGCTCAGTGGAACCCGACGCATGGCGGTGCGAGCTCGACGCTATCATGGCGATCGGTACCACGAGCTACGTATGGTGCGCCAGCTGGCTCCGCTGGAGTCATAGCAACTGCCACGGAACCCTGGAAGGTTGCCTGCTGGCAGTACGGCTTTCCGTCGGACAGTCAGCAAGCTCGGAAAGAGACTCTGGGGTCGGAGATGCGCCGCAAGAACCGTTAATCACGAACCGTACCAGGATTGCAAGGTTTGCCTCGTGTTTGCGTGTATTAGGTGATACATTTGGCGCGAGCAATGTCGCCGAGCTTCGGAGTCTTCAAATCGCGTTCTCTTTCGCAGGGGGAATGCTTTCAGATGCTGTGACTCGACGCTATGAACCAGAATGGCAATGGGTACACCATATTGGGCACTAAGTTCTCTTCAGCAACCTTGCCGTCCCCGCCGCCGCCGCCATGTTGCGGCGCTCGGTCATGCTTCTCGATGCAAATGCGCCTCGTGTGCAGGGCCAACAGCTGAATGTACAGCCCAGGCTGTTCTCGCGGTGAGCGTCGTCAGATTCAGGTGAACTGTCCGCCCTGTGTATCACTGATGAAGGCACACCTTTAGCTTCGATGTCGGGAGCAGCGTCTCCCCCCTCTCCGACGTTCCCTCGATCACCCAAAGCGTCGAAATCCTCGGTGCCGCACTCCCAAATCAGGTGAACAATGTCGGGAGTGCGCGCGTCTGCACGCCCGGATTGGTACTTCCAAAGGGCGGCACGAAGCTGTCACCCCGCCGGGGGCAATAGTGCGCTACGTGCCGCCCCTTGCGGTGCGCTTCTACTCAAATGAGAAGCCTTCATGACTGATTCTTGACGTGTCGTGGAGCTCGGGGAGCATGCGCTCGCTATATGGCGCGCGCCAGGCCCGAACTCTGCTGCGCGTGTCGGAACCTTGTCGTGTCGGCGACATTTGGCGGCGCGTTCTGCGGGCCCCGCGGTGCTTCGCCGCTCATAGAGTGGGGGGCGAAGCGGTGCTGCTGCTCGCCTCGACCCTCGGCGAACGCGGATAGTGTCAGCGTGCTTCGCTAGAAGGTAGCTCCGGTGGGACGAACCTTCGCAGAGGCGCATGCGGATGCTTCGTATCCTGTTGGATGGCCATATGGACCGTTGCACAGTCACCGGCTTCAATCAGCACACACCTGCGCTTCACATTGGCACGGCCACCGACGTCCGAGATGATCGTGATTCGTACGAGTGCTCATTGTCCGCCTCAAAAAGATATATGGACTGCGTATGAGTCCTGCTATACTCCGACGCATTCAGCCAACGCCTTACCGCGAGAATATAGCGCGAAGATGTGAAGGGAGGTGTGCTCGATGGCCGGGACGATCCCAACCGCTGGTGGTTTCCTGCCGGTAATGACTTCCACCGCGATGCGACGGGCACGGTCATGAGGAAGTGGCTGCAGGGAGGCGACCCTGACTCATTGTCTGGATTATAGTAGATGCGCTAGCCTGTGACACCTTCATTGGAGTCGATGGCACTCGTCGGAGCTGTTATAGGGCCGTGATTACTGGGGAGTAGGCAGCACACGCAGCTGGAAGGAGAGTCCATGACGTCACTCCACGCGAGAGCTGCGTGGTATACACGAGGGTGCGTCCGTCGAATTCCTCATATATGTTCCCATCTTTATACGACTTCACTGTAGTAGATCTCATAGGTACGAAGGTGCGGCCAACACCTCCGTGTCGGAAGACCCTCAGGTTCCACCCGGATCTCAGGTAGTCTCTACAGCAATGCATTGACTTTACAAAGCCACGTAGCATACCACATGCTCATTTGGGTTTGCCATTTTTCTACGCCTCCAGGAGCTGCAACATTTGACAGACCCAACATCATGATCATGTTCGAGAGCCCCATACGTACGAGGGGGTAATCTTACCATGAGGACTAGTGTCGTGAAGATTGCCCCAAATGCTGTTGACGTACGTGGTGCCACTGTTTTGCGTTGGGCTGTTGCGCCCGAGCAGCTCGGCGTTGTGGTTGCTCAGTGCCTGCGCCGCTCGTCCTCGTCGAGCGCGTCAGCCTCTTCGCAGGACGAATGCGTCTCGGTGACATAGTCAGAAATTGCGGTGTGAAGGTGAGGCATGAATCCTCCCGCATGCGATCTACTGACCGCTTTGCTAGCGTCGAAAGCCTGAAACCGTACTTGGAACTGACTCGGAATTTCGACCACCAACACGGCAGTCGTTACAATGTGAGTAGGTCTCATCCGTGTGAGTGAGTTTCATAAACCTCTGAAACACCCCATTGAGTAAGATATCTGACATATACAGCGTGTCCAGGACCTGTGAGAATTTAGGCGGGCGAGCGTCGCTCCCGGTCGCGACGGTGAGAACCGTCGGGGCAACCTGAACCACGAGAATTGCCATATGCGGGCACACACCGCTGCGCGGAGACGCTTACCTAAGCATCCCAGGACCCTCCACGTCGGCGCGTTCTCAGACGCGCTCTGACAAAGGCTCGAGCCGCCGCGCTCGGCTCCCCACCTCCCTCTCTCCACTACCACCACCATGCGGTTCTCATTCGCGCTGTTTGCGACGGTGCTCTCGGTCGGCAGTGCGTTCGCGTCGAACGTGCTCGAGCTTACCCCGGACAACTTCGATGAGCACATCGGGAAGGGCAAGCCTGCTTTGGTCGAGTTGTATGTCCCTGCGGTGGCAGTAGCGCGATAAACGCACAAACTGACAATGTATACAGCTTTGCGCCATGGTGTGGACACTGCAAGGTACTGTGCCATCTCAACATACGGACTCTTAGCACTTCGAGCTGCGCTGTCCTGGAATGTGCCATTCCCACCCTCCGGAGTATCCATGGAAATGCCCTTCACTCCCCGATGCCTGAAGCATGCTCTATGGACGAGGGACTATGGCGCATTCCAGGACAGCGTGGACGAACCCTGGGGAATTTGTTGGCCTCTAAACACGCATTGCTCACATTGACGTTTCTCAGAACCTTGCACCCACATACGAGCAACTTGCGGACGCCTTCGCGAACTCGAAGGACAAGGTCATCATTGCCAAGGTTGACGCGGACGGTGCGGGAAAGCCATTAGGCCAGAAGTACGGCGTGACCGGCTTCCCCAGTACGTGATTCGTATCTCTATTACGGAGAGCATTTCACTTAACACGGTTGCGTGTCTCCAGCACTCAAGTGGTTCGGTGCCGATGGCGGCGAGCCCCAAAAGTACGACGGTGGTCGTGATCTCGACGCTCTGGCCAACTTGTGAGTCCCTTTCCATGTTCGCGTCTCACACCACCACCCTCCTCTACGTCCCAAACATGTCCCGAGATTTGAGTCTCGCTCTCGATTCACCCCATCCATCCTACGAGATGATGTTTATTTGGTTAAGGTTTCTGACACTCAGAGATGAAACCATATATATGTCCTGACCGACTTGTTCTCGCGGAACCTTGTCTTGGGAACGTATGACTGACGGACAATATTCCTAGCGTTACCGCTCAGTCAGGCGTGAAGTCGAGCATTAAGCCCCCACCGCCGCCGGCATACCAGATCCTCGACGCACACACGTTCGAGGAAGTCGCCCTGGTATGTGGAGCGTTGATGTTTTCTGAGGTATCAACTAACACTCCCCGTAGAACCCCGAGAAGGACGCCATCGTCGCGTTTACGGCCCCTTGGTGCGGTCACTGCAAGCGTCTGAAGCCTATCTACGAGGAGGTCGCTAAGGACTTTGCGAGCGAGCCTAACGTATGCCACGTTTCATCATCGTTGTATTCTGTTGGTATTGAAGTTCCCCGCAGTGCATTATCGCCAACGTCGACGCGGACGACAAGAAGAACCGGGCCTTAGCTGAGAAGTACGAGATCAGCAGCTTCCCCACCATCATCTTCTACCCGAAGGGCAACAAGGGTACGCACCGCGCCCTCGCAACACCTTTCAAATCCGTCTTACTGACTCTCGCGCAGAGGACCCCGTTGACTACGACGGCCCGCGCACCGAGGAGGCGTTCGTCGAGTACCTCAACGAGAAGTGCGGCACCCACCGCGCCCTCGGCGGGCTCCTCGACGACAAGGTCGGCCGCCTCGAGCAACTTGACGCGCTCGCGTCCAAGTTCTTCGAGGAGTCCGCCGCGGCGCGCCAGACGCTCCTCAAGGAGGCGAGCACGCTCGCGGCCACCCTCGGCGACGGCGCGAAGCACTACATCCGCGTGATGGAGAAGGTCGTCAACGGCAGCGAGGAGTACCTCGAGAAGGAGTCGACCCGGTGCGTCCTTCAGGATACGGTGTTCACGGTTTCGGTTGCTGACGTAGGGTTGTGTGGCGTGCAGTCTTGCGACGATCCTGCAGAAGCGCACGCTCGCCCCGGGCAAGCTCGACGAGATCAAGGTCAAGGCGAACATCCTCGGCGCGTTCCGCCCGGTCGTCGCGAAGGTCGAGGAGGCCGTCGAGGAGGCCAAGGAGGAGATCAAGCGCGACACCGCCGAGCTGTAGAGCACACCCCGCTGCGTCCCCGCTATGTCTCCGCTATGTTTGGATTTCTAAGTTATAATTGATGCGCTTCTGCAATGACATCGACACGGATGTTACGTTCCCGCCTTACGCCCGCTCGACCGCCGCCACCCGCGAGCATGTGAGGCCCGCGGGCGTGTGGAGCCCGTCTACGGCGGTGCTGATACGAGGACCCACAACGACCACAGGTGACGTGAATGATCCGCTTGTCAGGGTGGACGAGAAGCGTGCTGCACACTTGCCTCTCTGGACTAGCTCCGGGACGCTGCCGGCATCGGGTCCACCACCGACGTTAGTCGGGTCCATGTATGCATGCGTCCTGCGCGAGATGCAAGATGCGAGGCGACGGCTTTGCGGCGCGTGCGTTGTTGGCCGTTCTGGTATTGCCGTCCCCTACGCCAAACAAGCAGGGCGCGCATGTAGGAACTTGGAAACACTCACTCGAAATCATCCATCGTAGACACAAGAGATTGTCGAAGCGCAGAAGTTTGTGTAACTGAAGCTCCTCGCCATCCGAACCGACCTTGAGACGGTGCTAGGCCATAGGTCGACCGTACACGTCGAAGAAACTAGGGGAGAAGGACATGGGCTGCGGACAGTGAGTACAGGGCTTGTGCTGGCTGTATACTCTTTCTTACACAGACTGACAGGCGGATGCGTCGAATGCGACTCCCTTCGCCGGCGAAGCGCGAACAATATTTGCACCTTTACCTGCGATCGCAGAATGACACAGGCGGTACGGTGATGCAAGGTCCACCTACAACCCGATGGTCTTGGTCGAAAGGCCTAGGGTTGGTCAACCTCACGACTGCGAACACAAGCTCAAAGTCACAACACACTCGAGCGCGTTGACATGCGGGTGAACATCTTACGGCTGAGCTTGAATGCCACACAAGAAGATGCGTGGAGGCACAACGGAAGAGATATGTTGCAGTTGGTTGGTTATGATACATTATGTTTGCAAATTACACGGCTGTATCGTACAAGACCCCCAAGAAAGAAAGCGTCGAATGCTTAAGCGTTCTTGTTCAGCTCCTGCTGCGCCTCGCCCTTGTCTTGGCGGAGGTTGCCTGTAACACAAGGTAAATCAGCAAGGGTTCTAGGAACGACCTCCGAGAAGCGGTGCATACCTGAGGCCTCCTGCGTGCGGTCGCCAGTGAGGGCACCAACAACGGCGTCCTTCTTGCCGCCGACACGGTCAATGGTGCCCTCTGCGTAGCCCTGGGCCTGGGCGGCCTTGTACTCGGTCTCGCCCTCGGCGTGCTCCTGCTTGCCGGAGTTGGTCCAGGACGTCGCGCCGGTCAGGTTGCCGATGGTCTCGACGACGTTGCCCTTAACGGAGTGGTACTGGCCAGAGGTCTTGCTACAGTCAGGCCGTGCGCGTCAGCATGCTGCTCGGTACTGGGAATCGACAAGGCTACGTACTTGGGCTCGCCGGTCATGGTGATAGTAGAGAAGTTGGGTGGGGGGTGTGAGGGTGGTTGGGTGGGTGGTAGAAGTCGTAAAGGCTTTGGTGAAGAGAGACGACTCAAACGAGGCGCCTTATATATATGGAGGAGAGCCGGATCTAGTCGCGCGAGACGGACGTTGGGGGCAGCCGCGGTGACGTCATGGCGTTTGGTAGACACGTCGCAGCGTCATCGCGAGGCGCCCGCGTCATCGCGTCGATGGACCGCGGTCATGGACAGGCCCCACTACATACTTGGCAGCCAACGTCATAAGGCGATGAACTGACGTTGTAGTATGTTGGGGTATACGTGTAAAGAGCAAGGTCTAGGCTCGTTGCTTGGCGGTACTTACCTGCGTGTATTGAGCTAGTATGCTGGGATATAGTACAGTTACTAGTCCATTACTCACCCTTTGTAAACGATGGAAATACCTGTACATACCTGCGCTCGACCCCTGGGCCTTGCAAGGGGATCTCAGGCTGGAGGCCTGGGGCCATTGGTACCTGCCCATGTCTCACCACCATATGCCAGTGGAGGACAACGTCTGTTTGAGCGGTCCAGATGAGCAAGAAAATGCATTAAGAGTACATCTATGTTTTCTTCCACCGAGCCCCTCTACCCCTCTACATGCGCTCGAGGGGCTTGATGCTGAGCAGCCGGAGCGCCGCCCCAAGCACGTCGCGCGCCGCGAGGTACAGCGCCATCCGCGCCTTCGCCTTCTCCTTGTCCTGCTCGCCCTTCACGATCACCGTCTCCCACGCGCTCGAGATCCCGTGCGACAGCCGGAACGCGAACGTCACGATCCCGCTCGGCTCGTGCGTCTTCAGCGCCGTCTTCACCACGTCCGGGTACGAGCCCAGCAGGAACACGATCTCGCGCGTCTGCGACTCGACGAGCAGGTCCGTGTGCAGCTGCGAGGGCGCGGGGAGCGGCAGCAGCTCCGGGTTCTTGCGCTCGATCGACGAGAGGCGGACGTGCGCGTACTGCAAATACGGCCCGGTGTCGCCCTCGAACGAGAGCATGCGCTCCCAGTTGAAGCTGTAGTTGTTGATCCTAAACACCACACATGAATATATGGCGCCCAGCGTGAAAAACAACCGACGCTCACCGCTTGGCAGCCATGTCCTGGATCTTGACGCCAGTAATCCCGATCTCGGTCGCGACGAACTCGGGGTTCTCGACCGCGTTGTACTTCTCCTCGTTCTTCCGCATCTGGTCGTGCATCACCGTCGACGCCTCGCGGATGATCTGGTCGAGGAACACGACCGTGCCGCGGCGCGTGCTCATGCCCAGCACGAGCCCGTAGTTCACGTGCTCGAGGCTCTTCGCCCACTCGTACCCCATCAGCTCGAGCACCTTGAAGAACTGCGCGACGTGCATGTCCTGCTGCGCGGAGATCACGTAGATCATCTTGTCGAACTTGTACTGGTCGTAGCGGTTCACCGCGCCGCCGATGTCGCGCGTCAGGTAGATCGACGTTCCGTCTGTTTCGTACCACAGTCAGCACACCAGTAAACAGAAACAGAGATGCGCGCAGGACGTACCCCGCTTCCGGACGACGGCCTTCCCGAGCTTGTGCTTCTCGAGGTTCACACGCAGCGCGCCATTATCCTCCTCGATGAGCGCAAGCTCGCGCAGGCGGCCCAGCGCCGCGTCCATCGCCGCCTGCGGGACCTCGCTCTCGCCCGTGTACACGTCAAAGTGCACGTTCAGGCGCGCGTACTCCTCCGCGTACTTGCCCACGGAGAGCTTGCGCCACACGCGCCAGTTCTTCAGCGCCTCCTCGTCCCCGTCCTCCATCCGCCGGAACCACGCCGCGGCCTCGTCGCGGATCGTCGGGTCCGCCTCCGCCGCGGCGCTGATCTTCACGTAGACTTCGAACAGGTGCTGGATCGCGTCCTTTTCGAGCGCTTCTTGCGACCCGTACTTTTCGAACCCGACGGCGATGAGGCCGAACTAGGGAGGATGCGTTAGCGGCACGTTAGCATGGGGGGCAGTTCGGCTGGACGCACCTGGGTGCCCCAGTCGCCGAGGTAGTTCATGGAGATGACCTCCCAGCCGCACGCCTTATACAAGTTCGCGAGGAACGCGCCGATGATCGTGCTCCGCAAATGGCCGACGTGGAAGGATTTCGCGATGTTCGGCGACGAGTACTCGATGATCACGCGCTTGCCCTCCCCGAGGAAGTTCGAGCCGTACTCGGGCTGTTTTGAGGCGGTGTCGTAGGTGAGCGCGTGGATTTGGTCGAGCGTGAGGCGCATGAGCGTCGACGTTCGGCAGCGGAAGTGGAGGAAGGCGCGGTCGTGCGTGACGGACTCGACCCATTCGTCTGGTTGGAACTAGAGCATGTCAGCGTACTGCCTAGCTGGGGATTGTGAACGACATGGCCGGGAAAGAGGGGTGGCATATTCTGGGCCGTATTCTGGCGCACCCAGAACGCGATCGCGAGCCCGCCGCACGACGCGCCCGCGGCCCCCACCATCTCTCGGCGAAGGGGAGGCGCTCCCCCCACCATCGTGCTCTTCTCCTCGACCGTTAGGCAGACCCGGCCTTCTTGGACACGAAACACACATCCCGGCATCGACTAGACGTACCTTTCCGATCACTTTCTTCGCGAGCTCATCAATCTTGCCCGGGAGCTTGAACCGCGGCAGCGCGACGGTGAAATCCTCCCCCTTCTTCCCGTAGTCCACGCCCTGGTAGACCTGCTCGACGGTCAGCGGCTCCAGTGCATCCGCGACGACCTTCGCGATCGCGATCCGGAACGAGTCGAGCACGCATCGCGTGGGGTCCGTGCCCGCGACCTCTGGGAGGGCGGGCAGATCGGTGGGCACCGCGAACGGCGAGGGCGCCAACGTGGGCTTGTTGGCGGTGGATGATTCCGCGGATGTTGATGCCATAGTGCGGCAGGTTTGGCGCAAGTTTTGGTGGGATGTGTAGAGAGTCTGAGCGGATGAGCGGGGTAGCAGTACAGAGGGAGAACGAGAGATATATACACGGAGGAGGGGGAGACGAAGAGAAAGTAGGGCCGCCACAGTGCCGCCCAGCAGATTAACAGTTTTCGAGTCAGATAGCAAGTATTTTATCAGTACGGACAAGCTCCGGAGCGTATACAGCAGTGTTCAATCGATTGTAATTTTTGGCAGAGTCATTGAGTACTTATGGGCGCTTGATCCTGAGTGTCAGTCCAAATTAGGTATCTGAGAAGGTTCGCGGGCCGGGCGGCGTTCCGATCGTCGACAAGCGTTGAGATATACCCCTGTTCTATATGGACGGAGGAACAACCTGGGACTTAGGATTTTTTTCCTCGCATGCTCAGCATCTCTCTAGATTACATGCACAATTAGCGAATAGTTGGTCCCAAAGCACTAGTCGTCGTAGCTCTCATGTTACGATAGCCTGCCATGAACGGTTTATTCGGCTGGATTTGTAAATTGGAGTTCGTATGGACCGAGTGCCATAACATTCGCTCATTCGCTCATTCGCTGGCTCGCTTACCTAGTCTTACCTGCCTGCATTACGCTGAGTGAACCGAGAGCAGGTCACCTCCTAAGACTCAGCGGCCCGAAAGCGGAGCGCAGGTGGGGCGGGATGGTTTAGCCTGTCACATACGGGCCGTTAGCGCCGCATTACCCCAAGGAACGAACTGACACTGAAGTATGGGCAGCTAGCGACAACGAAGGCGAAGTGTCGTCGCAGCAGATACGAGGTGAGGGATGAGCGTAAGAAACATATGTATTAGGGATTATATAAGGGTATCGATGCCGCGCGTTGATGCGGACGTTCTCCGGAAAGCGCTACTATGGTACAAGTATTTCGGCGGCGGCAGAGCAGGCGATGGGAACAATCCAATATACTACAGGGGGTTGAGCGCAGCTCTGGTCCAGGGAACCTTTTACCACTCGATCACGTCGGGGAAGTACTTCGCGATGAGGCCCTGGTAGTAGGGCTTCACCTTCTCGACGTTGACGGGTTCGTCGCTCTTGCTGTACAGGTCGTACGGGTTGAACGCGCGCACGGCCTCGAGCGCGCGCTGGTCCTCGGCGTTCGTGAGGTGCGCGTACGCGCCCTCGCGGTGCCACGGGTAGAAACTATGGTAGCGGACCATGTAGAGCGCGTCGACCGGCAGTGAGCTCTGCTTCTTGAGGATGTGGTACATGTACTGGTAGACTCGAGCTTGAGCTTGCGAGGGTGAGAAGTAGAAGTAGTCCAGGCGCGTACCTCGTCGTGACCCCAAGAGAGCATGACGTTCTCGAGCCCGCAGTGCGGCGAGTAGACACCGAACTCGGTCGAGTAGACAGGGTCCTGCGAGTCTGGGTTGTTCGTGAACGTGTCGGGGTAGATGATCTTCTCCGAGAACTTGCAGCCGACGACGAATGTGTCCTAGATAAGCTCGGTGAGCGAGGAACTATGAGTCTAGATATGAGCTTGACGTACACCGACGACGTCCCATTGGCCCCTGAGTACCAAAGCCGGCACGGTCAGCGTCTGTCAAACAGCCACATCGAGAGCACTCACTCAGAGCCAAAGAAGTACAGGAGCTTGCCGAGGTCGTGGACGAGGCCGGCGACCTGCATCCACTCGGGCTTCCCATCCCTGCGAATCGCCTCCGCGGTCTGCAGCAGGTGCTCGATCTGAGAGAGGCTGGTCTAGAGGAACATGTCAGCGCCCGCTGCGCTTCCGGCAAACGATCGGCGACGGAGACTCACATCGGGGTCGGAGTCGTCCACGAGCGTGTTGAGCTTCTCTATCGCCTCCCAGATGCCTGCAGGCGTGGTTAGCCCGATACGGCGGCGACGATCGCGCAGGCAAGAGCTTACCCATACGGGCGTGGACCGTGCGCTTGAACTCCGCGCGCACCCGTACATTGAATGCGACGGTTTGCTTCTCTGCGAGAAGGACCGAGATTCAGATCTGAGCGGGCGGGACGGAAGCGGGGGGCGGGGCGCCCGACGTACCGTGCTGCTCGCGGTAGAAGTTCTTGACGCGGTCGCAAGCCTCCTCGTACTTGCGGAACTGGTTCTTGTCCTTCTCGGAGTCAAACTTGGACGCTTCAGTCCACGTCTGCGCGACCTGGCCCTTGAGCTTGTTGACTACGCGCGGCGGACGTGAGCAGCGCCCCGAGTGTACGAGAATAGAATTGTGGCACGAACCTTCGTCGACGGCGTCAGAGACCTCGTCGAGCGCGCGACCGTCGTTGACGTTCTCAAGATGCATGGTGAGAGGTAGGTGTGGTGGCGGGGAGAGTGAAAGATGAGGGTTTGAGGAGAGCGCGAAAGAGGTTGGAAGATGGGTGTTGTGGAGAGGTGCGGTTGCCACAAAAAATTGTGAAACTGGAACAGTCGCCAAGGGAGCTCAGCTTATGTCAGGATGCGGGGTGTCGATGTGTGGTCGACAGTTCGCAGTGCCTGCCTGTCTTATATACCTCCCAGGGCGGTACATGGCGGCTCCAATGGGTCCGGAGTGAAAAGTATTGTCGCGGTCGTGGTGGTGCCAGAAAGAGATCATCTGCAACCGAATTCGAATAGCTCGCGCGCGCCAAATAACCGAGAATGGTCACCGGCCCGACGCCCGGAGGAGGACTGGGCACTTTGCGTCCTGCTGCTTCCCCATCCGGTGTTTCAACCACGACCATGACCACGTCCAAGCGATGCGCGCGCCCCGCACGAATGAGAAAATATGGACAAAACGGTGATGAAGGGCTCAGCCATCAACGCCGTGACGACGACCAGCAGGGGCAGCCGCGCCAGCTGATCTCCTGCATTCCACGAACGGACACACCCCACACGTACGGTACGTCCCCTTCACCGTTTCTACTGGTTGTTCGCAAAGCGGGGGGCCCACGCTGGACTGCCACGAACGTCGAGAACGGGCTGATCGAACCTCGCCAGTGCCCTTACGCGTGGTCCGCGCAGGGTCCAGGTAGGACGACGAGAGCAATCGGCAAGGTCAGTGCTCATTGACTATCCACGCTTCGCAGTCACTAACTCGTCCGGACGACGCAGATCGCAAATAGCAGCTCCGCGAACTGGAGACCGTGTATGCACACCGATCGACAAGGCGCAGAATCAGTGTGGCCCTCCGCGTCTTCGCAGGAAGCTAGGCTCGGGTCCGCGCCACGACTTTCCCCGACATTGCGCGGCCCCAGGTTCTATCACGCCGCGAGTCAGATAGCATGGGAAGAGCGCCGCGTCCGGTTGCTGGAGATGGCGTCGAAGCCGCTCTCTGTGGCCAGCGCGAATCTAATCACAGGCAGTGTGGCCAGGGTGGCCTCGCGCGGAGGAAGCCACACCAGGGACACCGATCGCAATACTGCGGCAGAGTCCAGCGCCGTGAGTGCTTCCGTGCCTTCGAAGAAGCCGAAGTCAGGACTCAGGGCAGCCCTCGGAACCCTCCTTCTGCAGGCATCTGGCAGACTTCACGGAAGACTGCGCAGACGGACACAGTCTGCTGTGTGGCTACTCCACTACGTCGCGGCGCCACATTCCGCGCAGAATTACTGCGCGGTGCTTGGGCGGGCGAGTTCTCGCGTGTTTTAAACCGCGAAGGCGCACGGCGAACTCTAGGCCCTCCACGCAGGCGGCGGTAAGGTATTGTTACGGAGACCTTCTAGCAGGTCCAAGACTGATCCGCGGACGTCTCAATAATGACCGAACGCCTCCTACCGGGGCAGTGACATGTAAAGTGAGTGCGTGCACGCTGACCGTAGAATTTCCAGGAATGCGGCCTCATCGCAGCACACCCTCGTTATCGCGACACGAGTGTGGCCAGCCCGCCAGGGCCCTGGGTCGGTGCTGCATCATCCATCCGCTCTGCAGCATCTCCGACACCCATGGCGGCCTCGACTCCGTTCCGTCGCTTCCTCCGGGGTCCGTCCTCTCCCGCGTCGGAGATCTCATTTAGTCGGACACGGAACAGGGATCTGCGCTGCCCACAAACGGCCTAGCGCGTCCATCGTCGGGAAGCGCGGTATCGCGCGCGTCACTTGTCCCACGACATGTCATGTTCGCGGACTCTCCTGGCCACCGTGCCCCGAGGATTTCTCGGGGGCGCACGAAGCGCGCCCAATGGGACGCATTGCTCGCGGCTTGACCCCACAACGTGCCTGGGTCTGTCTTGTCGTTCGTATGGCGGGCATGTCGGACTGTTGCGGTGCCGCAAGGTTCGAAGGTTCTACTTGGATATCGGATGCTGTATGGCTCGCAAAAGCCACATCTGATAGAAAGTGCGATGTGTGAGATGGGCTTGCGCGGGCTCAGGATTATCCAGGCCTGCTCTTTTGAGCGATGGTGGTGCGTAGATGCGCTATGCGTCCTCCTTTTGGGTCCCAACTCATGATAGCTCTAGACCCTATTGACGTACGCATCACGGTAAGTACTGTCGTGCACACAAGCGACTCGAGTCGCGCCGAAGCTTGAGAGAGTGGAGTTCCTGACATGGCTGCGAAGTTGAGCTCGACCTACCAGGGCTCGGGTCATGGATGCTTACTGACTACCGTCCAACTATCAGGCCGCACAATTGTATCAAGGGGTGAGCAATTTTTAAAATGACACTTGTGAACGGTGTATGCGAGTCGAACCAGAGCCGCACAGCTAAATTCGACTCCCCCCAAATTAGCGTGAGCGCTAGACACGTAGTGCCACGCGCTTATCGTAAGCTACACGTTTGTCAGCATCCACCACTGGCAGCAGGACCGATACCCAATCTCCCGCTGAGCGGGCTGGAACCGTTAGGCGAGCCAACCCTTCTCGGGCGAAGCAAACAGTTGGTACCAAACAAAGACCTACATCGTTCAGGACGCATGGGTGCGCATAAGCGGCGCCTGGGACAGTCTCTACTGCAACGAATCGCAGGAGTACGTTCATTTCTTGAAACAAATCTTGCGTGCTCCTCATCGATCATCCCCAACGTTATGCAGTCGCTTAAATTTCAGACTCGACCTCATCCATGCGTGGCCTTCGGGCAAAGGACTCCTACGCGATGGGAGCTCTTCCGCTACTCTCCAATACAATACATTGCGCAACAGGCATACGAGGCATACGCTACGCTCTCACCCCAAGCTACGATACGACCGGGGTTCCATCATCCTAGAGATACTATCGTCCGCATCGTTTGTATCTCTGACACGCACGGTCGCCACCACCGTCTACCACCTCTACCCCCGGGAGACATCCTCATCCACGCCGGTGATCTCACAAAGTCAGGGACGGAACCTAAGATCCGCAAAGCCCTCAACTGGCTCAACTCCGCGCCGCACCCGCACAAGGTTTTCGCCGCCGGCAACCACGACGCTGCGCTCGCGATTCCCGAGAGGCGAGATGTCATTCTTGCAGACTATCCGGACCTCATATACCTAGAAGACTCCGGAGTGGAACTACTATTGCACGGTCGCCCCATTTCGCTGTATGGCACTCCGCGCACGCCGGCTAGTACGCAATGTGGGGGCGCGGCCGCCTTCCGCACTAAAGAACATCTCAAGCGGTGGATGGGGGCCATACCATACGGCACGGACATTCTCGTCACCCATGTGCCACCGCGACACCATCGCGACATGGTGGGTCTTGGCTGCCGCCACTTACTCGCACGTCTGTGGGTCGTGCGCCCGCTTCTACACGTCTTCGGGCACATCCATGCTGGGCACGGCGTCGAACGCGCCATTTGGTCGGCGGAACAGACAAAGTACGAAGGGGTCTGTCAGAGTGGCTCTGGCTGGAACAACGTCCTGCGGGTCGCATTTGTAGCGTTACGAAAGACGCTTTGGAACTCGAATCCGCCCTTTCGCTCTCACAAACACACCTTGCTGGTCAACGCCTCGTCGTTGGGGAAAAGTCGAGATCGGTCGCTCCGGGATCCGATAGTGATAGATCTCGCACTTCCCTCTCAAAGGAAGATTATTGTAAGGCGCGGCCGGCACGACTCGACAACGTCATAGGCATGTAAGGTAGGTGCGTCTACAGAATTCGTAGTGGTATAACAATACTCACCACTCTTCACTACAGGGCATGGCTGCGTTACGAACGCCGGGGCACTGTAAGTAATTGGATCTCGGCACTTTGCATTGGAAGATTCAACCGACTGACCCCCTCGCGTCCTTTCTTAGAATGGTTTTAGAGTTGCAACTAGCTAGCTAGCGCTAGTAGTATTCACTGCTCGTCGCTTTATACAGTGGCTGGCGTACACGTACAGTGAAGAGCTAATGTCGTGACCCCCGCCCGAGGTCAGCACGATGTTTGACATGAACCATGTTCATCCCATTTGATTACCGCTAAATCTGTGGACTTTTGTGCAGCTCCATGAAGCCTCGAAGTCCGGTGCGACATGGACTTTGCATAGAGGAGGGCGTGCGCAGTCACCCCAATCGCCAATTTCAAGTTGGACGCCGACACGCAGCACTTCGGAGAATTCGAAGCCAGGACCCGTCGGCATCCCACGTGGACCCGGATATTGAACACCCGTCACAGAAGACAGTTCACAGCTTCATTCTGTTCAGCACCGCGCTGCGGCCGCACGCCCTACGCACGGCTGGCTCGTTAAGTGTGGAAGGTGCTCGAAAGTGCAACGCCCTTGCCACCTCGAGCTTGCCTGTCCCCGACTCCCCGCAGCGTTGACGATAGAGAGCACGATCTGAATTGCACCTGTTGGAAAGGTAGGTATTTTTTAGCTCCACTATCTATGCTGAGGAATCATTGACGGTTTTGGTTGTCAGAGATATGGCGAATACGGGTGCGCGGCGCAAAGTCCCCAAGATTTACCCCACATGGCAACACATCCGCCGCTATCCCATCCTCTCCCTTACCAGACGAGCCTACGCTATGTGGGCAGAACAACAAGTCCGGGACCGCATGAATCACCGCGTGGAACCAATTGCCCGTATCGTCTGCATCGCCGACACTCACAACAACCACGACCGACTTCCACCGTTACCGCCGGGAGACATTCTCATCCACGCCGGAGATCTCACTCAGTCGGGCACTGAACGTGAGGCCCATGCCGCCCTCGCGTGGTTAAGTTCTGCCCCGCATGCCCACAAGGTGTTCATTGCCGGGAACCACGACGATGCGTTTGCTGTTCCCCAGACCCGCAACGCTATCCTAGCAACATACCCCGACCTCATCTATCTCGAGGATTCCTCGGCTACGCTCACGGTGCATAACCGCCAGTTAAACCTGTACGGGAGCCCGCGCACACCAAAACGGGGCACGGGGGTATTCCAGTACTCACCCGGCGAAGGCGCGTGGACTCGCATCCCAGCAGGCACCGACATCCTGATCACCCACGGTCCCCCGAAGTCGCACCTGGACCTGCGCGGACACGGGTGCGAACAGCTGCGCCAGGCGCTGTGGGGCGTCCGCCCGCCCCTGCACATCTTCGGACACATCCATGGCGGACGCGGGATGGGGTATGCGAACTGGTCTCCGTTCCAGAATGCGTACGAGCGCGTGTGTGACACGAGGACGGGATGGGTGCCAATGGTGCGGGTGTTGTCGGGAGCGGTGGGCGCCATGGTACACAGGGGTAAGAAGAACTTTTCTGTAGAGGGAGGAAAGGGTACCGTCTTCGTGAACGCTGCGTGTGCGGACGGTCTGCAGGATGGGCTGTTCCGGGAGGCCATCACCGTGGAATTCGCGCAGACTAGGTTGGTCGCTCATGCTGCTACGTATACATATGACGACTGTGGGATGCAGCAGGCGTTGGCTGATAATATTCTACTGCGATGTCCCCTTGGCACATTCGACGATAGTACCCCCATGTCTGATGATAGTACCCCCACGTTTGACGATAGTACTTCCACGCTGGACGATAGTACCCTCAGGAACTTGGTTGATATATGTATGCTGTAGATACGTCTTGCCGCTATACGTGCCGTACAGTGCCACACCCGGCATATCTCACATCTCCGATACCAAGCACCACGCGGGCGGGCTGGAACGAGCGAGTCGCGCCAGGGATAACGACAAAGGCCGTAGATGTGCTCTATCGAGTAGCGGCGATCCCAGAACCGCCGCTGCATTTCGTCCTGGGGATGGACGCCATCCCGATGATCAAGAGTGAGCTGGCTGAGTTGGGGAACGATCTTGCGCGCTACGAGTCATGGTTGGACGAAGTTGGGATCACGCCTGGAAAGGGCTCTGCGCCTGAGACTATCTGAGGCAACATGGGATGAACGGTGAGACTTCAGATACCCATGGGGTGCATGCCCTCCGAGAGTCGTATCCCGTACTGATTATAATCTGCCAGAGTAATGCCAGTTGTATCATATGCCAATCTGTACGTTTCAATCGAAACGCACCAGCCCTACTGCGCCGTGATCAAGTATTCCTGGCCCAGAACGTTTGATCACGATTCTGCGCTCCTTCGCTCATTCCTTCCAGTGGGCGCGTGCGCGTTGTAAAGTCGCAGCTTTGTACGTTGACCAACATGTATCATTCATGTGATTGAGTCATAGATGAACTGCATGAACTGATCCGTGAGTGACTCTGAGTGAGTGAGCGCGCGAGTGAGTGGGGGTTGAGGAGGAGCGGAAGAGCTGCCGGGAATAGAACTAGCATGAGCACGAGCGCTAGAAATTGGTGACCGATATCCCCGCCCGCGCGCTTGGTAGGGTTGCAATTGCTTGTTAACGTCTCAACCTTCTCCGACCAAGAAGTGGCCAACCTTTGTCTCCCCTAGGCAGACGAAGGTGATCTTTCCGAGGGGGAAGGAGCAGTCACCCTAACGGCGGGCCTGGGGAGATCATAAGCACGCTCCTTTGGCAGAGCGGCCTCCTAGTAGTAAAATCGCGAGTCGAACTTTGCGAAGTCGACAGCGGCTTCATCTCATACTGCACAAGTTCAAGTTGGCGGTATGGACAACGCCCGTCGGCGTCTGATTCGATTCATGACACGACTCGCTGCGGTGTGTAGTTACCATTTTCCCGAAGAACCGCAAGGAATATAACTGACGGTATGTGCTATCGAAAGGTCACATCCACGAACCGCCCAATACCCAAGGCTTTCCCCCGCGGAGTGCCTACGCTATGGAGGCAGTTCGTCTACTTGCCCAGACGATGGATCGTCCAGCGTGCATACAAGTCATACACGGCCCTCAACAACAACACGGATCTTGCGAGACGCAAGCGGGACGACCCCGTCATCCGCGTCGTGTGCATTTCCGATACGCACAACTCCCACCATCGGCTCCCGCCATTGCCCGAGGGCGACATCCTCATCCACGCTGGTGATCTCACGAACGCAGGGAGCGCACCCGAGCTCCACAACGCGCTCCTCTGGCTCGACGGCCAACCACATCCGCACAAGGTGTTCATCGCCGGCAACCACGACGCCGCGCTCGCCGAATCCTCGGCACGCGACTACGTCCGCGCGAACTTCCCGAACCTCATCTACCTCCAAGACGAGTCGGTGAGGCTAAAGCTGCGCGACCGCTGGCACGTCCGCGTACATGGCACCCCACACACCCCGGGGCGCGGCGAGCGCGGCGTGTTCCAGTACGAGCGCGGCGGCGGGTATCCGAAAGTACGCGCCATCCCGATCCGCACCGACATCCTCGTCACGCACGGCCCGCCGCAATTCCATCTCGACGCCGCCGGGGCCGGCTGCAACTCGCTTCGGTCCGAGCTATGGCGCGTGCGCCCGCTCCTGCACGTCTTCGGGCACATCCACGCCGGCCGTGGCGTGGAATACACCAGATGGTCGTCGGTGACGACCTGGTATGAGGGAGTATGCAAGGGCAGAGTGGGCTTTGGCTGGAAGGCCGCTCTGCGAGTCGTACTCGCGGCGCTGCAGAAGGCGGTGGGGATCGATGCAGATAGTAGACTCGTCAACCGTCACGCACAGTGCGAGAGCATCCTGGTGAACGCCTCGTCCGTAGGAGGGATCTGGAGCAGCAAGCTGTTGGAGCCGATAGTCGTGGAGCTTGCGCTTCTTTCTCCGGGGGAGAAGGCAAGGCGAAGGAAGGCATTGCGGCTCAAATCTGAACGGAAGGCTGCACGGTGACTACATATGTACATTAACAACGGCTCCGAGCTGTCAACAGCTCCGGCTCTTCCATTCGTAGTTTAGCACAGGATGTAGGTCGCACGAGCAGTTAAGTTCCCCGGATGTCATGTTTGCGTGTTATTCTTGCTCGTTACGATACGTCAGCAAAAACCCGAATGGCTGGCAATGGCTTGCAAAGAGTGCAAGCGTCCGGTAGTTCTACAGTTCTTCCTCCCCAAGATGATCGCGCTCCGCCGCCACTCTTCCGCGTCAGCATTCTCGACGTATAAGACTCAGGGCAAATTCAATAAACACCGAGTACTGAACGTTGAATAGATAGATACACCGGTCGGAAGCAATGCCAGGGCACCATGTAGGGTATGCAGATGGAGAGGCGCCACCAGGTATCTAGTAGAAGGACATCAAAAAGCTATGTACGAGTAGAGGGTCGGGGCAATATTGCTACACAGGGTGACGAGAGGCGAGCGCGGGATAACAGAGCGAAGCGAAGCGGAGGCGGGACGGGAACAGGATCAGCGCGTATAATGGCTACAGGGGGGAGGTATTAGCACCCGGGACGCGGCGCGGGGCGAGGAGGTATACAATGCTACAGACAGATCGAGAGGCAGAAAAACCAGATCGGGTAAGCAGATGAGTAGGGAAAGTCAATTGTGGTTATGCTGTGGGGGAATAGAGGGGGGCAGGAAGCGAGCTCAGGGTACGAGCTCAGAACTCCTGCGGCGCGTGGCAGAAGCCGTAATCGACCGCGCTCGCGTCGAGGGCCATGTCGAACTCGGTTGTGTCGACCGCGCCGTACATCTCGTAATCGCCGCCCTGGTAGCTCTTCTCGAACTCCATCACGAGCGCGGAGAACTGGCGCTCCGCGTCCTCGGGCACAGGCGTGTGCTCGACGGGCTGGTGCTGGGAAGCGACGTCCTGCTCCGCCGACGCCCACGCGTCGAACTGCATCTGCGCGTGCTGCGGCTGTGGCGCGCAGATGCCCGAGGTCTGCGAAGACACGACGTGTGGGAGGGAGGCGTCGGAGCGCGCGGGCGAGCCAGAGAAGGCACTCGACGGCCCGCTCTCGGCGAGCGGCCACGGCGCGTGCGGGTCGAGCGACTCGTACGCGCCCGCGGAGTACCCGTCGGTGGCGGTCGACGGCCCGGAGGCGGACGCGAAGTCGAAGCTGTCGAGCGGGCCGATGTTGAGCGAGAGCTCGTGCGGGCTGTACGACGCCGCGCGCGGGTCCACCTGCGCGTAGTCGGCGCTCGGCGCCTCGTCCTTGAACGAGCTCGTCCAGCCCGGCTGGAAGATCGCGTCCGTCACGTCCGGGAGCGGCTCGTCGTCCGGCTGGAGCTGCCAGCTCGCAACGGGTGCGCCGTACTGCGGCTGCGCCGAGAACCCGTTGTAGTCGTCCCACATACGCTCGGAGGGGACTGGCTGCACGCTCGATGCACGGCGCAGACCGAGGTACGCGCGGTTGCGGGAGATGTTGCTGACGGGCGACGGGGCGCGGGATCCGTGCGCACTGTTCGAGCCCACGGCGAAGCCACCGGGGTTGAACATAGGGTTCGATCCGGGGAAGGCCATCTGCGGAGCCGGGGCGGCGAAGAAGGGAATGGTGGGCAGCGTGATCGGGTGTCCGGGGTGGAAGAGCGTGGACGGCGGGGGAACAGATGACGGTCGGCGCTGCAGATACGCGGGTGCACTAGGCTGCGACCAGGGGCTGATATCGAAGTCGGAGGAGGCGCTCTCCGGACGCGACATTGCGCGCGCCATGTCGAGCTGCCGCACTGCCTCCGCGAGCTCCTCACCCTTCTTGCCCTCGAGCAAGAAGTGCGCAACAGCCTCGCAACGCTCCTCCTCCGCGGGGAGGGTGGGAAGCTTGTCCTTGCGTCTGCCGTTGGTGCTGCCAGAGGCGGTGGCCTTGGTGGCTGCTGTCCCTGCCTTTTTCTTCTTGTTGTGAACGGGGCGGAAGCGATACGTTGGCCAGCGCTCCCTGTGGGCCGCCTTCTCCCGCTTCGCTTCGAGCTCCCAGTACTTCTTCTCGTCGAGGGGAAGAGCGCGCCAGCAGTTTCCTGAGGAAGTGACGATGTGAGTTGACGAACAGCATACACCAGCAGGAGTAGATACTCACCGATGATCTTCGATAGCGATCCGTGGTTCGTCTCGATCGATCCAGGGACGTGCTTTTGACGAACGAAGTTCGCGCGGAAGAGCATGAACGCGTTTGGCGGGCGGGGGATGTAACCTTGCGAGAGACGCTTCCCAGGCGGGCAGCGGCGGCGAGACGGTGCAGCCGTCTGCGGGGCGGTGGGCGGGAAGATGGCGGCGGAGGGAGAGTGGGGCGAGTCGCCGCTCAAGTCCTCCTCGGCCTCGACGTACGTACCAGGCGTAACGTTCGGGGCGAAGGTGAGTGCCCGTGGCGAGAGGGTGTGGGCGATCCCGTAGTTTCCTGGCTTGACTTGGAGCAAGCCTGACACGATGCGTTTCGGTTAGCTGTTGATCCTCACGCGAGACGATTATGATCGATGACATACCCATGGCAAGAGAGGAACGTCTGCGACGCGTGAGCGAGCGTGCGGGAGGCATGGCGGCTGGGATCGAGGCTTGTTTCCCAAATGGAGGGGAACAAAAGGAGGGGAAGCACGGGGGCCTCCTTATTGTTCTCCTCTGCTTTAAATGAGGGCCTCACAGCTGGCCGCCATCAGAATGCTCGTCCGCTCTCCCAGGACCCGGGAACGGCGCCGGGTCTCAGCGAATCGCTCTATCACGGCGGATAGACGCCCACCTGGGAGTGCAGTCCGGCGCCGAGCTGTGCACCACCGCCTCCCTTCTCCGGCTTGATCACGTCCTCGAACTCGACACCACATCTATCTGTCGGCCTCCATGCATCGTAAATGCGTTCGGACATCGTCCTAGGACGCTCTGAACATCGCACTCACCTCTGGACACGGCGACTTGCTGCTATCGGGGTCCTACTCTCCCATCAAGAATCACCAGACCCATCGGTACTTTTGCTTGTTGACGGAAAAGGCAGTCGCTTTGTACTCGTCCGTTTCCGGCCACCAGACGCATCCAAGGAAACTTCCTCCGACGTGGGCTTGAAGCTTCTCTGACATGCTCGCCTGGGAACTCCCGCCCAGGCTGGGGCGTCGGCCAGCCCCGCTGTGCGGCGGGTCGAGTTCGTACAGAGAAACAACTGTTCAACATCGGGTGAGCAGCACGTTCTTGCGGCGTATATCGCAGGCTGTGGACAACTCCAGGGGGAGCGGATAGCAATTCGTTCGCGGCCACGCCTGGCTGAGAAGGCTCGGCGTGGGTGCGGACGGATTGGATCTATAGAGCGGGTCAGCGGCGGGCCGCCGCTGCGAAGTTTGGGCGTCGCGACCCTGCACATGTGCTGTCGGTGAGCCGAGTAACACGCGAACGCCACACACATGGTTTTGGACCCACCTACAACACCAGACTTCCGCCCCCGGCTCTCTGTCTGACCTTACGCAGTATGTATTTCGAGTACGCCAAGCGAGCGGAAATACATCTCCGCTGAAGGCTTCCATGCATGCCTACGCGCGGGAAGAGGGCGAGAATCAGAATAGCCGAGACTCCTGGGGTGATCATGACGGACGCACCAACTGTCCACCATCCGTACTCCTTTCACCACGTGGAGGGAGCGTCCCGCCCAAACTACCTGAATGTGGTGAACGATTCCCGGGACGGTCGCCTGTGAGGAGGAATCGAGATGGATACTTTCCCATTCCAAACTCGCAAGTCGCGACAGCTCCGCAGGACCTTGTCCGGAAACGGCAGGCGTTGTTGTTCGCCTCGAGGCTCGAGGACTCGGGCTCCAACTACTCTCACGCACCACACTAGTGCCCCTCTTCTGTCGACCCTGCGCTTCGTGGAGGCAACCGATCAGCTGAAACATAACAACCTTGTATGCTGCTTCTGCCGCGACGGTGCTCCTGGGGTGGTGGCCTTGCGAAGGATCTGACGGGTCCACCACGAGTCTTCGTCTGATGCGCCGCTCCGCGTTACGCTGCCGGCACCTGCTGTGCTGGGTGAAAGTTCTGGGCGTTGGTGGAGTGTCGCCGAGACGCCATAGGATTGTTTCAGGTTGGCGAAGAGTACCTGGCCGACGAAGACAAGAGTCACGAGTGGAGTCGCATGTCGACGGTCGCGCGAGCGACGCGCAACGACCGAGACCCATGGACGACTAGGAACAGACGAGATACGAAGATTGCTGCCGCCGACCGAATGACGAATAACCGAGCCGACGCGCAGACTACGGGCGTTGACTCTGAGACACCGAGGTCTGGGGGAGAAAAGTGAGAGCCATTCGACGGCATGCGCACCCAGTGGCTCACTTATTTGTAGACAGGCCACTTGACGCGCCGCCCGCGATCGAGCTCTTGCTCGGGACACGGCACGCTACGACACGACTCTTCACACAATTCGGAAGGAAACTGAACGTATGTCGAAGCGTGCGCGAATCCATCGAGCCCGGCGGCGGCGTATAGTGACAGGGCGGACATCGATCCCGCCCCCGATATCCACTTCGATGAGGAGATGCTTCTCGGGCGCTCAAAATCGCGCTCCTGCCCGAACGGGCTTCGTCGGTGGCCGGCCGCCGCGAACTTGTTGTCCGACGCCGACGCGCCGCAGACAACGACAACAACAAGTTTCGCATTGGCCCCGGATACAAAGATCAGCGCTGGAAAAATCTAGTCAACATCATTGCAGACCTCCGGGCAACGTCCTGCGACTCGGGGTTATTGACGAAGTGGGCCGCTCTTGCGCTTGTCATCCACCGGTGCGCTTGGGTCGCACCCGCAATCACCGCCTTGGTGTACTACGCGACATCTCTCACCGCCAAGAAGCCTTCTCTAGTCGTGGCTGTTACAGTGCCGGCATACTACGAAACCTAATACACTAGTAAGCCGCCGTCACAGCACGCTCATCGTGCATCATGTCTTGACCACATCATCTCGACAGAACTCACGCTGTACCTGAACCTCCTAACAGCGATTGTGGCCTTCGGGTGTCCCGGATAGGAGCGCTTGACCTTCGGGCGGTCGTGCTGTGCCCTTATATCCGCGTTTGACTACTTTTTATCAAGTCATGGCGAAACAAGCTGAGCGCACGGTGTCGAACGTTAGTTCACTTCGCTAGATAAACTGTTCGCCAGTTGACCATATTTGGTGCGCAGGTGATGCGCTCACTGTCATACAACAACACGCGGCGCCAGCGTAAAGCCGGACCAACTTGACATAACTGCTCTGGGGATGGGACGGTCTCGCGCGGCATACCTTATGGCGTCCGATTCCCCTCCGTGGCGGCCTGTACCAGCGTTCAGCCATGTCCCTCGGACCACTCGACCTCGCGTGGCATAGTCATGAACGCCCCGCGACGCGCCGAAGCTATCGCTCTGGCTTGATCCGATACACGTCCAGACTTAACGATCGCATCTGTTTTAGAGACCACTAACAATCTTCCTCGCAATCGTACAGGGTGGCCCGGCTTTGATCCAATCTCTATACTATCCTCGGATCATCTATGTGCGACCACGGCCCTAGCGGCGACCAAGCTTGTATGTAACGCAACACAAATTCACAGATGGTACCCACGCGAGATTGACGACGCGCCTCAAGCTGCGATTAATCGAGCTCTGCACCCGACAGCGATTTGTGGCGTAGCAGATGGCGCGTCCAGGCTCTATTCTCTCGATCATACACAAACAACTGACCGCAAGAAAACCTATGTAGCGCAGGGTTTTTGGGCATCCCACGTCTCTCCTGCAGGTTCTCATAGCTTTTCAGAAGGGCGTACGAATAAGCGTGGCATCGGGCGAACCCGTTGGAGTTCTAGTATCAGCTGTAACACCCTCATCTAATTACCATGGCTCGTTCGAGCTCATTCGTCGCACATGCATAACTGCATGCGCATTGCGAGTCTTCGAGCCCGGTCTTCGCTGCCACTTATCGCAAATTTTGCTGTTTTCGGCGGGCTTATCTGCTCACGACTCTAGTCGGTCGGTCCAATCCCCTACTGAAGACTGTTGACGCGACGTCGTCGAATATCTTATATATATCAACACTTCAACGCACTTGCAGAGCTCTCCCGCCTCATCGAAGTGAATCATCGTGAATGAGTGGGCGGAAGATGCCGGAGGCCTAGAAGAAGCGATCAAAGGCGATCAATGGACGTGATCGAAGAAAGCAATCTGCCTCCGGGTGAGATCTCGACATCTGCACCGATGCATTTCAGCCACCACCACCCCGAACGACGCATCCAGCTGCCTCCACCTATATATACCCGTATGGCGTGCTCAGTGCTCCCCACTCTCGCGACATCCTCACCCAGCAAATCGCATCGCGCCTTTGAGCCCGCAAACGCACAACTATGCGCTCACGCGACACCCGTGGACTGCGGCGGCGCCGTCCTCGACAGCTCGGTCGCCGTTCCTGGCCTCCATTCGCGCGGGTGGACGGGATTGATGATATACCCAACGCTTTTGATAGGCGCAGAATGCACGCAATGATTCTAGTCGATTGCGAAAGGCCCGGGACGCGCCCCGCATGCTCCCAGTCAGGGTAACGTCAGTGCTGCTTCTTAAGTAGCGGCCTATCGCTCCATGTTATCGCCCTGCCGGTTACATATATCCCCGCTTCCTCCGCCGGAGCTTGTACCGCTGCTGCTAGCTGCTGCTGCCTGTTCGCTGCCGCCATGTCCTCGCTGCTGCAGTACTTGCCTTCCCAGTGGAGAGCCCGCCGGCGCGGCGGCTCTGAGGCCTCGGATGTGGTCCCGGTGGACGCCCCGCTGGACACCAAAAGGTCCAAGGAAGATAGCGATGCGGAGTCGCTCGCGTCCAGGGAGATTACGACTGCTGTAGACCCGTCGCTCAACCCTGGCGAGCTGACATTTGAGGAGGGTGCGTAGACTTCTCGCACTCACCGCCTGCCAAATACTGATAGACATGCTGTAGATTCCGCGGGTGGCATGGGGCGCCATCTTGGTGTGTTCAGTTGTACGCTGCTCATGTGAGTACCCACCCTGCGTCCAATCTCCCCCATTTACGAACCCGCAATCTCCCAGCGTCGGCCGTATCATCGGTACCGGCATCTTCTCGACGCCCTCCTCCATCCTCGGCTCGGTCGGATCGGTGGGCGCTTCGCTCATGCTCTGGGTCCTCGGCTTCGTGCTCTCGTTCTGCGGGCTCTTCATCTGGCTCGAGTTCGGTACCATGTTCCCGCGTTCTGGCGGCGAGAAGGTGTACCTGGAGGCGGTCTATAAGAAGCCGAAACACTTGGCGACTATCATCTTCGCGGTCAACGCGATCGTGCTCGGGTTCACCGCGTCGGGCTGCATAGTGCGTATCGTGCGAGTCTTGCGGGTGGTACCTTTTCTGACGTTGATGCTGCACAATAGGTGTTCGCCCAAAAGTGTGTCCTTGTTTGAGTTGTTGATATGTGGTCGATTCTGACGTAACCGCGAAGTATCCTCATCGTCGCAGGCCATAGCGCGGACCGCTGGGTCACCCGCGGCATTGCACTGGGCGGTGCGCGATATTCTTGCCCTGCCATACGGCACTGGAGTGCTGACTGTTCTTCCAGTCATTGGCTTCGTGACGCTCCTGCATGGTCTGACGCCGCGCCTCGGAGTGTGGGTCATGAACGTGAGCGTGTCATCGCACGCACAAGAGCATCTACTTATGGGTTTTGTATGCAGGGCCTGAGCATGTTCAAGATCATCATCCTCCTCTTCGTCGTGATCACCGGTACGTCTATTCCCCTCCCCAGCGGAGAATAGAGGTGCTAACGCGTTGGCTTAGGATGGGTCGTACTCTCCGGGAAGACACACATCGAAGACCCGCACGCGAACTTCCGCGACGCGTTCGCCGGGAGCTCGCACAGCAGCAACGACGTCCGTTGCTGTTCTCTCTTCTCTCTCGTCGCCTCTCGCTGATCTGCGCTACACAGTACGCGACCGCGACGTTCAAAGTGCTGAACGCGTACGCGGGGTGGTCAAACGTTAACTACGTGCTCAACAACGTCAAGAACCCCGTGCGCACGCTCAAGATCGCGGGCCCGCTCGGGCTCAGCATCTGCGCGGTGCTCTACCTGCTCGCCAACATCTCCTACTTCGCGTGCGTCTCGTATTTTTGCTTTTGGAGAAGGGAGGAGGCTGACTGGGCTATGGGGCGACAGGGCGGCGACGAAGGACCAGATCCTGCACAGCGGGACGACGGTCGCAAGTCTGTTCTTCAAGAACGTGTTTGGTGTGCAGGCGCAGAAGGCGCTGACTGTGTTCGTTGCGTTGAGGTGAGACCTTGGCAGCTCTGCGACTTTTTTTCCAGAGGCTGACTGCTGCACAGTGCTCTAGGGTGAGTTTCAGGCTACAAAAGGGTGGCTCAAACTCATCAACGGTCTTTCGTGAACTCGTCTCTGTCTCTATACAGGGTAAGCATGATGGCATACGTTAGCCGTTTCAAGATTGAGCTGACATGTCGCCTTTGCGCAGAACGTTATCACCATCACATTTGCTGCAGCACGCATCAACCAAGGTGCGCTTACTCTGTCAAGCCTTGCACACCCAGTGCTTACGCCCCTCTCAGAGCTCGCCAAGGAGGGCATCCCTCTGCCATTCGGGAACCGGTTCTGGGCGTCCAACTGGCCCACGGGCAAGTCGCCGCTCCCGGGCCTGATCATCCACTTGATACCCTCGGTACGTCCACACGCGCAACGTGCGGGTGCGCGCTGCTCACGCGCCTGCAGATCATCGTCATCATCGGGCCGCCGCCGTCGGTCGCATACCCCTTCATCCTGGATGTCGAGGGATACCCTGGCCAAATTATTAACTTGTTCATCGTGCTCGTGAGTTCCGCGTTCTCGAGAGCACACTCGCAGGCGATGACGGCTTTGCGTTACCAGGGATTGTTTTGGCTCAGATACACCAAGCCCAACGCGCCGCGGCCATTCAAAGGTACGCTCAACCTGGCCTTTCCGTGCAGCCCGGGGTATGCTGAACCTCGACATCGCAGTATGGTGGCCCCTCGCGGTATTTTTCCTCGCAGCAGCCGTATTCCGTACGTCCCCCTCCCATCAACTGTCTCACACTCGCTGATGCGCGCCATCCCCAGTGCTCGTCGCGCCTTTCCTGCACCCCGCGAACGGCAAGGGCGACACCCCGCCGTTGCCGTACTACCTGTACGTTTCCCTTCCTCCCCTCCCTGCGCCACCATCGCGCGCTGCCGCTGACGTGCTTGTTCGTGCGTGTTCCTTGCGCTGGCAGGTACTGTCTCGTGGGTATCGCGGTCATGGCGGTGGGCGTGCTGTACTGGGCCGCGTGGCGGATCGTGCCGCGCTGGTTTGGCGTCGAGTACGTGCCGCGCAAGGAGGTGCTCGCGGATGGGACGGTCGTCACCTTGGTACGTTCCTACTGTCTGGGCCGGGGAGCGGGTCTTGATGGATGCTGATATATTTGCGATGTGCAGTTCTCGCGGCAAAAGATCGAGTGAGGCGCAGGGGGGTCTGTGCTCGAGCAAGGGTGGGAAGGGGGTTTGGTGACGATCTTCATGATGTTGTATTACGGTATTTATGACAGTGTTGTAATGGAAGCTTGACGATTGGATTCGCAGTGTTCACAGTCGCCGCCGCGAGTCCGCAGGACTCCCTACCACCATGAAATCCCGGATCCGAAGACATCGACCCCTCGAGCAGACCATAAGCGCAGTACATGAGAAGCCGGAACCAGCAGATGACGCGATTCGCTTGGAGGCGGTCTACACAGCTCTCGAGGCACGACCGCATGGACAATTCTTGCTGAACCTCCCCAAGCCTCGACTCGGCACTCTCCAGCTCCGCCCAGCCCGCGCTCAGCCAATTGCGCCACGAAGCCTCCCGGGGGGACCAATTTTTTAAGTGATTGCGTTGCCGGCTGAGCGCATTTTCCGCCGCGCCCGAGCGTTCCGCCCGCAGGCGCGCGCTGGGGGTGCGCCATAAGAGGGAATAGGCGCGCGCGGGAGGCATCTTTCGGTGCGCGACGCGATGTTGCGCTTCGATGGCGCAAGTCTCCAGATCTGCTGGGGAGTGCATATGTATACTGCGCCCGCGAGCCTCCAGGCGGAGGACGCCTGCCTGTTCTGTCCGCTCCTGACTGCCGCCACGGTGCTGTAGGTCCACCCGACGCTCGCGATCATCTTCGGTAGGTTCAGAAGGACGAAGATGCCTGCACGCCTCAGCCTTGCGCCCTTGAAGGCGCTCTTCCCACGCTCTGGGTCGAGAGCGGGACCGGCGCGCACCGCGGAGGCCACCGAGCACGCTGTGGACGAGAGGTCGCTGGAGGGCAAGTCGAAGAACCCGCACCTCGACACCGACGACGAGGCGTCTCTGCAAAATGTCGCAGAAGCGGCCGAGCATGACCCCGACCTCAATCCCGGAGGCCTTTCGTTCGAGGAAGGTAAGTCTCGGTTTCTTGCGCATTCTCAAGATCGAGTGCTTACTGAGTCGCTGCAGACACTGCAGGAGGAGCGGGCCGTCATCTCGGGGTGTTCAGTTGCACGATGCTCATGTATGTTCAGTGAGAGACGCATATACGCAGTAGAAAACTGACATTTGTATCAAGCGTCGGTCGTATCATCGGCACCGGCATCTTCTCGACACCATCATCCATCCTGGGCTCCGTAGGATCGGTCGGCGCGTCTCTGATGCTCTGGGTTCTCGGCTTCATTCTCTCCGCCTGCGGTCTCTTCATCTGGCTCGAGTTCGGAACGATGTTCCCTCGGTCTGGAGGAGAGAAGGTGTATCTCGAGGCTGTGTACAAGCGTCCGCGCTTCCTGGCAACATACGTCTTCGCCGCGAACTCTATCCTCGTTGGCCTAACCGCCTCGGGGTGTATCGTAAGTCCGCAAAACTATCTTTTGAATATCACAGGGTTCACGAGGAGCACAGGTCTTTGCCAGCAAGTACGTGCAGCGCGAGGGTGTCTGGAAAGTACCCTACTAATATTTCGGCAGCATCCTGGAAGCTGCGGGTCACGAAGCGACCCGATGGACTACGCGCGGAATCGCAGTCGGCAGTGAGTATGTCGGTTTCTTTCTCAATCCCTCTACTTACGCCATATCTTAGCCATCTGCTTCGCCGTACTTCTGCATGGACTGACACCACGGATCGGAGTCTTCGTGATGAACGTACGTTGACTATATGCGTTGCGATTCATTACGTGTCATACTGATTTTGAGCGCAGGGCCTCAGCGTATTCAAGGTCGTCATCCTGCTCTTCGTCGTCGTCACCGGTAAGACTCGCCTTCCCAGCAATCTCGAAATCGCTGACCGGTCGCATTCTAGGATGGGTCGTGCTCTCCGGGAGGACATCTATCGAAGACCCGCACGTCAACTTCCGCAACGCGTTTGCCGGGAGCTCAAACAGCAGTAATGATGTCAGTTACACATGGAATCAACATACGAGCCGTGTAATTGACGAGCCGATTCGCAGTACGCCACCGCTATGTTCAAGGTCCTCTACTCGTACATCGGGTGGTCGAACGTCAACTACGTCTTGAATAACGTCAAGGACCCCGTGCGGACGCTCAAGATCGCCGGCCCGCTCGGCCTCTGCATCTGCGCCGCCCTCTATCTCCTCGCCAACGTCGCGTACTTTGCGTGAGTGGTGCTGCTGCGGGTGCAACGTTATACTGCAGCTGATCAGATGTTCTAGGGTCGCGACGAAGGAAGAGATCATCAACTCCGGCGTGACGGTGGCCTCCTTGTTCTTCGGCAAGGTCTTCGGGCCCCAAGCGCAGAAGGCACTCACCGTGTTCGTCGCGCTGAGGTACGTACCCGCCGATGCCTGGCGCGAGCATTCTATTAACGGTCCGTACAGTGCACTGGGGAACGTCGTAACCGTTACCTTTGCCCTCTCCCGCATAAACCAAGGTGAGCCTCAAAAAATTTCGTGTGTGTTTGGGCAACGTGTTTATATTCCCAACGCAGAGCTCGCCAAGGAAGGTTTATCACTTCCCTTCGGCAACAAGTTCTGGGCGTCGAACTGGCCGACAGGAAAGTCGCCCTTCCCCGGTCTTGTCCTGCACATGATCCCCTCCGTAAGTCTGCGTGTTCGTTATGCTTCGGAGTGCTTGGGCTGAAAGCATTGTGGTAGATCATCATCATGATCGCGCCGCCTCCAAACGTCGCGTATCCCTTCATCCTGAACGTGCAGGGGTACCCCATTCAGGCGATCAACTTGTTCGTCGTTATCGTACGTCTAACTTCATTGAACTCGACTGTCAGACGATGCTAACAAGCAATATAGGGCCTCTTCTGGCTGAGGTACCACAAACCAGACGTGCCACGACCGTTCAAGGGTATGTTACTGTCCCATGCACAAATTGGAAGCTGGTTTTTGACGTCGTGTCATAGTCTGGCTTCCCGTTGCGTTCTTCTTCCTCGCGTCGATCGTGTTCCGTAAGTCTCGTGCTGTAGCACAACCCGTATCTAAAGCTCACCTCCTCATGCAGTACTCGTCGCCCCCTTCATCCGGCCCTCGAATGGCGTAGGCGACACGCCCCCATTACCCTACTACCTGTATGTCACAAACTCGCCCTAGCATCTTACGAATCGGCACTCACCATCTGTGTCTCCAGGTACTGTCTTGTCGGCATCGGTGTCCTTCTCTTCGGCGCCCTGTACTGGTTCGTGTTGAGGCGGGTGCCGCGCTACCTCGGCTACACCGTCGTCCAGCGAAAAGAGGCGCTTTCCGACGGCACTTTCGTTACTGTGGTATGTCCCATTGTCTTACCCGAGGCTGCGAGAAGCGGACGTTGACTAACCGTCCTGTGCACAGAACGACTACAAAAAGTTGGAGTAGGCTTGCGCATGCGCGCGTCAACCTACGTGACTAATGAGGGACTATAACGCCGCTTTACGCATTCGATATCTCGAAGTAATCAATATCAGAACCTGTATCACCACAAAACCACTATGCTGCACAGGGATACCCAAATCGTGGTATATCGCCATGTATGCATGCTAACAAGGCAGCAGGTTAAACTGAGCACCGCCTAAAGCTAGACCACTCTTCAGTGACCACATCCCGCCGATCCAGTGGCTTGCGCAGTTGATGATCACCATTGATACTCCCGATGCGGGGTCGATCTACACAGGCAAACCGCAAGCTGTGCGCGTCCTATTTCCAACGAGACCCACGCTCATTTGCTGCGACGCATATGTAGCGCAGGATCACCATCTACGTCAGTCACCGCCCACCTGTGCTGCCCCTCGTCCCTCAGGTCGGTCAGTGGATTCGCCGACCACACAGCAGCTATTCACCGTGGCACGACATCAGACGCACCCAACATGGCTCCGAAATTCAAGTTGACGGCGATCTACGAGAAGTCCCTGACTGCGCTGAACGGCGCGACCGTGGACCTCTCCCGATGCGCGACGGCGGGGGAGATCCGCCTCATCGACTGCACCGCCGCGGGCGAAGGCGTCCTCCGCATCTACGAAACGAACCTCAACTTCCCGCCCAAGGACGTCGCATACGCGACCGCCTCCTACGTCTGGCGCGGCTACCCCCCGAAGAAGCCGCGGACCACGCCCCGCCCGACGTTCACCGTGAAGGGCGCGGAGAGCGGCGAGCCGATCAACATCCGCCTCCTCACGCACCTCTGCGCCGCCGCCGTGCAGGAGGGCGTCGAGCTGCTCTGGCTCGACCGTCTCTGCATCATGCAGACGAGCAAGGAGGACAAGGCGTGGCAGATCCAGCAGATGCACGCCGTCTACGCGCGCTGCGCCGTCTGCCTCATCCTCCCGGGCGGAATCAATCGCCTCGCGAGCCTCGGGGAAGACACTGCGTGGATCCACCGCGCATGGACGCTCCAGGAGCTGCTTGCCCCACCCCGCTCCCTCGTCCTCTTTGAGTGGACGTACGGCCCGGGATCGTACAGCGGCGCGACCGTGGGCCGCATCACGGAGGTCGTCGCGCGCAAGTGCGCGCTCGCGGACGCGACGGACGTCCTCCAGCTCTCGATCGCAGGCACGATGTCGTTCAAACGCGACAAGGGCAAGGACGCGACCCACCGCTTCTCGGTGCCCGTGCACATCTTCGGGACGCCCGCGGCGCCGCAGGCGTGGGCGACGATGGGGGCCTTGCGCCTGCGCGGGAGCGAGGCGGGCGAGAGCGCGGTGTGGCGGAGCGCGCTCATGCGCACGTCGTCGCGCCCGGTAGACATGATCTTCAGCATCATGGGTCTCTTCGACGTCGCCCTGAACCCCGCGTACTTCGACAAGAACGACCGCGTGGGTGCGACGGTCGCGCTGGCGAAGAGGATCCTGGAGAAGGGCCATAGCGCGACCTGGATCGGGGCGTCGTTCCATCTCCCGACGTCCTCGCAGCTCTCGAGCTTCCCCGACTTCCCGGAGTCGTCCGTCTCCGGGCAGGCGATGGTCAGCGTTGGCGGGAGGATGAAGGAGGTCTCGACGGTGGTCGACGGAGACTACATGTCACAGTGGTGGCTGCGCCATGCCCCCAAAGGGCACATCGACGACAACGGGTACCTCGTCATACGGGTGCAAGCGGTGGCAGCGAGTCTGACAGACCGACGAGGCGACGCAACGCCCGGCGTCGCGAACATGTCCATACGTTCGGATACTGGCACCTACCGCATTACCGACCTGCGGGGTAGGAAATGGAGCGTTGACAAACGGCAGGCTATCTCGGGGAGTACGCAGGCGATGATTCTTTTCGTAGGAACGGAGGGAAGGCTGCCCAGCTCGACGGCGTACCAATTCGGAGAGGACACACCGGTTCGGGCCATAGCCGTGGAGGCGCACGGTAGAGGGAAGTACAACAGAGTGGCGTCGTTCTTCCTCGGTAGGTGTTTTGAGCAAGAGATCAAAACATGGCGCGCCGCCGAGGTCGCCATAGGGGGGCCGAGCGCTCTGAGCGACGAGCAGCTGGCAATCATCAGGAAGAAGGAACACAAAGGTACGCACACGTCCCTCACTCGTGATACATATGTCGCTGAGTATTGCACGATGCACCAGTGCGCAGGAAACCGATTGAACATGACTAATTGTATAATGTCACTGGGAGGAATGAGAACAGCAGCTCGTTGGAGTATGTACAGTAGACGCACCAGTATATGTCGAGGAACAGTTGCCAAATAAATATTCTGCCTGCATGCAAACTGACCCATGACATGAAAGCCACTCAAGACTCAAGTCTTTTACTGACTATATGCGCAGCCCAAGGGATTCGAACATCAATGATCCCGCACCTTCGTTGTATGCGTGTGTAGTCTAGGCAATGCCTCGCTGCATGTCCAGAGGTAACTGGTAACGTGTCGCCCAGTATTACACGATCACAAGACTGATGATACAGAAAGTGTGGAGTAGTCGCTCTTCATGAACTCGCAGTCCATCCCTTGGGCTGAAAGCAGCGTAAGTGAAGATGTAGCGCGTAGCTGAATACAAGAAACTTACTTTGACTTCGTCACCGACAGTCCTGATGTACACAGCAGGACGCTCCGCTGTCTTCGCGCCCTCCTCGCCCTCCTCCCAGGTGTAGCTGACACCGACGGCGAGCTTCGTGCCGTCACAGTTGAAAGCAATAGACGGTACAGGCGCATTGTACTTTTGGTACTGCCTCAGGCGCTTCTTCGATTTGTGGTCCCAGATTGAGACCGTCCCGTCAGATCCCGCGGATGCAAAGGTGTTGTAGCTAATTATTTGATGGGTTAGCACGCTGCAACTATCTATGCTAGTGAAAATCGACTTACACAGGGTGGAATGCAAGCGCGTTGACAGGCCACACGTGGTCTACGTCGTCGATAGCTTGACGATGGCACTTGAACGCGTACTTTTTCTCCTGCGCCTGCGGACTAGGGTCGAAATACTCCACGGCGATACGACCCTCAACTGAACCCGTCGCATAGCCTACATAAAGTCAAGTTCATGTCCTGAAAACTGCTGACCGGACAGTGCAGTACGAACTTACCTTGTCCATCAGCCATACATGCGAGGGCGCGTGTCATGAACTTCAAGCTGCTCTCGCGCGTCTGGGCGGGCGAATCCATCTTGCGGATATCATAGATGTGGAAGAGTCGGCTCGCCATTGCGACGACCAAAATGTGGTTTACGAGGTCCATGTTGTAAACGCGTTCGGGGAGTTCGTGAGATGCTTGCTGAGAGTTTGCGGCTCGGGGGTCCCAGAAACGAACTGTCCTGTCCCAAGACCCAGTGATGAGCGTATCTTGGGGCGCGAGGAGCGGCGTGAGCGTATAGTCAGCGAAGATACAAGATAAAAAGGCACACTTTGTTCGCGAGCAAAGTTTATGGACGAGATTGCATCAGAATGTTGTCCGAGGTGGTTGACGCTCTCGGTTTGTAGGTCGAGCCTAGAGCACGCATCTGTTTCAGTTGATGCAACATACGCGAATACGCGAATACGCAAGCACGCGTACTCTCTGACAGAGGTATCCAGGCCACCGCTGTATGCGTGATTTCCGTCGGAGAAGCAGCATGCGAGTACGGCCGCTCGGTGGTCGTATTTGGATTTCTGCTTGTTCGTCGCGACATCGTAAAACCTGACAGTCTGCACATATGACAACAATTAGCAAGAGTCAGCGCTGAGTAGAACACACCCTGGAGTCCGTATAACTATCCCGTACCACCCTTACTCCGGCACCGACATCAAGGGCATCTAGACCCAGCGTCACTCCTACGCGTGTCGAGATCCTGCTTTCTGACAGATAGAACGCGACTTACCGTGTCCCAGGAGGATGTAATGAGATGATCTGGGTTGCTTGGCGAGAACCGCACGGCAGACACGCTATCGAAGGGCGGAGACGCAAGTTCGATCTGGTCTGCTGCACAAACTGTGAGCCACACCGCAGCAAGAGTTAGACGTAGGGAGGCGTACCAGACATGATGGAGACACAGAATCCCAAGGCGCAGTACTCTCAGAGGATGCAAATGCGGCTGAGTGCAAAGATAAAGCAGAAGAGAGCTGAGTGTGGAAGCAGAGCGCGCGAAAGCTGGAATAGCCGAGACCGTTGAGGATGGGCGCTCAGTGCTGCGAGCGCCACTCGGCTGTTTTCTGCTATTTGTACGTGTTAGGATCAGAAGCTTTTGCCAAACAACCGCTTTCGAAGAGCGACTCGAGCATCGTCTAGCGCGACCCCGATTCTTCAGTTCCATCCGTTCAGGAAGGCCACACTATACGGATACACCCAAGTTACAAAACATCATAAGATTAACTGTCATACGTGAAGATACATCGTGATTCGACCGGTAGCCGGTGAGTATTTGTACATCCTGTTTTATCTCGTAAACACAAGACTGGTACAACATTGGCCATAAAGAAGTCCGAAGGGGCGATATTAACTAAGTAGGGTATGTATTGTATGCAATTCCGTCATAGTGGGGTCATGATAAGAACGAAGACACCGACCAGCAGTGCACTCTGTGGTTCGTGTGAAGTCATAGATCATGAAGCACGCCCAAGCTCGACGACGAAGGTTTCTTCGGGCCTGCGTCCAGAGGGCAGCTCGCGCCTAGTGGCTGGCCGAATGCCTAAGAAGCAGCGCCGTTCTCCCAGGTAGTCGATTCGCCTGATGCCGTGCTCTAAATTCTGCGTATGATGCTGGGTATCGCGCCGGAGTCGTTTGTCGAATGCCACGCGTAGTGACTCGCGCCACGCCGGGTCGAGGCGCTCGAGCTCGTTGTGCGCGATGGAAGTGCGCAACGCCCGGTAGAGGCCGTAGAGCATATCTCCCACGGCCACATATGGAAGTGGCTGACTGGACCAGAACGCCTCGGCTGACGGCGTCACCTCGATCTCGAGGGGGATGCCGGGGAAAATGAGGACCATTTTCCGCAGAGGCAGTCTGCTACTCTTCACGCTGGTCCGAGCGGCGCAGCGACCAAGGTCCGCGTGTGCGAGCCACCGGGAGGTGGGCGAGTGCGCGCTCCCGAGCTTGATGCTGTCGGGATGCACCATGACGTCCCATAGCAGGGGTGGGAGCGCTGGCGACGGAAGCACCTCCAGCAGTGGGTCTACCATTGGCTCCGCCGCAGGGGCGGAATGGAACGCCGGGTAGTTCGGCGACGAGGGAGGTGAGGCAGCGAAGGCCTGCCATGAGGGATACTCGGAGTGATGCGCTACCATGGGAGGACGGTGGATCGGGAACGGGCGGGGCGGCGTAGAGGGCCCCGGCGACGAGGCCCAAGAGTTCGACGCGTCTGAGGATGCCGGAGAGGGCGTCCGACTCCTTGGGGGGAACGAAACGAACCGCACGGATTTCCTCGGGCGGGGTTCCATTGCTGTGGCTAAGTGTGCGGGGTGCAAAAAGCTTGGATCGGTGGTGTAGACTGGTGAGGGTGTGCTGCAGGGGAGGTGGTGGTGGTTGCGGGGAGAAGGTGGTAATGGGTCGGCCACCTTCCTAACTGAGGCTTATATAGTGCTTGGGCCGGGCCACTGTACGCTTTGCTCCGGGACTGCGCAGGACAAAGCGCGTCGTGACTCCAGCACAGGGCCTATATGGCTGGCTACCTAACTGGCCAAGTGTCCGGGCGGTCTATGCGTCTTCTTTGGAATGGCGTTTCCACAAGGAAAGTAATGGATACGAGGAAGCGGGGCGCACTGCGCCATGGCGGGCTGCATATTAAACTTAGTCTGGGGCGGGCGCACCGCACCGCGTCTGATAGCGTCGTGTTCTGCTCTGGAGTCGCGGCACATAGGGGGGCCGACCGACGACTAACACGTCGGGTACACCCTCCGCAATGGGGGCGGGGCCGAACCACTGTTGGTGGAGATCGGAACACGAGGTAGGCCGACGCTTGGTGCTGAGAAAGTGCAAAGGGCGCTTGCGACATCTTGACATATGGTCCAAGCGTCGGGCGGCGCGCACCGCCTCGGCCACGTCGACCACATGCAATGACGCCTCCGGGGCAGAGAACGCTGTCTCCGCCGAGGCAGCGTCCTCCACAGGGCGCATTCGCACTGCACTTCCACAAAGAATGCAGAAAGACAGACGCACCAGGCTCGGGGCGTGACACTGGCCGTGTGGTTCAGCTGCGCACTGGCAGGGCCAGGTTGCTAGGTTCCATATCGAGGGTGCTCACTGGATGTGCTGCGAAATAAAGAAAGCTTGCTGCGTGAGTACATCAAACCACGCACAGGAACTATCATGGCTTGCAGAAGCCTTCTCCGTGGTCGGAGGGACGTGGGCGTGACAAAGGAGAGTTTAAGCTGTCGCGTGGCTAAGCGGCCCTCCCGCGGCGCTTGAGCGGCGCCTCGTGCCACCTAGCTCGTGCTGCGCTCATCCATGTGAGAGACGACCAGAACAGTGAGCACTGAGACAAACGACTCTCACTCGAGACAATGCCTCCGGCAAATCCCGAGTGTACCACTCAGGTCAGCCACATATTGAATCGGACAAACTCGTGTGGCTCACCTTCTGGTGCGTGCCATCATGCAGTCGGACTCGACGTACGGGCTGAGCCAACGAAGACAATGTCCATCTGGATGGGGTTAAATGTGCCAACGAGCATGTCTGGCAAATGTCTGGTCGGCCTTGATCGACTCTTCGTGGCGGGGAAGACTCGGCGACGTTGTGGTCAACGCACGCAGCGCGGCGCGCCACATGCCATGCTGGATACTGCGCGCGACGAGCGCGCAGCGAGGTACGTCTGCAGGCATGCGTGGGGCTAAGTACTGTTCTTTGAGCCTAAGGCCGCAGAGCACCCCGTATTCTCCAGAGCTTCGTACACAACGGCGAGCGCAACGCAACGTGAAGGGTGAAAAGTATGGACGTCTAGATCCTAAATTGGGTATGTCGATATTCCGCAAACATAGACGAGTATAGTCGTGCATCGCTCTCATTCATAAATTCAATGTACAATCTGTGGTAGGTGCCGCTGATTTATGTTTCACAAGACTATAGCTGATGAAGATACATTTCCGGATGCCGGTACCACTAACAAAACATGGGTTAACGGATAGTAACAAGACAACACGAACGCATGTGGGGGTATATACAAGTAAAAGCTTCAATGACATTGAGATACGCATAGCATGGATGATGAGGTGACAAACTACGATAACATTGTGATGGTACTCTCCACTGCCAGTCACATTCTGAGGCAATAATCCTCAGTCTAATCATGCAAGCGATCTAAGCAACATGAGCTTTTAGGCTGGAACAAGTTTGACACTCACGAGGGTGTGCTGGCTCCCAATCTGAAGTGCAGATACAAAGCACAGTCAGCGCGGAGACTAGGAGGCCAACTACGGTCTCGTACCTGGGGCTCCGAGAAGTTGTCGCCGTCAAGTAATCTTTTAACATTGGTTTTCTTCTTCTTCGCCTTGTCATGCTGTTCTTTGCTGGCTTGGTGTACCAGCAAAATAGTTCCGTGCAGCTTGTGTCTGCGATGGAATGTAGTAAGACAATGACTAGAACGGAATGTCGATACACGAACTCAAACGTACCCTAGTTGCTGGACAAGCTCGCGGCAACGAGGGTACGGGTCGCTCCCTGTGACGTATAAAAATTCAACGAAATAAATAGGGGTGCCAACAACGATAAGTACTGACTGAGCAATTCTACCAGATCCTGCGATGGTAGCGCACAATGAGTGAGAGCGCGGAGCACGATGTTTCCTGTTGACTTACCGTGGTCATGGATTTCCCGTCACGGGTCTCGTACGTCACTTGCAGATCCTGACAAGCAGAGATGCTGACCTATGGTGCTTCCGTCATGGACCGAGACCACCACTGGCAGGCGACTCAGCGCACTCACCACATGCACCTCCGGCTCAGACTCAACTTGGCACCATCCGTCACACCTCCTCCCAATGGGTTCCGGCGAAGAGCACCGCTCCTTGTCGCTCCAGAAGTGTGCTGGAGAATCTTTCCGGGCCTTGGTGAACCAGGAGCCATCTCTCTTGAGCGTGCGGTACTTGTAGTCGAAGGAATAGCAGCGCTGGATCGTAGCCTTGATTCCGGGGAACGGCTTGTCGCGCTTGACTTGCATCGAGGACGACCGAGTAAGGACGAAACGTTTCTCTCCCTTCTCGTTGGACTCGACTTTGTCAATGGCAGTGTCGAACTTGAGCACCTTGCCCTTCGGCGTGCGCTCGCGCCCGTACACGCGAAGGTCTGCTCGGCCCCGGGTTTCTCCCGGCACAGCTTCAGCTGAGGTCAGTCCGTCTATTTACAGAGAGAGGTTCATGTAAGACAAACCGATGTCGATCTTGGCAGCGTCTTCGGGGGTGAGGCTTGTCATCTTGACGTTGGGCTTGGTCACGACTATACCTGTGTTAATGCCCATATAATTGCGTGCGAAAGGTCTGAACGGACCTCGAGCGTTCCTTCGTACTGTCGGTTGTACGGCGTGAGCTACGGGAACAACTGTACTAGTGAATAGACCCTTACCGACGCCCTGCAACTTGGGCTTGGACTTGCGCTTGCCTCTACTCAGCCAGGGAAAGTAGATCCCATTACATAGATAGTGATCCATGTCTAATAGCGTCCCCGAGTGGCAGGAGTCGAAGATCGCCGTCAGCGACACTCCTGCAGAGAGAGGGTCGACGAGCTTCCGACGAAGGACCTATGACCCAGTCGACGGTTGGAGGTCAATGTACCACCCTGGTTCAATATTGAGCGCACTCACGTTATCGATGATGAGACAGTCGTTCTCGCTGCTGTGATCCACAGGTACGAGAGCTGTTGGAGAAGGTTTAATCCACCGTGTATACAGACATTGAAGGAGCGACCTCGTGGGCTAACCTTCATCGAAGCCGTCTTCCTCATTGACACTCTTGCTTTCGAGCTGACGTGAATGACCGGCATCTACCCTGCTAGTCAGCGCCCCGCCGATCCGGCGAGCAGGGGTACGCACAGAAAAATACTATTCTGTCCCCAGACTCCAAGCCTTGAACGAGTCGAGATATCTGACGCAGCTGCACATGCATACGTGAGTACGCCTCGGAGAACCAAGTCAAAGAGGGAAGGCGCACGATGTTCATCTTCGTGGGCCGTAGATCAACCGGCATGTCCGGCGCGTCGAGCATGAGGGTGATGTCTTCGTTCCGGTAATCATACGTGTCTACAGCAGGGTATCAGGAGGGATCGATACATCCCAAAGACACGAGACTCACCGAGGAGCAGGTCGCGCCAGATGCGCGCATCTCTGTGTGCGCACTGTAGCTCACCTGCCTTGGGTTTGGCCTTGTCAGCTCTGGTGGCAGAGGCGTAGTTTATTCCTATAATCAAAGCCCTCTTGACGGGGGTCCTCGTGGCAGGCCGCGCGAGCCCCGGCGGGAGATTGAGAAGCTTCGACATCGCCGCCATCGTGCAGATCGATCAGCGGCACGTTCAAAGAAAGCCTGAGGTCGTGCAAGGATTCGGAGAGCCGATGTTTAGCTATCAGTCTCGTCGGACTGGCACTGACAGTGGTACTGGGGTGGGGGTCGTCGAATTCACGTACCCGAATATCATTGAACTATAAGTATAGCAGAACGTCAGGGGCAGTGACCAGCAATAGCGCACGCATCGCGCGCCAGTGTTCTAACGGAGATTCTCAGCGGCGAAGCGGTGCGCCCGGAGGGCTGCCTCAAGGCCTCGGAGGCGTCACGCCAGCTTCCCGGACCGTGAAATTAACAGAACTCAATGGCACCCAGCACAGGTGCCGCCTGCATTGCGGTAAATTACACGCGCGATGGCATGCTATGCGATGTTGGCGAGATGGAATCACATCCCCGTATCGAGTCTACGCCAGGACAGCGCCAGATCAGGCCATCATACTACCATGTAAGGCGACCGAGGCGGGCGCGTATCCTCCTTACGCTCTCACGAGAAGGCCGTATAGAAGGCGCACTGTACCGCCAGGGCGCGGTGTGACCACGGAGGCAGGACAAGCCGATGGGCACGCGGCAGCCTGGCGTGAGGCAGGCCAGGAAGGAGGACCGGTGCACGAGACTTCGGCAGATGCCCGATAGCGACATCTTCGACAGAACCAAAGGCGGAGCAGACAAGATTCCAGTAGGAGAGGACAGTCGCTTAGACGGTGGTTACTAGTGCCAGTGCAAGCTGTGTGTACAAATGAATATATTGGACAACCCGCACGGGGTGGAGAGCAAGGATAGATGGTGCAGGAAGAGCAGAGATTAGACGAGGTTGAGGTATGGCGATGTAGTGTTGGGTGATGAGCGAGCGATGAGATGATGCAGTGCGGTCCAAGAGGCGAGTGAGGCGGTGGTGATGTGCGAGGTTGATAGTGTTGGGGCAGTAATAAGTTAAGGATCATGGGTTGAATGGTTCTTGGAGCGTCTGCCACCAGAAATGCGTTGATCAGCGGCTGTCTTATTGAGCAAGAGAGAGGGGGGACACACCAAGGTTCTCAAGCTGCCAATCTGAAAATTCAAGGGACGTCAGCTATCGCCCACGAAGAGCGGGATGTGAGTACTGACCTGGGGCTCAGTGAAGTTCTCAAGCTCCAGCATAGTCTCCAGTTCATCATATACAGTATCCTGCGCGCCAGGATCGCCGGCTTGTCCCTTCGAACGCTGCTTCCAGCTGTCCCTGCGCTTCTTGCTCCATGTATGAAGTTTGCGGGAATGGTCATGCAGCTGGTATCTACGACATTGAAAATGCGAGTCAGCGGCTGTCGAAATCGCAGACAAGAGCGGAAATGAGGCGCACGTTAAAGACTGGATGAGCTGTCCGAGGGGCTGGTGAGGCTGGAGTTCTAGGGGCAGTCAGCACAGGGATATGAACAGCGGTTAAAGAAAGCTTACTGAGCATCTCGATGAGGGAGTGCGTGAACGAGTGCTTCTTGGAGTCCCAGGTCATCTGAGAATCCCCGCAGGCTGAGATGGAGACCTGTGATCACAAACGGTTAGAACGAGAGTGCTCGCAGGTGTAACACTACACGCACAACGTTCGGTCCTTGTGGCTTCGGTTCCGACGGCTTCTGCGACTTGTCACACCAGCCGTTGCATACCCGCATGTCCGTGGGCGACGAGCAGATAGGTGCATCGTAGTCTTCGTTAACGGTACCGATACCCCGCTCCAAATCGTCCAAAGAGAGCTTGCTTTCGCAACCATCGAGCAGCTGAGAGAGCATCGAACTCGGCCGGCGCTGCACGGATTTGGGATGGGTGCGAATCGAGAATTGCCGAGCCTTGCCGTCGTCGGTGTCGAAGATCCCGACCGACGTGTTCATCACGAGGACCTCGTCTTGGCTGACTCGCTTGCGTTGGTATATGCGCACACTAGACGTGGAAGTCTCTGTGATCATGGGTGAGGTGATGTTGAGGGGTTGAAGTTTTCAAGCATCATACGCACTGCGACTGAGTGGACTGAGCGGACTCTGCTGCCTTCCCGCTCCGGACGACGACGGAAGCTTCTTCGTGATAACCTTCACTCCCGCTTGGCTCATACCTAAAATCGCTTCATTAAACTGCTACACTGATCTAAACCGCGGCGTGGACTTACGATAACCGTTCTTACGACCTATCCAATCGTAGTTCAGCTCATGCGAAGACGAGATCGCGAAGTTATCCACTTACGAACTTGCCTCCACATGGTCCTCTGGTTGCGGAAGCCGGGGCTGCTCCACGGAAAGTAGACGTTGTTGCACAGATAGTGATCGAGATCAAGCAACGTTCCAGAATGGCACGAGTCGAAGATCGCGGTGAGATTCGCGTCGTTGGGGAGTGTATCGACGAGCAACTTGCGGAGCTTGTTGTCGAGGATCATCCGCTTCTTCATCGCCGCCTCTTCCGGATACTGCCAGTGATCGACGGGGACGAGATCTATGAAGGCCACCTGTCAGTCCACACAGAACTTCGAAGGTTAACGTTGCTTACATTCATCCATCCCGTCGTCTTCCTCCGTGTTTGGGCTTTCGACCTGACCCGAGTGCCCGGAATCTGTGGGCGCGAGTTCAATACGTTCCCCGATTAGGCGAACAATGGCAAACATACAATAGAACATGAAGCTATCGCCCGATCGGGCACCGTACACCAACTTGCGTATCTCGCGAAGCTACAGAAACAGGGGCCATCAGGTACAATCAGAACATGAGGATGGGGTGGACCTACAATGTTGTCCCTTGTGGGCGCGTAGCGGATGTCCACTCCCTCTTCGTCCAGAAGCATGACAATGTTCTCCCGCCGGTACCCATATTTCGCTGCCATCGCTCAGTAGCTGCAACACAGACCGCGCAAAGCACGACATACCTATCAGAAGATCCGCGAACTCCTTCGTATCATCCCGAGCATGGCATAGCGGCTGGTACTCCGGATGGGGAGGTGCGTTGGTGTAGTTTATGCCGATCAAGAGAGCCTTCTTCACAGGTCCGTCCACGCGAGACGACGTGCGGCGCGCGGGTCCGATCTTCATCCCGCCGAAGTCAAGAGGTCTGCGGAAGGTACGCGAGGATCACGAGTAGATCGCGGGACGGGGGAAGCAATCAAGGGCAGCTAAACATCCGGACAAACGAGCACTGAGCTACTTGAAGGGGGTCGCACTGCAAGCGACGGCGTCCAGGAGCAGTGCAGGAGTGCGGAGATGCAGCAGAGGCGGGGACGGACGACAGGCAGCACAGACGAGGGCAGGATACGTATACGCACTGGCCGCGCCGGTGGAAAGAGATCGGGGAAGGAGTGGACCGCCTCCGCGATTCCAGAATGACTGGCACAGCAAGGACCTGGCGAGTAAGTTGGTCGTCGTGGGGGGAAGGGAACGACGAGGCGGTCCACTGCCAGGTCCAGCGTCGAGCATCGAGGCGGGCGTCCATCAGTCAATGTGCAGCCGGCCCCGCGCCACCAGCTGGACGGCCCTCTTGGGCGTCTCTGCTCCTTTCCACGCTCCCCAACCACTCAAACGGCGCGATGGTGCATTCTCAACCTGTCTGTCCGAATGAACACATACTGCTCATGTTGCGTCGCCGAACCATGCCGCAGAAGACCCGCAGGGGACGCCCCGCAGAACGCGCGACATGTTTCATCTGTCAAGTACGCCCTACAAGTCGACGGCGACTTGCCACCGACTCCTACCACCCACTCACCCGTTTCCCTCAGGACATTTTCAGCTACAATGCAGAACCGCGCATACAGTACCACTTCCTATCTATGTTGCGCGACCCCGCACCGGAGTGCCTGCGGATCGGAAAACCATCGCCCGAGCCCGATGCGCACAACGGCCCTGTGTGGCAACCTAGGACAGAAGTGGAGTCGCGCCCGGGATGCCGTCCTCGCGATCCTGCGTGCGGTACGTGCGACGCGCCATGCTGCGCCTGCTGACCACAGCAACGAGGATTGCGGACACCGGAGGACCCCTACGCGTTCCGCGCGCATGCTGGCTCCGCATCCCGGGTGCCGCCGAAATGAGCACCGCTGTGTAGCGTGTCGTTCATGTGCCTGCGATGGCTATCGCGCGGTAGAAGACTATGTGTCTAACTCCTCGTGCCGCACACGCGCACAGTGGGGCTCTGCGCGGCACAGGGGGCGCGTTTCCCGGACCCTTGCGCACGCAGAAGCCACGGGACGCGGTAAATCCGCCTTCCTCGGTTTCATAGGACGCCGCGGTGCGCTGCCGCTCTGCATGGGTGCCATCGCCCTCGTGAGGTCCGAACGCACGACGTCATACACGTATAGTATTAGCCGCGCAGATCGTCGGTGTTCTATCGGCGACTGCTCTTCCATATCGTGCATCGCGCATCGTGGCTTTTGTCCTGTTTCATCTGCGTCCATCGTGCGTGGTGGTACATGGACAGGTGCCAAGTATCCCTGCCTCAGCCCCACGCGTTACGCCTGCGTTTGTGTCTAATACAACGCTCAACGCTCAGAATATTACTCCGGTCCGCATACCCGAATACACATATCTGGAGAACGCTGCCACAAGTCTGCGCGTGTACGTTATGTCTCCAGTCGGGGGAAGGCGCTAACGTCACGGACGGGCGGTGCCTGTCCCGCACCGCCCGAAGACCACATCCCCGCACCCGTCTCCCGAAAGAGGACGAATTCATGATCAACGCAAAGGCTGTCCGGTATCGGTGTATCGGTGTGCCTTGCGCGCGTACGTGCCTGGGTCAGTGGTGAGATCATAGACCACCTTCGCGAATACCGCCTCAACGCCTCCGACGGGCGTAGAATAGTGCCGTGGAACTCTGTGAGTCGAGCGGGAGCGCGAGGGAATTAATTCCGCTCGAGCGGAATATGTGCCGACAGTTCTTTGTGACTCTGCCCTCGGGAGCCCCTATCATGAGCATACGAGCTGGGACCGGTCTGCCCAAGTACCATGTGTAACCGTGAGCGGGCAGCGGGGCCCCGATCAGGAAGGTAGCGAGTCTTCGCTATCATTGACACGCCAACGGATGCTGCGAGTTGTTCATCGAAATGGGTGCTATTAATCAACTTCTGGTCGTCATAAACGCGGGAGGATATATACAACATAAGTAGCGGTGCTAAGGATAGGTCGTGACAATAATGATGCGAAGTGTACAGTGCTCGTGATATGCTTTATGGTCGTTAAGGGCGTCGAAGGCGTTGAAGGGGGTGGGGTATCGGGAGGATAATGGTACAGTTACAGTACACGTATGCGGGCAGTCCGAGGGTATGATGATGCGCTGCGAGGTCCATGCGGGGAGCGGGCGAAAGCGAGATGATAGCGACGGGGACGAGGGCGCCGGGCGGTATTAATCGGCGGTGGGAACACTGATGATGGTCGCGACGCGACGCGCTCATGGACGCGCGACGTGCAGCCGCCACACCGTGCCCGGCGCGAGCCCCTTCGCGGGGTTCCCCTCGGGGACAAGGGAGAGCCCCCGGAACATCCGCGCCTCGCAGAGGAAGTCGACGCGCTTCACGCCCTTCGCGCGCTCCTCCTGGCGCAGCTCCAGCGTCGGGAGGTATGCGCAGCGCGCGAAGCAGTTGTTGTGCACGCGCTGCTGGTGCCCGAGCTCGCAGGTGCCGAGCTCGGCGGCGGTGACCCCGAGGCGCAGCGTGCGGTAGAGCTTGTAGAGCACGTCGCCGACGGTGACGTACGGCGCGGACCACTGCGCGTCCTGCTTCGGGGTGACGGTGATGGACCACGGCAGGTGCTCGGAGATGATGGTGATGGACGCGACCTTCGGGGTCGTCGCGGGCTCCCGCACCAGGGTCTCGGACACTGCGCGCAGCGCGGTCGATGTCAGGACCCGCACCGACTCGACGGGCTGAGTGAGGTCCCAGGTCAGGGGCGCGCCGATGCCGGGCGCGCACGCGAGAACGGGGTGGATGTGCACCGTGGGGCCCGGGAGCGGCGACGCGGGGTAGTAGCGCGGCGACGAGGTGCCGTAGTGCTTTGGTGGTAATGGTGTTGACAAGAGGCTTGGGGGCGTCGACGGTCCCGGGGACGACGCGAGGGTGGCCTCGGAGAATGTGGAGGATGGCGTGGACGGGATGTCCGCGAAACGCACGCGGTGGTGTCCAGGCATTGTGTTAGCGGTACAGAAGAGTGGTGGTGGTGGTAGTGGTAAGAGTTGGTATGTGCAAGAGGTGGATGTGCGCGGGTGTTGTTCGGGGGGCGGGACCTGCTGTGAAGAAGACGTGACGATCGCCCTTTAAGTACGGGGCGGGGAGACGATCTGGGGGCGCAGGCGCAGCGGAAGCGGAGGATGGCTGATAGCACCGTGGTACCGCCCCGTCCTGGAGTCCGAGCTGTGCACCCGCCAACGATGGCACGGCCGTGCATTGGGACCAAGGAGCAGAGAAGGGACTCAGCGTGAGTCAGTGCCGAGGCAGAGCCGTCCGTACGACTCGCCCTGCGCATTTCGAATTCCGCCCTGCTTCTCAACCACAATCCAAGGACGCGCATGACCCCGCACCGGCCCAGCATGCGCATGCGACGATCCAGAGGGAGCGTTGTTGGCCAAGGCAGGAAAATGACCGCCCGATTAGGCACCTAATTTGCCGCGCGTGCTGTGCGATGGCCGATGCGATCTCCACCGCTTTGCCGCCGCCAGCGCTGGGTCCCCGACGCTCCCTCTCTCCCCGCCAAAAACATCGGAATTTGCTTTGATTTATGGGCTACTTGCCTAACTCGCTCGAACACGTCGTAGGTGGTCCTGATTCTTATCTGTCGGCCGGATCACAGGTGGGACCACAGAGCAGATTGCAGCAAGTGCCCGGTCGGTGCCCGCCGCATTACTTTCCTTTCTCTCTCTTCCTGAGAACGCAGAGGCCAATGCTGCGGCAGAATGCGCGGGACACGTCGCCAGGAAGATCAAACACACACGTTGCTGTTTGCTCGGCGCCGTGCGGATGAGAGCCCAACTATTGACGGTGCGCAGGCGACAGATGGAGCAGACGTGTGCTGCGAAAAACGCTCGTGTTGTCGCGGCGCACATTGGCGGGCTGCGCCCCCAGAAGCTCATCTTTGCTTCCGTGTACTGGAATCACTGTTTGCCATGATTATGATTCTAACAATTATGATTCTAACAAGTCTTCACCATAGCAATGTCAACAGATATAGAGTCCATCTAATCCACGCCCGCACGTCAACCACGCACAGCGATGCTGCAGTGGATGTGGTCTCCAACCGGTGCACTGGCACATGCACCGGCCCCGGCAGGCGCGCATACTTGCGCTTCTTTGTCGGGCGGCGGTGCCCACATGCAGATGAGAGCGCTTCTCTTCACTGAGCGGCAATATCCGGCGGTCCCCGTTCGACGTCGTGGCAAGCCATAACCTACTTCGGATCCTTGGGAACCGATGCTTCAACGCAAACGTCAAACCCGCATGGACCCAGACCTAAGTCAAGAATTGAGGTACTGAAGTTACTTCCCGGGGTAGACCGACATACCGTCCCTTCTCTGGATACCGTCAACTAAGCCGTCTTTGCATCCGAGCCCGTACTATGCACGTGAGCGGTGAACAAGGCCGGTAATGCGAGAGGTTCCCTTGATTCCAATTGACCATGGTTGATGACAGGTATACCCAAGGTGTAGCGTTCCCGCGTACTTCATATGGGGGGAGAGCGACTCCACCCCGTGGAAATTCTAGAAGGAAAAGCGACCAATAGATCTGGATATCCTCGTATTTGTGGCGTCCTGACGCTAACGCCCAACTCAAGAACAAAGTCCACCCAATCTCAGATGACCAACCACGCAGCTTGATTTCAACAGTTTGAGGGAGCATCCGAGGACGCCGGGAAGTATGCGGCTGCCTGCCCGCACAAATCGCATGCATCATCCGTCCTAGTCGATACGCTCGTAAGAATCTGCTGCGAGACGGTTACCAATTGGGCAGCCTGGTGTCGGACACTCGTCCGCAGTCCGCTTTCGCCGGCACTCAGTCTGAGCGGTCGTACCACGTAGATGCAGCAGCAGCACCTTATTGAATTATGGAAGCTGCGGCTCCCCCGGGCGAAGGTGGACTGCGCGAGTCCGTGGCGTCGGCGAAGCACGTGGTAGCTGGAAGTTGAACCAGACAGGCGCCCTGCCGTTCATCTCGCAGGTTCCCTATCGACTACCACTATCACCATCCATGGACCACCCGCGGCCCTGACGCAACTGCTAGGCTTTTTCTACGTATCTGGAGCTCGGAAGTCCACTATGCAGAACAAGGAACATGGAATCTTCGTCGGAAATACTCGGACGGCGCGCATTCTTGTCAAGTACACGTCCACACGGTCATCTTGTACTCGTATGCCACGTTTCTGGAGTCTATCTGTACTTGAAGACCTGTGGTTCTCAAAGTAGGCGGCATGCGGATGATGCTGCCCTCCTCGATGTGCTTGCTACGGCAAGACCTTTGCCAGCCGTCGGGCGCCTTGGCTTGAAGTTCTGGTCCACACTACAGGTCCCGAAGAGGTCGTTCGTCGACCTGCTATAACCGCCTCCATCACATTGCGATGGAGCGATCTCACTCGTACACCTCAGCTTGTTGATAATCGCCGTGCGCACCGGCTGGCATGGTGCAAGGTGTTCCCTGATACGCCATCTACTGGATGGCATCTGGAGGGTCCCATCTGAAAGATCAAGGATGTGTGCGGTCGCGCTTCTAGCTCTGGCAACGTGTACAACCATGCGCAATGTGCGGGTGTCATGGAGCGCTGTTCGGTAACACAGCTATGACGTGGCGATAGTCCGAGGTGCGTGGTGATAAACCTAGCCATCCATGTGAACGCCCGTGGTCCGCGCATTTTGACCAAGGCCTGGCATACAGGCTTCCGCACAGGTCTGGACCTGTTCACGCACGAAACTAGCGACTTAGTTCATTATGACGTGCGACTACGAAGTATCCCAGCCTACGCCACTTCCACGCACGAAGGACATCGCCGAGCACAGGCCGCTACGCTATACCTCTGAACAGTTCGCCATTCCTAACCCTGACCGCTTCTTTAATGTGGTACAAGGTTCGTCGGGGAGTGCAGCGCCGGTCCCTAGAAGGCCCAGCAGACCCTGCACGAGGCCTGGGATCCCACAGGCGGGAAGCAATCTGGGCCTTTGAAGGTTTACAACGGCACGGTCCTCGGCGCTCAGCACCCCGACGAGTAGCAAACGCCGGCGGGGCTCCTGCGGAGGCCGCCCCACCGTCGTCTTCTTCCCTCTTCTTCCCCGCCACCGTCCTGATGGACCACATACGAAGGCGTTCATCTCTATCGTGCCTATCTGAAGCAACTCTCGCCACACCCCCGCACAGCCGTTTGCAGACGATCTCTACGGATCTCGCGCCGGTTGGCTCTATATAGCGCGGTTTTCAGCGCTGCGTCCTCCATGGCGGTACGACAACGCCGCCGCTCTCGCACGATGTGGCGGCCCATAACGTCAACCAAGGACTTCTGGCGTTCGCGTTCAGTAGGTGAGTTATACTTAGTCGATGGGAAGGCGGGCTCTCATCCTCCGTTACGTCGGCAGCTGTGTTCACTTGGGACGCCCATGCAGACGCAAGGGAAGCTCAATGTGCGTGCTATGAGGAGCACCGCGCCCCTCGGCGCCGACGCATGCGGGCATTCCAGCAGGAGGCCGTCCAAGAGAGAGGATGAAGCACCCAAATGCGATTTGGAGTGGGCATGTGAGTTGTCTGTCAATGTCGTGTCTTCACCGGTTGTGGACCTCCGCTGCGCAGCCCTATGCTTCCCGCGCGCATGGCCGCTGCGTTCGCGGGCTGTCTATCGCACAGCTCAAAACAAGCTTTATCCCGGCGCGTACCAGCCCAGGGGGGCGGAGATCCTGTTCAGGTACGAATCTGAAAGAAAGTTCGGTCATGTGCCTCCGACTGCTACAGCCTTTCTCTCAAAGCAGCGGTGAGACGCCCGAAAGGCAGTGGTAAATGTACTTCTGTGGCCCAACGTCATTGAGACTTGTGTGGTTCGCGGTGATAATGCGTTCTAGGACAGGATGGCTTCGCGTCGCGCCCCAGCAGGATCGTCGGGGGACACGAACACCGTGCGTGAAGTGGACCGCCTCAAAAGGCCGTCGAGCGACGGTGGGTCCCTCCTCAACCGCCCGCCATGTACCCATACTACTTCTCCTACGTCGCGCCCCAACCACTGTTCTACGTCTGGTACCCCTCGGTGGCGCCATCCCCGGCCTGGTCGTTCTCCTCCCAAGGCTCCTTGCCTACGCCGATAATACATCCAGTCCCCCTCTCAGGCTCTCCTTCCAGCACACTCGTTGACATCGGCGAACGGGCCCGGTCTCCCCCGCCGAAACCTAAACCCAAAACGCCAGCCGCGGAGCCTACCCCCGCGCCTCGCTGGCCCCCACGCGTCGATCCTCTCATCTTGCACGCGCGCCCCGCGGCCGACCCATCTCGCCTGAATTGGGATCTCTACCACCATCCCTACACTCTGGAGTTCACTGACGAGCACCACATGCCATCCACGCCCCTCTCCTGGGAAGACTTCGCGGCGCATCCCGCTGTATGCGCGGGGCTGCGGGACGGCGGCTACCCCCTACATTCGCTCACCCTCGTCTTCCGCTTCCTGCCGCTGCAGATCGAGATCAAGCCCGGGGCGCACCCACCTCCCAAAGGCGTACCCCCAGAGGAGCACGACTACGTGTCCGTCGCGGACCTCCTCATCGGGCTGTACGAGGGATTGCGCGCCCCAGTCGATCCGGGGCTGTACGCGCGTATGCCGGGGCCCCAGCAGGCGACGCTGTGGCGTGCGGCGGCGCGGCGGGTGAAGGCGCTCGCGGGGGTTCAGCACGGGCCGCTGCCGCAATTCACGCTGAGGCAGATCGACTTCCTTCGCCAGCGGCGGCGCTTTGTGGGCATTCGGATCGCGGAGAGGGAGGAGGTTCCGAGGGGCAAGCGGTACGGGGAGGTGTTCGTCGTCGAAGTCGATGTTAGCGGGTGAATTTTCGCTGCCGTCGTCTCGCAGTCGGACGCGGGTGCTTCATGGGCGTATGAGGGGAGGGAGAGGGAAATGGAGGGGTTGAAGAGGCGCGAAACGTTTAGCTGTTTTTAAGGGCGGAGGAGGCAGCGAAGTCATACGGTCCAAGTCTGTGCTAGTATCCGGATATCCAGATACCCCTACTATACGGATACGCAATATGTCGCTCGTTTCAGAGAATTAATTGGCTTCATCTCATCTGGACAAAGTTGAAGCTTGAAGTTCATCGACGTTCATCGATCGTTCATCGTTGACGATCCGAGTGTCGATCGCGGCCCACAGGTGTGGCATAAAACTGGACTTCAACTTTCGTTACTCCATACGCCTCTGAAAAATCTCTCCAGCTTTGGTGGTGTATACACAGGAGCTGCGAAGTATAAATATAACGAAGCTGCATTTTTGCGGGCGTGTCGACTGCGAATCGCCGCGTTGTCATTTGTTTGAATGTCGGCGAAGCACGTGGCGGCGACTTACGCAGATCGGCCAAGCGCCGCCCTGCGGGTGCAGTAGCCTCCATCTCCACAGCCACGACTATCTGGGCCACCTGTGGCTCTGGGACCACAACTCTGCTTCCTGCGTCTCCGGAGCTTGGGAATGTACGTTATCATGCAATGCAACCAGGGTCACGGAATTCGTCTGAGGAATACTCGGGTGTCCACATCGCCACAGCATCTTGTACTCGCCCGCCACGTTCCTGGAGCCTATTACGCCTCTTACCGCACGTCAAGACCGAGCGCGTGTCTTGCTGCGCTCCTCAATCTGCTTGCTGTGGCTGTCACTTCCTTGGGCCATCATGCCCGCTCGGCGCCGCTCCCGGGCGCCACTACAGGTGTCGGAAATCGACCTGTTATAGCCAGTGTCGTTTCCACCCCTTTGCGATGGAACGATCTGTCTCTAATACTTATGTTTGATCCATGATTGGTTAGTAAGGCTATCACGCTACGTTTCCACCGGCATTGCACAGGAGGCTCTGCGTCGCGCGATTTACTGGATGGCATCCGAGATATCAAGAACATGTGCCTTTGCGCGGCTGAGGATCTGTCAGACGTTGGGTACGTGAGGCGCACAGGACTACATTGCATCTCAGGTCGACGTCGAAGTATAGCAATACCACAATTGCGGGCTGGACGTTACGGTCCCCTCCGATGAGGCATTGGTGATGACGATGTTGCTTTCTAGTAAAGGTATGTACTCGAACGACATTCGTCTGACCACTCAAATCCCCTTTTCGTGTGCAAAGGATGCCATGTATAGGTCCCCCGCGTCCTGAGGTTCCATCCCTAAGACTTCCTCGTCCACATCACCCTGGCGGGCCCAACACGTTCCCAGGCTCTCCGTGACATCCTGAATGCGTGGAGCCCCGAGCGACGCGGCCTCAAATCAACCTCGTCGTACGGATGATTAATGGCAACGCCTTTGCGTGGGTCCTTGAGTTGTGAGGGCTCGACGAACGAGATGTGATGGTTATACGGCAGGGTTGCGTTGCTCGAGGAGGCCGACAGCCTCCGAGTCCTGGGCGGGTTGATGCGCTGCCCCTTTGCACTCGCTATGAATTTCATCAGCGATCGCGCGTCCGTCTGAGCAGACTAACTATATCAACATACCAAGATCCTCGTGCGGCGCCGCAAGGTTCCGGAGACGGAACACGGCCTACCGTCCTCCGAGCAGACTTGGATTGCCTGTACATGGCGTATGCGACGGCGCCGACGAGGAGGATATTGAGAATCATCAATGCGAATGTCGCGTACACAAAGGGGGTCGGCGCGGAACCGGAACAAGCGTCGGAGGCCCCCTGCAGTGCGTCCATGGAGGAGGACAGCACTTCCGAGAAGGCCTCGGTGGGTATGGCTGCGGCGGGTTCTTTCATGGGCATGGGTTCGGTAGGTTCGTGCGCCGCGGGGGGGTGGTACATGTCTAGGGCCTTCGTAGGGGATAGCCTAGGAATGGTCTCGAGCGCCTCGGGGGGTGACTCTGGCTCGTGTGCGGGGAGCTTGGTCGGTGGTGGCATCGTGAAGCTGAATAGAGGGGCTAGCTTGCTCAACGGCATCCTAGAACTCCCCTCCTTGTCTTTATTGAGCCGCGATTCAGCGCGAAATCTCACGTAGGCTGTTCATCCGAGGACATGCCCGCTGCATCATTACTTGGAGACGATTCTTATGATGTGTCTGCCTTCGATTGCCTGGACATTGGCAAATTTCGAGGCTGCGATCTCCATTGCAGTGCGGGATGGCGGCCCTTTGTATCTTCTGTGAACTATTATTAGTCTGGCATGGGATTCAGGAAGTCGAGCTCTTAACCTCTTCACAGGTTGTAGACTTCCGCTGCGCAGCCTCACGGCTTCGCGGGCGTTTGTTGCCGATTTTGCGGACGTTCTATTGCACAGCCAGTCGAAACAAGCTATAGTCCAGATGCATGACAGCATTTTTGTGTACATCTATGCGGGACGGCTGCCGCCCACTCCGCTTGCTCACACTGGTCTTCTGATTACTGCTGCTGCAGATCGAAACGAAGCTCGGCGCGTACTCACCTCAAAAGGGGGCGCTGCCAGAGGGCGCCAACTACGTGTCTGTCGCAGATCTTCTCATTAATCTGTACGACGACTTGCGCGCGCCGGTCTATCCGGGGTTGTACGTTCGCATGCCGGGTTCCCTATGGCCACGCTGTAGCGTTCGATGGCGTAGCGGGTGAGGACACTCGTGGAAGACCAACAAAAACCGTGGCCGTATCCCATGATGAAGCAGATCGATTTCCGCCGCTGGCGGCGTCACTTCCTTGGCATTCGGGTCGCTGAGCGTGAGGAGCTTCCGAAGGGCAAGCGGTTCGGGCAGGTGTTTGTAGTCGAAGTTGGTATCAGCAAATGAGTTCTCGCCGTTGTCATATCGTGGGGAGACGCCGATGCTGACATGGGTAGGGAAGAAGAGGGATCCCGGGAGGGACTGTCAAAAATAAGGCTTTTGCCGTACTTATAAGGGCGGGGCTGGCGAAGTCGTACTACTTAATAGAGTTCTGTGTGAGTATCAAGATATCCAGATGCCAGTGTGCCTACCATATAGGCACATATTATAGCCCTCTGAACGAACTAATTGGCCTTGATTCGTTTGAGCACTGCCTAGCCGCAAATGTTCTCGTTACCACCTGGTGGAGTCGTTAAACTCGTACTATAGGGATACTCACTGCGCTGCGAGGCAATTTCTGGTTTGGTAGCCTACTTGATCACTCACCAACCGCATCCCGTGTCCATCGATGCTTAATCTTGACTATACTAGCATCGGATGAGTTGGACCACGGAAGCTGCATCCAGTCATGTCGTCGGACGTGTCGACCGGTAAGTACATTGCAGGGCCCGCCGCCCGGGGCCGCCCAGCGGCTCAGCATGCGTGGGAAGTTAGGAGAATCAGACAAGCGCCCAGACGGGTGCGCTCCCAGCTGCCACTCCCAGGCTCTCGAGCTGACGACCCTCATGCCAATGGACTATCTGCTGCCCTGGAGTCAACGGCACCCCTGCTTTATTTGCGTCTCCGGAGCTTGGGAGTCCTCCCTGTAACGCTATGCGGTCCAGAAACACGGAACTTTCCACAAGAATACTCGGACGCCGTATGTCTTTATTTGCACGCCCACGTCCCCGACGTGTACTCATATGCCATACTCGGGAAATAGCCAGTCGTTGTTCCCGCCCATCTTGCTTCTGGTCGCTACTACAGGTCCAGGAGGTCGGTTCGCTATACTTGCCCTCTCGCCTTGCGATGGAGCAAGTTGTCTTCAAGGCCGCCATTCTGTCGGTGATTTCCTAAGATCACGATGCGTGTCAGCCGGCATCGTACACGGGCAGACGTTATACATAATCTACTCGGTGACGTCAGGAGGCTTCCATCCAAGATCTCAAGCATTTGTGCGGTTACTCCTTTACTAGCGTGTCCGATGTCGAATCCATGAGACGCGCACGATCGCTATGAACGGCGGATGTCGAGGCACAGCACTGCCCGGGTACTTGACGAACGTCTTGGGCTCCTACTGCGGGACAGCGATAGCGGGGTTGCTCGCCAAGGTATGGGGTCACCACGCGACATTCATCCAACCTTCCATAAACCTTTCGTGCTTACAAGTTACCACGTTCCCCAGGCTGCGTGTCATGACGCAGGGATCTCCGCGCCGGGCGTCTCCACTGCCAGTGACGATCATGGCCACATTACATCGGCAGGCCGTGCACGTTTCCATCTTCGTAGCACTCGGGACGTAGGAAGCCCCGAGTGGCTCGGGCTTCAATCAATCTTTGCGGTACTCATGATCAGCTTCTCTGTAGCATCAGGCTTACAAGCCATGCATCCCAGCAAGCCCCGGTTGAACATGGTTTGCAGCACCTCATTCAAACCACATGGAGGAACTAGGACCCTGCGGCCTTGATCTGGGCAGATTCTGAACGACATGGTATCACGCCACGACGAGTGGCAAATGCCGGGCTGGCGTGCCTTCGCGAAGACCCTCCCACCACCTTCCCCGACGCTGTTCTGATGAGCCGCGCAGATAGCTATCGTACCCATGCCACACGCCCGCAGCACCGCCGCATGCACTGCCGCATCGTTACTTGTGGATGATCTCGTTAGATCTATAAAACGGTTGGCTGTATATGGCGTGAATGCCAATGGTGCGCGCTTGGTTGCAGCGCCAGAACGGCCGCCCCTTTCGCACCTTATGGCCGGCTCTGTCACCGGCCAAGCGATCTAGCAGTCACGATAGACGAACTATACATAGTCGGTGGGGTAGTCCCACCGTCATCCTTCGTCGAATACGTTTTATGCTCACTTGAGATGCCCATGCAGACGCAAGAGAAGTTTGTTTCCAAACTACGGGGAGAGCGCGCCGCCCTACGCAGATGCAAGCGGCTATTCAGACACAGAATATCTGGGAGAGGGATCAGATCACCTGAATTCTGTGTTGGGATGGACATGTGAGTGTTCGTGGCTTCACCGGTTGTGGTCCTCCGTGCCTAGCCATTATGCCTTTCAGACGCTTAACCGCTGCTTTCGTAAACCGTCTATCGCACAGCTTTGATCCAGTAGTCCGGGCGCGCACTAGCCCAAGACGCAGCGCTCCTCTTATGGTACGCAGGAAATTGTGGTCACGCGCCCGACCGCACAAACTCTCCCGACGTAACGGTTGCACAAGGCGGTGATAATTATGCTTCTGTAGCCCGAACATCACCAGGATTTGAGTGGCGCGTGGGCCCAGTGCGTTCTAGGACAGATAGCTTCTCGCTGCGGTCCGACTGCTTCTGCGGATGGAGGTCAGGGAACACGGGCACCGTCCATGAGTTGGGCCTCCTCAAAAAGCCGTCGGTCGAAGGCGGGGCACTACCCCCGCCGCGCATCATGCACCACCCGTACTACTTTTCCTACGCGCCGCCTCCACCGGTGCTCTACGTCCTCTGCCCCTCGAACACGCCATCCCCAGTCTGGTCATTCTCCACGCAGGCCTCCTTGCCAACGCCAGCAGTACTCTCCAAACCGCTTCCGCCTTCCAACAATCATCCTATCATCAACCAGCATATCCGATCTCCCCCTCCCCCTCCCAAACCTGACGCTCCCAAACCCAAAGTCGACGATCAAGCTGCGGAACCCATCCCGCTTCGCCCCCAACCACGCATCGATCCTCTCATCGTGCACTCGCGCCCAGCTGCGGAGTCTTCTCAGGGTTGGGACCTCTACCACGACATTCGCAAGCTGCGATTCACCGACGCGCGCAAGGTGCCACCAAAGGTCCTGTCACCGGCAGACTTCGCCGCTCGCCCCGCAGTGCGCGCTGCCCCTCAGGACGGCGGCCAACCCCTCCGCTCGCTCGTCCTCATCTTCCCGAAGCTGCCGTTTCAGATCGAGGTCAAGCCGTCGCACTCGCCGCCGAAGGGCGCGCCGCCACCCAAGGCCGACTTCGTGTCTGACTGGGACGTCCTCACTGCAATTTACGACTACCTGCGGAAGCCCGTCGATGGGGAGTTGTATGATCGCATGTCGGGCCGACGTCAGGACGCACTGTGTCGTGCGGGGGCTCAGCGGCTGAAGGCCCTTGTGGAGGATCAGCAGGAACCTGTGCCGCGCCTCTTGAGGAACATCGACTTGCTCGGCAGGCGGCATCGCTTCAATGGCATTCGTGTCGCCCAGCCGGACGAGGTTCCGAAGGGCCGACAGTTCGGAGAGGTGTTTGTTGTCGAGGTTAGCAGGGGCTGAGTTCTCACGGCCGATATTTGGTGGGAAAGAGGGGTGATAGTGGGGACTCGGGAGGTTGTGGATGATTCTCTGATGGCCCGCTCAGTAATGGGGACGACAGAGGGGAGTTGGCGAAGTCGTACAGTATAATTGTGTATTAGCATTTAGAGATTCAGACATACCATCCACGTACGGACACTGGCATTCGCTCATAATGTATGGATTAGCATCATAGCGTTTGAGTGCCCCAGCACGCGCCCGGCCGTACCCGGCGAACGCTGTTTTAGCGCTGGCAGGTCAAGCTTCTTTTCGCCGACCACTGGTGCTTCGCCAACTGGAACTCATCACTACCATCTGGCACACGCTGTCTTCAGTCGTCCTTCGCAGGAAGACTCTCTGATAACTCTACGAAACTACCAAAAATCAGCCTTCTGGCCTCGTGCGGCTTGTCGACCTGTACTGCTTCACTGAAGTTTGCGAGGTCAGATTTACTCCGCAGTTTTGCCAGTCGCAATCCCAGTGACCAAGCCGGAGAAAGCACCAGTCGAAGATGTAGAAATGGAACTCATACCCTGTCACTTGAGTTCCGCAGAAATCCGATGCGCCATGCAGCTCCTGCAAAGGACCGGTAGAGTGATGCAATTTTCAGAAGACCTGCAAACGCCGGTGGACGTCATAGGCACGATTCCCGCAATAGCGACGGGCAGCCAACGATGATTCTGCGACTGGAGGTATATGGTCGTTGCCCTCTGGCTCTCCAGCGGCGCGTGTTGACCAGATTCTCCCTTGACGTGTTAGAAATTCGATGAGCAGTTCTTGGGCGCCTGGTGTTTGCACACTTGACGCCATTCCTGTGAAGCCATCGAGACTTCAGCTTCCTGTCACCATTGTACGTTGACAGTGTCTCCGGGCAGCATGGACTAATCTGATTTTTGTGGACTCAACAGTCAGCTCCATGCGTCCTTCATGATGATGCTCGTTCAGAAACGCCGGGGGATCATCGATGCCGTTCATTGAACACTCTTTTTAACACGCACGGACCGCCCGACCCACGCCTCTGACTTCTTAGGCCCAGACCGCGCAGTTTTATGCCCAACCAAGCAGCGAGTACGGGTCGTCCGAGCTTCCTTGCGTCGACTTCCCTGTCCCTCCGACTTGATCAACCGCACACCGCAGCTATCACGCCATCTGTAGCTTAACCTCGCAGCTTATCTTCAACTAATCTCTCGGCCGGGGCCTCAATTTGGTGATTTGGCACGATGCACCTCCTCGTTCGCACGCCTCCGTGTCGGCAGGCAATACACAGTTCGAATGTGAGTTATACCTGATGTCAAACCCGCATGATCTCACTTTGGCTCATTGTGTGCGCTCAGCTGACAATCGCAGCTTTGCGGGGCTGCATGCGTGTGCGTAAAGTCTGGTGACGCTAAAACTCTCGGAAAGCCAGACGCTGACGCCACCGATGTTCTTCGGCACTCGAACTGGCAACGACCCAGCTGTATCGCGCGCTGGATGCACAAGTCGGGATCTACCGGTTCACGATTGAATGCAAACCTTTGCCGAGGGCCTTTGGGCGGAACGGAGCTCCCAGCGGCAAGCCTCTTCTTGGTGCACCGCAGCCGAATCCACGACTCGCGCATCTGCCGCTTCGGGAAAATCAATTTCCTGCATAGGCAGAGGGGGTATGCGGAAACTCGGTGCTGGTCCTATCATGGCAGATTCCACGCATGCATCGCACCGAGCGTCCTAGGGGGCGGTGATAAAACCCCCTCCGGCGGAGACACACAATACCTGTGGGTGGCGGAGCTCACGCGCCCGATGCCGCGAGCTTCGTACTGGGCCGGGGCCCGTGTTCCTGCAAATGGCATGTGGTCGGGGAGCGCCAGTCAATGAACCGCCTCAAATCGTCGTGGGTACGGACGTGGATATCCCCGCCCCCTCATTGTTCACCATGAGCTGGCACCTGCTCGCCCAAGCGGGCTACCCGCCAACTCTTCACTTCCCTTACCGGCCACCAGGTGCACCGTCGTCGACCTGGTACGGTTCGACGTCGACCTCCCCGAACCCGGGGACGCCCCCACTGCCCTCAACACCGACGCTGCGTACAGTCCCCCTTCCATCGACCGGTGACTACGAACTTTACCGCTGGGATGCGCGTATTCCTCCGACGCCCCCAACGGCGACCAAGGGCAGACCCCGAGCGCCTGCTGCGCTCCTGTTCCAGGTCGATCCTCTCATCGCCTACACGCCGCAAGAATCAGTCGCGCACCCGTCAGACGCTTGGGACCTCCTCCGCGACCCCAGCACGATTCAGCTTCTAGACAACCATTCGCAGGCCCTCAAGCGGCATGATCTCACCGCTTGCTGGGCCGTACGAGTCGCAGGCCTCCAGAACGGCGAGCAGCCGCTCTGCTCGCTCGTCCTCATCTTCCGGGGCCTCCCGCTGCAGATCAAAATTCCACCGTCGCACGTCTCCTCGCACGACAACCGCCGCGGTCGCGGCGCCTTCGTGTCCATCTGGGACGTGCTCGCGGGCCTATACAACGGGCTACGGGCACCAGTCGATCAGGCGCTGCTCGCCGCGCTCTCCAGCCCAGACAAGGAGAGGGTATGCCGCGCCGCAGTCCGGCGGATGCAGGTGCTCGAGGCAGACCGCCAGCAGGGGCAGCGACACGTCCTGAGAAACGTCGACCTCCTCGGGGGCCGTCGTTTTCTTGGCATCCGGGTGGCCACCCCCAGCGAGGTCCAACCCTGGTACTGGCAGCTCGGCGACTCGGCGGTGTTCGTGGTCGAGGTCGGCAGCGGTTAGATTCTCGCCACGATAATCGGGGGAGGAGGTGGCGGGTACCCGGGGGTTTGGAGGGGGTGGTGGAGCAAACCGGGAGGAGGCTGGGGCCAGAGGGCTGTTGACTGAGGATATGAGAAGCAGGGTGGGCAGCTTTATATGCCTAGAGAGTTCGCGGTATTGACACAGACGTATAGCTATGTACCTCCTGTCCCTTTACCAGTATCCGGATATCCAGATAGCCTCGCAGAAGGCGGCTTCATCGCGCTCCTGTCATAGCATGCAAGAAGCAGCGAGAAGCAGACCGTCGCAACACCGCCATGCGCGCTACGTAAAATTAATGAAAGCTTCTACTACCGGGTCTTGCGCTGTCTTTAGGGTGTCTATGTTATGTTGTCGAGCTTGCACGGTACATTGGTACGGACTGCCTGCAGAACGGAAATACAATATGGTACGGGCGAGCTTCGAGTTGGCGGTGATTATTTCCGTTGAACTTGATGGGATGGTTACGGCGTTGCGCGCAATGTATTCAGCCGCGAGCAGTATTCTATCCGAATAGTCCTCGTGGGACTTGGGTGTCGAGCGCTAATTGTTGGCACCGCATTGATCCTGCCAGCAAAGTTGGAACGGCGTCGCCACACTCTCACTCGAACCACACTCTCGCTTTTTTGACCACCTCCGCCAGACTCAGTGTCCCCACATGTCCCACATTTTTTCCTTGCCAGAATAAGCCGTCCACTCCATGCAAGAGCTTGCAAAACTTCCGAAGATAGCGAGAGCGCTAATCGCCTCTTGGTCTGCTAGTTATTTCCGTGAGTCGACATGGGTACAAGAACACACAGAACTCATGCCGTACAGCGACAGATTTTTGTTCTGCACCCGTTGTTCTACCACACGAGCGGCGAGGCGAAGGCAGTGAACAATTGATCAGAGTCCAGCGCCCGCCCAAATTTGGGCCGAATCCGGATAGCCAGCCGTCCACGCACCCACGCGGTTTGCCTTCTCGAGCGATTCCCGCACTCATTAAGGCCTATCGCAATGGGAATCAGTCCGTTTGTGGGGCGGAGCGCCCTAAGGAGAGACAGGCGATGGCCCACACGTTGAATCCGGATACCGCGCGGTAGGAACGTGAGGAACGTTATAAGCGTACTGGGGCCGTGTCCACCCCTCCTGCATGCCCCCGCTCATCCTCCCCCCTTTCTATCCTCGCTGTCCGTTGTCGCTTTCATAGTTGGGATCCCCGGGACGACCCGGAGAGACCTTCAAATGGCTCGATTGATGAATTCAGTCGCCTAGAAGAACGTCTACGCTCGATTTGGTGAGCTTTTGCGATATATTACCAGACGTTCAGTGCTGAAGTGGAGGATATACAATAGGTTTCGCTCAACCTTGCATAGCTCTTTGTACGTGCACTGTACGCGTCCTGTGGCCGCCGTTTGAGCTCGTACGCCCGCTCTCGCCACTGCGCATCTGGGCGTGCGGTAGGCACACGGCAGCGTCACCGCAACATGTTCCCTGTCAACCAACCGTGAGAAGCGTGTAAATTTGCTCCTGGTACCTACTCACGTGTGTCTAGATAAATGGCGACCGAGACGCCGTTCCTCGTGACCTGGCTAGAACTTGCCCGAGGCATGCAACGTGCCCGTCGGCATGGGCGTGTCCTCCGCCGCCAAGATGGCTTCTCTCCGCCGCTAGTGATTGACAGGCGGCGGAACTGGGCTGCAATCCAGCGGGGTGCTCTCAATGTACAGGCGAGGCGTATCTCCCTGTATCTCTCCGGTGAGTGTGTGGAACTCACTCGGACGTGCGGAATCAGACGCAGCTTGTATCCCGTCCTTATATCTTTCGGGTGCATGACCTGTGCGGATGATATCGCGGCGCTGGGACGATGGGCCGCGATAAGAAACTGCGGTCCCACGTCGTGGGCGGGGAATTCAAGCGCAGTGCCGGTTGCGCTTGGGGGAAAGAAGGATCACGACAGCAAGCGCTGGCGACGGTGTCGTGCTGGCTCTTGCCCTGCCCATCTCTATGGTGGCTTCTGGTTTCTGTTATGGAGCGGGGGCAATGCACGCGTTGACGCGATAGGCACCCCGTGCTGTACGAGATATATACTCGCGCATCGCCCGAGCATTGCCTCTCATGAGGCCTCTGACTCTGTCCCTTCCCTCCACCGTGCCCCGCGCGCCCGTTGTCTCTGGGTCCTCTGGTCCCTGCACTGGTCTTCGCTCTGGGTCTGCCATCTGCTTCTGTGGGTCCTATCACACTCATGACCTCGTGCACCTTTCGGCGCTCTGCCCATGTGGTGATCCCCGACCTACCCTCCGCCGCCGCCGAAGACCCTGTCCCAGCCGTCTCCCCCTGGATACTTTTGTGCTCCACTAGCGGCCCAATCACTACCTTTCCGCCGACTTCGCTCGAGGGACTACTCTGCTTCTTTTCCGCGGCGCTCCCCACGCTACGTTTGTGGGCGGTCGACTCATCAGCTCACGTCTAACGGCTGCCGGTCGTTCCTATGGGGAGGGTATTATCTGCGCGCCGCGCGCCGTTTGGTCCGGACTGCGCACCGTCGCCGCTCTTCAATCTCGGCAGCTTCTCTTCCGCCGACTCTCTTAGGTGCCTTTTTGGGACTCCCCCCGCCGGCCGATAGACGTCTGAAACGCGAGCGCGCCGTGGGCCTCCTCGGCTAGGATGAAGTCGGTACGGAATTCACGGCACGGCCCGTATGCGCAGCTCAGGATTAGAGGGGAGATTATACCTGGTAAGTCGGCGCGCATAGCAGCTGCATACGCGGGATCTCGATGGGTGGCCATATTTAAGCTTCCCGCCGTCCTCTCGAGCTGCTCATCCAGCTTTCTTTACAACCACGACCATCACGACGTTCTTCGTCCTCCGCACATACGCTCAATCATTTCTTTCCTCTCAATCTCTCACTCGACATGCCCCTCCGCACGGTCAAATCTGTCCATTTTGCGGACAGCGACGATATAGTCCCCTCCCCCCCGCCGTCCTCCAAGGCTCCCACTCGACTCCCTCCTGTTCTCGGCCTCGGACTCGAGCTTGGGCCGGCCAGAGAGTCCGTCGAGATCCGCCCGCGCAGGGATGCCACAGTCCCTCTCCCGGAGGTCGACTGGGCGGAAGGTGGCGCAGGCGATGGCCAAGGGTACGATCGGATCGTCACTCTCATCATGGCGCGCACTTTCTGACTAGGCCGCCGCCATATTTTTAGCGACTCCCCCCGCGGCTCTAGCACGTCCGCAGGCAGCGACGACTCCTACCCCACCAACGCGCTCGGCCTTTACGCCAGCGCTAATGAATACCCCAACACCCACCAGGGCCACGCCGCCTACACGCCGGGCGGGGTTGCGTATCCCTTCGCCGACGCCGCCCATTCTCGTTCCTTGGGCGTCCCCCGCGACGATGCCTGGTCTTCCTCCTCCGCCTCCTCCCAGACGCCGAGCCCGCCCCCGCCCACCTCTCCTATCCACCCCAACCTCCACACCTTCCCGTACAAGTGGGACCTCCGCAACGGGGACAGTACTACAGCTCCGATCCTCGATGTCGAGGCTTTCCCCAAACAAGTGACGAAGTGCGTGCTCGTCTTCCGCCCGCCCATCCCTCCCCCCATCTTCGGCTTCAAAGTGCGAGTCGAAGCTCCCTGGGATGGGTACAGCCGACACGCCATATCCGGGACGGACATCCTCACAGCCATCGAGAAGAAGCTCCACGGGTCGCGTAACGCGTCATTCATCACGGAGACGATGCACCCCCACTGGTACAAGGCTGCCGAGGCTGCACGTGCCTCCTGCGAGCGCGAGCCCGGGGATGGGTGGCAGCGCGTCGACCTGTGGCCGGCCGCCCCGCACCTGTACTTCTTGGGGCTGGAGCCCGCTGGGTTCGAGGAGGACGGCACGATGATCTGCGTCGTCAAGCTCGGCACGGCCCCGCCGCCCAAAGCTCGCGCTCTGTGAGGTGAGTTTGATCCCACCTATCATCGGCGGTGCATGCGCTAACGAACTGGCCGCTGCAGCGCCTCCACCCTCCTTATACGTTATGCGTATTTCTTGGATAACAGCACTGGACGCTGTGTACGGGCCCCATCGATCTCTGGAAAGATGTATTTCTAGTTTTCCTCCTTACAGTCTCCGGTCCGCGACATATTACATACATACACACCGCACTAGCGCACTCTACGACAGCTAACGAGCTACCATACAATCGAACCCGAATCATGTAGAGTATACTAGCACTGGCAGTGCGTGTCTGTTAACGTCGATCCTGTACATCGTATTACCATTATACATCCGTGTTTCAATTTCCAGTCATTGAGTGATACGTGCATCGGTGCTGTGCTCGTTATCTAGGTCGTCAAATTCGCGTCCTCGTCGTCTAGAGCGACCGGAAGAAAACTTAGACAATGCAGCGGTACATACAAGGCATCTGGCGCTTCCAGATATGACAGTTCACAGCACATCGACTTCGCCGACGATTCCTTCTTCTCCTACCACCACCACTGCCGTTTCACAGTGGTTTTCCGCCAATACGGCCCCGGCGCCATGCCATGGAGATATAAAGCGGCTGTAAAGCGGCCAGCTTGGAAGTCTACACGCCACGACTTCCGAACACGCTACATGACAGGTATGGAGCACTCCCAGGTGGCTATATGCGTCCTCTCACCGTTCTTTCTCCTTCGTTTCTGCATGTGGCGACAGATTATGGGTCCATATGTTCGTGGACCCTAGCAGATCCGACGCGGAGATCATCAAAATAATCGGGAGGCGGCGGAATGCGCTAAAACAAGAGCGCGGAGACCGCCCGCGTCGGCCCTCGGCCTTCTTCGGTCGTGTAGCGACGGACCCCCTCTTCGGTATGTGCATCACGTACGCCCTCCTGCCGCCATGGGGATGTGCATATTGCGGCTCTGCGAGCAGTGGGCCGACCGTGGTCGCCTTCGCGGATGGGGGCTTCCTGGCCACCACGCTGCAGCGCCCTCGCACGAATATCCAGCTATGGAAGGCCCTCAACGAGGACCCACATGGACCCCCACCTCGTTCCAGAGACCCGCACTCGATCGCCAATCGTAATGGATCGATATCCCGTGGGCCCGTCGTACCGCAGTGCCGATCGCCCACGGCCCATGCCGACCATGCATTGTCTCATCCCGCTGCCGCCAGCGCAGCACCGCGCTGACACATGGTCGTCTCATCCGTGGTCCGTGGCGTCCCAGAGGGATTATTCTCAGCTCCCCGCGTAGCCGGTGAGTGCCACCCGAGCCTGGTCTTCATTTCTTGGGCCAAGTCCGAACGCTCAGAAGTGACGTCAACTCAGTCCACGTGTCGGCACCTCCCCCGAAATGCGTCGCAGGATTCGCAGATAGCGACTTGCAATCGACCATCGCGCAACGTGTATCGACAACCGGTGGCGACGGAAAGTTCAGGAGAAGATGCGGAAGTTCATAAACAAGGTTAAGCAGCGATTGGAGGATCCCGCTGAGCACGGCTCTCAGGGTGTGGTCGTTGTGGGCGCGCCATCGGTCGAGGCACCAGCCCACTGGGCATCGTTTCCCAGCGAGCAAGATTGGTTTCGCTACCGCAAGCAGCGCGGAGTTAACCTAGGTGAGCTACAGAACGATTGGCGGGATCAGAGCGCTAATATTTGGCTATCCCCCTGTAGGGTCTTGGTTTGTTCTCGAGAGATGGATCTCAGACTCTCCATTCCGCAATGCCGCGGGCTCGGGTCAGAGCGATCTCGACGTAGCGACGGGGTCGGGTGCCAAGGAGATACTTGAGCACCACTGGGACACCTGGATCGTCGACGCCGATTGGGACTGGCTCGCAGAGAAGGGGATCAACACCGTCCGCATCCCAGTATGTTTATCTCTCCACCTCTATCTCGCCCTGTATCTTGTAATTTCGGCTGTTTGTCGCTGGTAAAGCGATCGTCCGTCATACCTTTCGACTGCGAACTCACCCCGCCTGCAGATCGGGTACTACCACATCTGCGGGGTCGATCCCTCCGTCCTCGACGGCACCGATTTCGCCAATCTCGGTCACATCTTCGTGGGGGCATGGAGCAGGGTCACGAGCGCACTCGCCCGCGCACATCGATCTGGGATCGCCGTGCTTTTCGGTGAGTCTCCGCGTCCGCGCGCCCGGACCCTCCCCCGCCAACGCTTAACGCAATCCCCCCAGATCTGCACGCTGCGCCGGGGAAACAGAACGCGGACGCGCACTCGGGGACGTCCGCGCACCCGGCATTCTTTGCGCACCCGGCGAATATGGCCCACACCGTGCGCATCCTCGCCGCGTTCGTCGCCCATATGACCGCCTTTGCTCGATCACATGACCCGCCTCTCCCGAACCTCGTTGGCGTCGAGCTCCTCAACGAGCCGCAGCCCGGGTCGGCGAACGACTCCTTGAAGGCGTGGTACCGGGATGCGTTTCGAGCTGTGCGCGCGATCGACCCCGATCTCCCGCTGTACATCAGCGACGCCTGGCAGACCGACAACTACACGGGCTTCATCAAGACTGCGGACACACCATTCGTAGTGCTCGACCACCATCTATACCGATGCTTCACCTCCGAGGATACTGCGATGCCGGCTGCGGAGCACGCGCGACGACTCCGAGATGGCGGCGAGGGCACCCCACAGCTAATTGCGCGGGTTGCTGGCGAGCTAGAGGGCGCTGGCGGGGGGCTCGTCATCGGCGAGTGGTCCGCCGCGCTCAATCCGGGCTCGCTACACGGGGCAAGTGACGAGAGGCAGGAGAAGAGGGCGTACGTTGAGGCGCAGCTGCAGCTTTATGAGCAGCACTGTGCGGGGTGGTTCTTCTGGACGTACAAGAAGGAGCACCCCGGTGACACGGGGTGGTCGTTCCGCGAGGCGGTGGACGCGGGTGTCTTCCCATCTGACTTCGCCAGGCGTGGCGCAACGCCGGGACAACGTGGTGGGGCGAGCGATGCGCGTCGGGACTCGGCGAGGGAGAGGGCGCTAGGTGTGTCCGCTGACCCCGATCGTGGCCTTCGTGACGCTAATCGACGGCTCAGGCGAGCATGTGGGCTATTGGCAGCAGTACCCCGGCAACTACGAGCACTGGCGATTCGCCGACGGGTTCACGGGAGGCTGGAACGACGCTTACCTGCTCAGCACACTCGCTGCGCAGGGCGCGTACGCCGAGGAGATCGGATTCGTCGGTCCGTGGAAGAAGCGGCGCGTCCGCGAGCACATCCAAGAGAAGGGAAATAATAGCATATGGGAGTTTGGTACGTCATACATTTGTTCTCTCGAGTTGAGGTTGAATGCTAAGTAGCATCCTAGAACATGGCTTCTCGCAAGGCTTGCGGGCGGGAAGCGCCGATCTTGCTGCCACACGATGAATATTGCCGTGCTGTGTCACGGACGCGTGCGTATGCACGAAGGGAGCTCAAGGGAGACTGTGTACATTATTGCGAGTTCGGCGGTTGCTGATGGAGCGGTATGGGTAGTAGACTAACGGGTCTCATAACATCCCGCGGTATATAAGGAGGTGCTGCGGAATGCTGCTCTTGCGGGAGAACGTCGGCCGATTCTGTACCACACAGCGAACCTTGCCCGGATGCGAGATATGCAGCAGCACAAGCGGGGGAGGCCATGTACATCAGTGGGAGCCCAATAGATGCTAAGAGGTATACCACATTGCGAGGAATCTCCCTCGATACTGATAACACGAAGGCGGTCTGCGCACACGCTGGAGAGAATGATGCATGCTCCTCATATCGACACATAATACATGTACATACATAGCCGCGACCTACCCAATGATGAGACCTGTATCCTAGTGAGTAAAGTGCGGAGGAAACAAGACGATGACACAAGATGGCTACACTACAAATACAGCTACAGATGTATCAATGGTCCAAATCCACGTCCTTTACAATATCCACCTCTACAAACTCCTCCAGGGTCGAGACGAGGTACTCGTCGTGGATGAACGGCGCGTTCAGGATCAGCCGTTCGAGCGGGAGCCGCAGCGCCTGGCGCTCCTTGACCACCCCGTACAGCAGAAAGTAGTCGACGTCGTCGACGAGCGTGAGCTTGCGCAGCCGCGGCCAGCTCAGCAGCCCGTCCTCGGCGTGCTCCTTGCGGAAGAGCTCGAGGAACTTCGCCGTCGCGGAGTTGATCACCGTCAGGTGGCTGATCGTCGGCAGCGCGAGCATGAACCGGCGCGTCGGCGTGCACATACTGGCGTTGAGCAGCGAGAGCGCGCGCAGCGCCGGGTAGCGTCCGCCGTCGCGGCCGTCCGGGAGCGAGTCCACGAACTCGCGGAACTCCGTCTCGTCCAAGTTCGCCAACGTCAGCTCCTCGAGCGCGGGCGTCGACAGTAGCGACGACATCCGGCACACTGTGTCGCCCGACAGCTCGAGGTAGCGCAACGTGGGGATCGCAACCGGCGGGTACGAGCGTCCGGAGTGCAGGTGGATGTACGTGCCCCGAAGGATGAGCGCACGGACCCGGGGTGAGGCGGCCAGCATGTCCCGGAACTGGTCATATTGCAGTCGTGTGCGCAGCCAGAGCCAGCGCAGGTCGATGGTCGTGAGGTTGATGAGCGGTGCAGAGCCCCACGGTGTTCCAAGCGAGTCGAAGCGGATAGACGAGAGCGCTTCGGCACCGCCCTGGAGGATGTCATGCAGCACGACTTCCTGGTTCCCCGATGAGCCACTCAGAGATAGTTGGAGATGTCTGAGCTCCGGTGCTCGCGCGTCCGCCAACCGTCGCCCGATGGTGTAGACTGTTGCTGGGTCAGAAGTCATCAATGCGAAGCGACGCCATCGATGTACGTGCGGCATTAGCCTTCCCATGAAGTCGTCGACTACGGGCGCGGTGAGAAGACTTGTACATCGGCAGTCGATCGTGATGTCTATGGGTTGCCCACTCGACCGTTGTAAGCAGAGCGGGACCCAGCCGTACGGTCGAGAATGCTTGATCACGACATTGGTCCAGAGATCGGGAGTATTGATCGCTATTTCGCGCCATTGTCGTGAGACCGAAGCGACAACGAGGGGGAACGGCCTGGGTGTTGATGACTCGGTGACGGGGCCGTCGTGGGGCATGCGCCCGCCTGCTTTGAAGATGAGCACGAGCACCTCTGGCGGCAGACGGAAGACGGGAACGAGGAAGGTCGAGAGGGCCTCTATCTTGGCCCGGATGCAGGAGAGGGATGCCTCGTTCATATGTACCTCGTTCATGAGAGCATTGACCGACGGACTGAAGTGTGGGCTGTCTGCGTCAGACGAGGGCTCGAGCATGACACGCCAACCATCGGGGGCACTGTGGAAGACGTCCCAGCCGAGGGATTGCTGAATACGCTTGATCTCGTGCTGGGCGAGCGGGGCTTGTGTTACATTCGAGCTTGAGAGGATACTCGAGCGACTTGCCTGATACGTGGGGTCGGTCGTGATCCGCTTTATGAGATGGAGGCGGTGGTTCTGGTGTTCAGCAGCCTGTCTGTTCAGCTCGGCGATGATATCGCGAATCGTCGTGAGTCCCATTTGTGCGGCGGCGGCGTCTGAGAGGTGCTACGCTGTACAGTCGGTCAATCCCGATGTGTGGAGGACCAATCAGCACGAGCAGAACTCACCTCGAGGGGAAGAGAGGGTGAATGCGGGGAGATGACAATCTCAGACCGCGCAAGAGCCGTTTCGCCGTCGTCGATGTGAGCAAAGACGAGCGAGCGGCAGCGATGGGAGCGAGCCATGGCCGAGTCTGGACCAGGACCTGGGCGGCGGCCTAGACAGTGACCAAGCTTGGGAAGGCCGTGGTGGATTCCAGCGCCGCGGGCCTTTGCGGAGCCAACGCGGAGATACCCATCCGACAAGCGCGCTCGTCGTTCCTAACGTCCACCACGACCTCGACCATCGCTCTCTTCTTTGTCGTCAATGTCGTCTGCGACCTTGTCTTCGATCTTCGTACCTTGGCGCTGCTGCTCTGGTGATGCCCGCTGCTATTCTGGGACACTTTGACGACGCGACTCTGGAGATACCACGATCAGTCTCATCTGCGACCGATACCAACACAATCCTGGCGCTCAAATTTGCGAAGGGAAAACCGGAGAATCGAGCGGACGAGCGGTAGTAGAAAGAAAGGACATGGTCGTCGGAGAGAGACTCGAGTAAAATCTGCGTACGCTCTAGCCTTTTACTGCATATGTGCAAATATTACCCGCCCCAATATAATCAAGCTACCTTGCTCCTTTTCACCGCATCGCCGGTGATTGCGAGCGTGCATGACCGTGTGGATCTAGTGTGGCCCGCTCATGCCCATTCTTGCGTGCATATAGTCATGTTTCTCGAGTGTTCTACGAGTGCTCATGGCAGTGAGTACTCGTATAGCCTCGCCCGGTGCGTACTCCTGCCTCGAGTACTGTCTGGTGCTCATGTGATAGCCTTCGTGCAGTCTGCTATATAGACCCTGGCCGGACAGTGCGGTCCAGTGGAACGGACAGACCAAAATGCAAATCTCAAAAGGTGAAGATCTTCGTATCAGGTGTACTGCAGCATGTCGCCTCACTATATGCCGCAGTGCTCCCGTTCCGCCACTACCGGGTTCCGTGATATCAGCTGTGGGGAAATGAAGGTTAGTGCCTTCAATCCGACTTCGACGACTTCGTTGTATGCGCTGAGAGAACCGGCAGGAGACACAGAGTTCACGTTTGAGATCCACACCTTCGCAGTCCTCCCCTCAACACGAGGGATCTGAAAAAGGACCCCAATACGACGAAGAACTCACCGGGACATGGCTAATTCGTTCTGCCGTGCGTCCAACGATGACGATTCACAGGTGCAACAGGTCCGGACGGCAGTTACGTCGATTGAGGGCATATCGTCGTTGAGATCAGAGGTAAGTTACCCATCTGCGGGTTGCATCTTATGCATCGAGAGATAGGCTGACGGACGGACTTACTGCCGCAGTGCCGCCGTATTGCATACGAGCCAGGACGTTCGTGCTGCATCCAGATGCACAACACGCTCAGTGATGACGGAGAGCGGGTGATGGGACTTCTTGCATCTCTGGGATGAGCTGCGGTTCATAAGTGGCTGGCCACCGCGAAACTCCCCGCTGCGGTGGGAAGCATTGTCCCATCGGGTACCTGATGTGCCATGCCTGCTGGTAGTCCCCGGCGAGGCTCATATGAGACGGGACTAGAATCGCCGGCCCCAGTAGCAACGACGCGTGGTAGGTATTTCTAGACGTGCATCGGATGAGCTCATGCTTCCTTCGATAGCGGCAAACGGGAATGACAGAGTCCGCGCGGCGAAGCGTCTGTCCGCACCCTGTACCCATCGGACAGCAACGGTGAGGCAGGCATCGAGGAGCGCGTATTCGGAGGATAACGACTTATCGTTGTCAGCACCTTACTGCAGCAACATGGCGCTGTGCACTGATTCCGAACGCACGTTCGCCACTACGTGGTAAGTCATCAGCGCGCACTATCCATGACGGGGCTCTGACGGAGGGTATCTCCTGCGGCCATCTGTCAACAGCCTATACGCTTCAACCTATGGAATGAGACGAACAGCCTCTGACCGCTAACTGTGGCTAAATGAACCTCCCCCACCGCCGCTCCTCCACTGCCCAAGAATGGGATCAATACAATCGGCTACCATGCCAGGGAGCTTCCAAAGTTCTTGAGGCACACACCTTTCAATACTCGAGATTGTGGCTGATCGTCTGCGCCATAATCGGAGAAAGTGCATCGTGCAGGCATCCAATCACTTGCGCGTGGCAGCACTGGAATATGCTATAGCGCTCTTCAGGTGCGTATTGTCAGCTAGTTCATACTACGTCGCTATCTCGCAGACGCCCACGCAGCCTTCTGTCGGGGATGATGCTGAGAAATCTTCCTCCGTGCCGTCAACCATCGGACTTTCTTGTGCTTCTCCCAGCTCGGGCGTTGTCGTAAGCATTCAGTTTGACATAGGTCCGACACACTGTCCTTGCAGCGTGTTTCTACTTCGACTTAGCCCAAACTTTGCCACCGTTCATCGTAACGTCACCCCGCTCGATCGCTGGTGCCCCCGAGGAGTCCGGCGCTGGTGCATGCTGTCACTGATACACGGTGCACAAGGTTCGTCTCCTAGTCTGACCGCGCTCACACTGCTTCGGGCCTTCTACGACAGCGCACGCGAGCGGGTTCCGCCTCGAGTGAAGTCATTTCCGCCTACGGGGCGCGCATGGGGCGCGCTCCCCGCCACGCTGCCCGCCGCTGCAACACGGTTCCGCGGTCTAGCCCCTGCGCTACGTGTGTCGCGTACGTCGCCTCGCACTCGGGAGCCCTTTTGACACATGCACCGATTCGCCCGCGGGTCGCCTCGCACCCAACAGAAGGCACGCTTCCCGTCCGTGCGAGCACGCCCCTGCAAACGTCTATCGGCCTGTGAAGTGAGCGTTATCGGCCACAGCTCCCCAAGGCCCGTGCGATCCAGTGCATCCCGGGCTCGCTGGCTGTTGCCGGCGGAAGGTGTGATATGCTGGGGGGAACCTGGTGGAACGCGGTGAGGATAGATCTCCCTGCCATCTCGCGTACGGCATCTAAATCTTGCATCTCGTCTCCCTCATGCCCGATTCCAGGGTTCGCACTCCGTGGCCTGGGCCTGGTGTCCGCCTCGTTATGGCATATCCATCGCAGCCGACTGGGCCCCGACCCCACCCGGGGAAGCTCGTACGTCCGATGGTGTCGTGTCGCTCTCAAGGCGGCGCTAGGCGCCCCCGCGTCAGCAGCTGTGAACCGACCGAGGCCAGTGCGGGCTCCAGCGTGCCAGTGGCGATATTGCATCCCTTTCCAACTTGTACGGAGCGCAGATCGCTGGATGCCCTTTCCCCAGCACTTCGCCTGCCAACTCTGTAGCTTGCTGCGCCCCTTATCGAGCGCGAGGCGGCGGACGCGGCGCAGAGAGAGCCCTGCCACTGCAGTCATGTTTGGGGGCGACAGCCTAGTGCGGTCTGCAGACCTGCTCGTATTATTTCTGCCTCGGTGCAGCGCCGCCGCTTGCGTCGGCAAAATGCTGCAATGGGCAAACGCGCTTCGCGCGCCTACCCTAAAAAGGCGAACATGCGTGCAACACGCGGCGGTGCGGGCGTTCGAGAAGGGAGTGTCCAATCCGCGTTCGTCAGGGCGAGGGCGCGGGCGTTCGCTAATCATGTCTGGTTTACCTCAGATATATGTCGGAAAACATTATTCGGGAGGCGTTGATTGGCCCCGAGGCGTGTGCGCGGGAACGGCCAGGAGATTCCCACTCTCGAATTACGGATGGTGCGAGGACCCCTGACAATAAGTGGGTATGCCTGCTGGGAATCCGGACAACTTTGGCCGTTTTGGAGGGGGTACGCCTGCTGTAATCCGGACAAATGAGAGGTCCGACGCGACATAGCCTGTTGCCCGTCCGGACATGGCGCCGGGCGCCACCTGCCTAGCGCCCATTCGGAGCGCCCGGGGGGAGCCGGGAAGAGCCCGGGATTGGGCCTGGTGGGCCTTAGCGCCCGTCATCCGGACATTTTCCGCCGAATCCGGGCCCGTATGCCTGCTACAATCCGGACAAAAATGGGCGCTAAATAGGCCTGTTGGCCCCGGACGTTTTGGTCGTTTTCGGGGTCCGGCTCAACAGGCATCCCCACCCATTGCCGGGGGTCCTATGGTGCGTCGTGCCAGGCCCTGATTCCTGCCAGCGCGCTCACGCTGTGCGGCAATTATGCACTGTCCTCCCGCGTCTGATACGCTGCCTGCAATCGAAGCCTGATCTTTACGGCGCGCACGATCTTGCATAATTGGGGCGGTTCCTCTGATCATCGCTCGCGGAAGACCGCCAGTCTAGATCCCGGTTGCCACAACTCCTGTTACCGTTCCTTCCTCCTCCCGCACCCGGCCGCTAGCTCCTGCGGAGGACTGTATATAAAGCGCAGCCTCCGCCTCGCAACCATCTCCTGTCTCCCCTAGCATCGCTCTGGGTGTCGTACGCTGGTTCGGTTCCTGCCTCCCATCCAAGTCCACATCTGTCATCGTTGTTCTCCGCTGTGTATATTTCAGGCCTTGCCCCGCTTCCCCACATCCAGTGCCACCTCACGCCCCCGCAAACTCGCACCTCCCGCCCCAGCCAACGAAACGAACGTCATGCCTTCCTACTTCCGCAGCCTCTTCGGTGGTGGCTCGTCCTCCAAGACGCAGACCCGTCCCGCTCCTGCTCCTTCCCCGATCTATGCCACGCCCGGCGCGGCTGGCTCGCGCGCAGGTCTGTCGACACCGCAGATGCAGCGCAGCTACAGCCACACCCAAGCACGTTCAACGACCCCTTCTCCCCTGCGGTACGCTACGACCACTGCGGACACACGGACCGTCTATGGCTACGGCAGAAGGCCAGCAGCCACTCAGCCGACGCCTGAGCCCCGTGCGCATGCCGCACGCCGTGCAAGCTACAAGACGCCAGAGACCCGTATGTGTCTCTCGAGGCTGTGGTGATCCATATGGAACGCGTGCTAACGTATGTCGTAATGTGCTACAGCACGGCCGGCCTTGTACACGCCCTCGCTCTCGTACGCGACGCCGCCGAGCTCCCGTTCGAACTCGAGCTCATCCCTGTACCCTGGCACCCCCGGCATCCCTCGGACGTCGAGCTCCGACGCAGGCCACTATGGCCATACTCGTCCGCCTCTGCGCCAGAACCACACTTGGCAGTCCGGCGGCACCGTGGGCAGCAGCTCCTCATGTACGTCACACCGAGCTTCCCGCCCGCAGCCTAACTGACAGGCATCGCCCACACAGACGGCTCGCGCGGCCGCTCGTCCTCGCAGACGTCGCTGCACCAGCAGACGCGGAGCACGACGCTGCACATGCACCCGCTGCTCGCGTACACGCGCCTGCACCGCGCCCCCATCATGTACGACGTGATCTTCACGCCGTCCGCGCGCACCGTCGTCGACCGCTCGACGCGCTCCGCGATCCACTCCAGCATCCTCAACCAGCCCGCGACGGACCCGCCGATCCCCGCCGGGGGCCGCCTCGTCCTGCACTCGCACAAGTTCCCGTGGGCGATCGTCGCGACCGCCTCGGGGCACAGCTCGCCGTCGAGCGCGGACCCCGCGCAGCGCCGGCCGCGCTTCACCGTCGGCCCGCCCCCGTCGCGCTCGCGGCGCCCGAGCACGAGCGGGAGCGACGCGGGGAGCACTGGGGGGAGCACGATCACGAACCTGGACGTGCTCTACGCGGTGCACACGACGCTCATGGTGCCCATCACGCCCGAGGAGTGGGAGGCGCTCGGGCACGGGAGCAAGGCGCAGCAGAAGGTGACGCAGGCGTACGAGCGCCGCTGCACGCGCATGGGCGGCGGCTGGGAGGGCGGCGTGCGCCGCATCGACTGGCTCGGCGAGAAGACGATCATGGCCGGCGTCGAGGTCGACAAGGCTGCGGGCCACGGCGGCGCGGGCAAGCTCGTCTTCGCCCGGCCGTGAGGCGCACTTGCGCGAAACAACGCATGATGCGGGCGCGGACGCGGGCGGTAGGCCTGCGCCCCCCCGCCCTCGCTATCGCGTGCGCCCTCGATCGGGCGCGCCGCGAGGCGGAGAAGATGATATACGGACGTTCTGGACTTTCTCTCGCTGGGTTTTGGTAGGTGTATTGTTGTTTGCGGGGGCCGCCGCGCCCGTGTGCGCGCGCCTGCGCGCGGGTCTGCGACCTGCCGCGCCGCCGCCCCCACCCCTCCTCTGTGCTTTCTTGCTGTCGACTCGTCGCTTTCTCCACCCTTCACGCTGCACGGCCGCCCCCTCCTCTTGATGATGACCACGACGACGACCGCTACGCTACGACTACGACCCGACGACGATCTTTATGACTCATTTGTACATTATCATAGCACGCATCCCCGCTCCCCTGCATCATCGTCGGCATTCATTCTCCCCTGCTTCCGCGACGTGGACGGTCTAGTATACACGGTAGCTACGCGCTCGGTATTGCGCCCACTCGTCGTATTGTTTTAATAGTCATTATGTCTACATACCACTGCACGCCGCGCCGTGCCATATTCGATACCAATTCACGCAATGCATCATGTTACCCATGGCTTCTAGGGTCCGCCCAGACAGTGATCATGACAGCGTGAACGCAGAACAGTAACAAACAGTTATGACGCAGTCCACAGTGTGAGACGTATCACGATCGTACGAGGTTGAAACGACGGTTTCCGGGGCTTGTTTGGCGGGGGCCAAGTATAGCCTCCGCGCAGTGATCCACGTTTTCCGGGCTCCGGGGAAATGATACAATTCGAGGGTGCGCGGGCAGAGGCGGACAGGGCAGGGCGCGGAAGGGGCCACAAGTACAATACAGCTACAAATGGACAACGAGGGGCGACGCAGTGTCGTGGCGGGGCTCGCCACAAAGATCATACAGGGACAAGGGAGACAGGGACAAGGAACAAGGAACGCGACATGCTGGGGTAGCGCAGCGTCCGCACAACGTACGGACGTTACATCATCGCGTTCACGGGACCATCATCGAGAAACAGCGCGACGACGTCCGGAATCGAGGGTCCATTTCCCTTCGGATCCTTCCACAGTGCACACACCACCGATACCCACAACCGGACATAAGCGCGCTAGCACCGACGAGCACGCACCCGCGCGTACGCGAGCGACCCCCGCCCTGGGCCCGGCCGCTAGCGCGCCGCGCACATGTGGCGGGGGCGGGGCGTCCTCCTTCACTCCTCGCAGGTGACGCCAAGGGAGGGGAAGGCGTACGTGCCGAGGATCGCGGTCTGGCAGCCCGCGCGGTCCTGGTGCGAGTTGCAGTTGATCTGGTCGTCGGGCTTGTTGCAGCACCGCAGGCAGAAGCGGTTCGCGGCTGGCTCGACGCTGGAGGGTGATGTGATGCGCCGTCAGCGATTGGTCGTGCATTGCAGCCGCGGGAGAGGGAGGCGAGGAGAAAATGTGGGGAAAGTCATTACAACGAGCGAGCGAGCGAGAGAGCGTGTCCGAGCCGGACAACCCGAAGAACAGTCGAAATCGCGAAAGGCACGTGTAGGGCATGGAATTGGCGTGCACCGCGCTGTGTCGGGTAGACAAAAGCAGTGTATCGCAGTACAGAAATGACGAAAGGGCCTCGTCCACGAAGCCAGGAGACATTGTCTTGAGGGGCGAGACCGGGGAGGAACGCGAAACGTAAACGCACAGTTGGATGAAGCTCGCGCCGTACCCTCCGTAGGCGCATTGTGCGCCATTCGGGAAGCGGACGTCGAATTGGCCGCCAGTATCCGAGGGGTCGAGAGAAGACTTGCTCGCGTCGAGGCATCCCGTCACCTGTGGCATCATGGAATGTCAGTTTACTTCATAGCATGGTAGCGCACCATGCGGACACCGTACAGCGTGTCCGGACCTGGAGAACTCGGGGCGGACTCCGCGACGACGACGCTGCGGCCGCCTTACGAAACACTCTAGGCCGCGCTCTCTCGGGAGAGCATACGCGAGCCAGGTACCGTTATGGGCCCCACCACCCCAACACCTGTTTGTGCTGGACGCTGGTGCCCCGCAAGCGGGTGAATCCTTCTGTCGGGCCGCGATGCTGTCGGCGGTCGGTGGCATAGCAATTCTGGGGCAATTGTGCGGCGAGCCGATCAGAGTGCGGGGTACATGTTCTAGAGTCTAGACTCCTGGCCATGCCGCCGGAGCTGAGAACTGCGCACCTCGCGCCCTTCAAGAAAAGGGTCGCGTCGTCGAGGGCGGAGTCCGGCGATGTATCTCCCGCCGGCGGACAAACTCTGTCTCCCGTAGCGGTCGGGCGCGGACAGAAGCGGAAAGGATCGAGCCTGAACATGTGAAGAGCACGACCCTAGATCTCAGAAGGCTTCGCACGTAGCGGACGTCCTGCCACCGTGCAAATCATCTCGAGGAAGCCACGGGCGCCACGCACCCGGGTGCCATACCAGGAAGACGCATTGGCTTCCCCTTCACATCCGGTAGGACCCATACCATAACGCACCGTGCACTGATACTTGGTCTAGACCTAGAACGCGGAGGACAGGGTACACCGACATTGTCCTGCAGGACTACTGCCGTAGTGAGGACGCAGCTGACAACGCGCATATATGCGCGTGTGAGCCACGGCCTAGGCGTGTTGAACAAGTCTCACAGCAACTGCAACACTGAAACGAACACGGAGCTTGCATATGCACAAGGAAAGAGGACGTCGCATTGCGAACGACCCGCAAGGTCGTACCACTGCGCGTTTGCAGTCGGTCTGGAACACACTCGATTTCTCTCATGTTCTCTGAACGGAGTTCACCCATACTTCTATCCATATGGAGCAGAGAATCATGAAGTAACAGCATGACGAGGTCCATACCTGGATATACGCCCCATCGTCCGACGTGGTCACAGCCGCCGCGCGGATAAAGCCCTCCGCGACGCGTTTCCCGCAGGCCGGGCTCGCGCTGTCGGGCGTGCAGTACGCCACGCCGTCGCTCTCCGCATCCGAGATGAGTTCTGTACGCGTCAAACGCGTCAAACACGCCCGTGATAAGCCCGGAAAACGCAAGAGACGCACCGCCAGGCCGATCGGGCAGGAGCAGCGCAAAATCGTGCTCGTCGATGATGTGCACCGTCGTCGACGCCGAGGACGCGCCCGTCGGCTCAGGGGTCGGCCGGGTGTCCGCGGGCGCGGTCTGCGACTCGCGTTTGCGGTATCGCTGCTGGTAGGAGTCGGCGCCGAGGTGCTGGGCCTGAGCCTGTGGGACGTAGGAGGACGCCTTGCTGGGTCCGGACGGCGCGCCGTACGCGTAAGGCTTAGGCTTAGGAGCGGGCGCAGGTATAAGAGCAGCCACCCCAGGTCCTAGCAGATCGGTGACCGACAGATCAGAGTTGTCGCCGGACCCGCCGAGTGGTAGAGGGTTGCCACCACCACCAGAGGTTCCGCCCAGAGGTAGCGAGTTTCCGCCACCACCGCTAGCTGGGTTGAGTGGCAACGAGTTCCCGCCACCGGCGGCGGGCAGAAGTGGCAGAGCGCCGCCACCGCCGCCAGCAGGATTAAGCGAGCCGACACCACCGCCGCCGGACATGAGCGAGCCAGCACCAGCGGGAATAAGCGAGCCGCCAGAGAGAGCCCGAGCACTGCGTCCGAGACTGAGCGTTGCCAGAGACAGCAGAACAGCGAGGAGCTTCATCGTACCAGGTCCGTAGATCATCGCTAGGGCACAGATAGACAGTACTAGTAATGTTACGTGCAAGTGCGCGAGACAGCTAAGTTCAGAGTCTTTAGCGGGGGACGCGAGCGGAAGCGGAGATATCGGTCTGAGTGGCAGGAAGAAAGAGGTTGAAAGTAGGAAGCGCCCGCCGAAGCTACGAACATGATCGACGTCGTTATTCGGGAGAGGTTTGACAGATCTAGCTACGGTTACATTGTATGACTTCAGGCTAGGTTTCAAGATTGTATGACTAGAGCTTCTGGACGCAGCTGGTATTTTTGAGAGCAAGACGGCGAGCGAGATGACAGGGGAGTGGGGGTGAGAGAAAGAGATGGAAGCGAGTTGAGCAGGAGGGATGATCGATGAGATGAGTGTGGGGTAGATGGAATACAGCAGGCGAGAACGGAGTAATGGATAAGTTAGGTACTGCAAGATCTACCAAGGATGCTAAAATTACATTTGTACTACATCAGAGCAGTCCGGCGAGGGTATCAGCACACGCAGCGCGCAAGAGGTCCGAGAAAGAAAGCGAGAGCCCGCCGCCGCCGCAGGGCGTGGATTTGTGAGCTCGCACTCAATGCGAGCTCGAAAGCGCTTGATGTTGATCAAGCTATATGGTCGGCGCGGTGCCGTAGATACAGACGGCCGAGTTCCGGCTCGGGCATCGCTCACATGTTGCGTAGATGCAGGTCGCATACGGCCACACCGTGCTCGATAGAGCGCAGGGTGAGACCAGCGAAGCCGCCCCGGTTCCCGAGAGCCGACCCCTTGCGAGCGGAGGCGGAAGCGAGTTGACTTGTTAACTCGAATATAGTCGGGATGTTGCGTCCAACAACTTCGACGGTGTACAAACCGCCAACGTAGATTGTCATGCGATTCACGGCGTGGTTGATAGCGGGCGCGTTCAAAACTTGAGCTGGCAGCATCGGGCCCGTCCTCACGTCGAACGAGTATGGCTTAACACCCGCATCGAGCATAGGGTGAAAGTCTGGCTGCCCGCGCGCAATCTTGTCCGGGCTGCCCGGGGGAGTCATCAGACCATCTAGGGGAGAAAACTCAGCATCTGGCGGAGTTTGTGCACGTAGAGTCACACAATATAAAAAGTCACGCAGACGTACACACGATATTGTGGCTGCCGCCGAATTGCGACGATGGATACGGCGTGTAAGAGCCGGGAGAGCCGGACGAGCTCGGCGTCCACGGAGTGTTCGGCGTACGGGGAGTCGGGGGAAAGTCGCTGCCCTCACGGTAGAGGGATCTCGGCGCTTGCGACGGCGTTGACGGCGCGTTGGACACAGGGGACAAGTTCTTGTCTCCGGTGTTCGGCGTTCGGGTGTACATATCGATAAGTCGGACTGGCTGTACTCAACGGAATATAGTGAGAGCGGGCGGCGTCGGCGAGTGAGTCAGGGGGAGGAGTGGCTCAGTCGGCGTGTGGGCGGGAAGGGCGGGGGCGGGTCCGCTTTGGGGAGAACGTCGGGCATTGTAGCGGGCTTAAATGAGTCGACGCCGCCGGGTCACGCCCCGCCCACCGTGCGCCCGTACCGACGCGTCGGGAGGCGGGAAGTCGAGTCATGCAGCGGCTCCGTGATGGCAACTGTCATGCGCCCGCCCAAAACACCAGCGCCAATCCGCCCACTTACCGCATGTAGGCATCCGGCGCGCAGTCCCCGACGCACCTTCCTATCTGGGCGACAATGCGGCGTCCCGACACTCCCCCATATGGCAACTCCCCGCCCCGTGCCCTGTCTTCGTGTGCAGCTCCGCACAACCATCAAGGGAGTGTGTGACATCGTGTAGAAAATAGAACAATGCATACCGCACCTCTGTCGTCGGGCTTCCCGTATTGGTAGGCCGCCCGCCGCGGCCGTCCACCGGCAGCGGTCTTCCCGACGCCCGCCTCGCCCGACCCTGGGCGGCGCACGCTCTGCGCGCTACTTCTGGATTCCCGAAGCATCGGTGGCGTCCCGCCGGGGGCGGAGGGCACGTCGGGTGCGCCTCCGTCCAGGCGCACCGTCCTCGGTCATCGGGCTTCACGACGTAACTGCATGGAATCGAGGGAACGAACTCTGCACGTAAGAGAAAGCCCGATACGAGAACAATAGACCTATCCCAGCTGAGCACGGCAGGAAAGCGGATGCACAACGCGTGGGTTCAGCAGGGAGAGACGCGACGCGGATGCGATGGCAGAGAGAGAGGAGAGAAATCTTTAGCGCCCTCAGACTACCGTCGCGAGCGTTAGGCGCTTGTGAACTTCGACTTTCACCAGTCCCGCTGACACGCGGGCTTGCTCTCTTGACGATACCTTGACTTTCGCTGCCGTGTGGACCGCCAGAAAACTCTTGGGGTAATCTCTAGGAACTACGGCGCATCTACTCGTTCCAAACACGGCGAATGTCTGCGGTCTGCCGATCCAGATGTTGCGAAAACTACAGACTACGCCTGTCGCTCGATGCTTGCATGTCTCCGCTTCTGCTGCTGCTGCTTCTTCCGTGGTCCAGCGAAAGCGTCCGCAGATCAAGGAGAGCCCTAGGAAAATCCAACGGAGGAAAGCTGCCGAAGAAGCAGAAGCTGAAAAGCATGTCCAGCAGCAGCAGCCTGCGCTATCTGGTATGTCTCACGACCATACTCTGAACGTATCGCGACTCAACCATGGAAACAGCAGGACCTAAGCGCAACGAGCTCGGCGTCCAGCTCCTGTCTAGAGACATCCACAAGCAAATCTTCCGCAACGTCTCCTTCCCGCCTCCCCCGCAAGCCTTCGTCAAAACCGCGCAGGAACATCTCAAGGCACATGGCCTCGATCCCAGTCAGGGGTCAGTCCTGCCCAACATCGAGTTCACACTCCCCCCGCTGCAGGGACGCACCCTCGATGAACACTTCTACCGCATCGGCAGCAGCGCAGCGCAGCCCTGGCTCACGCTCGCACAAGATCTGGCCTCGGCGCAACTGCCCCCCAAACCGGACCAATGGCACATCCAGGCCGGATGGACGCGGTACTCCTTCATGTCGGACGGTTCGAGCTACAGCGAGCACGTGCAGTTCCCGGAGTTCGAGGGCAAGCCGGAGGAGATGCTCACATTTGACGTGGAGACGCTGCCCGCATACACCCCCTTCGCAGTCATGGCCTGCGCCGCGTCGAAACATGCGTGGTATTCGTGGATATCTCCTTGGCTCCTCGGCGAATCATCCGAGCCCCAGCAGCTCATTTCCTTCGGCGACCCGTCGGTCCCGAGGGTGGTTGTCGGACATAACGTCTCGTACGACCGGGGTCGTGTACTGGAGGAGTACAACATCAACGGGACGCAGACGCGGTTTATCGACACCATGGCGCTGCACATAGCAGTGAAGGGTATATCGTCGCATCAGCGCCCGGCATGGATAAAGCACCGCAAGTCGAAGGAGAAGGAGCAAGAGCAGCGCTCGGAGGCTATAGAGACTGTCTACGACCTTTTGCGCGAGGCTGAGGAGCGGCTTCAGAACGAAACCGATCCCCAGGCCAGAGCGGACCTCGAGCGCGTCATGCGTGAGATGGAAGAGAGTCTTCCGACGCTCCAGGCTGCGCACCTCACGCCTGAAATCGTCGAAGAGGAGATCACGGAGAAGCGGTGGGAAGACCTCACGTCCGCGAACTCCCTGGCCGACGTCGCGCAGTTGCACTGTGACATCACGATGGACAAGGAGGTGCGGAACGATTTCATGACGTCGACCCCGGAGGAGATCCGCGACGGCATCCACACGTACCTGGACTACTGCTCGACGGACGTTGCGGTGACGCACGCGGTATTCGCCAAGACGCTCCCCGCGTTCCTGACGGCGTGTCCGAACCCCGTCTCCTTCGCTGGGGTGCTGACGATGGGCTCGAGTCTCCTTACGGTTAACGAAGAGTGGGACAAGTACATCGCCAACGCAGAACGGACGTACAGGGAGCTCGAAGAGAAAGTGAAGATGCGCCTCGTCGACCTCGCCCATGAGGCAAAAAACCTGATGGAGGGGGACAAGTGGAAGGACGACGCCTGGCTCAGTCAACTCGACTGGACACCGAAAGTCGCGAGCAAGTCAAGAGGCGTGTTTGCTCCTGAGGTAGGTGTGACTTACAAAATACGCATACAGGTACTCATGACATACGTAGCCGCAGTCACTGCCCGACGCCGCCCCTGTCGAAGAGGTCCCGTTACCGGAGCCTATCGCTGAGGAACCCTCAATACCGAAGTGGTACAGGGACGTTGTCGCGGATCCGTTCAACCCCACCGCTGTCAACAAACTCCTTCCTCTCCTCCTGCAACTCAGTTATGACGGCCATCCTCTGCAGTACTCTGTGGCATTTGGATGGCATTACCTCGTTAACGGAGAGCCGCAGACTCTCCCGACCTCTGGCGGCAAGAAAGTGATCTCTGTGTTGGGTACTGTGCACGGCATTCCAGGTATACAGAGCGGGCGGCTTTCTGCAACCGACACGGATCTGGCGCTGGCAATCTGCAAAGGCGATTTTTTGTCAAACGTCAGGCAATCGGTCTTGAGCCTTGCTGAAACGCTCTCGGAGTCCTCTCCTGAGGTGATCGCCGCCAGTCCTTCTTTGCGGCAGCTCGAGTGGAAGGCTGTTAAGACGGCTGCTCCTTCCGCAAAGGCTCCTCCCTCTCCTAAGTCGAAACGTAAACCAAAGGCGGCTCCCCCACCGAAGCCGACTCCGGTGTACTGGCCGAAGTGGTACTGGGACCTCACGAAGCCGAAGAAGGATTGCGCCCCAGGCACGCTCGACCTGACGGTGCGCAATCGCATTTCACCGATCCTCCTACGCTTGTCCTGGCTGGGCTGGCCGCTCTTCCACTCTCGAGAGCACGGGTGGACCTTCCGCGTGCCTAAGAACGCGGACTTCCAGACCCGTGCGACCCCGCTGGTCCTGGCGGATGACGCAGATGCGGACCTCCAGGCGATGATCGCGCAGGACGGCTACATGTTCTACAAGCTTCCGCACAAGGACGGCGAGAAGGCAAACGTAGGCAGCCCGCTTGCGAAGACATTCATGAAGTACTCGCAGGATGGGACGCTCGCGAGCCCGTTCGAGGAGGCCAAGGGCGCGCTCGATATGAACGCGCAATGCAGTTACTGGATCTCCGCGCGCGACCGCGTGATGAACCAAGTAGTCGTCTGGCAGGATGACAAGCTCGACGTCGGTGTCGCGCGCCCCGCAGAGCCCGGCAAGAAGTGGGGCGTCATCCTCCCGCAGGTGATCACCATGGGCACAGTGACGCGGCGCGCCATCGAGAAGACATGGCTCACGGCGAGCAACGCTAAGAAGAACCGCGTCGGGTCCGAGCTGAAGGCGATGGTGCGTGCGCCGCCGGGGTACGCGCTCGTCGGCGCGGACGTGGACTCAGAGGAGCTCTGGATCTCGAGCGTGATGGGCGACGCGCAGTTCGGGCTGCACGGCGCGACCGCGATCGGGTGGATGACGCTCGAGGGCACGAAGGCGGCGGGCACGGACCTGCACTCGAAGACGGCGAGCATCCTCGGCATCTCGCGCGACCAGGCGAAGGTGTTCAACTACTCGCGCATCTACGGCGCGGGCATGCGCCACGCGGTGCTGCTCCTCCTGCAGTCGAACGCGGGCATGCTCCCCGAGCAGGCGCAGAAGCTCGCGGAGAACCTGTACGCGTCGACGAAGGGCAAGAACACGCACGGCACGCGCCTGTTCGGGCGCAAGTTCTGGTATGGGGGCACGGAGAGCTTCGTGTTCAACAAGCTCGAGGAGATCGCGCTCTCTGACCGTCCGCAGACGCCCGCGCTCGGGTGTGGGATCACGTATGCGCTCTCGAAGGAGTACCTCCCCGTCGGGTTCGGCTCGGACTACATGCCGTCGCGCATCAACTGGGTCGTGCAGTCCTCGGGCGTGGACTACCTGCACCTGCTCATCGTGTCGATGGAGCACCTCATCGCAAAGTACAACATCCAAGCGCGCTACCTCATCTCTGTGCACGACGAGTTGCGCTACCTCGTCAAGGACGAGGACCGGTACCGCGCCGCGCTCGCACTGCAGATCGCGAACCTGTGGACGCGCTCCTATTTCGCGTACAAGCTCGGGATGGACGACCTCCCGCAGGGCGTGGCCTTCTTCTCCTCCGTCGACGTCGACCGCGTGCTCCGCAAGGAGGTCGACATGCCGTGCGTCACGCCCTCGCAGCCCGTGCCCATTCCCGCTGGTGAGAGCCTCGACATCCTGCAGACGCTCGAGAAGACGCACGGGGGCTCGCTGTGGGCGGACGGCGCGCCGATGGTGGAGAACGACGGGCTGGACTGCGGGAGCAGCTTGTTCGGGTACAGCCCGCCCGACTGCCTTGCTCACCGCGCACATAGCGCGCCGTGGCTGCGCGCGCAGGCGACGTCCGACCTGGACGAGATCAAGCGGCTCGCGCAGTCGTACCGCGGCGCGGCGGCGGAGGCGAAGTCGAAGGCGAAGCGCGGGAACCCGAACTCGGGCCTCAGGCGGCTGCAGAAGGTCAGGGCGCTGGGCAGTGGCGGGAACGTCGACTGGACGAACACCGTTGAGCAGTTCTTGAAGGCGCTGCAGTCGTGAGGGGGAGCGGTGGAGTAAGTTATTCATATATCGTATCTCATATAGTGTAGACGTAGATCTCCGTCCTGGATTAATTGGTGATGCTTGGTTTATCTCGACCATGAACGAGTGCAGGCTTTCGAATGCGGGAGAATAGGCAAGTAGAAGGACGCGCGGACGACGGAGCAAAGATGGTGACTCGCATACATCGACCTGAAATCCTCGATATTATGCGAAATTTACTGACGCGTTGTTACAGGAGAAAGGGAAGTCTTGCAAATCGAAGCAGCTCGCTCACATCGTCCATAGCTCAGTCCCAGTTCTCGAACTTCACAGAGTGCACCATCGCGCATGTAACCGTATGCCTCGGCCAATCCTTCCTCTGGCACTCGACCCCACAATACCGCGTCATCCGACACCCACTGCACCGATCCAGCTGCGCATCCTCGTCCTCGCTCGCCGTGTCGTCGCGCTCGCAGAACGCGCAGCTGCCCGCGAGCGGGTACGAGACCCCGGCCGGGCGTTTCGGAAGGGAGGGCATCGGACCCGCGCCGCCCATCTGCTGCAGCATCCCGTGCATCGTGGCGAGGCCCTTGCGGACGTGCGGCTCGTCCATGTCGCAGACGAAGTGCAGCTGCGGCGTGGGTGGCGTTAGCGCTGCGTGCGCGTTGGGATTTGGGCGGGGCACGTACATATATGATGAGCCGCGGCGGGTTGAGGTGGTGCCAGGAGATGTTCTGGAAGTTCGTCTCGCGGGCGGGCGCGCCTGGAGGTGCGTACTGTCAGCTGGCATTTTAGAGGCGTTGGGGAGATACTCGCCGCAGAACTCGCACTGCCAGTGCTTGGAGTGCTTGACGTCGCGGGCGAGGGCGCTGGCCCTGCGCTGGGTACAGCTAAGGTCTGTGTCCTGCGGGAGATGGAAGCGAGCGATCAGCCGTTTCCCCTGCCTGAGATGTCGGAGTCCGTAAGCGTCCCTACCGCAGGCGGAGTATGCGGGACGTACCATCCGTATCCGACGAGCTCGACGTTGAGCTTGCCCATGCGTTCCCAGTCGAAGAGAGGGCGAGGGCCTAGCCCGGAGAATGGCGAAGCGGCCATCGCTGCTGAGCGCTGAGCGCGAGGAGGGTGTTGTGAAGACCTTGGGGGAGCACGCTGCACAGCAGGCAACAGAGACCACGCCGGATGGGATTTATCTGGTGTTCAAAGGAGGCCCCGACTTATCGCACGCAGTGCCAGTCGACGGCTTGCCGCCTGGCAGCTACTAGTTTGCATGTCAAGCTGCGGAGTAGCCTGAGACGGTTCTCTTCTTCTCCAAGACACTTCTGCTCAGCTTGTGGCGTTTACGAAGGAGGTCACATCTGACGGACGTACAGAATATGACGGAGCTGACGGGACCTTGATCATGAGCGAAGAGGGGACGTGCGTTTCCTCTGCGATGTCATTCGCCCGACGCGTCTTCCGTAGGGCTTATAACACCCCTTGAGCGCGGAGGCAGCAGGGGCAAGAGGAATGGGGCCGTACGCAACGGCTTCGTGAGATCTGCCAGATGCTACGTCGAGAGCAGTCTTAGTACATGGATCCGACGACGATCTTAAGTATGCTATGGCAGTACTACAGGCTTGTGTCAGTGAGTCGCGGATAGGGCGCGCCGTAAAACGTACCAGCCGTAGCAGGTGAGCTCGACGTTGAGCATCTCTTTGCGCTCCCATCTATCAGGAAGGGGAGAGGGAAACATTCAAGATAGAAGTATGAACTCCATCGCTAACATCGCTGCCACTGGCGGTGCGGTGGGGGGCGGGATGCTAAACAGGTGGTGGTTGCAGACAAGAGGGAATGCGGGGAATTCGTCACAGAGGGCATCCCGAGCTCCAGCAGAAGGATATGTCCGGCATCGGCAAGTCAGCGAGACGGTGTTCTCTTCTCTCTTGGCTCACTTCAGAGCAGGTTGCGCCGGCGATCGCGCGCGGTTGCGATGCCGAGGCTGAAAACGTAGGCCGGGCGTGTACATGATAATGATATCGAAGCGCCGGTGGATAGACACTTCGACGATCGCGCCGTCCATGCGTTACTGTACAGAAGGTGAGGGCGACACGAAGGGAGAGCTGTTGGCGTTTCTTCGACCGCGCCACAATGACATCGTCGCGATACGTCACGATCAGCTGACTGAATGTCACGGGCATCTGCTTCCGGACAGTTTGAACTTTGCAGTCTGGACTCCGGACTCCCGGGGGACTTTGCGTTGCCTCCTGCAAGCTCCTGCACCCGCGTCCAGACCAACTCCCGGCGTATATGCAGCCCTTGTTATTGATGGGATGCATCCCAACTCCCAGCTGGAAAAGACTACAAGTCCTCTGTGGTCTCGGGATTGACGACCACTGGCCCCATCTATATGCGATAGTAGTAGGACACCATCGAACTTGAAAAGATAGGCTTTGGTCAAGCAGGTAAGCTGTTTACTACTCTGGGTGCAGTAGTTCTACCGGAATGGCAGGCGAACTGAATGGCTATTAATAGCACGGCCTGGAGCCTGGCACATATATACAACGAACGTTCACCGAGCTGCCGACGCAACCTTCGCCCGGGTGCGCACGCCTCCCCTCTGTCCAGCCGAACAGAGTCAGCAAATTTTACATGGAGCGCAGAATGTCCTCCCGACCACCCGTCGATGAGCAGCTCCCGCCCAGACCCCCACTCAAGTATTGGGAGCGCACGGACATGGTTAACCTTGAAGTGCTCATCTACGGTTGGTAAGTCTCCACCTTGCATGCTGGCCCCCATCGACGTGTGTTCTAAAGGGCTTGCGTCTTGTAGGCACGATACAGGCGCTCTCATACGTATGCATCTCCCTCTTATGGACCGCGACCCGGATCGCCTCCACGCCGCCACGCGCGGCCTCATCCGCGACGTCAAGCACTCCCGCAACTGGCGGTGCGAGTTTTGCGGTGAGCACGGCCAAAATCCTCGCCCGAACCCAAGGAGAGGAGCAACGCTGTCGAGCCCCCCGCTGACGTGCGCTCACACTTGCTCTAGGCCGCTTCTCGCGCGAGTCGCAAGTGCAGACATCCACCGGGCTGCGCGCGGATCCGCCGCGGATGGTGATGTTCGTACGTACAACGCCCCGCGCACTCCTGCGTTCTCCATCCCTCACGCGTCCGCCGCAGATCCACAACATCTGCGACCACGACCGCAAGACGTGCTTCCGGAAGCTGAAGGCGGTCTACCGGTACTGCGCGAGGATCGACCGCCGCGCGCCGCTGCCGCTGCCGCCGCCCGCCCCGAAGCCGCGCAACATGGTGTACCCGCGCGCGGGCAGCTGCGTGGGGTGCCAGAAGGACTCCACCCTGCTCGGCGAGCAGCAGCGCTGCGAGCGCTGCAACCTGTCGCGGTGAGCCCATTCGCTGTCAGGGACGGCGCAGGATCCTGATGTCGGTGGGGTGTTGTCCAGATACTGCAGGTATGTTGGGGCTGGGCTTGGGCCTGCGCGGCGGTGGCTTATGCGTATATTGGCATGGCAGCATCAAGTGCCAGAAGGACGACTGGCCGCGCCACCGGGAGACGTGCGAGCGGATCTGCTTCGTCTCCTACGACACCGTTCCCTCTGAGGACATTTCGAGGTCTCCTTCGCCTGCTGGTTGAGTTCTGTCTCGCAATCTGACTCGTAGATCTTTACAATATGATGTTTAACCTCAAAAGCCACCTTCATGTAAATGCGCAGCGCCTCACGTCAGCCTCATGTTTGGACGTATGGACATGCTTGAGCGCAAGGATATACAACTGCAGCTACGCTTTCCTCCTGACAACCATCGCTGCGGAGACATGGCATCATGGACGATTCAGGCACTTCGCTCTCTTTCATGCAGATCTCACTAGGTCGTTGCGTTCGCCAATGGTTGACTCCACCAGAAGATCGAACACTCCGATCGTGGCTCTCACCCAATCGCTCCCGCCCAACATCATTCATCTCATAGGTACTGCGACCATAAGTATGTACGATGCTGCACATTGCCGCGTGCCAGGTAAGACATCCTCGTAGAGAATCCGCAGCAGTCTCAAGCTCGCTTCGCTGCATACCCGTCAGTGTGCATGAGGCTATCTGTACGAGCACGATAGACGTACCTGTGCATATATGCGGCATACTGCGCCACCTAAGTCCAGTTCTCGAACACCACCTCGTGCACCTTGCCGCACACGCCCTTATGCCGCGCCCAGTCCCTCTTCTGGCACACCGTCCCGCAGTAACGCGTCATGCGGCACCTACCGCACCGCTTCAGACCCACATCGCCATCCCCCGGCACCGTCTCGCACCCTGCGCAGCCCCTCGCGAGCGCGTAGACGACCCCAGCGGGGCGTTTCGCCATCGACGGGTAGGGCGCACCCGCGCCCTCGAGGCCGAGGTAGTCCATCGTGTCGTGGACGCGGGACACGCCCTTGTGCACGGCGCGCTGCTGGTCCTTGCTGCACATGAAGTGGGCCTGCGGAAGTGTTAGCGCTCGATGTATGCGCGGTGAGTAAAGGGACTATATGCGCACTGATGCGACGACTAGTTTGAGGCCGCTGGGGGAGTCGGCTATGTACTCGAACACAACCTCCTGCGCGGGGTCGCCTGCGGCGGCGGGCAGATATGCGTCAGCTCGGAGCGGGGTGCGGCTTGGAAAGCGATGATAAGGTGTGGGAGGCTTACCGCAGGACTCGCAGCCCCAGTCCTTGGTGTACTTGATGTCGCGGGTGAACGCTCTCAGCATGGTGTCGATGTGGTCGAGGTTGAAGTCCTCGGGGAAGTAGAAGTGCGCTGCCATACGCGTCTTTGCCCTGATATTGCAGAACGTCAGTCAGTGTAGGCTGTAGCCAGTACGATTAGGAGTGTAAGGCGCACCAGCCATAACCGGTAAGCCTGACGTTGAGCTTGTCTGCGCGCTCCCAGCCTTCGAGTTGGGGACGTTTGAACATCGATGTAGGGAGGGCAGAGCTGCGGGGAGCGGGATGCTAAACAGACGCAGGTGGTTGCGGACAAGGGGGAGAGATGAGGTTCCTCTGGAGAGGGGCGCTGGAGCAGCTTGACATAACGCCGTAAGTTAGCGGCGAACGCGCGGAACACTTGAAGAATATGTCAAGCTGAGGTACGCCGAGACGGCGTGTTCTTCTTTCTTGGCTGTCTTCGATACAGAGAAGATCGTCGCGCCAATCGCTGGTAAAATTATAGAGCTGAAAACGTCGGACATCGAAGCCCCCGCGGAAGATCGCGTCCGCAGAGAAGTTGTGGGCGACATGAGGAGAGCTCCAGCGTTTCTCCGACGCGCCCGGCGCCGCAGTGAAGTGTCGCGGTACGTCACAATCAGCTGCCTGCATGTAACGAGCGTCTGCGTCTGCAGAATGAGAAGGACGCGCGTCGCGCATCGTCGTCGCCGGGCACAAGGTTGCGTGCAGGATGATCCACTCGGTCACCTTCGAGAACTGGAGCTGAGCTAAGTACTTGAGGCCTTGAGGTGTATTCCAATATCCTTGTCGATATGCGTCCAAGTGAGATGACTGCAGACGCAGATAGTATGATGTTGTGAGGTACTTGCAGAGACACCGGAGGGAACGAAGCGAGTCGACGGCAACACGTTGCGACTTCGGAATCGCGTCGAAAGAGTGTGACTAGCATCAGGTGATTGTGACGTAGCGCGACGCGGTGCTCGCGCTCGGTCTCGACTGATTCCAGCTGTTCCTGGGAACCTGCCGTCATCCACGGTTTGGAGGCCCCGAAGCAAGGATAGTAGTAGATACGCTTTTGCTGATTTTGTCTTGGGCGCCAGATATCCACGGTGAGCAACGTAACCCTCAGCATGCCCCACCTGCCACCAAGATTCCGATTCCACCAGGAATCGGTTATCAGCACCTTCTGTGGTGGGCAGTTGCACGTGATGTCTGTGTAACCCGGTTTTCCCCGCTGCCACGCGAGCTCCGTTCCCGCTCTTTCCCGTACCACCTGCTTTTGCTTTGCGGTGCCATCGTCCCGTCTCCACCGTCCACCGTGTTCGCCTGCGCGTTGGCACATATGCATACTCCTCCTGGTCAGTGCCTTTCTTATATCATCCGTATATTTCTCATCCTTTCCTTCAGCTTATTGCCGCTGCAAGCGTGCTCTCATTCCTTCCTCCGCATTTCGCTCGTCTGCCGTGCGTGGAGTTCCACCTCTACCCGGCGCGTTTTCCCACTTCGTCGCTGTCAACCCCGACGTTGGTTCGTCCACTTGGGACGAAGACTGTTCATTCGGTAGTGTGGTCTCCATCCCGTTCGCTGTCGCTTACTTCTCTGTCCGGGATTTGCGCTCCTTCGCAAAATTACACTCCGTCCCCCTCCCTCGCGGTTGCTGTAACCACGCGTCCGTCACTGCTTCGTTGGCAGTACATGTTTGCTCTGGTCTATGTGACCGAGTGTTCTCCCTGTTCACCCCGGCATGCCCTGTCCCCGTCGGCGCTGCTCCGCCCCCTCCGGAGGTACCTGCCCCTGTCTCATTTCCTCCTCCTCCTCTTCCGCTCCTCGCGAAGGCTGCCATCATCGCAGATTGGTGTGACGAAATTCATTCGTCTGTAGTGACCGAGGACCCTTGCGCTGTCTGCGCCTCTCTGTTCCCCCTGCCCCAGCTGTCCGTCGTACCGCGCCGTACCCTCGATCTTTCTACGCTCATTCGGCCCGGGGTCGCCTGTGAAGAGCGTCTCTCCGCGGACGTTCCTGTTTGCGAATACGACGGTCCTATCTTGTATGCTCCTGCTTGTCGTTCCGTAGACGGCATCGAGTCGCTGTCCATTTGCCGTACCTGCTACAACGCACTGCGCGTTCATCGTCTCCCTGCGAAAGCGTTGGCAAACGGTCGCTGGGTCGGCACTGTCCCTGCGGCTTTGCTCGATTTGTCATACGTTGAGCAGCTGCTTATTGCTAAACATCGTCACAGCTTTTGTGTAGCTCAAGTAACGTCTTCTAGACAACACTATTTAGCAGCTAATGTTATTGTATTCGGCCAACCTGTCGACCGCGTGTACTCAGAACTCCCGCCACCTCGCGCTGACATTGATGCGTGTTTGGCTATCCTGTTTGTTGGATCCGCCAAACCTTCCGAGGAGGACGTTCGTCGCACCCCCTTCCTTGTACGCCGCAACAAAGTGTTTAATGCCCTGTCGTGGCTGAAGCTCAACCACCCAATGTATTTCGACCTCACTATCTCGACCACGAACTTACAGTCTTATCCAGAGGATATGCCCCCTGTTGGCATTGTCTACAGGCCTGGCCCTGCTACTCCCTCTGCTGAGTCTCTCGCCGTTTACGAGGCTTCCTCCGATCGCAGTACGTCCTCCGGTGCGGCCCCGTTCATCGTTCATGGCCTTGATGGGCCTGAACTCGCTCGCATGTCGTATGATGCTAAAATCGCACTTGCAATCCGTCATTTAGACGAAGGTCATGCTGCTTTAGCATACGGCCATAACACCATTCCTGAATCAATTTATCATAACAGCGCGCTCTTTCCAGGAATGTTCCCCTGGTTGTATCCTTTCGGCCGGGGAGGATTCGAAAATGAGCTCATCGTCACTAGACTGGACCGTGTAGAGCACATCAGGGCGTCTCTCCTGTATCACGACCGGCGATTTCAGACAGATAGATGTTTCCCTTTTATCGTCTTCAATCACGAGCAGATCCGAGCGAGCTCTCGAGGAGGTTACCTCCTCACTCATAGCAAAAACTTCGCTACAGTAGCAGACCGCTTGCAAGCCCTGGATCGCGACGCTCTGGATGCTTTGATAGACCGTAGTGCGAACGGAAAATATGTTCAGCCAGAAACCGAAGGCGAAAAGGCATGCTTTGAATTAATTACCTTTGTGGATCACGTAGCCGGTCACGTCAAAGGTTCAAACACCTCCCGCAAGTACCAGCGCAACGAGATTCGCTCCCTCATTTTTGCGAAGGGAGTGCCATCGTTTTTCATAACCTTCGCCCCAGCGGACTATAAAAATCCTCTCTGCTTGTACTACTGCGGAGAGAATATTGACTTGCTGTCCAGCGCTCCTCTGTTGCCGAACAGTGACGATCGTCTTCGAGCTATAGCTACCAACCCCGTAGGAGCCGCCCGCTTCTTTCACAAAACGGTGCAGCTTTTTGTCCGCTGCATTCTGAGGTACGGGCGAGACACACGTGGCTTGTTCGGACCAACCGAAGCGTATTATGGAACGGTGGAGGCGCAAGGCCGTCTGACACTCCATTTGCATACCCTGTTATGGATCAAAGGAACACTGAGCCCACAAGAAATACGCGATCGCATTCTGGCTGATCCCGAATTCGAGCACGCTATACTTGCATGGCTTGAAGATTGTCAGACCAGTGATTACTCGCGCTCTTCTGGCACTGAGCTTTCTTTGGAACTGGAGGAGGAGTACATGAAGCGCTTGCCGTCCGGTGACCTCAGAGTAGCTCGGCGTCTAAAGCGCGATATTCGTGACCCTGCCACTACTCTGGCTTCGCCTCCACCTGTCGCCCCCTCGCCCGCACAATTGCATACTTGGTTCTCTGAATTCTCTCTCGACACCGACAAAGTCGTTTTCGTGTCCAATCGTCACGATCCTACTCACGGGAAGGGATGTTGGAGGACCGACGGGGAGGACGGTTATTGCAAGGCACGTTTTCCGCGCCCTCTGTTCGAAACTACCCTCGTCGATCGCCTTACCGGTGCTATCCGCTTCAAAAAAGCTGAGCCGTGGATCAATACTTATCACCCCATCCTGACCGGTGCCCTCAGGACTAATTCTGACGTTACCTGTTTGCTGTCGGGTACGCAAGTGAAGGCCATAATGGCATACGTGTCTGACTACATCACAAAGCAGACCATGACCACTCATACCTTCTTCGAAATCGTGCGCGCCGTCCTCGACCGACATACCGAGGCACTTTCCGCACCTGGGTCTGATAGGGATCGCACCGCTCGCGCCATCATCGTCAAAATTGTAAACGCAATGACTGGTGCGTCCGAGATCGGTGGACCCGCCGTGTGCGCTCAACTGCTCGGCAATCCTGACCATTACACAAATGAAACATTCAAGGTGTTCTATTGGTACGCCTACGTTCAGTACGTCAGGAAGTTACACAACGCTGACGCTCCTGTTCATTCTGATGATCCTGAACGACTGTTGCTCGTTCAGACCGAGGACGGAGTTGTGGGGCACTCCAAACTGAGTGACTATGTCCATCGCCCTCCTTACTTTGCATTGTGGTCTTTATATGACTTCTTACGCCTGACAGACATCCGCAAACTGCGTGAGAAGGAGTCGTTTGTTGCTCAGCAGCCTGGCGCTCCCACCGACGGTGAGAGTTCTTCATCTTCGGATCAGGATGAGGAGGAAAATGCGCCTCGCAGTCCTGCATCCCCTCGTGCTCACCGGTTTACAGCGCCTCACCCTCTCCACAAAAGCCACGGTGTATACCTTCGCTCAGAGTCATCATCGTACGTCCTCAATTTCGTTGGCCGCGCTCTTCCGCGACCCGACAAGGGAGACAGGGAGGAGTATGCGTTGACTATGCTCGTCTTATTTTACCCATCGGGTTGGAGGCATGCATCAGATTTGAGGGGAACCTCATCGTCTTGGTTCGCGAGCTTCGAGCAGGCCCATTTCACGGATCGTTCGCTCGCCGTCATGAAACACATGAACGTTCTATATGAGTGTCTGGATGCACGAGACGATTTCGCTGCTCAACGACGCTCTCTCGGGGTCGGCTTCGGCTCTGACGGCAGTGCTCATGCCACCTCTGACTCTGTCCCCTTTCCCGATGAGGATTGGGAATATACCGAGCAGACACTTATTGACTCCTTAGAGGCCGGTTCCGTAGGACCTAAAACCGCGAAAAACCGGAAGGACATGCGTGCTATGTACGCGCTCTTACCACCGTCTACATCCGTACGTGCCGACCTTGGTAAACCACACGCTCGCAAGGCTTACCCGGTGCGCTCTGCCGTACAGTGGAAATCTATCGTCACTGAGGCACGCTTGACCGCCGTTTCGCAATTGACCACTCCGCAAGGTGTCGGTGCTCGTTCTTCGCTCACCGATAGCTCTCAAGCAACCGGTAAGTTTACTCCCATTGTCGCGTCCGTTACTCTTCAGGACTTGTCCTCTGTGTATGATGCATCTTCCCCCGTGCCGCCGAGCATGCAAGACGTACATATAAAGTTGTTGCACAACACCATTTCTTTTCTCAGTCTCAATACTGAGCAAACTCGGGCTTTCCGCATCATCGCAGAGCACCTTCACCACCACTACCGTAAGCCGTTGCGCATGTATTTGGGAGGCATGGCGGGCGTTGGAAAGTCGAGAGTGCTTCACGCCGTTATTCATTTTCTGGAGGAACGAGACGAACGTTATCGGCTTCTCATTCTGGGCCCTACTGGAAGCAGTGCAGCTCTCATAGGAGGCTCCACGTATCATTCCGCCTTGGGAATACACGTCGCTTCAGAAACTGGCCTGCCCACGCTATCATCCATAGAAAAGCTGCGGGGGCGTCTACAGCGAGTCGACGTCATTTTCTTGGATGAGCTCTCCATGATATCTTGCCTCGACGTCTTCAAGATAAACTCTCAGTTGGCTAAAGCATGTCCAGACTCTTCGGATACTTTCGGGGGCAAAAGTGTGGTTTTGGCGGGAGATTTTGCTCAACTTGCTCCCGCAGGTGTTTCGCCCTCGCTATACAGCAACGCTGTTGGCGCGTGGTCTTCATCGGCTTCAATAACCTCCCAAAGGTGCGCTATTGGGAAAGCGCTGTGGCACGAATTCACCTGCGTCGTAATCCTAAGGCAGAACATGAGGCAACAGGGTATGTCTGCAGATGACATCCGCTTTCGTGTTGTGCTCGAAAACAGCCGCTACAACAGTTGTACGCCAGCTGACATCACCGTACTTCGCACTCGAATGTGGTCTGCCACCGTTGAGAACGGAGGCCGTCTACCGGAGCGCTTCCGCAAAGTGTCAGTCATAACTGCTCGTAACGCGCATCGCGACGCGATCAACTCTGTAGGTGTGTCGCAATTTGCTGCCGATACGGGTGCTAATTTATACCACTTCCACTCGTTGGATAAATGGGGTCGCGCGAAGAACCTCAACTCCATTCGCCGCGCTCAGCGTGAATATCAGTCCGTTGTCGATCCTATGCGCCTCACGGACAACGTTGATTCTCGTTTACAGCAAGTCATTTGGGATCTGAACCCCTCCATGACCGAGCATCAGGCAGGCGTCCTCTCCCTTTGCGAGAACATGCCCGTCTTGCTGAAATACAACGAAGCGACAGAACTTTGTGCGACCAACGGTGCGGAGGCTGTCGTTGACTCTTGGGATTCGCATCATTTACCAAGTGGTCAGGAAGTGTTGGATACTCTGTACGTCTGCCTCACCGCTCCACCTCGAAATGTGCAACTCCCTGGCTTACCACTGAACGTCATTCCACTAACCCGATCGAAGAAAACCGTAAAATGCATTCTTCCCATCAACGACACCGTACTGTCCATCCAACGTGACCAGGTGATGGTTCTGCCCAACTTCGCCATGACTGACTACGCCAGCCAAGGAAGGACACGTCCTGACAATGTTGTGCACTTTGAATATTGCAAAAATCATCAAGCGGTGTATACCTGCCTTTCGCGCGGCTCTTCGTTGGAAGGGACACTTATTATAGGTCCCGTCGACGCCTCAAAGCTCACAGGGGGACCCTCAAAAGCTCTACGGCGTGAATTTTGAGAGCTGGAGCTCTTGGATTACATTACGTCGCTTCTTGAAGCGGGTGAGCTCCCTCCCAACGTAGCTGGTTCTTCGCGTGGTACGCTATTGACTTCCTTTCAACAATGGAAAGGGCCTCACTTCGTGCCTCATAACGTTCACCCCGCTATACACTGGGGTTCTGATCCGCTATCGCAGCTATTGCCAGACTTACAGACCGCGAACATCCCTCCGCTCGAACGGCACAACACAAACAACGACACCTCGACTCGAACCCCACAGAAGCGCGTGCGCGACGAGCAGTGGAGCGTCCCTCGAGCTCCAAAACGGCGGAACGCTCTCGCAGGCCGTGATACGGCAGCGTACGACATAGCGGTTCCACACACGTGTAACCAATCTCAAACCACGCGTCTAGGCCTGGCTTGGGATGCTTCGAATTGGAGCTGCGCGTACGACTCCGTGCTCACAATCATTTGGAACATGTACGTCGACTACGGCGAGCTTTGGCTTCAATCGGTCGCCCCCGACAACCAACTGATGTCCGTGCTACGGTCTGCGTTTCCCACTGTGCAGGCCGACTCCCATCTGCTGGCAGCACTCAGAGATACAGTTCGCGACGTTCTGTTTGCGCTGCAACCCGGCCGATTTCCTCGCGTTGGACCGGTCACCGCTGCGGCTGCGGACGTCATGACATTTTTGTTTCAACGCCACTCCCGTTTCGGCAGCTGCATCTCCGTTTGCTCCGGCTGCTCCTGCGAATTCGACGCCTCCCCTGATATATGCCAATCTTACTTCTGGGCTATTCCTGAAGTAGCCTGGTCTGCTTACTACAATGGACGGACCTCTATATCCGCTTCCGAGTACGTAACCTGTGCACTTCAAGGAGTATTCTCTCACCGCTGCGCGCGTTGCCTCATAGAAACTCCTATCAAAATAACCCTGCACGAAGTTCCTCCTATTCTAATCATTGAGTGCAATTCCGCTGCCGTATATGCGGACGCCGAGATCGCAGTTACTGTACTGCATGCACAGACCACAATGCGTCTAGGAGGCATCATTTATCACGGTCAGAATCATTTCACTATTCGGTATATCAACAAGGATCGAATCGTGTGGTATCACGATGGGGCGTCAACCCAGGCAGTATGCGTTCCTCAGGGACCGCTCCAGCAGATGAGCGATCGTGAACTCACTTCTACGAACTCCAGATCGGCTTGTTACTACGTCTACATATCCGCTTAGACTCCAGCTCGTGTATGCACGATTCGAACCATGTTACACGCGTATGCACATACATAGGTCAACACTGGTTATTCAAACCGCCCCCTCTCCTGTCGCACCCTCGCCCTACGATGTCATCGCTCTCGCCATATCTTCAACGCTACGGGGTACCGTCAAATACGGCGAGGACGATTGTTCCTCACCGGTGATGAACCTCATGTCTGTGAGCAGCTCCATCGTGTCACCTAGGCCAGGAGCATATTCCGTCGCTTGGACTACGATCAGTATAGCGCTCTAAATCACTGTCAGCAGGGTTTGCCTAACATTAAAGCAGAGACGCTTACGGGCAATGTCAAGCCTGGAAGATTGTCCACCCGAATGTACAGCGGCATCACTATGATGTTAGAGGGCACGTACACGTGCACCCCGGGCAGCACGGGTACATACGCCCCCGTTATTGGGAATGGCTGCATGTTGACGATGGGTGCGGTTTCGGTCCAGCGCGCGTGCGCCCGCAGCCGTCTGCCTTCATATAGCCTTAAAGCTATGAGGACGAGCAGCACTCGCTGTTGCCTGAGTCAGCGGCTTATCCTGGACCTCGCTATCGAGAATACTCACCTGTCTCCCTCCCAACCCCGGAGTAGGCAGCCCAAGTTGCAGTGGCAGTTCGAACAACGGTGTCGACTCGTTCATGTCTTTGCGTACGAATTTCATAGAAACCGGCGCCGTTTATAAACATTGGTCGCGCGCTGAATAGAGTCACGCAACACTGCATTTACTGACTCCCCGTCCCTGCCGCCCATCCGCTCAGCCTCGGTTGTGATCGAGCCTGCTGACCGTTATCCGACTTGACTCCGGTGACATTTTCCGCTCATGCTGTGGCGGAACGTATCTTTAGGTACTATCCGATAAACGACACTGCCTTAATGGCCCTCTTCCACTACAGAATGATCGTCGGGGCTCAACGCTAAAACGATAACGGACTCCAGGTGGAGTTTGTAGGAAGGAGCGCGACCAACATCCGCCTCTAACACCAAGTGACACCGAAGTCGGACGAGGTCTCCCTCCTTTACGCTGGCGGGGTGTAACACCGGTGACTCTCGGCCGTAGCTGTCGTTCGTCCCGTCAAACACTGCGGGACAGTCGCCACGCCCCTGAGAACTGAATCAATAGCAGCGTATGGAGCGCGTACAAGGGTATTACCTCCTCTGCCGTGACGTCTGTTTGTTGCTGCTGTGGATAGAGTACCGCCGCTGTGACACAGGGATCGGCTGAGATGACCATCAGCCACTCCGTACGTATCGGTGTACCGAACACTGACCTGGTTCACATGAATCGAACATCACCCGCGCCCGTTCTGCGTCCTCTGCCGACCACAGCCTCACTTCAACGTAAGGTGCGTTGCGCGAGATGACCCCCAGTAGCTTAGCGCGACGGACAGCGCCGTAGACGTTGATAACCACCGGCTTGTTCCTCGCAGACAATACGGCCCACTTCTTCGAAGCCCATACCCACTGTTAAGACGACACCTTCGAGGGTCGTGGTAACGTTCAGGTGCAAGGGCCTAGCAGGCAGGAGAGGAGACTCGAGTTCAGGGGTGAAGGTGATAGATAACCAGGTCGAGCTGAGGACCATCCTCAGCTCTCCAGGGGTCCTAATATACATAGAAGCCAGGCCGAAACGGTGCGTACTAGGGGAGGCAAGCCTGCTACCTACGGGACCGTAACAATGAGGCGCTGCCTCATGGTGTCCATACCGTAGCTGTACCGTATCCGCGTGTAGTCCATCCACATCAGTAACATGAGGCGTAGGTGAGGCATAGGTGAGGTGCGATCAAAGTCCAGGTCCGAGACGCCCGGACCGTTGTAACACCCACCCTGTTTGCATCGGTAACGTGGAGAGCGTAATGGCGTGCCGAAGTTGCTCCTGCACAGTTCTTCACCCTGGTCAGCCGCTACGGTTAAATGGGTACCAAGTCGTCGGCTTACTGTCGCACTGCGAGGGGAACGGCGTATTCCACTCGAATGTTGCCTAACGTATGTGCCATCTAGAGAGCGCCTGTGACGGCCGCGGTGTTGCAGATCAGATGGGCGGAGAGGCGTGCGCACGGCGTCTGTGGGGAAGGGAGTTCCGTGGGGGGTGGGGGTAGAGGTTCGTGTTGAGGCAGAGTACGGGACGCGGACGACCTCATATTTCAACTTACCCTTTCTGACGTCCTTCACACCACATTGACAGGGCCGATGTGAAGCTGGCACCTAATCGCTTCGAAAGCGAGCAAGGTACATGGGGGGACCGATCTCGATTGACATACATCACAACTCCTGCGCGATGGAACTCTCCTCCACCGTCACCGCCGAAGGGAAAGCTCTTTCCGGCAACCTTCCCCCAAACTCGCATTCCTCCCCACACGCGTCACCTCCTCCCCACCAACATACCGTCGATGCCGATGGCAACCCTCGAGCGAAGCCGCAATCCTCGTACTCGCGAGACAACGTGCCCACTACGCAGTAGCGGTCCCCGAAGAAGCGGCGTTGACGGGGACAAGTCGCATCGCCTGGGCACGGTATGTCGGGTTGCATATCCCAGGAGTAACGCCGAGTGCGGATGTCGAAGCCTCGTGCCTGGTACTTCTGAATCAGCGTAACGACGTGTGTGGAGGTGTGACGAAGTTCGATGAGTCGGACCGGCGATAGCAGGCCACGGCCTTTGAAAG